GGGAAATGCCTGTCCCCGGTTCCAAAATTGTTGTATGCTATTCCCAGGGTAGAACAAAGATCCGACAAAAAAAAAAAAGGGAGGCGATATTTTGACATTTGATATGGAGCTGCAAAACTAAGGAAATGGAGACCGTTGGAGCCTTTTTACTCTTTTTTTTCTCCTTCGTGTCCATTCACTCGCCCCGAGACAAAAAAGGAGACTATTTGATGACAAAGAAGATGAACATGAGATGTTTGGTCACGAGTTATGGATATCATTAATTATTATGGATTGATCTTCCCAAGGGAGGGAAATTTAGAGACGCAGGGAGAGAGAGAGAGATCGGAAAGATGAAGCTGTATCTGATAATTTGATACGGTACTCTTATAATTAGCCATTTAACTCTTCGCTCACTCGGCTCAATCGACTATCTTGGTCCGACCTGACACATCTTTAAGCCTCTTAGAGCCTCTAGTTAGTGGCTACTGCAGTAAACTATTCGCTGTCTGTCTCAACTATGCGCGTAGGTCTTTCGTCTTTCCGATTCTTTGGCGGCCAACAAGCATCGAGATTCTCAGACAAGAGGCGTTCACAGTTCCTTTGTCCACCGGAGCCGCGGAGTCCTTGAATAGATACGGATACAGCAGATAGAAACAGAGGCAGAGACAATTGACGCCACTACTACGGGCGCCCTACTCTCGGCGGCGGAGTGACCGTCTTTGTGTCTGAGAAACAAACTGAACTGACTTGTTGTTGTTTAACCACTTGACAGGTTGCTTATCCAATCCCGGAGCGACGTTGATTTTTCTGAACAAGACTAACTTGGATAGAAGCCGGGACTAACAAGCCACGGACAAGACGCGATGGATTACGCTCGAGTGTTCACTTGCTGATCGGGAGGCTTGAATGGCTCTCCGAATTTAGACTCCAGGTCTTGGTATGTTTGTATGGGGAGACAAACCGGATACTTGGAACTGTATCCGTAGCATGACAATCAATTACCAAGTTTGATGAGATCGAGATATTCAATGCTTAGACTATTCAATGTTGTTTATGGATGAAGAACAACATGCAGATTAGTCTAGCCCTTCAAAGCAAAAGCAAAAGAAGGCATAGATCTAAATAACTCCACCATGGCTTGTGAACCCTTTTTAGTGGCTTTATTGTGGACTAATTGGGTTGTCTTCGAGGTTGATTCTCTTTGACTGCAGGGTGAGTTGAGTTGAGAGCTTCTTTGTTATGGCAATGGCCATGATCAAGGTATCCATGTTTCGGTGATCATCTTGGACTTCTATTCTCATGATACCTCATTTCGCGAAATTCATGTTACTGGGTCGACGCTTGTCAGGTCATGGATTGATCGTCATTCATCAAGTCATGGGTTTGATAGTCGAGATGGAGCCGTTGGGATTTTAATATGCATCGCGGGACGGGAAGACGCATCGAATCGTATCTCAGACCTTGAGTATACCTTCACCGCTTCTTAATTCATAGCTATGATGTAACATGACATATTGAGTAATTGTGTAAGAGACGAGACATGAACAAGAGTTATTCTAGTTATTCATTGGATGTCGGCTCATTGTGTCAAGGCTGAACCTGAACCAGAAGCAGAAGTCAGAACAGGGGGCAGACCCTAAAAGGAATGGGTGTCGAAAATAAACGGTCGATCATTCACGCAATAAGATCAAGTTTTGATGGGTTTGATGGCTAAATCGAGATGATGAACAAAGAATGCGTTCTATGAATAGCCAAGATTCGAGTCTCTTTCAAGACATACATAGTAGATTCAATCTCTATTAGTAGATGAGCACCGATAAATGCGTATGCAATTGTTCTTATGTCTATTTAGAATTAAACTTCTTTGTTCATGGTTGTATTCTTTATGCGAACGGTACAGTACAAACTTTCATAAGAGGGATAGAGAGAATGAGACCCATTGGTTTGGGTCTGTTCAAAGCTGGGCTGACGTTTATGTCAGTGCAACCAAACCAATCCATGCATATATCCATCCCTTAGAAGCAGAGATGGAAGCCGGGAATGAGGAGTTAATTACAACCTTGACCTTGATCAAAGATGGATACGATTAGATCATTACCAAAGAGGAAGAAAGTAAACAAATGTCACTGATGAGTAGATGGTCGTTGTAAAGTATGGAGAAGACCAAGTTTGATGCAAAACATTCAAATTCGACTGCATATCATCCAATTCAAGGCACAGGCTTCACAAACATTCATAGCTCAGGTAGGTTTAGCTCCCGTAGCTCTGCTCTTCTACCAAGGCACAGCACATCGAGCACAGCATAGCGAGCATAGCACAGTAAGTGCTTAAAGAGTTATGTACCTTAGTCCACTGAACTGCCCTGTCCTTCCTACTAAGCGCCCAGACATGGAAGCCCTTCCAGGACAGGTCACAGCTGCAAGGATGGCCCACCTCCGCTGAGCAACCGCCCGCCATGCTCCGGGGCGACGTCCATTCAACAGCGACACAGGCCTGGCAAGTGGGCAAAGACCTGGCTGGGGAGGGGGACTGGCGTGGGATCTGATTTGCTTCACCTTTACCAAATAGGACAGGGCCATTGCTTTGCTGCAGGACAGTAGCAGTAGTTTGGATCTGTGCTTGTCTTGTGCCTTGTGCCTTGACGGAGGTAAGGTAAGGTACGTAGTGAGGCCCTGAAAGTGAGGTGCCTCCAAGAAAAAAGAGGGCACTTGTCTAGTCCCAGTTCAGTCCATCCGTCCCACTTGACTTCCCATGACTTGCACACCCTCTCTTGTTCTCACACCCGACCCGACACCTCTGGGCTTGCTCTTACTTTGTAGGTACAGGTAGGTCCTTGCCTTGCCTTGCCTTAGTTGGACCCGACTTCTTACCTTACCCGTCAGGTCCCACGGGTCAGGGAACTGGGCGTGCAATTCCTCGTCCACTAAACTCCACTGTAAGTCGGTGCTCCCCAGCGACCCCCAGGGCCCCAGTACGCTCCCAAATCACCCCTAACAACCTTGGTGGGATCGCCTGGGAAAAAACCTCCAGCCGGGACGGGTTTTGCCTGGACTGGGCTTGAGTTGAATCCATTCAAAAGCCTTCTGCTCCCGCATTCACATCTTCCCTTTCCCACTTCATCCCGTCCCGACAACTAGAACTCTTCCAGAGGCAAATTACGGTTACAGTTACGGTTTAGCCATCGTTTATACATCTCCAACTTAGAATCAACCAACCATCCATTCATCCATTCGCTCTTCTTCCACCCAACTACAACTACAACTACTCTCGACACCCACCATTAGAAGGAAAAGAGGTCACTTAGAAGGAACAACAGAAAGAAAGAAAAAAAAAAGAGGGGAACTTTCAATTCTCTCTGTCTCGGTGTGCTTGTAGTCTTACAGTACTCTCAGAGTAACCTTATCTCTACGTTCTGCCCTTTTGCTTCCCGTCCGTCTTAGTACTGGACTGGACTGTGCGTATTTCTGCCTTGTGCGATTCGGTCCTCCGCCATCCGCCCAGCAACCGCCCACACCCCCGGTCAATTGGCACCCGGCTTTGGTCTGCTCTCGTCTTCGATCCAAACCCAGCCTTCCATCTCGATCCCTCTCGAGATAGACTGAGACGTCGACGTCTTTTCGACTCAACTTATCGTGATTTAACGACTCCTTTTATATCGTCGATTCACGATTCCGTCCTTGTCGAGTTTCGTTCGTCCCTCCTTCAAATGTACTTCGAACGATTATAACGACCGACAAACACGACATCGTCGACCCCCCCGCGAGCCAATCTCCCGTCCATTATCTACTCCTTGCTTCGCTATCGAGTCGATTTTAATACATACGATACGATACGATACAATTCCCTTGACTGCATTCAAGGATTTCGCTCAGACCCTTGTTCAATAACATTATAGAGGTGTTACTGCAGCATTGACTTACTGCAGAACTACCTCTTCACTCCTCCGTCGCCGTGTCTTCGATATCGAATAGCTCTTAGTAGCCGACTGCTTCGACAGAGCTCGACTCAACTCGAGTTCCCTCGAATCGTCCCGCTGCTTCATCTTCATAATCACAATGGAAGCATCATCTCCTTTAGCGGCGCTGCATCGCCCGTCAATGCTCCCTAGCTGGGGCAGCAGAGACGTCTTTCGCGGCCACCCTCACTACGCATCTTCTTCTGTTACATCTGCCAGCATGAGCCTGCGTGAGCAAATGCACAAGCACTCTACCGGCGACTACTTCAACGTCAAGGACGTTCGAGGTTCTTCGCCTGCTGCGAGTTTGGCTGCTGATCTCTCCCAGAACTTTCGACTTGACAGCGAATCAAGGTTTGTTCTGATGCCTAGTACTCAGTTTGAAAGTGTCTTGGTTAACATGCTTCCAGTCCCAAGTTCCCCACTCCTCGAAGAGCACTCTTCACTGCTGGCATGATGGGCACCTTGGAAGGTCGAGGTGAGCAAGACCCAACTACGGTCTAGAACGCAGAACCTCGTGGCTAACTGGCATGTTTCTATAGATTCCGTCACGACTCCCCCATTGCCATCCTCATCACCTGCGCCGCTCAAGGAGCTGATGGAGATCTCTCCTCTACCTCACAAGACCCCTTTCTTTACACAGTTCGAGATAACATCTCCAACTCCCGGGTCTACTCCAGCCGCTGACGAAGAAATGGTGCTTGATTCTCCTGCTCCCATCTCTCGGCAGTCTTCCTTGGAACCGCCCAAGCCCATCATGGCTGAGTCAGTCTCATATTCCCACATTCCTCATGGAACACCAACTGACGTCTATCAGAAACCGTAGAATAGCTATGCCTCGACGACCTTCCCTAACAAGGATGAAGGGTTTCAGTACAACGGCGGTACCGAGCCGTCAGGCTGACAGCGTTGACACAACGCCATTTCGCTTTAGTGCTGGAGGAGCTCGCCTCAACCACACCAGCTCAAACCTGTCACTTAGCGAATGCTTCGAGTCAGCATCACCGCCTCAGGAGCGCAGGCCTGCATCGGCCAACAGCCCCTGCCCTGGTATGCCAGCCGGCCGTGCTAGACCCCAGTTTCTCAACTTCAATGCATGCTCACGCAACAATGGCTCTCCTTCCATGAACTCACATGCCCGCCGACAGGCGAACCCCTTTCTGAGGAATCGCAAGCAGTTCCGTCGCTCATTGAGCATGTTCGAGCATCCTGCTGACGTCATGAAGAGCAACTCAGATGGCGAGGAGACTACCTCTCCTGCGCTTCAATCGGTTATGGATGTGGAGGAGAGCCAAGAGCCCGTCCTCCCCCATTTCCTTATGGAAGACCCTACCGACACTATTCCTCGCATCAGCCGCGAAACCCTCGTTGACGTCTTGGACGGCAAGTACAGCTCCCACTTCGACCAGAAGATCGTGATCGACTGCCGGTTTGAGTACGAGTATGAGGGTGGTCACATTGATGGTGCTGTCAACTACAATGACAAGGAACTACTTACAAGCCAGCTCTTCCAGACTCCCATGGACGGCCGAACCCTCCTTATCTTCCACTGCGAGTACTCAGCCCACCGTGCCCCCCTTATGGCTCGCCATGTTCGATCCGAGGACCGCACTGTGAATGCTGAGCACTACCCCAAGCTTACATATCCTGAAGTCTACATCCTAGACGGTGGATACTCCGGTTTCTTCACCGAGCACCGGGGTCGATGCTATCCTCAAGAATACGTTGAGATGTCAGACGAGGCTCACCAGCGCACTTGTGAACGCGAAATGGGTCGATTGAAATCTCGTAAGGGTCTCAGCCGAGCCGCTACTTTTGCCTTTGGCCAACGTGAGCCTTGTGTGGACGAATCTCCTACTGCACCCAGTAGACCTCACTCACGAAACCTCCATGCACCTATCTCCCGACTTGGTGCCTCTCCGATCATTGGCGAGCGATCACATGCCCGCCGTATGGCCTCATACTAGACGTACTGATCTTTACGACTTGGTCTCTTTGCTGCACGTGGTTGAGCCTGACTCTCCTGGTGCTGGTCTCACCTTGTCCGCTCTTCAGGTCTATGGTCATTTAATCTTCCAATCTCTACAACGATGCCTGCCTGGTTCGACAATCACCAGCTTGCAACTAATCTTTACTACGATAATCACTCTCATGCTCATAGCACCACCACGACCGCAACGACTTCGCTTTTAGATCACTGCCACGAGTTCTCACTCATCGATTAACTACCTTTTCCTATGTCTTCACGGGTTTCACGCTTACGTTCATGGTCCATCGATGGAACCTCATTCACACGGGAGCCAACCTCCTCCCCATTCTGCATTCGGGCGCGCATTCTTCTTTTTCTCTTTTCACTCATCATGCATCTGACTTGGCGATTTCCGGAATTGCATTTTTGGCTTCTAAAACAGGTCTCGGGAACAAGCTTTTCCTTACGGCCGTGGCGCTGTTGGCAATAGACATTTCGATACCAGATGTCTCGGCCTTTCGATACCTTCGGTCTTGGGGATACAGGAAACCCCCTATTTGCAGGAGCCGAAAGATTGCCAGGCATACACCGACTTGCATCTGTCACTCGGTACTCTATTCTTTCAGCTTTTTGATACCAGTATCCTCATCTTTACGGATACCCACCTACAAACGTACCATACGCGCATATTGTCGCACCTATACCCTCCCAACCCGAAGGAACCGGGCTTGGTTAACCTTTTCATTTGTTCATCAATACATATTCAAACAATCACTTCCTGAAAAAATTACTCGGGAGGTTGGAAAAACTACATATACCCCTCAGACCTGGAATTGTATTTTATTCTCTGTCCATAATAGGCACAGGTCGCATTGTTTTGGTAGTATCATGAAAGATTGGTACTGCTGTACTTTACTGTAGGGCTAGCTGGCGGAGTAACTGGATGACGCCGTATGGCAGGCAGACGAAAAATGGTTTGCTAATTGTTGTACATTACATTGCCTTATGGGGAATATACCCTGGCTAGTAGATACCTACAAATGAGGGAAAAAACAGTTAAAAGTTATCAAATACGCTGCTTCCTAATGGTGATCGAGTTTGATTGTTACTTTAGTTGAGTGAATCGGAAGCATACTATCAGCAGACAATGGTGTTGCGGCACGACTCACGACCTACTCAAACAGAAACTCCTTTATCTATAACCCATGGGTATGGAGCAGCACCATTCGTACCGTTATCTCTGTTGCTATTGCAATATCGTGTTGTATTGTATCAGTCAATCTTATATCCATGATACTGTCTCCTCTGCCAACATCTATCCATTGGCAAATGAGGAAGATCTATCTTCATAAGCAAAGTAAGTCTAAAACCCCCGATATCCTCTTCCTATTAAACGCCGCCCATGCTTTTGGTATAGTATACATAAATTCACCAGTATCAAGCAGCGGCTTCATCGCCGTCTTGGAGAGTGAAATCCCATTCCTTGAACGCCTCCCGGAACGCCTCAACGTCCTTGGTCTCTTCCTCCACACTCTGTTCACATGCCTTCCAAACCAGACGGTCCTCAAGACGGAGGAGCTTGGCTAGCACACGTCTGCCGAACTGAAGGTCGAATCGCATGTCTGATGGCAGAGGCATGACGAGGGACTTGCCCTTAATACGTTCCTCGCCGTCATCTGCCCATAACCATACGCGGAAGAAATCACCACCAGATTCGGCCTGTTGCTCGAGAGTCAGGTCTTGTGCTGTAAAAGCTGGACAGTTTTGGTTCTCTGCTTCGACTTTGAAAGCAGCTTCGGCGAGGCCCTTCTGGATGAGCTCAGCGGGCAACGGCATTAGCTGCCAAATCAGATGGACGTTTCGTTCGCGGCTAATCTCCCATGTGACAACACCTAGCTTATGAGAACTCTTGGCGGCAATCATAGCCTGGATGGCTTCGCGGAAGCGGGTCATTTCCTTGAATGTCTTGACAGCTTCGCCGTTTGGATCGGTGACAGGTCCAATACTGGGAATCGTAGGGTTGTGTGGTAGTGGGATGATAATTAAGTGACCTGGGAAATCAAGACCCTGCTCGGCAAATGTGGCCGATGTAGGTAAGGGACCCTTGGCGGTCGAGATGTACGCGTCGTCACCAATGCTGCAACACATGTGTGAAGAAAGATTGGGGTTCGAAAGACAGAAATAACATCGATCAGGACCCGGTGGAGGCGATCGATGACGCTGCTTCTGGCGTCGGCCTCTATGGCCTCTTTCGTGCTCATCATAACGACTGTGTGATTCCTCCTTAGGGGGACGCTTCTTCGTCTTGGGGTTGAAAGGCGATGCTGTGGCGCCATTAGGTATCGATGCGTCTCCCTTGTTAAGGGTAAAAGCATACAACGCCTTTGCTTTAGCCTTGTTGCCGTAAGGAGCCATTGAAATGAATCGCGTGACGCAAGTGTTATCGGTCTCCGTCTGGGTCGGATGCACAAATGCTTCTCGTTCGTAGAAAAAGCCTTCAGGCGAGGATGATAGGTGGTATCGTGGCTTTAGTCCTGCGCATAGCTCTGCAATAGACTCGGAAACGGGTATAGATGCTTGGTGTGTCGGATCAAGCGCAACTTGAGAGCCAGTCCAGACACCCGCTGGCCATATCGATGTCAAGAGGATATCAGCGCTGTTAGCGCCACGCAGACTCTTCGCATCGTCGACTGTGTGGAATGGTAGGTGCTGCTCTTTAGACTGGCCAGCAATGTTCGTATCCAGCTGACCACCTAGCGCAACAATTCGCACGCCGTCGGATGTCTTGGTGATGCTGCGCTTGCCCAGAAAATGCAGGTTCTCGCAGATTTCTTCTTCAGCTTCGACCTTGGCGGCGATGCGCGGAGGCAGAGGATGGGTTCCAACGGTAAAATAAGTTGGTAGAGGAACTTGAAGAGTTCCATTAAGGAGCGCATTCACTGACTCATCATCCTGTGTCGGGCTGAAGATATCGCCAGTGAGAATAGCCATAGAAAAGCTATTCTTAGAATGAAGAGTTGCTAGCTTCTTGAACGCTGGCTCAAGTTGGCCATTGAGACCGCCTAGGACAATGCTAAATAAAAGTTGTCAGTCCATAAGCTATGAATAGTGATTTGAGATGACTTACATCTTTGGCGAAGCCATATTGGGCGGTTGTTGAGGAGAAATGGTTTGGCCTCACGATACCCTCTTCTAAAGTAAAGGAAATGTGGATGAAAGAAGCTATGATGAAAGTGCATAATGGAGCGCGTTCGAGTCTAGAAAGATAAGAGAATGCGGCGCGAGTATGATTGGTTCAAGTGGGGCATCCCGCATTAGTGCGCTCTTATCGGTTTTGCCGTCTATGAACCGATCAAAAAAAAGTTTTGGCGGGGACGCAGTTCGCGGTATGTGAAGCTCTTTTTTCGCAGACTTGGAACTTCAATTTTCCCATACTATACTTTCTCTACCTACAAAACAGATACCGCCAAGATGCCGTCCAACTCTTCAGGGCGCATCGTAAAAGCGCGGAAGAATAAAAACTCAACTCCCCATCAAAAGAATCACAGATGGGAATCTTTTACTACTAAAATTTCTAAATTTAATTCACTTCACCCGTTACGAAAAGTTCGCCGTCATGACCTCGATAACGAAGATCTTTCGACCTCGACATCCTACTTTCAGACCGGACTGAACAAATGGGGAGAGCTCAATGTCTCAAAGCCTTTCTCTGCCTTCAAGACCAAGGTCTGGCCTCTTTGCGAGAGTCTTCCTCAGCTTCTCCATTTCGAGCAGAGGATAATGGACCTATTGGCCGATTTTATTGCTGGTCAGGATAAGGAAGCTCTAGAGCCATTGTTGGACCTTCTTACCGCTTTTGCGCACGATCTAGGAGTTCGATTCGAGAAGCACTATGGCAGAAGTTTGGATCTGATCGTGGCTATCGCTGCCAAGCCACAGGATGTCGACGTTATTGAGTGGACATTCGGGGCTCTCGCCTTCTTGTTTAAGTATCTTTCTAAACTGCTCGTCCCTGACTTGCGACCTACCTTTAAAGTCATGGCGCCACTACTCGGAAAGTCACGACATCCTCCCCATATTGCTCGATTCGCAGCGGAAGCACTGAGCTTCTTAGTCAAGAAGGCAGCCGCTCCATCCCATCGCGAAATCGCTCTGAAGCGCCTGGTCGAATGCGCACGAGACGACCTACTGAGCATCAAGGACGATCGCCAGTTTACCTTGTACAAGGATGGATTGATGAACATGTTTGCCGAGGCTATCAAGGGTACCGACAACATGATCCACTCTGCTGCTCCGGCTGTCTTTGCGGCTCTAGTTGACGCTATCCCTGAGGTGGAGCGAACCTTGAGCGAGGACACGACCTGGACAGAAGTGGTCTGTGGCGTTTTGACTAGTGTCATCCACCATGCGACTGCCGATACCTTTGGAGATTTCGCAACTGGAGTTCACGAGGCAATCCGAGCCAATATGGAGAGGGAAGCTCCCACAGACCAACCGTGGCAAGTTGTTCCCCTTATTAGGATATATGGCACCATGGCTGGTGTTCGAAAAGGATATCGAATAACCGACTGGTCGCCTCTTATTAAGAACTTGGTTGAGATGCTCTCTACCGTCACAAAGGCCGGGCCAGAAGTTCCACAGGAGGCCTCGAGCGCTGTTTGGAAGTTTGTCATCGTCAGCATTGCAATTGTCTGGCACCACGCACCTATCGATGCTTTGATACCCCATATTGTTCCTCTTACTCAATCTCTGACCAGGGAGCCATTCATGAAATGGTTCATTCCCTTTTGTTCGTATTTCTGCGAGCTGGATGCCCAGCGTTTCGGAAGTTTATTCCGCAACGACTTCCAAAGGTAAGCGTTCCAAGTAACCGGTCTTTTCAAAATACTGACACACCATGTTAGGTTTATCGCGAATCACTGGTCTGAAGAGCCTAATGAAGCTATGCTTTGCGTTCTGTTGCCCAAGATGATCATCGAGAACCGTGCTTTCCCTCCAGCCGGCGAGAAGGACAGCTGCAAGATGCCACAAGGATGGCAGGATCAGATTGTTTCCAAGTTCGAACGATTGGAGGACTCGCCATTCCCCGAAGGTGGACCTTATAACAAGGATCCCCAAGCTTGGCGGGACAGGTGTCTGCCAAAGTACTCAGCTCTGCTTCAGATTCTCGAACTTACGACGGTTCACCCATCAACGAATGCCCGTATCGCCGAACTCTTGCTTCGCAAGCTCAAGCTTGCGCTGAAACCATCTTCTACTTTAGCATCCGATGAGGTTCATTTCATCGTTGGCCAGGGTTTTCACGCATACCTACGTATGAGTAAGGCTGCCAGTTCTGTCGACATCACTTTGAGCCCCCTCTTGCGAGCTGCTGTTCCTCGATTCTCCCAGTCTGTCAGCTTCTTGCACGCCTATCTTGCGTATGAGGAGATTCTGCAGGGCAAAGAGCCCGCCCAGCGACAGGATAGCACCAGCAGCGACAGTTCGTCCAACGATGAGGACCCGGTCATTAAGTCATTGATCGAAAACCTGAGCTCTCCGTCCCACGAACTCCGTTTGGCGTCTCTGAATCTACTCAAGGTGCTTAACTTGGCATCAGACAGTTCTAACACTGTCGAGACTATGATCGAGGTTGAAGAGACCCCATTGGACCTCGCACACACAAGAACAATCGCTATGTACCTTCGCAAGTTGGGCCAGAATTACGCTTCGTTTGAGGATAACTCTTGGTTGCAACGAGCTGTGCCTGCTTTCCTATTCGGTATGCTTACAGTGAAGCTGTCTCCCGTGTGGGACGATTCGGTTGAAACTATGAAGCAAATCACACAGACCAAAGCTGGAGAGGAGGCAGTTTGTGAAGTTGCTTTCCGCTGGCTGAAGGTTCCCTCATCTCGATGGGGTGCTTCGCAGCCCGAAACCCACAACAACCGTCGCGCGTTTGTTTCTGACTTCGAGTGCACAAACATACACAGGCTCGAAGAAGCTGCATCCGAGGTTGAGGAGTCTATCGACGGCCCAGATGAGCTGATGCTGCAGAGCTTTGACGACAAGCAGCGAACTGCTGAAACAACTGCTGGTAACTCGAGGTCTCGTGCCCTGAAGGTTTTCAATGCAATCCCCTTCATCGCAGAGAGGAGGTCTCGTCAACTTGTGCCACACTTTCTCGCATGGGCAAGTGAAGACCGAACCCCTGAGTCAGTCGATGGTCAAGGTACTTCTGAGGGAGCCACTTGGTCTCTTGCAGACCGCAAGGCTATGCTCAACGTCTTCTCCCAGTTCATCAACCCTCGAGTCCTCTATCAACACGAGGACGTCTATACTGCGCTTTTGCAGTTGATGGAGAATGGTGACGCTGAGGTTCAGAAGGTCACACTTAAGGCCATCCTTGCCTGGAAGCAGGAGGCTATTAAGACCTATCAAGAAAATTTGGAGTTTCTCCTGGATGAGGCACGATTCAAGAACGAGCTTACGGTCTTCCTTCAGGACGAGACTGCTATCAAGGCAGAGCATAGGGCTGAGTTGATGCCTGTTCTCCTGCGACTGCTTTATGGTCGTACCATCTCCAAGAAGGGTGCAGCAAGCGGACGACATGGCCTCCAAGCCACCAGACTTGCTGTTCTACGAAACCTCAGCGTCGAGGATATGGGCAGCTTCTTGGATATTGCCACTGGCAAGCTGAAGGATGTTAGAGTTGTTGGCGCCTCGAAGAAGATCTTCGAGGAGCCTCTTCTCCCTGTTCGCAAGCAAGTCGGTTTCCTCAACATGATTTCCTCTGTCATCTCCGAGCTGGGCACCAACGCTACACCCTATTTGGAGACCCTCCTCAATGCCGTACTTTACTGTCTTGTCTTCGCCTGCCGACAGCTCAGTGGTCAGGTTACAGAACCAGAGAACGTCCCCGAAGAAGAGGAGGAAAAGGCCAGTACTCAATCTCTCTTGAGGACCATCCGATCCAACGGTCTGAAGTGTTTGATTGCGCTTTTCCAAAACGCTCAGTCTTTCCAGTGGGCTCCTTATCAAGATATCATCCTTGAAGATGTCGTGGTACCAAGACTAGACAATTTGCCTAGCGAGACGACACAGGGAGTTTCTGGTATGCTACAGCTCTTTGCCACTTGGTCTGTACTTCCCAGAATTGCCCTCTTCCTTGCGCCACATGCCAAGGCTCCAGAGGGTGTCCTCCCCAAGATTATTGAATGTTTGTCGGTTCAGAAGGGTAAGGACGAAGTCAAGATTCATGTTCTGGGAATTATTCGCAACTTGATTAAGCTTGCAACTGCGCCTGCGCAGGAGTCCGAGTTCAACGAAGTCATCAAGGCAGAGCTCCTCGACACCAACTCCAAGGCAATCTTGTCACAGATTTCCAATGTTTTGGACATGTCTGGCATCAGCAACGATCTCATGGAAGCTTGCGTGGAGACAATCCTAGCAATGTCGCCTATCGTTGAGGATGCCGCAGACGTCCAGGCTGTGATCAAGATCTCCATCTTCCTCCTCAATCAGCCACCCCGACGAGTCAGCCCCAAGCTCAAGGGTAGAATCTTGCTCATCGTCGAGCAATACGTTGCAGGTTCTAGTGCCTTTGACAACCAGTCACTACTCGACGACGTTTATGACACCATATCGTCTCTGTTCAGCTATTTCAAGGATCGTGAGAACCGACAGTCCCTGTCAAGAGCGCTGCTGGCTATCGCTGGTAAAGACAGCAGTCTTGAAGAGATTGCCGAACTGTGTACTGCTCTCAACTCCTGGAAGGAAGGACGTATCGATGAGCCCGATTACGATACGCGCCTGGCTGCCTACAGTGCAATCTCTGGTGATCGAGAGGTCCCAATGACACCCAAGCAGTGGCTGCCTCTGCTTCACAATCTTGTCTTTCATATTCGAGACGATGCTGAGTTTGGTATCCTTTCTTCCAACTCGGCCGATGGACTGCGCCGATTCATTAGAGATGCAGCAGCTTGCGCGTCTGAAGATTCCAAGGAGAAATTTGACGTCCATCTCCGGGGTGTCATTATGCCTGCGCTTTACGCTGGAGCCCGCGAGCCATCTGACACTTCTCGACGAGAGTATCTTCGAGTGATGGGCCATCTCTTGTCGACTATGCCCGAATGGGAGCCCATTGCTGATCTGAGTGCACTATTGAACGATCGAAATGAAGAGAGTTCTGAGCTCACGTTCTTCTTTAACATTCTCAGCCCCGCGACAGCAAAACAATTAGAGGCCCTGCATATCCTTGAGGCTGCTAACAAGCAGAAGGAAATGGGAAGTCAAAACCTGGCCCAATTCTTCATCCCTCTTCTCGAGCACTTCATCTTTGGTCGTGCCGAAGGAGTTGACGATCATGGCCTTGGAGCGCAAGCCATTATCACCATTGGCAACCTTGCAAGTTCTTTGCACTGGAAGCATTACCGCACCACCCTTCAACGATACATCGGTTACGTTGAGGCCAAGCCTGATCAACAAAAGTTGACGATCCGACTTCTGAGCAAGGTTGCCGATGCACTTGTTGATGCAGCTGAGAATGATAGCGAAGAGCGCATGGAGGTAGATCAGGTTGAGGCCTCGTCCTCCAGTACCACAAGGCTTCCTCTCACGATTCCAAAGGCAGACAAGCTAGGAGTTGAGGTCACCAATCTCTTCTTGCCCACGTTGGTCAAGCATCTTCATGAGAAGGATGAATCAGAAGTCAGTTATCGTGTGCCTGTCGGTGTCATCATTGTCAGACTCTTGAAGCTGTTGCCTTCGGACCAGATGGACCAGAAGCTTGCAGGTGTTTTGACTGATATCAGCCATATTCTTCGCAGCAAGTCCGTGGAGGCACGAGACATGGCTCGAGACACGCTGGTCAAGATTGCTGTTAACTTGGGCCCATCATACTTTGGTTTCATTCTTAAGGAACTACGAGGTGCCTTGACCAGAGGTTACCAACTTCACGTGCTTTCCTACACCATGCACTCTCTTTTGGTTGCCGTTCTCCCCAGCTGCGCCCCCGGCGACTTGAACTACTGCCTTACCTTTATCGTGACAGTTGTCATGGACGATATCTTCGGTGTTATTGGCCAAGAAAAGGACGCCGAGGGATACACCACCCAGACAAAGGAGATCAAGAGCAGCAAAAGTCAAGACTCAATGGAGCTGATAGCCAAGAACGCCTCCATTGGTCGTCTCATTGATTTGGTGACGCCCTTACGAGCGCTCCTAATGCAAAAGGTCGACCTCAAGATGGTTCGCAAGCTTGATACCTTGATGGCTCGTATCACAGCTGGTCTTCTCCAAAACCCTGCCGCTGAAAGCCGTGACACCCTGGTTTTCTGTTATGAAGTCATCCAAGACGTATACAACTCTCAGAAGCCCGAGGTTGAGGAGAAGCTTGATCCTCGAGTCAAGAAGTATCTGGTCCAGAAGGGCGCCAAGAAGAGCGGCGACCGAGGCAAAACAACCAAGCACACATACAAGCTTATTCGCTTTGCGGTCGATATTCTGAGGGCCATCCTGAAGAAGCACGACAGCTTGAGAACTCCTGCCAATATCTCTGGGTTCATCCCCATTCTTGGTGACGCCATGGTTGGTGGAGAGGACGAGGTCAAGATCTCAGCCTTTAAACTCCTTGCCGTCATTGTCAAGGTGCCATTCGTTGATGAGGAGGGACCAAAGCTGTACAAGGTCGCCGTCAGGGAAGCAACCAAAAGCATATCTATGTCAGTCTCTACTACCACTGAGGTGGCACAAGCAGCACTTAAAATGCTTGCCGTTGTCCTGCGGGATCGTCGTGACGTTCCTGTAAAGGATGCCGCGATCGATATGCTTCTTTCCAAGTTGAAGGACGATCTGACTGAGCCCCTCTACCGTCATGTGACATTCAATTTCCTGCGATCAGTACTGGACCGACGTGTCGAAACTGCTTCTGTTTACGACATCATGGATTACGTGGGTACAGTTATGATCACCAATGATGACAAGGATACTCGTGATCTTGCCAGAGGCGCATTCTTCCAGTTTATCCGCGAATACCCTCAGAAAAAGGCCAGATGGGCCAAGCAGATCAACTTTATTGTTGCCAACCTCAAGTACGAGCGAGAGGGTGGTCGTCTGTCTGTCATGGAAATCGTTCATTTGCTCCTCATGAAGTCGTCTGACGATTTTGTTCAAGAGATTTCCTCCACCTGCTTCCTCCCGCTCTTCTTCGTCCTCGCCAACGACGACAGCGAGAAGTGTCGACTCTCAGCTGCAGGCCTTCTTAGAGAAATCTTCCGCAAGGCCGATAAGGAGCGAACTCTAACTTTCCTTGGCCTTGTGCGAACATGGTTGGACCAGGACGGAAATGAGGCTGTGCTCAAGCTTGCTTTCCAGGTTTTCGGGTACTACCTTGAATCTAACGAAAATGCATCAAAGAATAAGAAGGACTTCAAGCTTGTTCTTGAAAAGATCAACGGCGTCATCCAGAATGAGGACATTCGAGAAGTTGACGGAGAGCTTCTGGAGGCAGCTCTGGGAGTTCTTCGTGCTGGTTTGACTGTGTTCCCCGAAAAGATCTTGGCAAGCAGCAGCGAGGAGATGTGGTCTAACATTGTCAGATGCTTGTCTCACCAGGAGACTTCCGTCAAACTATCGTCTATTGGGTTGACCAGCTCTTACTTGGCAGACTTTGCCCAGCAAGCTGGTGATGCGTCCGTTGGCGAGCCAGTAAAGGGCAGCCATGGCCTGATGCTCGATTTGCCAAGGATACAGAACCTCGTCAGGCTGGGGCTGGGCGTCCTGGCAACTAGAGACATTGACGAGAAGCTCGGAGCGGAAGCCGTGCAGGTTCTGGCCTTCTTGGCCCCCCGTCTCCCTGAGGGTGATGGAGAAGAGAAGGAAGACGAGGAAGATCAGGCTGAAGAGACCGACGAAAAGACTGAGCGCAAGACAGACCTCGAGCATATGTTCAGGCAGATCTCTCACGTCATTCGACGAGAAATTCCTCCCAGAGCTGTGGCCATCACACCAAAGGTGGCTGCAATGGAGCTTCTGGAGACTATTTGCCGCAGGTCCTCGCTGGAACGTCTCCGGCCATCGTTCAAAACTATCCTTGTGCCACTTCACAACCTTACTGATCCCTCAATTGCCCCTCCCTTCTCCAACGATGAGCTCTTCAAGACAAAGCATGAAGCTCTCAAGACACGCGCACAGATCCTTATGGATTCTCTGCAGAAGAAGTTCGGTACAGCTGAGTACTCTAAACAGCTGCTTGCGATCAGAGAGGAGGTGAGGAAGAAGCGAGAGGAGCGATCAAGCAAGAGGAAGATCGATGCGATTGTGCAGCCCGAGAAGTATGGACGGGACAAGAGAAAGAAGTTTGAGAAGAACAAGGAGCGCCTCAAGACGCGATCCAAGGAGCAGAAGGTCATGAGGCAGTCGTTCAAGCGATGGTAAGGGGATTGATGATGTTGCATCAACTGGCGTTATGGAATTGTGGCATCAGATAAGATATGTTTTTCCTGGCGTTATCATCTGGATCTAAAGTAAAAGTCATTTGTAGATAAGTATGAGAATAAAACACGGCCGTCTCTTAAGGCTCGTGCGTATTATAATGATTTTTCCTGTCTATTGAGGAGGGTATCCCATCAACGCCAACCAATGCTTCTATTTACACTATCGTACAATGCAGTCTTCTTCAAATCTATCCCGTCCTTCGTTTGCATAGCCGATTAATCCGAGCTTCTCTTGTCCTTTTTCAAGGCCTCTGATTTCAAGGGCACTGGTTGATGCTCCTCATGCCAGAATTCAATATCACCATCCTCGCCCAGGGTGCCCCGCTTGACTAACCGACCCTTCCTCTGTAGAATTTGCTCGATGGTGACTGTCTTATCACCAAATATTTTTAGGTGATCACTGATGACATGTCTATTGCGGCATTCGGGACATGTGATGAGCGTTGACCCCCAGTGGTAGCCCTGTTTGGATACGTTGTGGTGGGAGCGATGGCCGCAGGGAACGCAGGTAAATGATAGTTGATAATGTGAGGCCTTGATATCTGGCCTCTCGCCTTCGCTCTTGGGTTCCTCACCCACTTTCGCCTGCTCAGCCTTTGGTTTGGCGTAGATTGGGGGAGGTGGCCTTGGGATGCTGTGCGTTGCGCGGAAGGGCTGATAGTTTAGGTTTGCGACTGGGTGGGCAAGAGGAGCGCGGAGGAAGGAAGAGTGGCGCTGTGACTGGAAATATAGCTGTCGCATAAATGCAGGAGCGATAGAGGGTGAGCGTGAAGCCATTTTGTGTGGTTTTGGTGGAGTTGGAAGGTGATGGCGATGTCGGAATTGATTTGCAGGAAATGTTTTCAATTAAAGAAAGAAGGGTCTTGGTTGTGAGACGTCATTTGTGGGGCCGGTTGGATGCTGTGGAAGGTTGACGAATCATATCGATCATGTCACTTACACGGTTGACCTTCCTATCATTCTATTTCAGATGCCCTCCGTGCATATCCCGCTGTCAAACAATCATGTATTGCATTATAAATAGAAATTCACTGTTTCTGTCTAGTACATAGGCTTCTATTTGGTCAGGCAACTGGAGGAGCAAAATGTGCACGGCCGATGCGTATCTTTGGCACAAATCCTCGAATGCCTCAACCCTTCAAATAGGCAGGGGCTGCCGGTGTTCCTATTTCTTGGGAAGTTTAATCCAGCTTTCAGGTTCTCAAGTAAGGAAGAACTCATAACATAAGGCCATCGTGCCTTCTTCGACAATCGACCAGTGAAGGTCGTCGTTACCTCCTCTTGATGACCACCAAGCCTTCTTGTAGAAAATGTTATCCCCCCACCCCCGTCATCTGTCATCTGTCATCTCCATCACTCGCTCAACTTCATCAAATTCTTGTTTCTTTGCAGTAGTTCACGCGCTCATTGCTTTCTTTTCATTATCATTCTCAGCTCACACGACCATCTTATCCGACCGAAAGCCTCTCACCACTACCCAAAATGCTTCGTAAACTTATCTTGGCCTCATTGGTCATGCTCTCCTCTGCTTTTCCTCCCTCCCCTCCCCCCAAAGTTTCCTTTGAACAGGATCGCGATATCGCCCTGGCGATCATCAACAAAGCACGACGAGCTGGTGGGCTCCATGATCTCTATTGGGATGAACGCTTGGAAACGGATGCACGACGCTACGTCAGCAAGCTAATCTCCAAATCAACCCCATGGGGTTACTCGAATGCCCAGTCTCCAGTGTCAGGAGAGGCTATATACAAGGAAACTACAGCAACTGATTGCGAAGGGCAATCATTCAAGGCTACTTTCCAAACCGCTGCAGCAGCTTGGCTTCGGAAAGACAACAGCGAGTCCGAAATGGAAGCCACTACCAACTACTGTGAGTCGCCCTAGATTTTGCGATTTGACTGTATCTGACAGTTAGACAGATGCGTGCATGTCACCCACCGCGAGATATGTTGGGTGTGCTAAAGGAGACTTTACAGAAGAGAAAGGATGCACCTTTTACGATGTGTGCGTTTTTGGGTACAGGTAAATTGCTTCTGACAGATTGCGGTAACGAAAGTATCCTCGTTAACATGCACTACAGTATTCCAGCTGTGCCTGGCATCGGCAAAGGACCGTGTCCCAATGATCAAGACAAAGACAAGAAGCAAAAACTTTGGATGCAGACTCCATACAAAGTCATACCTATGCGTTATCTCAACGACGGATATGGGCTTGTTGACCCTCACGACCAAGACTCCTAAAGAACCTATTTTCAGCACCAACCCCGAGCAGGTATCCTTGCAATCAAATGGGATGGTTGATACAGATAAAGTCAGGAGAGGCTGCAAGCAGTGACAGAACAGAGTTAGTATTTAGTTAATTACAGACATTTCCTTATTGTTGAGTTCCTTGATGAAGTAAACAAAGTCAAATATTTATGCCTGATTGCATTCATATCATGTATGTTGACAGCGCCGGCGATAAGATGCTCGGGTATAGGGTAATGTCACTAATATTATGTAATCATCGCGGCCTGTATGGTCCGTGCACTTCACAGCAAACCTGTGGAACGGCGAGCGACGCGATTAAGAAAAAGGTCCCCAGTTCGCGACTCCATCAATCATCAAAGCCTTGAAGCCATCACGACAGGCACGAAACAACCACCTCTCTCACCCCTTTCGGCCACCGCATCTATACGGCTGTTTTCGCGTGAAAGTCACGACCTTAATCAGGAAGTCAGCCACAAAAGGCCCTGAGGCAATAGCGAGAGAAGACTCTTCGCGTGTTGGCGTAGCTCCCTTTTCCACGGCATGAAATGACCACCGGGGTCTTATAACGCACACAATGGAAAGATCAAAGCCCCAGGCATTCCTATCGAGCTATGCGCCGCGACTCCGCGCCTACAACAACTCCCTCCTCACCCCCGTTCTACCAAGCAGCGCGCCCACTGGCCCGGTTTCGAGGACTACCAAACGAGGGACGACCATCATTAATTATGCTGAAGATGGCTATGACGACCTGGAAGACGACAGCGATGACCCGCGTCGACGACCAACAGGACTGCGGAGCTTGCGCAAGGAGGACTCGGCCAGCAGACTAGACCTCGCCGACAAGGTTGGCAAAGATACTAAGGAGCCAGTTGAGGTGCAGGGCGTCTGGCGTGATTGGATAGCTAAGCATAGGTTGCTTAGGAGCGATCAGCAGAATGCCATTCAAGCGACCCTCCCTCTTACTCTGATTCCAATTCGAATCGATTTGGACGTTCCTGCGTTTATCCCCCCAGCTCCGTATCCAACGCCAAACCCTAACACAGTGGATACATCGCTCCCTCAGTACCGTCAGCAGGAGGCGACGGTGCCTTACAAACTTCGAGACATTTTCTGTTGGAACCTTCACGAAACGCTCATCTCTACTGACCAATTTGCCCAAACGCTGGTGCAGGATCTGGATCTGCCAAACCGACAAGCCGCCACTGCTGAAATTAGTAAACAAATTCGAACACAGCTGGAAGAATATTCGGGTGTTGCTCTACATCCTTTGTTCCATAGCGACCAGCAGGCTCCCTCTGCCCCACAACCTACAACGGCCGGATTGACGCCACGACCAAGCTTTGCGCTCAAGTCCCGGGATGATTCTCCGGCCTCTGCCATCCGTGGCACTTCACGGCCTGACACACCAGCGCAGACGGGAGGTGCAGCCACTTCCTCACAAACTCAAGCTCCCGATGTCACGGCAGAGGCGACACCGATACTTCCCGACTCTGATGACTACAACCCCGACGACACCTACCGATGTATCATCAACTTAAGTCTCAATCTAGCATCGATGCTTTACACTGACAAGTTCGAGTGGTCTCTTCTGCACCCTCCTGGTACTGCTGAGGCATTCGCCAAGGTCACTTGTACAGATCTGGGATTAACGGGAGAGTGGATCCCCGCGATGACCCATGCTATATACGAAGCTGTTCTGCGGCTGAAGAAGGAAGCGTGTGAAGCAGGTGGCCTTGTCGCTGGATGGGGTGGTCTGCAGCAGGAGCTGCCAAATGACGCTGCTCACGGTTCAGAGGCTGGTTGGAGATATGAACCGGAGCATCTCGGCGATGACTGGGAGCCCAAGGTGGAATTTCTTAGTAAGGAAGAAATTGAGAAGAGAGAAGGTGACCGCGAACGTGAAGTTCGACGATTGCGCCGTGAGACGGCACGGTTCAGCTCTACAACAGGCATGCTCGGAGGCACACCCTTTGGGGCAGCGATGGAGGTTGAGGAAGAGAGAATGGGACGAGGCGAACGGTCCAAGAAGAAGCGTCGTTTCCGAAGTTTGAGTCCCCTTGGACGAGGTGGTACGCCTGGAGGACGAGGCACGCCTGACGTTGGCGGATATGGCGGTGGCGGCGCCCTGACAGACCAAGAAAGATTCCAGTGGAGATGTATGCACTGCAAGATATGGGGCACAAGCGTTTGGGCTGTCAGGGACGGCCCAGCAGGTCCAAGGGTGAGTCCAGTCTACAAAGATGGGTTGATTGATTCGTTGCTAACTCTACTTAGACTTTGTGTGCCAACTGCGGCTACGTCTACGAGCGTGATCAGAGACTGCCTCGTCAAAGTAAAAACCTCCATTTGGCCGACATTCGTGGAGTTTAGGATCCTTCAGAGGGGCAATACAAACCGGTAGATGCTTCAGACTCTCAGCCCAAGAAACCCGATAACACGCCAAATAAAAGCAACGGACGGACCAGTCGAAAATAGTCCTTTGCGTCTTAAATAACGACATAATGGAATGGGATATGCCCGGTTAACGGAGGAAGAGGATGAGTGGTGGCAAAGCACCAATCTGGCAGTTACTAACACTTAGGAGTCTTCGATTTTGTGAGCAAAAGCTTTTGGGGACGGTGGAATTGGAAGGGATGATTATATGGCGTCTAGGGAGGATTGGGATTCCTCAAGCGGACAATAGTTTTTGTCGTTGATAATTGTTGGACGAAAGGAAGAGAGACGAGAGACAAGAGATAAGAGAGACAGGCGTGGACTTTCGCGATACACATCCTTGTAGATTATATCAATACAGGTGGTGTTTTAAGGGGTGTTGGTGATACCTCTCTGGATACTATTATTATTGCATGAACAAGTTATACTCGGATGATCTTGACCAGGCAGTATAATTTGAATTAATGGATGGTCTAGCATAGGTACTATCAGATCAGGGCAGGGTCAATGTAAATTGGACGTGCAGCTGGTCATCACGTGTGGCGGCTGGACGTGAGATCCAACTACCTTCCCAACTTCAAACTTCCCCAATTCAAAGACAACAACAAACAACCTCATTCTATCGGGAACATGACCGGGAACTGGAGAAACACAAATACATTTCCACCAACGCCAAATCACACGCACTAACCAAAATATGCAAATCACCTTTGCACCCTTGCAACTACATCCCATCGAACCACCCCGCTACGCTTTGGGACAGTACGGAGGAACATGTTCCACGATCTAATCCGTCAGTCAAGGCGAGTCTAGTGGACAACCACAGTTTCACCCCGCACTTCTGAAATGGGTTATCCCATCATCTCCGGGATGCATCGACGTGTGGAGATGACTTCTCACCCACTTGTCTTGACTGTGGAGTATGGAGTATGGACTACAGGCCGGCTTGGCAAGACCACCAAGACGGTTCGAGCCGAAGACGACATGCCCGTTTGACGCAGGGTTTCTGACTCCGGTCCTCTCTGTTGGTTAAACTCCGTGGCTCGAAATGGCATTGTTTACGAACCATAGGCTTTTATTGTCACGTCGAGTGACGGTTAACATTGAAGCCCTACGGTTGCTTGAACTTGAGCTGTTGGACCTGACGGATTGGAAGAACTCACCAAACCAATTACAACACAACTTCAATGCTATACAAACTATAAAGGCACCGTAGCATTGGAGTTCGCTTAGGGAATGCGCTGCTACCGGCTATCACATGAGACCACCAGTCATATAGGAGATTTACCGGTTGCCTGGCAAGGCTTTACACACAGTCGGCAGCAGTATCCTGGTCTATAGTCGGCATATGACAGGGTCCGAGCCATTATCTCGGTCATGATGTATCCGAAACTGCTGAATCTGGACGAAGCATCTGTCCATTGCCTGACCTGGCCATACTATGCCAGGGGTTCAGCTTCTAAGGCCTCCGCAACAAATGGCAGATGACCAACGACTTCTGCTGCTGGACATGAGAATGGGCATACTACGAGCGCATTAACAACTCCAATCTTACACAAGTCCGCTCACGATATCTGCAACCGCCGACTCGTCGAACTTCTTTTAAGCGGCCGGCCTGAATCCCGAAGTACCGTGGGGTCTTTGCAGCAGCACAACTCGCAATACACTCAATGTACGCAACACAAATAACCTAAAATCAACGCTCTGTGAGACATGGATTTCCACGTTAGGGCATAGGGCATGGGCTGCTACGATATACGGACGCAGGAATCAATATTTGGCATATCCAATAGCTCACTGCCCAATAGGAGTAGCTGATGGAACTTGTGGTGCCAATATGTTTTTCACCCCATGAAAGGAATGATATGCAACGACAATATCGCCAGTTGAATTTTGGGCTCTAACCGGAGCAACGGGCCATACAGGCTATGTTCGTTCAAAACCGTTATGGTCATTGCAAAGGACTTCGGTGGGTATTGACAGCAGACCTCCCCATAATGAATTCGGATGAAAGTTGCAGGAGTACTCCATACACGGCAAACCCCATGCTCAAGCAGCGGCAAATAGGGCGCCGTCATGGCTCGCCATCGGGACCAAAATACTGTGGGGTTGGCCTGACCAGCCGGTACGGCTAAGTAGAGTTGACCCCAGACGAAGATCCGCCTGGTCAAGACGGTGGGTTGTTGCTTTCCCTTACTTGTCTTTCCAGGGATGTTTCTTCAGCCACCTCACGATCTCTTTGTAAGTCTCCTTCAGGCTCCGTTACTCTTACGGTTCAAAGATGATGGAAGCGACGGCCCGAAGAGCGGATGGTATCCTGTTTCGTCGTAGTCTTCATGAGAGTGAGGTTCTCCGCAGCAAGGCAAGTCTGAAGAACTCCTATACGCGCTCACTAGTCCGAGGTTTAACTCTCCTCCAATGAGAGATGATAGTAAGTACAGCCTCTTCGGAGGCCAATATTTCTCTTCTTCGGTAACTACGGACCGGCCTCAATGTTCCTATTGTATTGCAGAAACGCATCTCACACTTCCTGTACGCCACTCCTGAGGCTAATACGGAGATCGGCTCAGTCACTTCCTCCCCTGTACGCCCGCCTACCTCATCATGGTTCCCCTCGATATGTCTCCGCCTCGGAGCCATACTCTGCCTGGCCTCGACAAGGATAGTCTTGGAGGCGATATGGAGATCATCGTGCCCTCTCATGTCAAAGGGGTCGCGGCCCGTAACCCGATCTCGGCCTAGAGATTGGAGACTGGAGCCCCATCGGCATCATGGCTTCTCTTCTTGATCATCCCATCTCTATATTGGTTAAGGGCAATAGAAGACGATCTTGGTAGTTCCGGATCATATAGTCTATGCCCCTGATCCAAGTATATAATGAGCTTGGATCCCCAAACCAGATCAACCTCACTCTCACATCACATCCTCTTCAGTCAACTCATCTACCCACCGGTCTAGCTTTTGTTCAAAATGTATCGTGTACTCGCCACCGCTTCGGCGCTCATCGCCACTGTCCGGGCTCAGCAAGTTTGCTCCCTCACCACCGAGAGCAAGCCTGCCTTGACCTGGTCCAAGTGTACTTCCAGCGGATGCACAAATGTCAAGGGTTCCGTCACCATTGACGCCAACTGGCGATGGACTCATCAGACATCAGGATCTACCAACTGCTACACCGGCAACAAGTGGGACACTTCTATCTGCACCAGTGGAAAGACTTGCGCCGAGAAGTGCTGTGTCGATGGTGCTGATTACGCTTCTACCTATGGTATCACCTCCAGCGGCAACCAGCTCAGTCTCTCATTCGTCACAAAGAGTCAGGGTACCAACATTGGTAGTCGTACTTACCTCATGGAGGACGAGAACAACTACCAGATGTTCCAGCTCCTGGGCAACGAATTCACCTTCGATGTTGATGTTTCAAACATTGGCTGTGGTCTGAACGGTGCTCTGTACTTTGTCAGCATGGATGCAGATGGTGGCAAGTCCAAGTACCCCGGCAACAAGGCCGGTGCCAAGTACGGTACCGGTTACTGTGACGCCCAGTGCCCTCGTGATGTCAAGTTCATCAACGGACAGGTAAGTCTTGCGCCTATACTGAGCCCAGGATGAAAGCTAACATGTATTAAAGGCCAACTCTGAAGGTTGGGAGGCTTCCAAGAGCGATGTCAACGGTGGTATCGGTAAATTGGGCACATGCTGCCCTGAGATGGACATCTGGGAGGCCAACTCCATCTCCACTGCCTACACTCCTCACCCTTGCACCAAGCTCACTCAGCACGCTTGTGAAGGTGACTCGTGCGGTGGAACCTACTCCAACGACCGCTATGGCGGAACTTGCGATGCTGATGGCTGTGACTTCAACGCCTACCGTCAGGGCAACAAGACCTTCTACGGTCCCGGATCCGACTTCACTGTCGACACCACCAAGAAGGTCACTGTCGTCACCCAGTTCCACAAGGGCTCCAACGGCCGTCTCTCTGAGATCACTCGTCTCTATGTCCAGAACGGCAACGTCATTGCCAACTCTCAGTCCAAGATTGCTGGAGTTCCCGGAAACTCTCTTACCGCTGACTTCTGCACCAAGCAGAAGAAGGTCTTTGAGGATCCCGATGACTTCGAGAAGAAGGGTGCTTGGGGTGGTATGAGCGATGCTCTCGAGGCTCCTATGGTTCTTGTCATGTCCCTCTGGCACGACGTAAGTGTTCCCAATCCCTAAATCCTTCATATTGCATGATATACTGACTCTTGTTCGTAGCACCACTCCAACATGCTCTGGCTCGACTCTACCTTCCCCACTGATTCTACCAAGCTCGGCTCCCAGCGTGGATCATGCTCTACATCCTCTGGCAAGCCTTCCGACCTTGAGAAGAACGTTCCCAACTCCAAGGTTGCTTTCTCCAACATCAAGTTCGGTGCTATTGGCAGCACTTACAAGAAGGGCTCTGAGACCACCCCCGACCCTCCTACCGAGTCTAACCCCACCAACCCTCCCGTCGGCGGCACTGTTGACCAGTGGGGTCAGTGCGGTGGCTCCAACTACAGCGGCCCCAAGACTTGCAAGTCTCCCTTCACCTGCAAGAAGATCAACGACTTCTACTACCAGTGCCAGTAAATTCGCGGCCGGGCTACGTCATCTGATGACTGAGAAACGATTTGATGAGAGGATAGTCTCCATGAGATTGTCTGGATGAGAGATGGATTTGGTTGCTTGATGTGGAAGGGGACGGTTTTCAGCTTGTGGATGGATTGCTTTGTGCTCTTTTTTGCCCTTCATTCATATCGCACAGTAAAAAAGCGACTTTTACCCCTATTGTATATACTTTGGTAGAAAGATAGCAAAAACTGTCGTTATCACCTCACTTACTATCTCGTCTACTCTTTGCAGTTGTGACCCTGACTGGCTATAATAGCTTAGACAACTGCTCCTACAGGCATCTGTTTTTATGATATCTTGAAATCTAATTTCAGACAGGCTAAAAGATATAGTATAGTCGGTCTTGAATTTGGATAGTCGCGTCGATGAGGATATTGATTTATGTCATTGCTGACTGGCGCCAGCTTAGAATTGACAGCCAATCTATAGTAAAAGATAGACCATAGTGGTAGGCAGTTCAACATTATTCGAACCTGGCTCAAGTTCAGAGGTTAGGATCACTGGTTTATACCCGAGCAAAATAAAGTTATTCAAATATTATAGTATTTCGTTATCCAGGCTTTAGCTATGTATCAATTATCGCCTTCGCCTTTGGACTTGTCCATGAAGATCCTGTCATCTTGTTGTCATAGATCCTTCATAACTCAGATATCAAATAATCACATCAACCTCTTAAACAGATTCGCGCTTCCTCTCGCTCTGCTGAATCTCCGCTCCGTCCTTGAAGTTATGGGTCTCGGCGTGTGAAGCTTCCACGCCGAGCATTTGTGCTCCCTTCTCGGAGTGGTCGGCACCACCGAAGACAGTGTCCATGTGCTCGAGGGAGATACCCTTGGTCTCGGGGACACAGAACCAAACAAAGATGGCGAGGAGGATGTTGACAGCGAAGAAGAAGAAAAGGCACTTAAGACCAGTCTTGGCGAGGAAGGTAGGGAAGAATTGCTGGAAGATGGTGTTGGCCACGTTCTGGCACTGAGAGGCCATACCGACGGCCTGGGTTCGAACGTTGGCTGAGAAGACTTCACTGGTCCACATCCAGACACCAGCACCCCATGAAGGCTTGTAAAAGAAGCTGTGAAAAACGGGTCAGTTCTGATCGGAAGAATCTAAAAAGGAGCAAAACAACTTACATGAAGAGGTATAGCATGACGACGATACCAATAGCAGAAGGTTCTGTCTTTGGGTCCGGTGTAGCGAGACCAATGACAGGCACAATCAGCATGCAAACAGCCATACCAATGGCACCAACCATGAAGAGCCAGCGGCGACCGAAGCGATCGGCAGTCCAGACGGCGTTCAGAGTGAAAAGAATACCCATAGTAGCCCACAGAGCGTTGATGAGGTTGATCTTCTCAGTTGAGGTCCAAACCTGCTTGTAGATGGAGGTAGAGTATGTGTTGAGGGTACCTTGGCCAGTGAGTTGTTGACCAACGTTGAGAACGACGGCGATTCCGAAACGCTTCCTGATAGAAGGATCCTTGAAGAGAGCGCGGTATCCGGGGCTGATGGCTTCCTTCTCGTACTCGATGGCAGCCTGGATTCCCAAGACCTCTTCATCAACCTCCTCCTGGGTCTCGCGAATACGGCGAAGAGCGGCTCGGGCTTCATCAACTTTGCCCTTCTTGATGAGGAAACGGGGAGACTCAGGCTGGAACGGAAGCAGGATAATGACGAAGGTAGGGACGAGGACCTGGAAGATAACAACCATGCGCCAGTCCCATTCACCAAGCTTCTCTCGGTTCTTTCCGCAAGCAAAGTTAATCCAGTAGGCGATGAAAGCACCGACTGAGTAGAACATCTGCCAGAAGGTCATGACCTGACCTCGAATCTCGGCGGGAGAGATTTCACCGATGTAAACAGGGCCGGCAGCTGAGGAGTGTTAATGTCTAGGCGGGAATGCTGTCGATAGTAGATGACTTACTGAGAGCGGTACCCTGACCAATACCAATGAGGACACGGCCAACAATGAAGACTCCAAGCTTTCCCTTGGGTGCAAATGCCTGAATAATAGCGGCGATGATGGTGATGAAGCATCCAATTCCCATACCAGCACGTCGTCCAAGCCAATCAGCCTATATTGTTGCAATGAGTACACCACTCGTATCGTTATTAAGTTCGTATAGAACGTACCAAAGGACCACCAATGAAGAAACCACTGACGATGGCACCGATGGTGTAGCAAGTGTTGATAAGACCGACAGTGTAACTGTCCTCCTTGAGGTCGAGATTGAACCAGTTGAGCCAGTTGTCCGACGCTTGAAGAGCCTAAAAAACACAAAGTTAGTCATGGTATACTAGAAAATCAATTTCGATGCTTTGGGACATACGTTGAAAACACTGGAGTCAAAGCCGTAGAGCGTCATACAAGACGCTGCTACCATGGCAATGTACCAGTTGTAGATTCTGGTCTTGCTAGGCATTTTGGCGGTTTTCGGTTTTGCTCCTGCCTATGTGTGGATGTTGCTCGAGGGTTCTCGACGATCTAGTTAAAAATCACGAGACCCAGGAAGCAAGAGAAGGAGGATATAATGAAAAGAAGACAAAGTGTGGAGAGGAAAGAGAGGAAAGATTGATGCTTCCTTGGACTTCTTTTATCTGTGAGTCGAGGAAGGAACCCCCGACCCAAGTCTAGATTCATCTTGCCCCCGTCGCCCTAGACCCCAGACTATCTACTCTCTACAATACCAGGAAACCCCAGACCCAAACCCCAGATGGCAGTTACGGCTACTATTGTGTTGATGGATTCGCGGGAACACGCGCCTTCCCCACTACCCTAAGTGTTCAATAAAGGCTTAGCTTGTCAGACTAAATGGCAGGCGATTCCTTATTCTTGCCCTTGCCTCTTGTAAGTTCATACAAAGTTCCTGTGGGTTTACGGATAGAGTAGGAAGGGATCACTCGTTACTGCAGTTTCTCCTGCGACCTTATCTTGGCCATTGATAGGGATTAACTTGTCCCCAGCCATGAGATCACTTTCAGCAGGTGATTGACGTTACAGTTATATGTAATTAGGTGCTTATCCTGACGTTAATATTGCTCGCTTAACTGTCGAAACACGAAAGGTAGTATCCATTTCACTGCTCTGTCAGTTCAACGAGAATAGACCGACGGTTACAGTAGCCCAAACCCCCGCAAACTTAGCCTTAGATATCCAATCGCCCCAAGATCGCAACCCCCAAAGTTATCTCTCCTCCCCCACGATCTAAAAGACCCAAGAATTCCATCTATTATATCGAAGAAAAGACAAGAGATGGCACTACGCGGTGCCGAGTTCCGTGTGCCCCTTGGCGTCTACTGTCTAAACCCCTGCCGACTCCTCCACCAGCTCGGCGCCTGCTGCCAGTTTTGGGGTGGGGAATGGGGGGAAGTGCATTCTGCGGCTGATGATAACCGTATCGTACCAGGTGAACAGGGGAAACAAGTTAGACGATTGGTGGAATTTCTAGATGCTTCAATTTATCCGTCCAGCTGCGCAGTCTGTAGTTATAATTTAGCTCTGCCCGTGCTAGACCCGCTAACAAGCCATGGATGCTTCTCCACCTCCACGATTTTCCCTTTCACCCCGTGCGGAGTAGACCGCTTCATCTCGGTTCCCCGCATCGTCATTTTATCTCTGCTGTCTCAAGATTCAAGGTATGGAGATGGAAACGTTCGAATTTGGGGAAAGAAAAAGAAAGAAAACACCAAAGCTTGCCATTACTCTACAGTTCTGTTGACCTGCGACGTTGGCATCCACCATGTGACGGTTCCATTTGGCAGCATTGAACCCATATTAGACTACCTACCGTGCTTACTCCTACCCCAAAACACAAGGGTCCTCCAAATTACATTAAGAGCCATTTCACATGGCCAGCCACTCCTTGGTCAAGGCTGATGACACTTCGCGAATGACTTCCTTCATTCGCAACGAGCACGACCACCCCAAACATTGAACCATAAAGCTTCAGCTCTGAGCTCAGCCAAGACTTGGCTTCCCTTCTCCGGCCCGACCCCACCCTCTCGAGTGCTGTCATATTTTATCTCGACCTGTCGGCTTAAATCAAATAACACACTATGCCATAATTTAGAATGCCAAGGTCGATCCATTCGATGTATCAACCTCCTCCACTCACAGCAGCTCGTTGAAAGGCCAACTGCCAAATGTAGACAATACCGATCTAGTGTTGTAGTTAGGTAGAATGTAGTCGCCATACCGCCCTTATTTCTACTTGTGTCAAGCCTACTTCAGATGAGTTCATGAACGGTACGAGTATAAAAAAAAGTTCCAGTGCAATAGGGTAACAGCCGTCACCAAATCTAATACCACAAGGTGTCCAGCTTCCAATCGCACCAATGAACACCAAATGATTCGTCACATACCATCTACTGTTAATCCCTGCACCCTCCTCATAGGCTACTGTCAGAAGCCCTCTCCAGTTCCCCTACTGCCATGTTGGCTTCTTGTTTTCTACAATTCACCAGGCAAGCACATCTCAGTACAGATGCACCTTGCTATTACACAGGACATCAAAAATGTGTCCCACATTAAGCCTGTCGACCACAGCCTGGTCTTGATCCTGATCCTGAGTGTACCGTCAGACCATGCAATTGAACATTGTCCACTCAAAACCTTCCTCTACCTTCCCAAAAGTCATGCCCCGGGCCTCATTGTGGTGGAAGCCCGCCACGCATCATGTGTGCAACATCAACTCCTGGCCATTGCATCTCCTGAGGCTGCTGTGAGCTTTGCATCTGGAAACCAGCCTGACTCTGGGGTGGTATACCTCTGTTCTGATACTGCGATTGATACTGTCCTCTAGCGGTATCGCGCATTTGTCTTCTCCCTGACAGACGCTCTACCACCTCATGCGAGATCATACCGAAGTTTTCTCTCAAATGCGAAGCGTCTGCCCAGCGCTCTCCAAAGGTGTTCAAAGTTTGCGAGACTTTATCCAAGCACTTCAGACTTCTGTCAAGGTTGTCTTCTCCATTGATCCCTTGGGGCTGTAATCGCCTCGGAAGTGGAGGGGGAGGGGCGGCACCGGGACGTGGGATCGGAATTGGGACTGGCATTCCTGAAAGAAGCATTTCTTCGGCGTCCCGTAGAACCGCGAGGAATTGGTTCGCCATGAAATAAACTCTCATGACGTCGTGGTATGTATAGAATCCCGAACCATGAGCGTTGTTAGCCATATCATGGGCAGTGTCGAGATAAGCCATGGAGTGCTCGAAAATCAAGATGCGGTTATAATCAGTCATGCTGGGCGCCCTGGCTGAGGGCGCGATGCAGTAAACATAACTATACCTTAACTCCTGCTCAAACAATTGCCGGATTTCAGGAGCCAGATCATTAGGGAGAGTATCCTGCCATTCCCGCATGTCGAGACACATTTTCCAGATATAGGAAATTGGATCTTGCAGTGGGACTGACCCAGACTGATATAATTCTTGGTACCAATGCGATTGTGCTCGCCTAAGCTGAAACAGTAGCAGGGCAGGGTCGGCTGGCTGAGGTCTAGAAAGCGCATCCAAGGTCGATCCTGACTTCGCATTGCTAGATGCTTGAGGAAACGCAACATTAACAGTATCATCAGTGAACGAGAACGTTCTGGCATATACCATGCTAATTGCACTATATATATGTATTAGTATGCCGAACGTTTCATAATGAAGAACGCAGAGGAAAGAGGGGGAAGAGCTTACCGATCGAGGGCGTAAACGCAATAGAAGATCTTGCGCCGCATATTTAGGGCGGATTTATCAGACACAGAAGATAAGGGAGGGTCCTGATGGAGACCCAAGTCAACAATTGCACGAGCTGTGAACCCAATCGAATGCCAGCTATCAAAATGGGCAGGATCCAGCATAGCATATTGTGTGAGAAGTATTAGTGACTGTATTTGTGTCACATGTCCCGGGGCAAGTGCTTCATCAGCGTGGTTCATGGCTCTCGCGGCATATTCAAGGCCATCTAGGTAGTAACTGTCCTGGCTACGTCTACTTTGGGATGTAGAGCCAATGGCGAGAACCATGTACACGAGCCAGTAATCCGAGTCTTTGATGGTCCGGGTATCTTCCTGGTAAAGGTCATCCAGAGCTGTTAGAAGGGCAGTCTCTGAAAAAGATGGGAACAGTGAGTAGATATTGTCCATATAGTGTTGGACAAGCGCATGCGCAGTTGGTCTTGGAGGCAGGCGGGCTTGAAGAGACTCTGGAAGAGCATCATTGGTAGTTGCCGCCAACACCAATCTCGCAAATGTCATGTTCGTTGATGTGGGCTCAAAGTCTCGCGTTGTAGCATTAACAGATCTAATGAGATATGTTAGATAGGAAGGTACGATCCAGTTATTAGACAGAATACTGACAGGAATCCAAAGTCAGAGACAAGGGAGTTGACATCCAACGTTTCTCTCTTATGGGCAGCCTTGCGATAGATAGCAGCACGTATAAGTGCAAGTGAGTCTCTGCGATCCATCTGCTGCACATTAAAAGCCGATGCGTCGTTATCATGCATGGCAACTGACGCCTTGCGTGACTTGGCATACTGAAGTCTCTTTTCGAGCTTTTCTATCCGTAATTCCAGGGCAGCGACGTAGCTGGATACGCGTTAGAGCAAGCTGCAAATTTATATGACAAGCAAGTCATTTACCTTCGTTCTTTTCCTCGAGCAAACTGGTCGTTAGCCGCTGAGCATTCGTTTGCTCGGCCAGCCTTTTCACAAGCCGTGCAGGCAGGCAGCTTGCCATCACACTAGACACTGTTAACCTATGTTCCTAAGCATTCAAGATTAAGTTTGCTCACTTTGACTTTTGCAGCGCGACCTTGAGACGAAATGAGTCAGCATTCTGAGGATCTTTTGAACATATTGGGCTCAGCACTTACACCGGGAACAGGCTGATACAGGCCGGGAAACCCTGAGTAGAGGGTTGTGGGAGAAACTTGGACGGGGCATCTTGAAGTATAATACTGGCTGTGTTATCTTCTAGGCCTGGCAAAAGTCCTATTGGACTGGTGTTATGCAAAGTCCGATCAGTGGAAAGCGACAGCCGCAACAACTAAATCGTGATAAGAGATGGCAATTGATGGAATAAGTCTGGGGTGACTGTCGGAATGTCGTCAAATTTCTCCACTCGGAAGCGGGACACTCGAGATCACAAGGATCAGGCTGACTGGCAGACGAGGGTAGATGACGGCCAATCGGTTGGTTTTGAATCTCAGCTATTTGTCTCCAGCAATATGAAGAAATTGCAGCTCAACGCTTGGGGCTTCTAGCAGCCTTGTCTGTGACTCGAAACACAGTCAAAAAGGGGCTTGGGAAATGGGTGAGGGCCTGGTGCGGGCAGTCAATCCACTGTGTCGTGGCGTCGTTCGTTGGTTCGAGTTCTGAGTGGACGGTTGCGGGACAATCATCAAACAAAGGAATGATAGTCGCGGACTCGGTACGTCAAGTATTTGTATGCTTGGCCGAATTCAGCTTCAAACCAATAGCAATGAGGGCGGGTTCAGATGATGGAAAAGAAGAACGAAATCGCAATAACGAAACAAAGGGTATTTGAGTCACACAACAAAAGCAAAGTGCTGTTGTAGTTTCTCGCTGATGAGGTTCAATCGTATCCTTCAAGCAGGCTGTTGCGCGGGGTGGGGCCGATGGCGTAGGGAGGGCAGATGAAAGCCCTCTATGTATGAACTGAGGCACGGACGATGCAGGTGTAGATACGAAAGTAGGCAGACGCAGAGTGGCTTAGCTAAATCGTATTTCCTATCGAAACTGATGTTGGAGCTGAAGTTGTACCCAGTATCTGTATTGGGGAGGGAGATAAGGTGAGCCTCGATGATGGGATGAGCAAGTCAGGTAAGCTCCAAGGTAGAAGGTGGTAGCTCAGGCAGGTACCACCTACCTCTAGCCGCGCAACTGCCTCGGTTGACTACCTATGGATACGGCAGTAAACTCTATTCGACATCTATATCAATCATCTTCTACTCACATTGTAGTAGTGCTATGGCAACATCCATGCGATCTATTGCAAGCTTAAAATCAACCATATCAACACCAAACTTCGTTGTAGAAGGCTAAAGTGAAATCATGCGTCGGTACTTCTACTACTTACTGTTAGACGGAAGGAAGCAAGGGGACTTGCTAGACCGCAATATGTAGGTACAGACGGAGGCTCCGGGCCTCTCTCCCCGATGCACGTCAACTTAATACTTTAAATACGGCCGAAAACCCAATGTACTGTACCTGTGTTAGTACTTTGCGTGCAGAACAGCGCCAGCTTTACTCTACCTAGTCTCAGTATATGAATGACAGCCTCTAAGGTATCCTTGGCTGGTGTCAAGCTACGATTCGGATCTAGTACCCGCGGGAAGGAATACCTGACAGGGGATGCTTAGCTATCAGACCCTGGAACTAATCACTATATCAGGACAGGGCATGTTCATTTCGATTCTCAGATACAGCAATTAGCAAGCCAACGACCTAGGTAGGTATACCATCTCGAAGCTTATTAAACGCCATCGATGGAAGTACTTGCTAAAATCATATTTATCTGCAGTGGTGCAAGCCTGACTTCACGTGGGAAGCCTTTTCGATACATGATGAAAACGGTAAAGTACCTAATCACCATACCAGCAAGTCACCGTAGTCTGAAGCCTCCATCGGTTCCGTCTGGTACTCGCTATCGAGTCAACAGATTCAACAATGAAATGGCATTCATGGCTCAATGTCTGCCCTTGGAGTTTCGGTATATTCTTGTGATCCGTGACAGATGGATGAATCTGTAAAAAGAGAACTGAGAGTAGCCTCTTGAGATACTCATGAACTTGAGAGTATGTAAGATTTACGACTCCTGTAGCGAATGGTATATGGGCATGTTCCAAGTCATTCGCAGTGACCTGTCCCTTCTACCTTGGTCAAAGTAATGGATTCTTGAAAGTGAGTATATGCGGATAGACCGAGGAGTCTGTACAGTACCTGTCCAAGCCTGTCACCCAGAGATATACGCTAGAAAAGTTTAGACTAGACCGTGCAAGGTAGACCCCAATTTTTCATCCAACCTCTTTCTGAAGCTTAGCAGATGCCCTGAATCAATGAAACTGTGGATGAAACAGCCGGCCAACCACCAGTGTGCAACGTAATAGTACCCGACAGTAAGTGACCGAAAACTCAGGGACTTTAGTAGTGGTATCCATCTGTCATGAGAGGTGTAGAACTCTACCTGGTTCAAGCGATTAAAAAGGTCAAAATGATAAATAAACAGACCATGGTCTAGACCAGAAATAAATTAGCAGTAGTAAAGAATTTCTCTTGCAATTTCCATTGTTGTCCCCGCTCATCTCTCACCTCGGTCAACCTAGCTGACTAGGTACAGTACCTACTATCCAATTCTATATACGCTGGACTGCCTACGGCAATGGTGATGCGACGACATACCTGACCCTGTAGTCCACCGCTTTCGACAGATCAAGATCAAAAAGTGCGGAGTCAGTCATTTAGTTAACCATTTCTCAGGGTCTCACTAATCGTTTAGCAGCGAGCATCGACCTCTATTGTTTCTGTTCCCCTTTCACTAAGAACCCAGTCTCCCCGCTACCTACCACCTCATAGACAGACAGTGAGCCAATCATCAGCTCCCGTTGCCTGACCTTTACCGTCAGGTCCTTGTCTGGTTGCGCCTGGCCTGAGCTGGTTTCTATTGCCTTGAGGCTTGCCCCTCCTTTCCTCGCTAAACTGGAGCCTGCTGTACCTTGCTGTTTGACGTACATCCATCCATCCCATCCCATCTACGGTATACACAACCAACCAACCGCTTTATCTGTGGTTCCCAATAACTCTTACACCATAGTCATCTCACGACATCCGGGTGATATTCTTTTGCCTTCCGCCCACGCATCTATTCATCACGCTGCATCGACAAACCAACTAGCCACTCAGATCTGTTATTCGAGTTCATCGTCATCGGTTTCGCTTCTTCCCACGACCCCGTCCCGTCCTTGTGCCCTGCTCCCGCTCCCTGTGCTTGTGACCGTGCCTCTTTGCGCACCGGCTTCACGACATCGATAATATCGGACATCGGATGCCTGCGCGCAATCACATTCAAACCGTCTTATAGGCGATTCCGCCAACGCGCCCAATGGATCCAGCGGAAATCTTTCGACAGTTTGGCCATGTTGCACCACGCCAAAATCCTGTCTACATGGGCCATCAGCAACCTATGGTTCAGTACCAACCGCAAATGCAACAACAGACGTTCAGAAAACCGATGCAGCAGCCCGAAGAAACCTCGGATGGAGACGGTTCGAGCCACCGCATTGCTCACACTCTGACAGCTTGCTGCCGTTGCCGACAGGTACCCACGCACCCGTTTTGCGGTAACTTAAAAAGGTTGAGTATCATGCTAACATATTTTTGCGCAGAGGAAAACGCGATGCGATCCGACCTTACCCCGATGTCTGCCCTGTGAAAGATCAGGGTCTACATGCGAATACCTAGATGCGGCCAAGGGTCGCAAAATTAACCGTCAGTATGTCATTAGGTTACAAGACAAAGTCAGACAGCTTGAAGCGGAGCTCAGCCAATTCACCGACGATGAGAGCGACTACCCCAAGAGTAACGAGGATATGGTGCGGCCAGGCGGCCTGGTTCGCCTCAATGGCGGTGACGAGACCCATCGATATCTGGGGCCCAGTAGCGGAATTGCCATGACACGCCTTGTCATGGAGCAAGCGAAGCGATACACGGATTCAAAGCGCATCTCCGATCTTATCCCCAGCGTTCGTACCAGGCAGGCTCGCATGCAGTCCATTCAGGTGACTGGACCTGGGGCTAGGCGTAAGAGCTTCCCAATGGTCAGCCAGCACCCAGCTGAAAGCCTGCCAACAAGACCTGTAGCAGACAAGTTGTTAGAGATATTCAACCAAAAAGGTAAACTCACACGAACTGCATGACCAGTGACCGTCAAATGCTAACACATAGCAGCTCAACTCTTCTGGCCTGTTCTGCATGAAAAAGACCTTCTGCAGGATCTTGATGCAGTCTATAATGGCGACACCGATCCATACCGACTATTCATCATCAGGATGCTCGTGGCCATTAGCTTACAAAAGCTAGACACGCAGTATGCTGGTCTAGCAGATAGTTATTATTTGGCGGCAATGCAATTGTTCGAAGATGTCGTTCGCCCAAAAGACCTCAAGACATTGCAATGCCTTGTCCTTCTTGGACAGTACTCCCTTCTCACCCCTACGAGGATGCCAGTTTACTACGTAATAGGACTGGCAGCCAGAATATGCCAACAGGAAGGCTTGGCTAACGAGAAAACCATATTTGGTTACGAGCTGGATTCAAAAACAATCGATATGCGACGACGAATCATATGGACTGTCGCCGCCATGGAATATGGTTTAGCGCACAGCATGGGAAGACCCAATAATTTTGCAACAGGAGACGATCGACTCGATGTCGAATTCTTTGAGACCGTCGATGATGAGAACATCACTGACCAGGGTATTCAGCCTGGCCCGCCCAGTGAGCGTAAGCTGGTCGCTATACATTTTTACAAGATGAGAATGTGCCAAGCAGAAATCCGAAGAGTATTGTACGAGAAGAAAAAGGATGAGCCAAAGAACGACGCGCATCCTTGGTATGCGAGAGTTGAAAACATGAACAAAGAATGGCTGGATGCATCGCCCACAAGCCCTGAATGGTGCAAACCTTGGTATGATTCCCGTACATGCGCATTGCCCAATCCTAACATACTTAATAGGTTTACCGGCCGATATCATCAAATGAGAATATTCATGTACCGGCCTTCTCCACAGGTGCCTAAGCCGTCGCCTCGTGCCGCTACCGTTTGTTTTGAAAGCTCAGCATACATCATTCAGTTGAATTCCAAACAGATGGACAGTGGTGCGGACATCACTTGGGTCTTTCTTCTCACAGTGAACATGTCTCTTAATACTCTTCTGTGGGCTGTCTCGTATCCAGAGGTACGACAAGCGCACCCTCGTAATGAGGTCGAGGGCCTCATCAACACTTCCCTGGATGTTCTGGAGCGCTGTGCAGAGCGATGGCCAGGATCGGCTTCAGCCTCACAGCTGTACTCCATCTTCTCCAAAGCATGTCTGCAAGGTTATGATGAGCGTCCTATGACGGGACAAACAGCTAACTTCTTCGCCACACCCCCGTCTTTCGCGGATCCCAACTCCCCAGAAGCCTTCCAGAACAGTGTCCAGCAAGCTCCATATCAGAATGCACCCCAGTTCAACCAAATCTTCAACTCACCACCAGAGGCCATGAACGCTTACCCCTTCGATCCCAACTTTCCTCCGCCTCAGCCTAGTTTCAGGTCCAACTCGATCTTCTTCAACCCTGCTAGCAATGAGCCTACAGGTCGCAGATTTTCGTATTTCCCTCCAGACTTTATGCAACCTGGTGAGACAATGATGGACGATCCGACACCGCCAGCTACTACGACTCCCGAGCAACACATGACCTCACCCCCAGACCATCTTTCTGAGCAATTGCCAACACCTCCTGATTCCGTGCCCACTGGCAATATGGCGACACCGACCCCTAGTAATGCACTGTCACCTCCAAACACTATAACGGCACATCCGACACCCATCATGCAAAATGCGTCACCGAATGGGGTTTCAATGGTGCCTGTACAGAACAATATGTCTCCTCCTATTAAGATCGAGCCATCTCAGCGAGGCCCTACATTTGCCATACCGCCGAACCCCCAGCACGCGTCTCAACAACGGCCCCTGCCTACACCAAGCGGTATCAACGACTGGTTCTCACCACCGGCACCATTTATCTCTCCATTCGCGTTCAATAATATGAGCAACAGCTTTTTCAACGATTCTTTGGCTAATCCTGGGAATTTTGGCGACATGTCAAATTCTGGTCTTGGGTTACAGAATGTCCCAGGTGGGAACGCCCCGATTCCTCAATTCGATTACGGCTTTGCTCGTCACGGTAGCCTAACGCAGTCTCAACAACTCGAACTGATGACTGTGCTGGAGACGGAGGGCATGAGCGACATCGATGCTTTCCTGAACGGAGGGGCGATGCCAAACAACAGATGGTACTAAGCAGTTTAGGAATTAAGACAAGATGGATTGGCGCCACTGATAGGTATGAGTGTACTAAATAGCATGGATGGAGTTTTGTTTTAAGGGTATCTGTAGCATTAGACCCTGTCTGCTCAAGAACAGTGATAGAACGAATTATTGGCATTCATTCGTAATCTATTATTTATATAATGCTCCGTGTTGTGACACGCTCCGCTATTGGGCCTATGATATGAATCCCCAACCAGAGATCATCCAGATATACTGCATACGCTTGATAACTATACTGGGAAGACAATTAGTGAGCTACTTGCACTGCCATGAATACGCTGCACGCAATACCGGATCACTCAGGAATGGTGTTACGTTCCCGCCGCTGCATCATCTTTGAGACTCATTTTCTCTGCAGAAGCAGCCAATGTATCTAATTTGCCTTCGGGCCTCTTGGTCCGCTTCTTGCGCCTTGTAGTACCCGTGACAACGGGTGCTTCGCAAACCCACTGCGCGATAAGTGTAGCCCTCGCAGTACAAACAGGGTACTCTTTGCTGTCGTCGATAACCCATCGCTTCGGGTGTGCGTCGGGGTTAGATGCACCGTCAGGCGAGACCTCGCTGGCAGCGGCGGCGGCAGCTGCTGCACGATCTTCTTGTTCTGCGCGTTTCTCTTGGGCCTCGATAGCTGCGCGAAATGTATCCTCATCGCAGACTCTCTGGTCGCTGAGAGCAACACGGACTCGCTGGTCACGTTCGCGCATACGAAGTCGGCGCTGTTCTTCAGCACTTGGCACAGATTTGCCAGCGTTGGAGCCCCCATTGATCAAAGATGCGGCGGCGGCAGCGGCCTCCTTGCGAGAGGCGCCGGTGTGCATGTTCGCTGCGCCAGGTGGCAGGGTATCGTAGTGAGGGAGTGGTGCGGGCGCACAGAGAGTGTCCCATGATGCACTAAGCTGGAGCCAGCTGTCGTCGGCGCGACGGAGGACTTCTAACCAGTCAGACCGGGCTGGGGAGCGACTCGCTTGAAATATCGGATACCCATCAGCCAGGCGAATCAAACGTGCCGCCATATAGGTGTGGCGCTGTACCTCCTTCGCTGAAGTCTGGATGAGACAATGACAAAGGAGGAGTGAATGAAGGGCATCAGTTATCAGGGGGTGGTAAGTCAACAACTCGCATGTTGTCGGGGGATCTGGCAACTGAGTTTGTCGGTTGGGGCTTATGACCTCCTCATTGGGGTAAGGAGGCAGATCTGATGGGGGAACAGCAGCGAAGAGCTCGGCGAGGTTGTAGGTGGTGTGCGGTTCGAGGAGGTATGTCGCTTCCGATGGCCGAGGATTGCGCGCACCTTGCGCGGATAGGTTCACACGGTCATTGAAGTCCTTTGCGATTAAGTTTGGCAGGTTGGGCGCATACTCGAAATGTGAGAGGTAGGTGAGTAAATCCCGGAGCGCCCACTTTGCGTATTTCTTGACAAGCTTCCGCGCCTCGGTCTGTTTAAGGAGAGAGTTTTCGTCGTGCTTCTGTGATTCCTGACCATCGGATTCTGCATCCACTTTGCCATTCGACTTGGCTGAATCCACATGACCATTCTGTTCCTGGTTCGGAGTGAGGCCGTGCTCAATGTGTTGACATGCTAGAGACAAGTACGTTGTGGCACGCAAGAAGGACAGCTGGATTTCTAAGCTACTCGGTTGATCTTTCTCAGCTGGGGCAACCTCTTGGCGCCATCGTTTTCCTGTCTGCAACTGCTGTGACTTGACCTCCTCACTTGGTCGGTGCGGTTGTTGATGTATTCGACATACGGCGAGGGCGGTTGTCAGGTCTTGTGCAGCACCTTCATAGTCTTCCTTGAAGGTCCTGACGATGGCGCGAGTGCGCAGGGCCTCACTTTCGTTGGGTCTCTCAGCTATGATCTCGGTCAAGGGCTGTAGGCTGGTGGACTCGGCCAACTGGCGTGAGGGTATCTTCTCATGGAAAAAATGTACATATTTAGCATCGGGATCTTGTGGGTTGCGCTGCAATACCACGGCACCAATTTCCTCTATCGTTGATGCGCCCTGCATTGTCGCAACACTGCAAGCGATTTCGTCTAGATGGTATGCGCGACTAAGCTTCTGACTTGCCTGCTCTCTCATCTGCGACTTGCGCTTATGACTCAATTTCATCCCATGCCCTGGACCTGTCATGCCCAGCGCAGACATGGACCCTGACCCGGGCAAACCACCATGTACGTTGGTCAACACTGGTGAGGCAATGTCACTAGCAGCTCTCACAGCGAGATTTGTGGCTTCGTCAACAAGACGGCGGATCTTGAGCAGATCGAACAGGACGGCTGGGTCGATTGGACGAGGTCGTGGGGTGTTGTAGTTGATGTTTGCGATTGTTTCGAGGATCTCGATAGGCATCTGCAGCCAGGGTCCATGGTAGGAAGAAATGTATCGCCAATGCCTAGGTAAAGTTGAGCGTCAACGGCGTGCACCCAACAAATCACAAATGGCAGCTTATTGAGCAGACCTGACAGCGTCAAGATTTCAATGGACCTACTTGTTCCGGCAAATGTTGAGTGTCTGCGAAGAAGAAGCTGAGGACGTTTCCTTAGAGGCCTTTGATTTCTTCTTCTGAACTCCATTTGCGCTTGAATTTGTGGTCGTGGTGCTGGAAGGCTGTGTCTGGGTCTGCGAAACTTGATCGGGAGTCGTATCCTGCCCCTCAGCAGCAGCAGCTTGCTTGCTCTTTTTCTTTGCCATTGTTGCGATCAAAACAATAGCATGAATACTATAGACAGAAGTAGGTCAATTCGTATGCGGCATGCAATTGTAGAGGGCTCTCAATTGTCGTGCGCAGGCCGCATGCGTAGAAAAGATCAAGGGTGTGCGCTGGAATTGACGACGTGGGGTATGGGTAGAGAATCTAGTCGCGATGATTTCATGAGGGACGAGATGAGATGGAAGAAGAGAGAGAAAAGTAGAAGTGCTAGTGGATTTGATAGTATACGAAGAAAAAGAGACGATATAGTGAATATCCTGGCTGACGATGAAATTATATCACTTTTTTCTTTTTCTTTTGCACTGATTGTACTTTTGGGGTTGTGAATGTCCGCCGATAATTGTCGCTGTCTCTTTCTGTGAAGTTGCTATGATGGAAAATCACGTGAAGGCACTTGAGATAGATTCCATTCCATGATAAGGAAGGTCAGTCGTCAATGACAATAAGCGAAGTGTAACTAGTAGCGTCAACTACCTGTAAGAACATGGTCATTGGAAGTCCTTTGATACGTTACATGACAAAGAAACTCATCAACTGTAACTTTGTGTTTAATCCATAAATTGATAGCATCGTTTGCTGTGGTGAAATATTAATTACTGGACTTGAAAGACGATATCCATATACAACCCCTACGTGTTTAACCCATGTATATAAGTGCAGCAGTATACATGATCTCAAACACTCCCGACCCAATTACCAAGATGTCTCAAATCTCACCCATTTTAGCTAACTAAACTCTCCATGTCGGACACGTTTCGCATCATATAGGGAAACGTCTCTCTTATTGGCAATTCATTTGACGTTCCCAATAATAATGGAATGGCAGCTTTTTTAAAGATGAACTCGCTTTGAAGGAATGAGACAAAAGCCTCTATATCTCGCTTGGTAGTCATGGCACCTAGACTCGCGCGGACAATACTATATGTGTTAGCAGTCGATGCTTCGATTTCGTCTGAGTGGAACTTACCCAGTCGGTTTATTGTGTATAACCGCCTGTTCACTTGAACCACAGGCGTGGCCACTTGAGAAGATGCGATCCCACTCCCATTCTTCGTACTTCAAAGCTCGAGATACTCCCCCAGGACAACAAACGCCTTGAAAATACAATGTTAGCGGTTGTCATCAAGGCTAATTCAGTGTGCTTACCTCCTGCTCGGATATATACCCCGGCATTATTGGCGAGTCTTTCTACCTCCGTCCAAGGTACGTAAGATCCATCCTCCCTCGTGATATTGAAAGCAAAAGTTGGCCCTTGTGCTGAAGGGTCGCCATACATGACAGGTTCGTCGGCGTACAATTCGACCACTGCGGATCCATCCCTATGCTTGAGATCTGCTAACTGTTCGTATAGAGAGCGAGCGAGGTAGCTGCAATGGCGAGATATGACATCCTGCCTGAGTGTCAGCACAAGTCGCTTACTTTTATTCGTTACGGCTTACCATAGATCCATATAGCCTAAGATGCGTATCGATGGCAATTCCAAGCGCCAAAATACTGTGAAAAGGCAGTGTGCCGTCTTCAAGTCCGTCGTGAATATTCCATGACATGTATTTATTGCCAAGACCGGGCACTTTCTTCATAACCCGTGTATCTTCCAACGGCGATAACTGTGCGACTGTTCCTCCGCCAAAATATCTTCTCAGGCATAGTATATGCCCAGAGGCTCGTCTGACAACCAGAGCTCCCAAATCAGGAAACCCGAAGATCTTGTAAAGTGAGAGGCAAGTGAAATCCGGTGCGTCTAAGGGGTCTTCGAACAGGGAGCTCAAAGAGCTTGTCATGGCCAAAGCTGCTGCGTCGAAAAGGGTATATGTATTTCGGAGTTGGGGGTGTTTGCGAATCTTTCTTGGCCACGTCTTTGGTAAGCGGCGTCCACTAAGATTCGATTGACCTGGATATGCGAATAAGCCCAGACTTGATGGGTATCCTTTTCGGGTCTGATTTGGACAGTTGAATGGTCGAGAGATCCATTCCTCGACACTTTCATCATCTTTGAAACAGTGATAGTCTCCTGGTGCCAGTGCCCGTATACCAATAAGGCTGGTATGTGCTTCACTATGACATCCGTACCAGAAGCTTTTACTTGGTGTTTTGTCACCCAAGTCACGAAAAGCGTCAGCAACAAGCTTAATACCCGCAGTGGCGTTAGCCACGAATACAAGATCAAAATGCTCTGGATCTGCGCCGAGAAAGTCGAGTGTCTTTGCACGGATGCTGTCCACCATCTCACCCGACAGCTTTGCAGGGAGGTTTTCGGAGTGCGGATTACCCCAGAGGTTACCTATCATTGCCTGAGAGAAACCAGCTATAAGAGATCTGGCATATATGGTTGTCCCTCCGTGATCGAGATAAGCCCCTGCAAAAGTCCTGCATGAGTAAAGCCGAAGGATTGGGGGTGGGTGAGATTCGGCACACCTTGGGTCATATTCGGATACTCATCATCTCGGAATTCTTCGACTGATGCGTTATACTCCATGACTTTTCGAGTTGTATGTAAACCCGAAAGGGTTTCTATAGTAGTATCTGTGTTTGTCTAGACTCGGTGTCAGTAAAATAGTAGACTCGGAGACATATCGAGTGTGTTGACGATCAATAGTGATAAGAACTATTCCATGGCTGCAATGTAAAAGAATCTCGGAACTATAAAGCGTGTGCTTTATCTTAAGAACTGCAAGTATAGCGTACCATGGTTGAGAAAGGCATATCGATGGTGTTGCAAACTGAAGCTGTGCAGCAACAATGTACAAGAGTCGAGATGTGGCCGCGACTGGATCAGGAAGAGCTGAGACAGCTTCGGCTATAAACAATTGATCGAAATGAGACACGTATGACAAATCCGGATTGTTCAGGTGCCTCTGGAATCAAGAAATAGACTTCTCATACCGTTTCTGGAGCGGAGAGTAACCAGCTATTCAAACTGAGTATCCAACCAAAGTTGACCTATGACAAGCCCATAAGGTCAGCTCAACATTCACACACACGTCTTTCTCTTCTCTTGCTGGGGGTGATTCCATCTCTTATTCTCCTTGGTCTGGAACCCATGTCTGGATCATGAAAAAACTAGAGGCAGAGTCCCAGCGAATTATCGATCGTCACAGTGAGGCGATGCAGCTGCGCAGCCTGCAGCATCGGAGATGGTAACTGGATTTGCTGTTGGCAACACTACTAATAGCTGCTGAGAGGCTGAGAACGGCCCCAGGAATTGCCATATTCGAGTTCCTAAGCTGAGACAAGAATGCAGTCTAAAATCCTTGGACCGTCAGCCCTAGTAATGGCTGCATTGCGCTAGGCCCGGGCCTCGGACTGGTGATCTGTGCAGGTTTTGAGGATGGATTCATTGGGGGCGGCATGATCAGAAGATAATATGAGAGCTCGGCATGCATAACGTTACTAAATAAGAAACGGAGTGTGATAGTATGTGATAGAGGACCTCGGGATTAAGCAAGTATGTAAAGATGTGTGTAAGATCATATCATATCTCAACACGGAACACAAGAGTATGCGGAATAGTAAGCTCCGACGGACTTGATAACGACCAATCTCAACTTATAAACCTACAGCATTCGGTACTTGATAGTAAGTATCGTTCGGCCAGTTCCATTTAGAGTAAAAAGATCGAGATTCTCTTTACTGTTGTCGCTCAATCATATGAATGACAACGTCTGATTATTGTTACACAGTCTTGCAAACAGTCTGAATTGGCCGATCTGACTGGCGAGCAAGTTGAGTTCTGATATGAGAATTAAATAGTAAGTTAAAATTCCGAAACGATGAACTACTGTTACATCCTGTCAGCAGTGGATCAAGTTTAACTTGTCACCCATGAACATACAGGTACATCGACTATAATCTGTGGTAAGCAGCCTAGTTACATCCAAGGTATTGCCATGTTATTTGCTTTTGAAAGACAAGCACAAAGCGAGTACCTTCCAGGTCTTATACGGCCAAGGTTCCCACTACACCAAGACCTATCTTGCAGGCTCCAAGCTCCAAGCCTCAAACCGTTGATTCCAACAGTCAACCTGCATAAACAGTCACTTAGCGATACGCCACAACGGTTGAAAGTCATGAGAAAGAATTCATTTTATTTTCTGTCAGTCCTTAGCCCTAAAACACCCCTGCGGCCAGTACTAGGCAAGCCTAACCAGGTAAGAAGAAAAAGTAATGTGCCTCCATAATAGAAGTATAAATGTACAATAAAGGAATCGAAAACATCACGCCTTGGTCTCAGACCCATTTCCATCATTGACTTCGATTACAGAGCGAAAGCGAGCGCCATGACACCGGCCAGAGCTAGGTTGATGGGGGCAACTAGCGAAGAGCCAGCGTTGGGGCCAACAACGTCGGTCGCAGTAGAGACAGGTCCGTCAGAGCCGGGGGTAGGTGTCAAAGCGACAGTCTCGGTGGGAGTAGGTAGATAAGCCGGAGCAGAGTAAGACTCGTTGGTGGCAGGAGGCTTGATCTGAGAAATGAAGTTGGCGCATGTGACGCGAGTCTTGTTGGCGTAGTGGAAGACGACAGAGCGGTTACCAAAGAAAGCACCGATGCCCTCCTTGGTAGAGGCGTAGTAGTCAATGTACTCGGTCTCGTAGGGGTCGCTTGTGATCTTTCCATGCTTTCCACTGTTATCTCCGACCTGGCAAGAAGCAGGGTCCTTGGGATCGCAAGGAGGGTCCTCGCCGCGAGCAAAAGGATCGAGATGGGCGAGAGTCGCAGTGCAGTTGCCGTTGGCAGGGACGGGGTCAACGTGAATGTGGTAGGCTTGTCGGGGTTAGTATAAATGATTCATGGTGAGTGAGATTTAGACTTGACTTACTGAAAGGTCCACCCTCCTTGGGAAGGTTGCTGAACTTGACTTTGAACTTCACGCCCTCTCCAGAGTCTGTAGCTTGGGCGTAAATCTCTCCCTTGACGTTTCCTTCGATGGCAGCCTCCTTGAAGAAGGGCTCCTCGGGGAAAGTAGCCTTGTATCCAACACCAGGAGGGTTGTCGTTGACCCGAGGAGCATCCTGAGCAATAGCCTGGCCGGCATAGGCCGAGAGAAGAACGGTTGCAAGAGCTTGAGCGCGCATATTGAATGAGTTGTTGATGTGAGTGTAGGTATGTGTAAGCTGTAAGCGAGTGGTCGCAATATTAAGAGAGGCGAGCGAATGAACCACTAGGGTCGGACAAATTAATTTAGGTGCTGAGACTGGCTCAAAAAGGTGAATCAATGAGTTCAAGATGAGAGATGAGGGGGTAGTGACAGTGACAAAGTAAAAGTAGAGTGAAGAGGAAGGCTGAGGTGGTCTATATATAGCGGGAAGCGCTGAAGCTCTCGATTGCCAAGCCTGAGCGTCATCATTGGTTTGGCGGCGTTGACTAGGGATTACAGGCTACTACGGATGCAGGATACAGGCTACAGGCTACTACCTGGCTAGCCTCCATGGCGATTATTCAACATAGATTGCCAAAAACAAGCTTGACAAGACATGGATGTTACGGCAAATAACCATTTCCATCCATTCATACAATATCCCGCCTAAATAGAGGAGTCCCTGTTTTCCCCGTCTGTATAGCCAAGAGATGTTTGATCTTTCACAACGAATTGATGTGACTGTCCAACTGGGAGGGAACACAGGGAGAGTAAAGAGACGATCCATTCTTTGGGCCCTGCAGCATGCAATGCAATCCATACGATACGATAGCATCCATACTGTAGTCTCTGGGGCAAGGCATGTCAGCTCAACGATTGGTGCTCACGGCTCACTGTTCCGTGAGAGCCCGTATTCACTGTCAACGTGGCTTAGCTTTGCATCGCACTTTGCATATCCCTTCTGTTGTGCTGTGCTCTGTTCTGTATTCGCTTGTTTCAAAGGACACAGGCGCCTATCCATTCCCTTTGTTTCCCGCTTTGATTCAAACAGGACCATAGCCCATGACACAGAAAAAAAAGCAAGCAAAAGGAATCACTCCAGCTACGATCTCTTTCGGGTCCCGTGTTTTCGTTTGCTGGGGGCAGTGCATCGTTGACAGAAAGACTGCGTAACATTGCACGGGGAGGCAGCATCTAAACAACGCTCAATCAGTCATGGATCACAGTGATCACCCTGCGATGGTGGTTATGTTACACCAGCTGTATGCGTGATGATGGCATCACAAAAGGAATCTAAACATGATACCCTCCCTTCAATTTACCTCCGACCCTTGGAATTACCCCATTGAGAGAAATATCTCGGAGTCTATGACCAGTTTCCAGTCTTGGCTGTTATGTTATTCTCTCAATTATCACAGTGACTTGAGATTAAAGCATAAGCTTAAACGTGACACGGAAAGTGTTTGCAGATGATCAACTCAATATAAACATTCCCATCTTATTTGGCGTTTCGTCTCGTTTTGTTTCGTTTCGTGTAGCTGACCGTTCCTGAAGCTATTGGAGGTGAAGCTACCAGACCTTAAATGCCAAGGTCGCTTGCACCACCAATAGAAAACAAAAGTGCTAACCTGTTCCATCAGCACCAATGCTACAACATTCAATAGCGTCTTCGATCACGAAGTCCCTAAGTTTTAGCTGCTCTTTTAGTTCAGGTCAGAAGACTCCCGTCTCACTCTAGGTACTCTATGTGAATCCGTATACATTGTGCCGGTGGTGATTCAACGGATAAATTATCCTTGTTCACTGTTGTCTATCACGTACCTTTGATATCCCACAAGTTTCAGAATACACAAACTGCGCACCAACTTTGCGATTGCCTCTCGTAAGCCAAGAGAATATGGTTACACTGTCCTGGGTCTGAAAATCCCGTCTTGGGTCAAACTTGGCAGTTTCGCATACCAAGCCAAGCAAGCCATGAGCACACCAAAGGATCAGGATCAAGAGGGGGAGGTCTCATGCAGAACCTCTTACTCATTAATTTGGTGAGTATCACAATTAATTAACAAAAAGTAATAGGAAATAAGCATGGGAACATGCAGATGACGGGTCCATGGGTCAAATTTGAGTTACATTTTAGATTACAGTAGAGAACCCTCATGAGATCGACATTGGATTCCCACTTACACGGCCCAGCATGGATGACTGGTATTGTGGCTCGTGCTAACTGTGGCGGTGCACAGAATTGTGGCGCACCCCAGCCTTACCAGTGAGGCAAGGAAAGGAGCTCAACAGCGACACATTGATGCATCACCAGCTCAAAGTCATCGATAAAGTCGCATCCAACGATTCATCGCCTCAACACCCGTAACGGAACCTCTATCGCACAACGTCCGCCGAGTTTCTCCTTCAATCGCCCATCATGAAGCCCGTTGTCAGCGCCTTCAACGCGTGGGGATGGTTCGTCATCCAATCCAACTATCTTCACCCATCATGACAAGGCTAACATGAAGCTCCCAGCACCGTTCTCTCCGTCTTCGCCATGATTATTCTGAGCATTATCGCTGGTCTTTATCGAAGTGGTCACGAGGAGTTTACCGGTGGTGTCGATGACCCTGAGGACGGCAAGGCTGTTGCAAGCACCATCTTCACTGCCGTCCTTGTTTACGCTGTACGTGCTTTGACACCTAGATCATCCCAATTTCAACTCGCTTCTAACCTATATCTGTAGGCTTTCTTCGTCTTCTGTGGTCTCCAAGGACTCCTCCACGCCCGAGAAAGCCGCCGAGGCGCGATCGCTCTGTAACAAACATATACTATTATCCGACGGCGAGTAGAGCACGGCACGACACGACACGGAACCGGGCGTTCTGGGTATTATTTATCGATTTGAACTTGGGATGGCATTGCATTTGAAAGATGAGCATCACTAGTGCCTGTGGTGAAGGGAGAGCGGACATACGACGATAATCAAGACGCGTGGACTTGACTCAAGACACGCCATGTACGGGATATTGATTGCTTAGACGGTTCATTCAATTTGCGCTATTAAATCTGGAATTTCGGCTGCACTACGCGATATGCGCAATCTCTGTTATGCTAGATGAACTCAGGTGACCTAACAATGGATATGTTTTGACTTGGTTAATTTCAAGGTCATTGAAGTAGATATCATCATCAATGACTCGATGCTTAATATACTAGCTGTAGTTGAGCTTTAGTCAGGTGCAGGACCAAACGCGGAATCGCTACGGGTCGCCTATGAGGTATCACAACCGTGAATTATGCTCATAGCTGGCTGGTAGTCTCGGCCGGACGTCATGATTTTAGCTGATTTAGTCTACGGACCGGAAAGGTGGGGCCGCTCCGGATGATGCCGAACGGATGGAAGCCCGTCGGTGGCCGTTTTGATGGTTCCATTTGTTTGCGACTTTGTACGTCACAACTGCCTAATCAGAAAGCACATTGAAAAGATATATCTTGTCAACGTACATGTACAGTACATATGCACGCCCCTCTTTTTGACGGTAGGTATCGTCATCTTCGCGTGGATAAATCGAAATTCACTAGAAGCCTGGCGGGCATCAACCGTCATGGCTCATGGTTTCCGGTCATGATGATTGGCTCTTTAGCTCATTCTTCGACGCGGCATCAGAAGGGAGCTCTCGTATCATGATGAAGGAGACCACCTAGTTAAAAAGTAAGAAACAGTTGGGTCAGCACAGTCGTCGGCCCCGTTAATGTGACGAAGAAGTATCTACAGTACCCTGACTGTAGTGTCGTCATCGATCGATCTTCATCAGGATTCGGATTGAAAGCTCCGCATGTTCGAGTGCGCGGCAGGTATTAAACAGAGAATGCTCCTTCTGTAGATTTTCTGGAAGAAGCTGTTTTTTTCTTTTTCAATCCTCAAAGTTTGCTGTAGATTGACCATTACATCACTCAAAATGACGACTCAAAACTTCAAGAACGGTAGAGCTTCCCAGTCATGATACCTCAGCTCAATGGCACAATAACTAACTGTGAACCAGAAAAGGACATTCCTGTCTCTCACCAGGATTTCCCTGGTACCGAGAGGGAGATGCCTAACCCCAAGGCCACCCGAGACGAGCTCCCTGAGGCCGGTGGTAACTCGCGAACATACCAAGGCTCCGGAAAGCTCAAGGGCAAGAAGGCTTTGATCACCGGAGGTGACAGCGGTATCGGTGCTGCTTCAGCTCTTCTCTTTGGTCGAGAGGGTGTTTCAGATATCACCATTGCTTACCTGCCTGAGGAGGAGAAGGATGCTCAAGATACCAAGAAGCAAGTTGAGGGTGAGGGCGCCAAGGTCCACCTTATCGCTCTCGACCTCTCCAAGCAGGAGAACTGCAAGAAGCTAGTCGACTTTGCTATCGAGAAGATGAACGGAATCGATATTCTCTTCAACAACGCTGCTTGTAAGTTGACACGACACTGTTTATCATGATGCAGTAACTAACAAGGAATAGATCAAATGGTCGTCAAGGACATCAAGGACCTTCCCGAGGAGCAATGGCTTCACACTTTTAACATCAACATGCACTCCTTCTTCTACATCTCCAAGTACTCTCTACCACACATGAAGACCGGCGCCACCATTATCAACAATGCCTCCATCAACGCCTACATCGGCCGTCCCGATCTCCTCGACTACACCTCTACTAAGGGTGCTATCATCTCCTTCACCCGAGGTCTTAGCAACCAATATGTCAGCAAGGGCATCCGTGTCAACGCTGTTGCTCCCGGACCTGGTATGTTTCTCACGCTTCCGATCATTTGGAAGTCATGTCACTAACAACGCACAGTCTGGACCCCTCTCATTCCCGCCACAATGGACGACGAGGCGCAAAAGAACTTCACAGCCCCTATGGGACGACCTGCTCAGCCCTCAGAGATTGCTACCTGTGTAGTCTTCCTCGCATCAAGCGACAGTTCTTGTGTTAGTGGACAGACCATCCACTGCAATGGCGGTACCATTGTCAACGGTTAAGTTATGACGATAAGCTGCAATGACCAAGTTACGAGATTAGTATGATATATTAATTAAGACATTCAAAATTATTCTTACCCGCCCTCTCGTCTACTTCTGCTATGTGTGCTTGAGATATCGTAAATTTACAGTGTTTGTGTCATATTAACACTGTTTTATATGTCTTAGTTCGATGTAAACCGACTTGCCAATGGATCTTTAGCTTACCAATGTATTTACACATTTATACATTTAAAACTTCCAACATAACCAACTTGAAATAAGTAACTCACGGCTCCTGGCTCGTGAAACCCCATAGCTTCGCCCCTAGTCAAGTCTTATTGAAAAGTATTGAAGCGACCGCTGCTCAATCTTACACCATCCCTCGTAATGAGGCTCATCAATACAGAAACGCTAGAGCTAGAGTTCTATCCTGGAGGATCGCGTCGATATGCAATTCTATCTCACGTCTGGGGCAACGATGAGGTCACCTTCCAAGAAATGATCGCGGGTGGTTCTGCTGAGGCTCTTGGACTCGACCGATACAGCAAGTTGCGAGAGAGCTGTAAGCTGGCACGCTCACTGAAGCTGGATTACCTGTGGATAGACACTTGCTGCATCGACAAGAGCAGCAGTGCTGAATTGTCAGAAGCTATCAACTCCATGTTTCGTTGGTATGCCGAATCAACACTCTGTATTGCTTTTCTCCAAGATGTTCCACCATCGGAATCCGAAGAAGAAAAAAAGAAGGTGTTCAGGGAAAGTCGCTGGTTTACAAGAGGTTGGACGCTACAAGAGCTGATCGCACCCGGGAAAATCATCTTTTACGGACAAGACTGGGAGCCTATGGGGACCAGGTCAGAACTCAAAGACGATATCAAACTTATCACCGGAATCAGCGAGGAGCTACTTGATGCGACGCATCATATGATGGAGAGTAAGCAAAGACAATTGGGCCAGTATTCGGTTGCTGAGAAGATGTACTGGGCTGCTGGGAGAGAAACAACAAGGCCTGAGGATATTGCTTATTGCCTGTTGGGTATATTTGACATCAATATGCCTCTACTTTATGGCGAGGGCCAGATCAAAGCGTTCAAGAGGTTACAGGAGGAGATCATCAAGTCTACCGATGACGAATCGATCTATGCCTGGCGACAGCCTCGATATCGAGTCGAGGGAAAGACGTACTGGAGTCTACTTGCGAATAGTCCTTCGGCTTTTGATATTGATCACGCTTCAAAGGATCTGAATGGCTTGATGCCTAACAAGTCGAAATATTTGTCCTCACGCTCAGGAGTATCAACATCAATGACGAATCGTGGATTGGAGCTCGAGCTTTCTTTGACGCCCTTTCCCATCGATAAGTCGGGAAGCATCTTCCTAGCCTTTTTGAACTGCGAATTCCGTCGAGGTCAAACATCGATCAATCCAGCCATATTACTTCAAAGAGCAGCATGGGACAAAGACTCCCATTTTGTACGCATTCGACCGGATATACTTGCGCTGTCCATGATGAACAGCATCATCCTGCCTGATGAACTCATAAATATGATGAGAGGTGGCCAAACTCTCATATTGAAAGAGGCCATCCCTCGAAAGATCTTTGTACCACATAGTACGCCTGATCTGAGGTATTTGAAAGGGGTCATATTTCGCCCGGAGATCAACGGTCTTCAGAAAGATAGTAAAATGGTGGTTCGGGTGCGTTCTCGGTCACCTACATGGCAGTACTTTGTCGATACCCGCAAAGGGCCATCGCAAACCCCAGAATCCTACGAGATCAACTTTGATCTGGCACCCGGGCCATCGCTTGGCTCATTGCAGGAACCTGTCGTTCTTGGAGTGTTGGAACTCGACTTGGGCAATGCCGACTCTAAACAATGTTTAGTGATAGGGCTAGAGCCTCTGTTGCCGAATCCTTTCCGAACGACACCTCTTTACTTCCATCCGTGGTATGCATTCGAAGAACAGTCGTGGATCGCAAGGCAGGATTTTACAAGGGCTATAGATAAGACGCAGAGAAGGCATGAGTGGAGGGTGCCGGACTTGATTAGAGCCAGGATCGGGATCGAGAGCAGATATTCAAGCTTGTTTTATAGTCTGTCTCTGGAGATTGAGAGTAAGAGAAAGAGTGCCTCCTGGTTTTAGTAATTATAATGCAGTTGGAACTACCCGAAGCTACAATGTGGTAGCTAAGTCATCTCAAGCTTGGTATGTACTGACTCTGATACATCATAAGGCCTCTCGTCAAATACCAGCCCCAGCACCATGAGCTCCTCGCTGGTGATATCAGGTCGCTCGTCGATCACTCTCTTCAACTCACGCGCTTTGTCTGTGACATCCTCGATCTCCACAATCCACTCATTCGTCCATTGTTCACTCAGAGCTCCTGGAATACCGATCTGAATACTTCTATATGGTAACACTTCAAGCTTCGCTGTCCGCTCAGGATCCCACTGAATCCTCACATCGCTCGACTTCTCACGTTTCTCTCCGGGGTTGGACTTTTGCGCATGACTTGATAGCACACCTCTTTCAAGAAGATTGATGAAGTGTTCATGCTTCATACGAAGAGCGAGAATATGGGATTGGCCAGGGTCTTTATATGAGTAGCCTGCACGATACATCATCCAGGCCCAACTGGGCTTTATCCAGGTCATGCGACCTGGTTTGAAATCTGGTGATGCATTGAGCTTTTGTGATTCTACGGCGGCTTTGGCGATGGATTCTTTGTAGGCTTGGTAGACTGCTATCGTAGCGTCGTTGTAGTGAGCTCGGATTTGACGATAAGGTATAGAAGAAGGTGCAGTTGCCATGATGTGATGAAACAGTAACAGTAACAGTAACAGTAATGGTTTGGTTGTTGATATTAGGTGTTTTTTCAAGTTAGTAGTAGAGCCTCATGTATTTATGCACACGAGATCAGAATGCTTCATGTGCCCTGCGGATGATGAGTCTTTCGGCGAGAGTAGACTATTGGTGGTGGCTCAGACCAGTCCAGCTCCGTTGGCATAAGGAATAGTTGAGATGAAACCATGTCTGGATCATTCAATAGTAAAGGGCTAGAATACGGCCAAATCGCGGTTGAAACCAGTACAATCTAACAGTTGGATACATGCTTTGATAATGATTGAGCATGCAGGTGTAGATGTTAGATTGCAAGGTTTCATGGCTTGATCAGGCCGTGTTATCGTCAGATGGATCCCGCTGCTACTGATCTGGTAATGGATGCTCAGGCACTATTTTCAGGGAGCACACCCACTGTAACAGTGGCGACGTCACAACTAAAGACCCCTTGTAGATAGGTGCAACTTGACCAACTTGGCAGGACCGTTTTCCCCGCTTCACCAGCAAGCGCAAGTGCCGCCTGACCCAAAAAGCTGACGGGAGCTGCAGGTAGAAAGATGGAGAAGGAGGGGTCCTGCCATGTGCCGTTGGGAGGCATCCATCCATATCTGAGATTCGTCAGAGGCAAAAGGTAAAGCTCCAAAAGTCAGACAAAAGGCATTTTAAAACGCTGACCCAACAACCTCGCCAAATAAATAATAAACTACGGGTACCTAGCTTTGGATTATTTGGCGACCCTGCTCGAAATCTCCGATATCACCTAAGCTTCCTCCAACATCTAACCTAAATTGCGACGATCCACTGTTGTCCCATCTCATCAGGTAGCTAGCTTAGCCACGATACCTATAGCTTGCGCCTTCAGCCTTGTAGGACAGCGGATGGGCACTCTTCTCCGTCTCACATCCTTCACCATATCTTCGACTCCTTAGACCTTCCTACTTCGCCACCAAACCCCCGAAACCTTTGTATGTCTCCGCCGGAGCAATCTACATCTTCGTCCGGCCAGCCTGTCCCAGACGAGACGCTGTCTAGCAAGCCTGATGTCGAGGTAACGTCTGCTCAGCACCTTACGACAGGGAAGTCCGAGACCGCAGACAACGACGATGGCCCGAAAATAGAGGTTGATACTGGGAAGGAGGAGAATCTGATTGATTTTGGCGACCAGCCGTCCAACGTTCAGTCGCGCGAGGACAGTGCTGATGCCGCCGAGGAAGCGCCTTCAGAGACGGCCAAGGGAAAGCAAACAGCTGATGACCAGCAAGCTTCGAAGGGTCCTTCCAACACCCGCACCTCAGCAGCATCCAGAATTAAGCCTATTACGTTGCCCCCGTCGAACGATACCACGACTCAATACCTCACCGCCGAACCATCCACGTATGTTGACCCCACGCCTGCGACCCCAACAACCTCGCAGCCACCTTCGCGAACACCTTCAAATGCTGCACGCTCCCACATCTCTAGAGATGTCTCTCCCTCCAAATCGGACGCCGAATATGATGAGAGACGATACATAAGCGAAGATGAGCAGGAAGGTGGTTCTCGGTCAGAGATCCAGAGTATCATGGCACAGTTCAGCGAGTTTGGCGGCGGCCCTGGCGAGGAAGAAGTCATGAGCCCTAGGCTGGAGATTGCATCGCCTATGCTAGGACATCCCGTTCAGCATCCTCCCCGTAAATCGAGCCTTGAGCCTCTTGCGCCAACGCTATCAAATCAGCTTCAGGGTCTAAGCATTTCAACAAGTTCCCCTCCTGCTGAAACACTAAATGATTCTGCTATCGAGGATCTCGGACCACCTGTTCCTCCCAAGGACGGTGTACATGGCACGCCTCCACGGCCTAAAGTGGAACGAACCATGAGCGTTGCTTCGCCCAGTTCACCAGCGCAGTCCCATCGACCCCCTCCTCCTGAGCCCGAACCAGAACCTACTCAGGCTTTCGACTTTCATAGATTCCTGGAGCAGTTGCGAAACAAGAAAGCAGACCCTGTGGCAAGGTACCTCAAGTCATTCCTCTCGGAATTTGGCAAGCGGCAATGGATGGTCCATGAGCAGGTTAAGATCATTGGAGATTTCCTAGCTTTCATTGCTAATAAAATGGCACTGTGCGAGGTCTGGAGGGATGCTTCCGATGCCGAATTCGATAATGCTCGCGAGGGAATGGAGAAGTTGGTCATGAACAGGCTGTATACGCAGACATTTTCGCCTGCAATCCAGCCTCCCAAACCGATTCCTGGGGCCAAGCCAAAGCGAAAGGGCGGTGATGTTCCTCTTGGTCCAGGTCGACGAGGTCAGCATCAGGAAGACGTTGAAAGGGATGATATTGTTAGGCAGAAAATGAACATCTATGGCTGGGTGAGGGAAGAACATTTGGACATTCCCCCAGTTGGCGAAAGTGGACGTCGATTCTTGAAGCTGGCCCAACAAGGTCAGAAAAATTCACAATCCTCAAAGTTGACAATTATTAACTGTGTTGCAGAGCTTCTCAAAATCAAGTCATACAGGGCGCCGCGGGACAAGATCATATGTGTCTTGAACTGTTGTAAGGTGATCTTTGGTAAGGCGATCCTAGTATCTAATAGCCTGCATACTAACAACAAAAGGTTTACTAAAACATAACAAGTCTGATTCCTCAGCTGACTCCTTCATGCCCCTTCTTATCTATGTTGTTCTGCAATCAAATCCAGAGCATCTTGTATCTAATGTGCAGTATATTCTACGCTTCAGAAACCAGGAAAAGCTTGGGGGTGAAGCAGGCTATTACTTATCCTCATTGGTATGTTTTGTTGAACCAGAAAAACGGAAATAGTCTGACACTATTCTAGATGGGTGCTGTACAGTTCATTGAGAATATGGATCGAACTACGTTGACCATCACTGATGAGGAATTCGAAAGACACGTAGAAGAGGCCGTTTCGGCAATTGCTGAAAAGCATGCCCAATCACCACAAGCCACGCAGCAGCCAGTCTTCAACGAGAAGTCAGGACCTCCTCCGGGAGAGTCATCAGCTCGCCCCTCTCTTGATGGACCACGACGTTCAACATCGAACGACGACTACTCGGGCGAAGAGAAGGCTGCTATCACTGGTCTTCTCAAGACCATACAGAGACCGCTATCTAGTATAGGAAGAATGTTCTCTGACGAGCCCGGTCCGTCTCTGGGAGGTCCTAGCAGCGCACCTCGGACTCCAGCACCGCAGGAGCGCCAGAATCTTGAGGGGCCTCTCGAGCCCCAGCAGCTGCCCTCCAGGCAGGTACTCTCTGCAGAAGAGGCTGCTGCGCGACAAGCTAGCGCTGAAGCAGCGGAGGCTCAAAGGCTCTCGCGCGCGGAGCATGCAAATGTCGTTGAAACACTGGCTGGCATGTTCCCTGATCTAGACAAGGAGGTTATTAGTGATGTGGTTTACGAGAAGGAGGGCAGGTAAGTAATATGAGAGCCTATGTTGTCTGATCTTATGCTAACAGTTCTTTGCAGAGTCGGTCTGGCTGTTGATGCATGCCTCGCTCTTTCAACATGAGTCAAATGACAACGTAGCAACCAATTCGTTTTCGGCCCCTATTGTCCTTATTGATACTATAGGGACTTGATGCATCGCGGTGCGATTTTAGGTTTAGCATACATAATCCCAAGACTCTCCTCATGAGCCAGGGAAGATAGAAATACCAATATTCCTTACATTTGAACCATCAATATCATAATATGTAAAATAAGCTTCCATCCGGCAATCTTGTGAACTTTTCAAGAACAGCCCCGATCTCTGTATGCATACTACGCTGCAGCTCCAATGCCTTGACCCTGTCAATCACATTCGATCAGATCTGGTGGCAGAACCCTTACATGCTTCCGACATCGGTAGATCAGTATCAGTTCCCTATGTGTCAGATGATATAATCACTTTTTGAGCTTGTTAACTACATCATGAGAGTTTATTGTTCCATCCATGAAATACATTTCGACATTTATAATGAAAGGTAATCAATTCGCCTACATAGTGATATTTTAACCTAATCCTTCATTAGGTCTTAGAATGTCATCTTACAGACTTCCCTTTCTTCTGAGGGTAGCACCTGCTGTGCTATCATAAGACGGCCATTGATCTCAGTCATATCAGAAGCACGGCCTCAATCTGTCTGGAAGCTTTGACTCAGGCCGTTCACTTTCAACTTGTATGATCCTTGCCACTGAGTCATTGCACCAGTTAGTTGGTTCATGCGTACTGGTATTCCGGAAGCTACTTATATCTTATTTTCCCTGAAAGGATTGTCTTGAAGAGCAAACAATCAAGTCGCCATCAAATTAAACTCCCACTATGCCTCGAAAACTGGTGACAGTCCGCCACGTCTCGGCCATAACGCCCATCCCAGGCGCCAACCGCATCGAAACAGCCACCGTCGATGGCTGGACATGTGTCGTCTCTACCAACATCTTCAAGCCGGGCGACCGCGGCGTCTACTTTGAGATTGATTCTCTTCTTCCGGCCTCAGATCCGCGATTCGCCTCCTTGGCTCCGAAGATCGTCGGTGTCAACGGCCCCACTCATACACCGGACGTCCGAGTCCGGACTGTCAAGATTCGGGGCGTGTTATCGCAGGGTCTTCTCATGTCATTGGATAACTTTCCTGAGATCGTTTCGCGGTTAGACGGTGTCCCCGCTGATAAGCTCCGAGACATTGGGTTCGAGGATGTTCTCAACGTGCGCAAGTATGAAGGACCGGCCATGCCACAAGATTCAAACCTCAGCACGCCTCTACCCGACTTCCCAGAGTTTATCCCACGGACAGAGCAAGAGCGTGTACAGAACCTCCCAGATGTCTTCACCGCTCATGGGTCAGAAGTATTCCAGGAGTCGACCAAAATGGACGGGTCGTCTATGACAGTATTCTACCTCGACAAATCCAGCCCTCTGTTTCAAACACTACCTGAGGAGCTAAGAGACGTCGGCGTGGGAGTATGTTCACGAAATCGCATCCAGATAGAGAACCATCCACGAAGCCAGCCTCTTTTCTATGCCACTGCGCGAGCGCTGGGACTTCACGAAACATTAGCCAAAATTGGTCGCAACGTAGCTATCCAGGGCGAGCTATGCGGATCAAGCATTCAAAGCAACTTTGAGGGGTTTGCGAAAGGGGCGCATTCTTTCTTCCTCTTTGCAGTATATGATATTGACGAGCAACGATACCTACCACCGAAGGAAGTGCATGAAACGTGGGCACCATTGCTGGGTGTTCAGCATGTACCCGTTCATGGATATAAAGCGCTGAATGAAGTTGGGACTACAGTGGCGAATCTCGTAGCCCGTGCTGAAGGCAAGGGTGTCAACGGACGAAAGAGAGAGGGTATCGTGTTCAAGCGTGTCGATGGGTTGTTCAGCTTTAAAGCGATATCAAACTCGTATCTGCTAAAACATGGAGAGTAGACTGGACTTCAGGGCGACGTAAGGGTAGTGAGTGACCACAGTTTGCATCAACTTTACGAAGGATACCATTTTGAATGTTTGTTTGCAGAGTTAAAAGGTTCTATTGACAAAAATGAATGATGTGATGCGCTTCCGTGGTAAACAAAGTCTTTCGCTGTAAACCTTGAGTACTTCCCAACTCGTCCCCGAAAATATAAAGAAAAGATACCCAGTCCAGATGTAGAGTATCTTTTGGTTTTGTTTTGTACAACCAGCTGTAGATCCCATATAAGAGGACAGCGTAGGCATTATTTGTACAAGATTTTTTTAGACAGATTATGAAATGCGTTATGGATCTGAGTATCAACCGTTGCCAGTTGCTTAGAACCCTCTATATCCGCCTCCGTTTCCATATCCGTATGGCTGCTGAGGTTGCTGCTGATAGTAGTTCATATCCCCAGAGTCGTGGCGTCCTAGTCCTACGGGGCTAGGATCTCGTTGGCTCCAACCTGGAGGCGCGGCATTGCCCATCAAGTTCTGAGAGTCATGGTCCATGTTGGTCAGATTGCGATTTGTGGGAGGGCTTGAAGACAGGTAGTTGGGTTGGCGGTAACCTGCCTCGGTATCGTGGTACTGATCAGGAGACATGGAGTGTTGCGGGCCCTTTTCTTGAGGTGCAGGCATGGAGAACATGGAGATGTTGTTGTCCTTGCGATCGAGAAGGAGAGAGTTGCGAGCATCCAGAGGGGTGAGGGTGTCCATTTCACGCTTGGATTTTTCTGTAGATTGGGTCAGTAAATAGCTTGTATAGGGCGGCTGGTTCCAGAAAGACTTACCCATCTCCTTTCTTCGCTTGCGGTGGGGGTTCTCCTTGACGAGAACATTGATGGCGTTCCAGATGATAAGAATGACCAGGAGACCAGTCAGAGCCGACTGAATAGCGATCAGAACCACTCCGGCAATTGTCTTGCTGTCTTGTGGGATCTTGAGCTCGTGGACAAAGATCAAGATGCAAGCCACTGACAGGACGCGAACGGTTTGGATGGAAATGCCGATGACGTTGCTCGACTTCCGTTCAAAGGGTCGAGTAAAGATGAGCAGTGCGAGCATGATGGACTCCACCACTAGCTGGGCAATGGTTTGGGCAAAGCCGTGGCCATCGCCAACAGCAAGAGTGCACCCCTTTGCGAAAAGGTAAACAATGGTGGGGATGAAGATCCACCAGTACTCCTTCTTGTAGGATTCGTAGAACAGAGAGTACTTGACCCAGTACTGCTTGTCGTTGTACAATGCGTCAGCGTTACCCTCAGTGCTCCTGAGCCTCTTGACAGTGGAAAAGATCTTCCAAGTAAACCAGGCCAGAATAGCAGTAAACAGAAAAAGGGTGACACCAGCCAAGGTCTGCGCAAGCCATGAATCACCGACTGTGAACTGGAAGACACAATACAAGACCCAGATACCGTAAAGAACAAGAATCAAGTGTGTGATAGTTCGAGCAATGGATCCCCAGTAATGCTCTCGGAAACCGGCTAGAGACTGAGGGAAGTTGCCAAAAAGAGCCCAGAACTCAAGGATAGCCTTGACGAGGAGAATGCCGACGATGATGACTGCAATGATGATAGCGACAATCAGAAGAACCATCATGAATGTGTTGGATTTGGGAACACTGTATTGTTGAACGAAGGCCGAGATACCAGAAACGGATAGAGTCTGACCCTGAGCAGCAGTTGAGGCATCACCTTCTGTTGCATTATCCATTGAGGTCTCAATACCGCGGATGGCGAGGTTGGCCAGTGATTCGAAGGTGTTGAAGGCGCGCTTGACCTTGTAGGAGTGGTCCTCGGGAGTGCTGGTAGAGTTATCGGAGAAGACAAGAGTAGCATTCCTGAGGAGGTCGAAGCTGTCGTTGGTGAGATCACCTCCAGTCGAGTTACGCATGCTGTCAATCGACCGTTGGAGAGATCCCCAGGGAATCATACCCGCAGAGAAACCGAAGTTCTTGACAAAGCTGCGATACACGGGAGGGTAGTCCACGGAAAGCATACCGTTCATGGCCATGCCCTGAAACCAGCCAAGAGTTTGGGCAAAGCTAGGGCTGGGAGCACCACCAGCATTACCAGCGCCTGCAGTTCCACTCAGGGTAGATGAAGCAGCAGAAGCACCCGAGACAAGGAGAGCAGCACCAACAACACCAACAGAGACGTAAGTGACAGCTGGGACCGAAGCAGTCTTTCCATTGTTGACCCGAGTTTGGAAGCACGCGACCTGTTTGTCAGGGTCATCGATGGTCACCAGTCTGAGGGTTGCTTGAGCCGAGATATCGGGAACCTGGAATGCGATGGCAGGAACTTGGTTGGCCCATTCCGGCTTGATATCCTGGGTACCTTGAGCGGCAAAGTGTGTGTTGGGAAGTGGACAAAGCTGAGGAATGGGAGTATCGGAGCTGCAAGGGTTGATAGAGTTCTCGTAAACCTTGCGGCCGTATGCGTTTACCTCAAGAATAGCAGAAACGTTCTGCTCCTTCTCGCTGGTACCGGAGACGTCGAAGGTAACGACCTGCTTGTCATTGTCGTAGCTGATGTCAAGCTTTTCGATCTTGATGCCAGGATCGGAACCACAGTCGGTGACGCCAGATGTCCTGAGAATGCTGTCGCCCAGAACTCCAGTGACGAGAGTCGCGGCCGTCATGGCCACCTTCCAGGCGCTCCAGTTGGAGTGAAGTCGAGTCATTTTGAATGTATGTCGTGCAAGATAATACTACAGAAATACGGGAAATTCGTGGCTCGTTCGGAATTGATCGAGGATTCGGCTTCGGGAAGTTGATATCGTGATAGATTGCTGATATATCCAAGGAAAGATGGGATATCAAGTAGGAAAGATCAAGAAATAGTTGGAAAGTCGTTTATAAGAGAAGGACCTTAAGGAATGGTATCAAAGAGACGATGTATGGAAAAAAGATATGGAAGCTGATTTAGAAAGAAAAACAGGGAGTGTCTGAGATCAAGAAGATATCTCAAAGGTGGTCGGCAAGCAGTGCAAGCACGCGCACAAAAGATGGCCGAGGATCAACCTGGAAAGAATAGAAGATGAAGGGCAACGAATTGCCTTGGAACCCGTGAATGTCCAACGTGCCGGCGTTAAAGTCGTTCGTGGGTGTCGTTTCGTGAGACAAGAGTCTCTTGTTTTCGAGGACGGAAGAAGTCGTCGTTTGAGCTGAGCTCAGTCTAAGTTAGAGTTGCTTGTCTATGTGACGCTGAAATGAGAGGCTAGTAGTCGACAATGCCGCAAAGGAAGCAGCATGTCCTGTCCTTTCTTGGACAATAAAATCAAATGACAAATCGATGAGAGAGTGTGCGAGAGTTGGAAAGAATCAAAATCGAAAACGCTTATGATGTTTTACTCGAGACAAATGTAACAAATAGAGACGATGGAAGAGAGGAGGAGGAGGGAGGGAGAAAAGAGAAAGCGCAGAATAGGAATAAGATAAGCAAGAGCAATACCCAGGTTCGAAAAAAGAGGAGAAATTGCCCGAGAGGAGAAAGGATAGACGAGACGAGCAAGGAAGCCAAGGAGATGCAAGGTTTGCAGTGGATGAGAAGGGGGTGAAGAGGTTGTAGAGACGCCCGGGGCCACCTGCCTCCAGGCCTCCGGGACGGGTTATGCTGGAGAAGGAGCGAGTGAGGAACTCTGCCAGCAGACTCCAGGGCCTCACGCCTGGAGTCTCTCCAACTACGAGGTCTGCAGGGTCCCCCTTACAAGAACCCGAATGACAATTCTGAATGGATGAACCATCGAACCATCCACCAAAAAAGTCTTGGTCTTGGGTCTTGAACTTGAACCCCTGAGACGCCAAACCCCGATCCCTGACGCGTCTTCACCAGGGGGCCGAGACATGTTAGTGGTTCGCTGAAGGATGCAGGGGCCATTTACAGTGGATCGGGTATTTCCAGCGGTATCACCTCTGCCAATCATGGGCGCTAGACTAAGACCTGGCTTGTCCCTACAGGGGTTTCCCTCGCGGAAGGCTGACCAGTCACGCCAAGGCAGGCCAAGCTAAAATCAACCCCAGCTTCTTCTGAAACCAACCAACCAGGCCAGTTCCAGTCCAAAGGCCAAGGACAGGACAGGACAGGACGGAAGCATGACTTGATCGAGTGAAGAATGCGTGTCGATGTCTTTGCATTAGGTATGAAGATATCATCGCGAGTTTGTTCTGGAAAGAAACATCTTACTTTTGGGCATCAGTTTTACTCAACTGTTGACTGTCGTTGACTGAGACAATACTACTAATAATAAACTTATAGTCTTACTCCACCGTTGCAAGCCTCCTTTCTAAAGAGATTTACAGATCCATATGCCGTTCATAGTAATATCCAACTTATACACTACACAAAAATACTACTTTCGATCTATAAACCTTTTCCAAACGCTTGCTAACAAGATGAAGATCGATCTTTTCAACAACTCTGCACTAAATGGATACACAGTGGAACTACTATTACCATAATTACCTGTACCCCCAGCCAGGTCCCATGTCCAAGCTTCCATTCTCGTCCTCACTCTTCACAAGGAGCAACCCCCATCGAGTCAATAAATTAATTAACGATCCATCGCTTACTTTATTATTCGTATACTCAAATCTGCAGGTGGTACTTTGCCCAGCCTACAGAGTACATAGTACCTGGCATCATAGTCTAATACATATCATGTCCCAGGTCTGCATCTGTCCTGTTTTATGTCATGTGTCGACTAACTCACACTCTGTAACTCAGCGTCACAAGATCCAAAACTTGGCTGTGTCATAAAATCTTGTTACTGACTCAATTGGATCTTCACCACTAAAATCTCAAGTCTACAGGCGGCTTCACTCTAGCATGGAAGCACTGACTGGAGATGATCTCGCAGAAACAAGACCCCAGCGCCACCACCGTCTTGGCCGCCAACATTTAATTATCTCAGATCTTATTATTGCCATATACTCCGTAGCGTGCGTATGCACTGTATCTATACTTGTTCTGCTCTAATATTCCATACATAGAAACAAACGTCCCGATCGTTCAATACCGCCTATCAATTGTCCACAAGACCAGTCAATTGCAAATCTCGGTAATCCAATCTATCCTAGCCACCAACAGAGAATCCCTGGTCGATTGTAGTTGCCTGCTTACCTTGGGCTGGGACAGTTCCATTAAGAGGAAATTACACAGATCAACCTAGATAAAGGGTTCATGCTCATTAACAACACTAAAAGCACATAAACTTCATCTCGGAAATCTGACAAGTTTGCATCCCACGAGACCGTTGAATCAATTAAACGTTGCACTTTCAGAGTAATCAATACAAAACCCGCACTGCATTGTATACAATATCATGTCTAATTGCCGCGGTATTATTCCCCACTGCTTCGTTGTTCTGGATCCATCTTCCTCCAAGCCCCTTTTACTGCCAAAAGCTTAGCTTAACCCATCCTTGGATGGTCCCATCCGTAGTCATGTATCCCCTGCTAACAGCAGACTACTTGACCCGAGGACTCGTAATCACTTTGCACACGCGTTAGGCGGCCTCCGCTGAGCCTCTCGAATACTGTCCAAAAGAACCGGTTTGCAGTTGTGTCTTTGGTATATTTAGAAATGCCAAGGTGCAGATCAAAGAGTCTAGAAGACATTATTCCTTCATAAAAGTACCCGAAGCGCCATATCCTGCCTTTCTGGATCCCTTCTCCAAAGTCTTCACCCTAGAATCCTTCAATATCAAACGCTCCACACCGAATATCGCATCGTCCACTCGCCTCCGTAGTGGCCCCTCCAACGAAACCGCAAGGTCAGTCTATTCAACCGAGCAACAACAATATCAGAAACAAGAACAAGGCTATCGCCTGTAAAAACTCCCCAAAAAACAAATTCGTTGCCGTAAGAATCATCATAGTATCCAAACATAGTTTCCTCCTCCCCCATTTTTGCGTTCCAGATTGGTAACGGGTTCTGTTCATCCACTTTGAACTCCAACAGAATATGCGATACAGAATATCCTCACTGGAATCCAGCCATGCGTCTGTCGTTCCACATACCATTGCTGGTATTAGCATTCATATTTGGCGAGTGAGAGTAGGGAGAAATAGATCCCTGCCCGCTGAAAGGGCTTCCATTTCCGCTTGACGGGTCTGTGATCCCTTCATACACCATTGGCATTGATCCGGCGGACATGCCATGGTTCTGAAGGCCTAGAGCGTTCATGTGATTGTATGAGTCTAGTCCATTGCTGGGCATCATGAAGGCGTTGGTGTTTTGTTGGTAGCCTGCACTCGTCATATTCATGCCCTGCATCGGGGTATTGTAATTCTGATGGTTCATGGGATGCATTCCCATCTCTGCATGAGCTGATGGAAAGGTGTGGCTGACGTTACCAACGTTGCCAAACTGTTCGGCGTAGAAACCCTGCTGCTGCTGTTGTTGCTGATAAGGATCAGTTGACATGACAGGGTATGCCATCGGATTTGGACTCTGATACATATGCTGGCTTCCCTGTGGTATATGTTGTTGACCTCCCACTGGAAATTGAATAGGTGGGCCGGTCTGCTCGATAGGCGTAGGCGTAGTTAAGGGATTGCGTGGCGGAGGGTCTTGCACTGGACTGATGATAGTGTCTGCACTGAGCTCGCTGGCTTTAGCCTCTACAAGCCGGAGCACAGGCAACGATACTTGCTCCATGTGCTTGGCCAAGTGCACCGTCAGCTTCTTCCATGTAGGGAATGTCTTTCCGCAGAAGCGGCAAGGCTCATCCTGAGGCTTCTTTGTAGTCTCGTGGTGGCATTGCTCGACTTTCTGCCATGTGGGTTCAGAGCCACCAGCCTTCTTTATGGCAGCTTTGCTCTTGACCTTGGGCTCAGGGTACTTGTGTTCTCGTACGAGGTGCTGAAGGAAATTGTCCCGGCGATAACACTGGTGGTGGCAAGCTTCTACATCACATGTCCACCATTCGAGTTGCCGGTGGCCTTCGTTTTCATGACGAACCCAATCAGCTTTGCGCTTGAACATTTTTGGTCCTGGGCATTTATCCCAAGTGCACGTAAAAGGTTGCACATCCTCATGGACATGCTTAGTCCAGTCGGATGGCTTCATAAACCTCTTTTTGGCATAGCAGAGGCGGCACTCAAACTCTGCTGGGAGGTGGGTAGTCGGAGGCATCGGAATATCTTGGGGGAAGCTCTCGGTATTTATAGCACCCTCACCTAGCGATCCATCGTCCTCGTCGTTTGGAGATGAAAGGGGATCCAGCTCTCGGATGTTCTTGTTCTGATCCAGAAGGACAGCTGAGCCGTCTCGGGCCGCACACATAATACCAGAGTCGCATGCTGCCCCCAGGCCCATGTGGGTAACCTTGTTTTTGAGCAGATATTTGTATCTTTGGACCTGGTGGTAAGCGATTCGATCAACAAGGAACGTGTTGGTCGTAGCCAGACTTGGGTTCAAGTCAATGATATGTTGTTGGAAGCCTTCAAGGTTCGGAGTGATATTATCAATAACATTGGGGTTTGTTCTCATATCAGCTTCGTCGCCAAAATCGTCGTCGTCCTCCTCATCGTCATCCAAATCGACCTGCTTAGACTTAGCGAGAGCCGCCACAGGCGGTCCGCCCGTCTCCCGCTTCCACATCGACACGAGGGTCGAGTGGCTTTCCGATTGCAAACCGTTCGGTGAAGGTTTAGGGAGTTCAGATTTACTCCGGGCGCGGCGGAGGGTATTCTTGACCGAGAGACCGCCAAAGGGGCTCTTTGGGGATGTGATAGATCCGCCAGGCGTACCACTGGCACTGACCGATCCGCTCCGAGTGTGCGTGGTACCGATGGATGCAATATTACTGCCCATAGATGCGATAGCGGTGTTGATGGAAGGCGTGGGTTTCTTGCCCCAGCTACCCATGCGGTTCGGAGGCGCAAGGTGAGTGACACTATCCCCTCGCTTGGAAAGGCTATCACGCTTCGAGTCCTGGCTTCCTCTATCTTCACTACTCGGTAGACTGTCGTCATCATTGCCGCTGCTACGCGTGCGTTTAAGAAGTTGAGATGCGCTCGGGCGGCGTACCAGGCCTCGGAGGTTTTCGAGAAGACTTCCTGGCTTGCTGGATCTGCTCTCTCGGCTAGTCGAGAGCTTTTTCAAAAGACCGCCGCTTGTGCCTTGTGCCATGTCGAGGTCAGCAATACTGGGAAGGCTTCGGCGACGAGTTCCCCAAGTTGCAGCTCTTGACAAAATAGAGTCAGTGTCACGATACATTCGCTCGAACCTTTCCATGGCAGCCGCTGACGTCTCGGGCTGATTCCTTCCATGAGTGATTGAAGGGAACATCGGGGCATCGGCCCAGTTGCGGTCAGCAGCGATGATGTCGCGATCTTGCTGGTTCATCTCGCCATGGTCACGATAATAAGTCTGGCCAGGGATGAATCTGTTTTCGGTTTCGCGACCAACGGGGATTTCACTATTATTCGGATCATCTCGCTTTGAGTTCAATTCATTGATTTGGTCGCGTGAGTTATCATCTGGTTTGACTGAGAGGTCGTTGAGCTTATCGGTCAACCAGTCATCCACAAGCTCTTTACGTTCATCTTCCTTTCGATTTCTGGCAAGCTCATTAATGCTTGGCACTTCGTCCGAGGAGCGGTTGTTGGGGTCGAGACCAGCTTGGCCTGTCGATAGATTTCGCTGCCATTTGCCGGAAGAATCACGGGTTGAAGTGTTGCCTCCAGGAGATATCAAATCACCCGCCGATTCAAACCCACCACGCACGGTAGTAGGGCTATCATCAAAGCTGCGCTCAACGGCGGAGTGGACCGGAGTCTCAGTATGGGTACCCCACATGGAGACGGTAACGCGAGGACTGGTCATGGTAGAAACACCAGGTGCTGCGCCGTCTTCGCTAGACAGACAGCTACTACTCTGACTGGGTGTCAATTCAGAAGTGCGCGTATTAATTGGAGGGGGGTTAAAACGTTTCTGGATCTCTTGTGGTGAGATACAGTTGGGTAACCCAGATGGTGCAGATCCTCTGATAGCGTAGGTAAGGTCGCTCTGCGGTGGTGTAGCATGCACCGATGCTGTTTGTTCAGGCGTAAACGGATATGTGCCAGAATCGACGTCCTGATCCTTGTCTAGCATAAGGTCTTGGCCCAGAGGTTGATCCAGTCCGGTAATGTTCTGTCCTAGAAAGTTGGGAGCGCCTCCATCGGCATTGAAGTCGGTACCAAAGAACGGGTCGTCGTCAAGGTCGCTGAAGTCACTCGGTTGGTATTGACCCAGACTAGAAGTTGAGTCTGGTGTCTCAAGGTAATTGATCGGAGAAAGCGAGTCGTTATCGTTATGCGACAACGTGGGCAGCAGTTGGTTCGAACCGAAAGACGACGTTGATACTTGCTGGTCCGAGGTAGAGTAGGGCTGAGTAGAGCGGTTGTCTTTGTCATGAAGACTGGCAAGGGTTACATCAAAAGTTGAAGCCATGATTGCGATTAAGAGAGGTGGGAGGAGCGGAAGTATATATGCAGTGAGTGAGCCTCGACTGGGTGAGTTCCCAATGTCCGATCACAGGCTGGAGAACATAGCCTTCAAAGTGATAATGTGGAGGATGTGAGGTGGAGTGGATCAGCTCCGGCGCAGTAGAAACTATTCGGAACTGCAGAGAGAAACGCCGTTGAAGTCCAACGGTTCGTGGCGGCTCATAAACGTGGGTATAAAGCAGAGTCCGCCAGCAGATCAGATATGATATGAAACCGTCAAGCGACAGGATTGCAGTGTAGTATTTCTTGATCGAAGAGTTGCAAAAGGGAAAAGAGAGGAGGGGAAAAGGGCTGAAGTTGGAACGCGGCGTTGCGCGCGAAAGCGGATCAAAGAGCGCTTAGAGGCCCCTGCTAAAAAGGTACAGTACAGTACTGCTTGCCTATCCCATGTGCTTAGTTAGCCCAGGGTATCGACCCGGCAAGCAATAAAGGTTGGAACCCACAGATAGACAGATATAGAAGGCACAAGATATGATAACACCGCAGACCGTAGCACGTAGGTATGTTCTGATAGATTCGAGGTTGGGGGCAGCTCAGGCCAAGTCTCGAGCAGCAGGACGGCGGTTGCTTGTCAAAACGGATTATGGGGTGAGGATGTCACTGTAAGTCGATATGGCTCACAGGACGGCCTGCGATTGAAATGAAGACAAATGAATGCAGGGAACGTTGGCGGCCTACGGGAACAATGTGAAGTGAAGTGCAAGTGCAAGTGCAAAAGGCAAAGTCAAGGGCAGGACAGAGGCAGACTGAAGGGCAGACTTGAGAGGAGGGACTATGGCAGAACCAAATAGAGATGAGGCTTGACTTGATCAATGAGAGCCAGCGTTTTGCCTAAGAGAAATCCAGACGAAGGCGGTAAGATCGTGCGGTAGTTGGTCGGGTCGAGAACAAAACGAGGGGCGTTGTAGGCGCAGGCGTGACATACATACCGTACTGTCACTGTACTGTACATACCTCGATGGTGGTACAGCCTGTTTTCCGAATCCCCAATCTCTGATCCCCCAGTCCAGGCGCTTGTGTGATGCAACTTGTTGGAGGGTGGAGGACCGCCTTGCTGCAGGGCAGGGTTGTAAATGGACTTGGGCGGGCCGCTGGAGAAACGGGTGTTTGATGTCTATGAAGATGGGATTACCAGATGTTGCAGGACTCAATCCAGACACCAATAACCAGCCAAAGGCACTGGTATTCGTTTATCGTGCCAGGACCATCTCCACGAGGCGTTCTCAATGGGGGGCTCTGGTACCGAGGCGCATTTCGCCCAAGCCCCACGCAACAGAGAGACCCTTGTTCCAGCTCTCCATCATTTGACCACTCAGAGTTCTGGAGACGTCCCTAGGCTTTTTCCTATTTCCGACTTTGAGTATCTAGTGTGTGTAAGCGTAGCAGCACTGCCGGTCTTCGCTCGACCTCGAGGTAGGACGTCAGTCGCCTTTTTGCGAACAGTCACTGATTGTCTTGTTATGTCGTACTAGACCATACTTGGTCAGCCTTGTAGGGTTTTCTGGTCTGTTCTGTTCTGATCTGATGTCACTGCCGATCTGAGACTGGTCTCACATAGCAAGGCACAAGGCACATTTGAGCAAGACAGTTCTACCTCAACATTGGTCATTGCTGAACCATCTAAATCTCTCAACCCTTTGGTTGAAACATTGAGCTGCAGACTTCAGGCAGAAACATAGATAGCTTCATTAGAAGCTGGTAGGTTTTTCCACTTCGTCTTGAGGCTGAGACTGGAGTCGCGACATGCACAGCCTACCGGGTACCAGTGGATGCATCAGTGTGTCAGGAACTGACAACTGTCGATCACAAAGCCATCATCTTTTATGCAATAACTTCTGGGAACATAATTCTCCGTAGTATTGACAGGCTTCTGGCACCTAATGATATTCCCATATGCTGTTTATGCTGGGTCGAAGCAGGTGCCGTTTCTTTGATCCGATGAGATGACACGTGAGGGCGTTATTAGATCAGGTCTTTTAGCTTCTTTTGGCAGTGCAGCCGTCTTGTCCAGTCACCGCTGTACTGTACTGTACTGTACTTTTGATGGGATCGTATCGGAATGTGAGCAGCAGCAGCTGAAAAACGAGATGCTGAGCCAATCCCGTTGTCGATAAGATGATCCAAATGTGACGTTGTAGGAGAGCATGTACAAACAGTACTGCAGGGCAACATGCTACTGTATGTAGTATGTAACTCTGCAGCACCCATTCTCCAGTTTTCCAGGTGCTGTCCTGTCATATGCTGTGATTGGGTTCTTGATTGGGCAACCATTGCGCGACTTGTGGAGGCCGAAATCAGAATCGCGATGAGATGAGCTGTGCTGTGCTGGTCTAAGCTTAACAGCTCGCTTGTCCAAGATGAATTTTATGACCGAGTTTAGGCTTGAGGCTGTGCATGTCTTATTGAAGGGTGATAAACTCCAGAAGCTTGTTTGACGTTGTATGAAAGATATGAGTTGGGTTCAGGTCGTGGCTGTGCATTATGATATCGAACGATGCAGATTTCAGCTTATCTCCAAGATTATTTCGTTTATTGGTATGAAATGTTTTGTTTCTTTTTATGGTATTGAACCAGGAATCATCAGGAAGAGCTGTAGGACGGACGGATTGGATAGGCACGTGATGGTTGGTTTCCGTTGGAGACTCGTTCCTCCCTGTTCAACCTTGGATTGACAGTCATGTCCTGACTCTGGGCAGGTGCCAGTGAAGCACAGCAACTTACTGCACAGCGTCAAATTAGCAATACCAACAAAATCAGCAAGAAGGAAGGAGGAAGACTAATAGAACCTCAAATATTTATGCCTCTTTCAATATTCATCAGATAATGAAGCAAAGATTTTACATTGGTTAAGTCAAGTGCTTGCTTGCTTGCCTACCCGTGAGCGTGACATGGATGTCAAACAGGCGGCCCATGACACCTTCAGCCACTAAACTGAATCAAGCCTCATAATACCCTCTCATCCTCACTCAAGAGCCGACTCTATCATTCACCACATACAAACCGCAGGGTCAACTAGAATACATAACCTCTTACTCCTGCTTTTCCGTCACCGCAACACGTACTTGTCACGGCGCTGAGGCGCCATCTCGGCTCGCCCGCCATGTTCCAGGTTTGTCGCCATAACCAAACTATGCGCCCGAGAATTGTCTAGTATACTGAGCATGCTTTTGGAAATAGCCTCATCCGGACGAGACATTTCATTTGCGTCTTCATAGGGCGCGATCCGTCGTTCTGACAACCCAAGAGTAAGTCAATCGGCTCACGTCACTCAGTGACCGGCATTACCGCGTCGAGTGACCCAAGTCCGGTCAACAACTACAAGGAGTGTAACTGACACACATAGACTCGTTGAAATCAGAGCGGCTCAGCGTACCTTTGAAGGTGCATACGTTCGCACAGCCCTCGGTCAATTCTCATTCGCCCTCATCATTCTCAAAGTCTTCACTGAAGAGTTCTACGCCATAGGCGCTCTATTCGCTGTGTATGGAGTCGCTGTCATGCTAGTTGCCATCTACCGTCGGTACGAGGGCCAGAACCAATTCTTCACATCAGAAAGTGCCGATGGGTCTTTGAAGAGGAAGTTCAGGACGAGTGGGAACAGTGTGTTGTTGCTAACGATGCTGAGTCTGAGTGCTTATATTACTTTGATGGTCTTGACCTGGCGTCTGGTTTCATGATGGTATTATGTTAGATTGGAATTTTAATCGTGTTTGAGTCGGAATCCTTTTTTAGTTTGGCAGGATTATAATCGGCGGTGTTTCAAGCTGTAAGGTACTTATAATGCACACGAATATAGGTGTTTAACTGAGAGGAACGGTGCACTTTCCGTCAGCGCTGGCTGTGTAGGTTGTCCCTGTTCCAGTTGCTCTTTGCCCATGAATCAACGAAGTTCGAGCGATACTCTAGAGGCATTATGTTAATATACATAACATCAAGCGAAGTAGTTCGATAGTCCTATCTAGAATCATTTCGCATGTAGTGTAAGAGCTAGGAGAAGTCATAGAACACAAAACATAAGATTGTTAAATAGGTAGATATTTATGGTTAGCAAGGCCCTCTTGCTATATAAGCCTATGATGGGTAGTGGTACAGACACTGAAGGGACGTCTCCTTCTCACCTTAGACACACCCATGGATCCTCAGCAGTTCACCATGCTCGACGAATGGACTTATGGGCAACACCAGAAACAATCGGTGTCTGATTGGAACTGAAACGAATATGTGTTCTTAATTAGAACCATGTATTAGATGCAAAGGCCATTCTAGGCCAACGCGAAAGGTGTTATTATTAATGTATTATACTTAATGCATATAACCTCCTCTGTGAGATAGTAAAACAAAACACTAGCTTTCGCCTCCTTTCCATATATGTATACAATTTTTGCTATACTGTATGCTATCGTTATTGAGTTTGATATAAATTCATGGGTGGCGCGTTATTCATCACTTGCTGTCCATTGTTGGCTATTTGAAGCCGGTGATCCTGGCTCCTATTTGCATGCGACCAGCCATCGCCATAGGCTTCTTGGCCCTTCATATATGTATAGTCGGTATATGCATTCGTCTGATCCCATGTTGTGTAGTTCGCAGGTACTGCTCCAACAGGGAAGGAGACGGGTGTATTCATATTCGAGCTGTCGTATCCAGGCATCACGCCGTCCATGGAAGTAGTATATGCGTCGGATAATGCAGACAGTCTTCGATCGAACTGCCGTCCTGGTGCCACCATCGAGTACTGGGAAGGGTGGTTACTACCCAAGGGTTCTCCCCCATACGACATGGACCGTGCCGGCGGCGCAAACTGACCCCAGATACCCATATCAACATTCCCCTGAGGTAATGGTTCCGAGTTTCCAGGAGGCCAACCAGACGGAGATTGTGCTACAGATGTAAATGGCGAGAACTGCTGGCTCATTGGCGATCCGGAGGCATATGTTTGCCAAGGTGCACTCAATTCTGACGATGCACTTGGGCTCTGATCGGGTGCCGTTATCACCCAGTTGGCTGTAGTCTGGTTGGAAGTTTCGACGGGAGTTTTGCTTGTAGGAGATGGCACTGAAGCTGTAACTGTTACTTTGGGTTAACACGGTTATCGAGCAAACTACAGGCAGGTAACAAACCTCTCGTTTGGGGCTGAAACACTGCAGCTTCAGCCGTCTCCCCTGTCGTCGGAACAGTGATGGGAACTGGCTTTTTCGTTGAAGGGACAAGTGACGCTTTGGCTTTCTTTGGCTGCTCCACGGGCTTACTGATCGGTGTTGCTGGGGAGGAGGTTGCCGAGTTCCCTTTTGGTGCTGCGGATGCCCTTGACCCCTGTTTGCCCCGTGAATCGTCGATCGATGCCTGGTCTACAGGAAAGAAACTGCAATCTTTCTTCAACCGAATACAGTTGATACAGCGTCCTTGGGTGTCGTTGGGCGAAGTGATGCATCTGATCTTTCGACGCCGGCAGTGGCCTTGAAGATGAGTCAACATGAAAATCTGACGACAATAGACCCTAACTTACCACAAGCAACCGAAGTACGATGGTAGCCCAATTTGTTCCTTTTCTTCTCCCCTGCGCTTCCGCTCTGTTGCTGTTGCTCATCGGGTTCTGAAGAATGTAAAGAACCAGCGCTCGGTGCTGGGTATGTCCCCTTCATTTCCATACCATGCTGCTGGCTCAAGAGTGGAGGAGCTTGCTGATTAACCGTCGGCAAGGATGTAAGCTGCTGTGAAGGAATTGTATATGAGGGCATGAAGTTCGGAGGCGGCGGCATACCCATCTCATCGCCCTCAGAGGGGAATGCTGGGTAGTGGTAAGACATAACGCCAACCATAGACAGTGGCTCAGAAGGTAAAGTCTCCCACGAATTAGCAGCACCAAGCGAGTACGGGTTCGAACAATCGGACGGTGAAATCGCGACAGCCATGGACGATATGTTGTTGATATGTGTGCTGATGGTAAATTTGGCTGTATAGTCTCACACTTCTGCAAGTATGAGACAACGACAACTGGCTGGAAAAGGACGAAATTGCAGAGTATATCTATGCCCGGAGGTTTCGTAGGCCAGTGAGGGTAACCGTGAAAAGTGATGAAGTGAAGACAGGCATTTATCGATGGTTTCCCAGAGGTCGAAGAAAGGTATCGAGCCGCCTATAGTCCTGCTATAAGGACCAAGGCACACGATGGGGAGGAAAATCGTGCTGCCGAGTGGTAGCGATAATAAGATCAAGTTTTTGTCCAGTTCAAAATGTGGTCCCTGGTATGTTTTTGACTGACTTTGGTCCCAAGACGATCGACTTCTAGGGTTGACACAGACAAGGGTCTACACTCTTAAAGATAATGTATCTAGCGGCAGCTAAACCATGAACCAGGAAAGGGGGGGCGTCTGGGGGCGTGAAGGATACAGATCGATTCGGAGGGTATACCGACCAAGGTGGTCTAGCTTACATACAGCATCTGTCCTTGTGGGTTTACTACTGCTGAGTACCGACGACTAAAACGGTGGATAATAGATGGATGGTGACAACTGAGCAGTTGGAGCGCCACCGGGATGTTATATTGGCCCAGAGCTAGTTGGGTGCAACATGAGCAACCTGAGCGGTTATCGACAGGTCAGAGATCGATGATGCCCAAGACTCTTCCTCAACTAATTGTCCTTCTTTTCTTCTCTGGTCCATCTTGGATGGTGGTGGCTAACAATCCTGCAGAAGTACATACTGTAGGAGCACCATTAGTCTGTTGATGTAAAGCGGCCAAGACATTCCTGCTCCAGGGCCGTGGACGGTGATGGGCCAGCGGGAGTGCCAACTGGGGATCCGCGATCAAAGCCAAAGGTTAAGATCCTGGGAGTCAACAGGGGGAAATAAGAGAGCAAATAGCATTTGCTTTTCGGGTGATTCTTCAACAGGCGGGGGGACACAGTACAGTAGTGTAGATCACTCGATACTTTCCATAAAGTATAACTAGTACTTTAAACGTGGATAAGCAACCGAGGTGCTATACCTGTCGGCAGGAGCCAAGTTGAAACTAATAGTTCCTAGAGACTGTGGTATCTGCATTTTAGGATATCGTCCCAGAACGTAGTGGCTCTAACCTCCACCGCGCTACGTTCGGTGATGGTGGCTTCGGAGGGACCTGGCCAACAGTTCAATTGTTCTTGCTTGTGAGGCTTACTGTACGAGGCCATGACCCCTGTGTGTATACGAATGCCGGGACCGGGGCACCAGGGCAGCAAAGCCGGGGCCCCGATGCCTTCCCAAGAGTTGATGGGCATGGGGGTATCAGTGTTGACGTGAGTGATGCTCCCCCTCCTGCATCAGTCCCCAGCAGACGTCAAGTTCTAGCTTTATTAGTGTGAACCATTGACAGTGCGGAACTTGCCCAAAGTCTGATTCAGTGGGCTGAGAAGAAAAGGGACATCAGAAGTCATGCTCGTCCAGCCAAGATCTCAAATGGCTAGGGGCACTTTTGATAACAGGGCCCCAAGGTCAAAATCCCAGCAAACAAATAACATGCCCCATCCCACTTAATATCTTGAGACAGAGCATTGCCGCCGGAGAGTTGGTCCATGGTCCCTGAGGCGCTCCATTAATCCGATTCGTGCCATAGTGATGCTGAATTGGGTCGTTACAAATACAGTATATTGCGTCTCAGCTCAGGTACTGTTACCCCTTCTCTCCACTTGTTGTTATGTGCACGTACTAGTATTTCGACACCGGATGTTGGATCCTAGAACCCGCCGACCCGATTTAGGAAAAGGAAGGGAAAAAGCAACGTTCAGGCTGTGCCAAAAACGACAAAGTCGTTTTGAGTACGGATACTTCAACATGACTTAGGAGGAAAATGGCCTCGGCTTTTCCAAGGTAGGTGTGTGGTCAGATGCCGATAACCAAACAGTTTATTCTTCTTCCTCTTCTTCTTTTCTTGTCACATTCCCAGCCGTTGGACAATATCCGCAGGATGAAGTCAATTCGTGTGTGAAGGTCCCATTTCCCCTGAGATCTTTCTACCTCATTGCATGCAGAGTTTGAAATTAGTGGCACAGGTACATGACTTCCCAGCCCAACCTGGCCTCAACCAAGTTGTGGGTAAGCAAAGTGGTTGATATCCGCAAGATCATCCTAATGCGGTAAAGGGCTCGAAAAACAAGGTTCAGTCAGAACGCAAACCACTCAGTGGACGTTATGGGTGAAAAAGGTCAGTTCTCAATTTGATGGCATATGTATATTGCCTATTGCTAAGCGGTGCCCTCCTCGGTCGGACTTTCAATTTGGTTGTATGTCTGTGCGTCGATAATGCCTCCCTGTCTGTTCTGACAGCTTCTGAGAGAGATGAGAGATTATTGTGAAGGGAATTCACTTGGCAAATATCGTTTGCCGGGGTCCCGGGCCTATCGATATTGCAGATCTCTCCAGATTTGTGGAAACTACCTTGAAGACACAATTAAGTACCGTGGTAGCGACCCAAAAACCTCCCGAAATAATGACACCGGAGCAAGGAACCTGCTGTCCGGCTACTCAGTTCTAACGAACGATCCGCGCTCAGCATGGATCTGGGCTCAAATTGATTGCAGAGTCCTTGTACAGGATCCCCGGCAGGCAGGTAGCGTAGCTGCCTGTCAAGATATCAATCAAAGTCTCAATATGATCCGCCCGACTGGCTGCTGCTTCAGCATGAACTTGAAAAGACACCGTATCGCCTGCAGTCAGAGACATGCAGCGAGCGAGGTTCGTCGACGCCACCAAGTCTTTTGAGTGGTGTCCAAACGAATCCATGGTAAGCTCCATGCTGGTGGTGTCTTGGTTGAGAAACAAGCAGATCTTATCCATCCATCCATCCAACCATTCATCCATGCTGCCCTGCGCTGCACTTGCTAGGCGAAAAAGAGCTAGGTGCCAGCATATGTGCATATGTACCCAGGCATAGCTAGCCCAGGTCACCTCAAGGAGCATACAGTAACATCCAATCCTTCAAAAATTGAAGGGAAAGCGTAGATTGATGCTGGACTATGGGAATTGCACGGGGTGGCCAAAGAGTTCAGATTTTCCGGGGACATATCCCGTACTCCAAGTCGATCAGAGGATACTCCCGGCGCTAAGATGGGACTGGTCTGGGCGAAGCCTGCGATAATTGCTTGTGTTGTGGAAGCAGCAGATATGTGGCTAAAAGCGGCTGCAATGCCAGTTGCTAGAGAAAGTTTCATTGATTGATGCGGATCAAAGAAGACGTTTCGATGGTGACAAATTTTGTTGACTACGAACATCGGAACTTCAGTCGTGGCATAAGGCAAGGCAGGCAGGTGCAGATGCAGGTATTAGCCAGCAAAACAAAGACAGCAGGAGAGGAGCTTGACTGTCTTAAGCAGGAGCCCCCCTACCGCAGACAGGAGGCAGGCTAAGGTGGACTTTCCCAACAGCCTGCCTTACAGTATCCGTAATGGACTGGACCTCCAACAGAGCAGGCAGGTAGCACAAGAGCAGGAGCAATTCAGTAGGTAAATGATGAGCCTGCTTGCTTGGCAGGGACTACGGATACTCACCCACTCACTGATTGACGGGAATCTATAGTCCCGCATGTGCACGTGCCCTGACGTGCACTGAACTTCCTATTCGGGGACGCACAGATCTCCCTAAGAGCCCGTTCTACCTGCGCTATCCCAGTTTAGCCTCTCCACTTCAGCTACTCTAGCCCCACTAGTCTCGTCAAGTGCCGGGTCCCCAATAACCACCTGATTTGCTCAACTCAAACCTCTCTGACTTCAATAATTTGTGATGGACTCGAGATCATCAAATTTACCACTTTAGGAAGCCTATTCGTAGACACAGTCCAAGTGCCAAGGACAGTCGTCTGATGTGCAATTGAATTCCATCTCTTTTCGCCACCTGAAACGACCCTCATGCTTATTCTCATCTCCAATCTTCCCATTCTGTTCCTGTTTGTGGCGTCACAACCAACTATTTGATTCTAAGCAAACTACATATGTCGAAACTCACGCAAACTGGATCAAATACCTAAACGATACCAGATGGTCTCATTCGCCCCCTCGGCATAAATTCCAACCAATCTGACCCGGCGGAGGGAGGCGCCGCGAATGGTCATTGGCCGGCAATCCCAAAAGCTTCTGGATGCAACGATAATGTGGTATTAACCTTTCACCTAAAGACATACATATGTAATTGGAATCAACCCACCTCGTCATCACTTCCAACACCCCAGGAATAGTTGTCTCGAGGTTTGACTATGTCAGGACAGCGGATCTGGCAGGAGACGCTTGCGCCTCACAAGTCGCCTCAGATCTCCACGACGCACAATGCATCCCAACTTTTTTTTATATGGACCAATCAGCCGAGAAGAATTCGAGACAGCAAGTCCTCATTTCCGATCGAGACCTCGTGCAGGAAACGCCAAGCTCGGGTGTCTTGGGAGTGCGTTCTCAGAAAGCTTATGGAGGCGGGAAACAACGTCGACGTGTCGATTTGTGGGTGATACAGATACAGACCAGGTGCCTCATCTCATTTCCATGTTGTGGGGGGCAATCAATGCCACCTGAAGCAATATTCTGAGAAGCAATATTGTTTCTTCGCATCCGGTGACGGATACGTCACTTGTCAGGCCATTCACTTTTCTGTCTGCGGTTATCAGTCGATTGATCGTGGACTGATGGAGAGGAATTCGTTATCAAAATGAGACTAGGTTGCGAGTTCCCTGCGTGTCGGAACGAGGGCCCTTGCAGTAAGTGGTTGAACCCCACGATGGCCATTGGACTATATTTTCCGTGCCCCGTCCCGACAGATAGATGTTACACAACGTTTAACTCCAGGGATGAAAGGTCTCGAGTTACGCAAACTTCAAAGCTCACCCTCAAGCGAAAAGATACCGATGATTCTACTGTGCGGCTCAAGGTTAGCAACCTGTCATAGCTGCCAACGCGTAGCGTAGCCACATGGGTGTCTACCAAGTTATCGATGACATCGGAAGTACCTTGGTCCATGGCTACCTCTGACTACCAATTGGAGATGAGCAATCCTTTCATGATTGGTTGAACGATGGTCAAAGATAACATTAAAGCCGGATCCACTGCCTAGGAAGCACCTTTGGTCTTAGATCTCGACCATGAAACCTTTGCAAAAATGTCCGACACCTTGCCCATTTCAGCACCAACAAGAATTAAAGACAGAAGCTAAAACTTGTGACCAGAATCCCATGCAGTCACAGCAAGGTCCGAGTTATCTGTTTCAACTTCCTTGGTGAAGAAGAACTAAGCAACGGAAGCTGTTGATCCGTGTCCTCAGTTGAGTCAGTTCATCGTTGCCAAGCTCAAGACCCCCAATCATAAAAGGGAAATTGTCCGCTTCACTCTCCAGTTCAGGTAAATTGCACAGACCCCCTAGGCCAAACAGAGGAGCCAAACTTGAGACCTGCGGAATTTTGGTGGGAGCGAGGCTAGAATACGGTCTGTTCTTTGATCACCGAGACAGGTTTACGAGATGACTGCCTCCTGGTCTGTCTCTCTATTCCTCCGTATACGACATACGATGCGCTCACAGTCAGCATCTCTTCCTTTTCATTCCCACGAAACATTTCTTATTCCAGACTTCAGTATCCGTACACCCAAGCCACTACCTACGTAGGGGCAACAGTTTAGAATGCATTACGTCTGCATGGGGATTTATTGGGAGATGCCCTCGGGGTTGCAAACAACGGCTTCTTCCGCACTTCAAACGTACTGCATCTACTGTTTGTCTGCCATTCCAGATCAGGTTGGACAGTATCGAGGTCGCACCGCTACAGCATGTGCAACTGTCATAGATTATCCTGTGAGTATCTGTTGAGTACAGATATATGCTCAGAAAGTGAGGGCTTGCATCTATTTCCCTACCGACTACTGTAATATCACCACTGTTGCGATATCTGATGCTAAATGCAGTTGCTCCAGAGCCAATGAGAGCTGATGAGGCTGCCGATCACTAATGCAATGACCACAGCGTGACGTGCTCTTTGACTGGTCTCACAGCTACCTGTGCCACATCACTGCTTTAGCTAGCTTTATATCCATTCCTCATTGCAGCTAAGAGCACGGATATGAGATTGAGTTTTTATCTGTTTTCCAGCACCATGAAATCGGACCGGTGATGCAGGAACAAGGAATTCTTGAGCCGCTAGCAGCCTCAAAGTCTGTGAATCAAAGCGCCAGGCAATACGCCTCTGTATCTTGGACGGGATTAGGTTAAGCGCAGGAGAGGGCAAACGGCGAGAGATGCAGCCCACTCGCTTGGATAAGTTGGTGTTGGACAAGGTTTCTTTTTCCCTGGGATCGATTACAGGGGCAAGGTTAAATGGCTCGGCCGAGTCCCGGAACTAAGAGAAATGACAAAGCCATAGTGGGTTGGCGATAATTCATCCATCGACATCAACTTTCACAATGCATGTCTAGGGTAGCCAGCACGTACTCAGCAAGTGCTGAGAGACAATGGCTGGATGGATGTCATATACCTAGCCAATGGCTCTGTTACGATTGATCGGTACCTTCAAGGTTTAAGGTAACTCACTTTACTGTGGAAGATAAATCGTTTATTAACTAGCGATCTTGGGCGCAATTGCTAAAGACGTCGAAGTAGGGTGCATCCCCAAAACTATTATCCAAAGTTAACGGGAACCCCGACATTGACAGACTCTCCGATCATGCAAGCGACCACCTACATACAAAAGTAGGGCTTGGACTTGGCGAATGAAATCTATGATGAATCTTGAAGCTCGTTCAAACCTACGATTTGTGGACGGCGTTGCTAGAACTTCACAGCCCTATCAGATGCCAGTGTGGCCGGAACCTTAGCTCACTGGTCAAAAGCAAATTCGATGCTGCAGTCACTTGATTCCCATGTAAAAAGGCTAAGTACTACGGTATTTTGAGAGCTCCGCGGGGAGTTTGCGTTGGCTAAATGAAGGTTGACATGTCGATTGTTAGAGCTGAGTCAAATGGATATCAGAGCGAGCATTGCGTCTGTCTACAGAGCAATTAGAGGCAACGCTAGTTGAAATGCAGCTCAATGCTAACTACCTAGCTAACTAATGAGACTTACCATCGACAGGTGATGCGAGCTGAGGAAGGGTCTATCAGAGAGAGCATTTATCCTACAATACCATCAGCATGAATACCAATCAACATCTTGGTTGAAGATAATCAAGACAGAAAACATAAGATACACTGTGAGATAGTATGCGATACTGCGACTACAATACAGTGCTTAAGCAAACAGGAGGTTATATGCACTGTGACCCAGTAAATGCAACCATAAACTGAGTTGGTTGGATGGTGGTGGAGGCTGACGCATTGTATCGCACGACTGTCATCACAAGTTGCACGCAAAAGACAAGGCGGACTGCTATTGCTTGATATCGATAAGCCGCATCGCTGAGAACTTTGGGACACCTCCAATACAGCACAGCAAGCGTCAGCACCGAGGAAGCCACTGCCGTATCTCTTCTTTTTATTTTGCATTCACACTGGCAGCGCGAATGGAACATACGTCATCTGCATCTGCACAGTCGTAGTCCACAGTACCAAGGTATCTATCATGAGCGACCTGCAGCGGGCATGGGCCAAAGCCAAATATGGTATATCCAACGATTCATTCGATGAGCTCCAAGAGGAGCAGGATCAAGACATACTCCCTGAGCTGCCGGAGCCTGTTGACGATGACTCCTCATCAGCCTCGTCGGCCTCATCAGTCTCATCAACCGGAACCATCATCCCCTCGCCAAACCAAAAGCTGTTCGCTCGACCTCAAGGGTAGTTGACAATCAAATATGCTATCGAGTAAAACATCACGGGACTGACAGGCTATAGAGTCGCCCGTGGCAGGACCCTGGAGCAGATCCCCTGGACGACTTACTTTGAGCGCGAATTGTCCCTGAAGTCAGAGCAGGATCCGGAAGTCATCCACCATGCTTATCTGACATCGCCAGTGGGCAAGGGGCCATTATTTGTGATGCACCATGGAGCTGGGTCATCTGGACTGTCGTTTGCTGTTGTGGCTTCAGAGATAAGAAAACGTCTCTCCACAGCCGGTATCCTGGCTATAGACTGCAGGGGTCACGGCTCGACGTATGCCCCCGGCGACAAGGCTTTAGATATGAGACTGGAAACACTCTCATCGGATCTTTTCAACGTCGTTCAGCTTACGAAAACTGAAATGGCATGGTCAGAGATGCCTCCGATAGTGCTCGTGGGACACTCCCTAGGCGGAGCCGTTGTAACCGATCTGGCCAAGTCAGGCAAGTTGGGGACATCAGTGCTGGGCTATGCTGTGCTGGATGTTGTCGAGGGCTCTGCTATTGATGCCCTACAGAGCATGCATACCTACTTGTCTACGCGACCGATGGGCTTTGCGACACTGCAGGCAGGCATCGAATGGCACATTCGCTCGCGGACTATACGCAACTCGATATCTGCTCGGACGTCCGTTCCTGCACTGCTTGTCTTCAACGAGAATGACGATCCCACGCGGCCATGGAGATGGAGGACCAACCTAGGCGCGACTCAGCCATACTGGGAAGACTGGTTCGTAGGCCTCAGCAAAAAGTTCCTGGAGGCCAGAGGAGGAAAGATGCTCTTGCTCGCCGGAACTGATAGACTGGACACCGAGTTGACCATTGGGCAAATGCAAGGTGCGTTCGCATGTGTTGCTTTCTAACAGCAGATCCTAATCGCGATGACAGGAAAATACGCTCTGCAGGTGTTCCCCGAGGCTGGACACTTTATCCATGAAGATTTACCGGAAAAGACGGCAGTGTCGCTGGTCGATTTCTTCCGCAGAAACGACCGCAGTGCTCTCGTTCTACCTCCAAAGGTGTCCGATCTTATCAAGCAGGGAAAAAGAGTATAAAGACATACCGGTAGACTGGAAAGCTTCAACGTTCCGTTCATGACGTTGGCTTCATTAAACTTTGTTTACGGACGGACCAACAGGCGATATACCGAGAGCCGGGTCATGGTATCATCTGCATACCAAAATGGGCAGGACAACACAGAGCTTTGTGAGCGATGAAACGATGCCGGCATGTTGCCACAGCTCTGGGGTCCAACTGTCTGGGATTTAGATTTGATACACATAACTCCCGATGGTTGTCGAAATCACAGTGACATACAGAAAAGGTGGCGGCGGCGTCTATTGAGCAGAGACTAGAAGGTAGTCTTTGCTCAACGACCGGGCTGGACCCTCAGACCTTCAAATAGAGATAAAAGCTGACGCGCTAGAACAGTCAACTTGGAAGACAAACAAACATCCCCAGAAGTTCGAGACGTTTTATGCTTCATGCCTTCATATTTACTACCAGATGTGCCTGATCGTGTTTTCCCTATTTCGGTGTGCTTGATCCTTGGCAGGTATGCTCAATAGCGCCACGACTATCGAAAGCGGCTAGCTCTTTTTAGTGGCTTTCTATTGAGACATGCATGTATGTACTGCATGTACTGTAACTGATCCTACAATGTTACATTTATATCACCTTGAGGGAACGGTACCATGCGTTGTTTCTCATTCAATTTAAATACTTGGTATGGAACATCTGCTCCATAGGGCGCCGCTCGAGCCGCCTTACGAGTCAATAGCTGAGCTATCTAGCCTTCTTAGGTTCTTTAGCTGAAGTTCTGAGACCCTCATGGGCGGCGAATCCTCCGAGATGGTCTAGAATATGGGGAACTGCGAGACGGCAATTGGCTGTTGGGCGATCTACATATCAATCGGGGGCATTCTATTTTGCCGCAAGACTGCTTCCGAAGGGCCCGCTGGGTTGGCGCTGGTTAGTCCGCCCGCTGGGCTGTTCCACGCACCTAGATTTAATGTAACTAGGCCCTGGCACAGCCCGTAAGCTTATTTAGTTTGAGAAGGAACTGTCTTAAAAGGGAGAGGGGGATCAGGAATCTTTTAAACCCCAGACGCGCGTTCTGAATCATTTACATTATAACTCTCTTTCAGTTTTCTTCCATCTTTTATCTTTCTAACCATCAATCCATTCTCTACCAAATAATCAACATGAAGCTGTCCGTTTTCACCTCCGTTGTCCTCGCTGGCCTCGTTGCCGCTCAGCAAGAGAAGCTCCCCAAGTGCGCTGTACGTCGCAAACTCTCCTCCATCTGCCGATGACCACCACATCGGATCTTGCCACATGCAAAATCATGCTAATATGCGTTTCGTCTCTTTAGCAACCCTGTGTTGACCAGTACACCACTGGCGGCGGCGTCGCTGGATGCGGCCAGCTCGACATCAAGTGCATCTGCAGCAACCAGAACTTCCTCTCCGGAATCGCCTGCTGTCTTGAGGAGAAGTGCGACACTGAGGGCAAGGATACCGCTGTCAAGTACGCCAAGCAGATCTGCTCGACCGCCGGCGTGAACGACCTTCCCGACGATGTGAAGTGCGACAAGAGCGCCGCTTCTGGCAGCGCCTCTAGCGCAACTGGTGCTACTACCCCTACTTCAAGCTCTGGTGCTGCCAGCGCCTCTTCCACTGGCGACTCTGACAGCGCTGACACCAACGCTGGTGCTCGCGAGGGTGCCGCCGGTATCTTCGGCGTCGCTATGGCCATGCTCTTTGCTCTGTAAAAAGGTGTCAAGGATTGGTTCGCATCTGAGTATTTGCCGTTTTGTCAAGAGGAGGCGTGTAATGGTAATGGGCTGCCAGTAAAGCCATTGACTGTTTTTCTATTCGTTCCAAGGCATGGAGAGTTATGGAGTTTGAAACCATGTACTATTACTACGCGGTTACCGCAAGGCCGTCATTGTTGGCGATGATCTACAGTCGGGCGACCTTAACTTGAAGGTTTGTCTAGCTATATATCGGCTATTCGATTTACTTTCTTCAATTGAAATGCGTTAAGTCTCTCATCGCATGGTATCGACATCAATGATTCGAAGTGACTATACGGTAACTACCATTTGAGGTTGGTCGATCCCTAACTATTGGTTGTTGGCTCTTCAGTAGACGAGCGGCGCAATAGCTCTTCTAAATGTTGATCTTGAGCCCCTGAATATAAAGCGGGTTCCGTTGAAGATGGATGAGGTGCTCTTTGATAAACGAAAACGCCCTGGCCAATGACCCCACTAACAACGTCACTGGAAAACGGTGAGCAGCAAGAACAACCCCACCATGTAAGAGCTCTCTAGAAGAATGGTCCAAATCTCTCTCCACCATCATACGTGAATCTTTTACACTTTTGTTGACCGCATACCTTCGATAATGGCTCCCAAGACAATCATCGCTCCCTCCATCCTGTCGGCTGACTTTGCTCAGCTCGGCCATGACTGTGCCCGCACCATGAAGCAGGGCGCAGACTGGCTCCATGTCGACATTATGTACGTTACAACTCAACGGTAAAGCAATTGGTACCGTACTGACTTGACAGGGACGGTCACTTTGTCCCCAACATCACCTTCGGTCCTCCTGTCGTTGCGGCCATCCGAGGCCACGTCGATCAGCCCACTGAGGCCCACGGCCGGGGCACCTTTGATTGTCATATGATGATTGCAGAGGTAGGCATTGCTTCACGAATACGGATGCAAGAAGAAATAGAAGCTTACGCTGGGGATATAGCCTAAGAAATGGGTCAAGGAGTTCAAGAAGGCTGGCTGCAACCTTTACTGCTTCCACTACGAGGCCGCCTTCTCCAGCGCTGCCGAGAACCCCGAGGATCAGACCGACGAAAAGACCAACCCCAAGGCCCTTATCCGATATATCCACGACCAAGGCCTACTGGCTGGTATTGCTATCAAGCCCGATACTTCCGTCGATGTGTTGTGGGAGATTTTGGAGAACAGTGAGGAGAAGGAGAGACCCGATGTAAGTCTGGTTGATGTCACCATAGACCATGTCATACTGATACAGAAGATAGATGGTTCTTGTCATGACCGTTTACCCCGGCTTCGGTGGACAAAAGTTTATGGCATCCGAGTTGCCCAAGGTCCAAGCCTTGCGCGAAAAGTATCCCGAGCTCAACATCGAAGTCGACGGTGGTATCGGACCCAAGACAATCGACGAAGCTGCCGATGCTGGTGCCAATGTCATTGTGGCAGGAAGCGCTGTTTTCGGAGCCAACGATCCCTCCGAGGTTATCGCCCAGCTACGCCAGTCGGTTGATGCTCGAAATGCGAAGTAAGTTTGTACGATGACATATTGCAAGAGTATATAGACAGGAGTTTAGCAATGATGTGATGAGAGATGAATGAATATGTGAAAAGTTAGTTGGAGGTTCTCAAGAGATGCTCGCATATCCCAGAGTTTCTAACGTCTTGGCTCAGTGCTTCTCGTCGTCCTACGTCGTTACTCTGAGATGGTGGGGTTGCAGTGATATTGTGAGCGCGAACCTGGGCGCATAATTACGGACGACGTTGCAATGAATCTTATGCTGCGTCCTGTAGAGTCTCAGTGTGTGTCTCTCTTTCACATTTTAGACGATTGCTATTTGACCAGATTTTCAGCAGCGCCTACTTGCATATATGCTGCGCATACTGAATGGTTTTATGCTATCATGCTGCTCCAGCTAGTGATCGAACGAGGTCCACTATCGGCCCCATCATCATGGCTGCTCATGTTTAGCGCCCATGGCTGTTCATGAGGAGCTGGTCGAGAAACAGAAGAAATGGGTGCAATTTAGGACATGATAAATGTCAATTAAGTGATAAAAGCTCGAATAATATGTGGAAGTCTCCAATAGTCGAACAAAACTTTGTGGCATTAGTCTCTAAGCGTTGATCATTGGCAGGGTTTATGGTGGTCCTAAAGTTGAGGATGGGTCGATTTTCGGAACCAAAAATTTCAAAGATTGGCGACGTCAGCCCATTCTTTGCGACTTCGCTCACACAACCATCCATACTTTTCCTCGCATCCTTAATTCCTTTCCAGCAGCAACCCTCTCCCTCTCGCACAACTTCTCAGACCCAAATCAATTGCGCGAGCCATCATGAAGAGAAAAGCGGGAGCTGCTGCTGGTGCCTCCAAGGCCAACAAGAAAAAGTCAAAGCCTTGTGAGCATTGTCAATGGCACCGTTCGCAAGCTTCTACTAACGAATTGTCTTAGCTCTCGGTGCCGAGGATGCCCAAAAGCGATTCCGCGCTGGCCTTTTCGATAAAAAGGTTCTCAATTCGTACACGGAGCAGTATGCTCAATCGGAACCCTACAAGCACGCCGTCATCAATGGCCTCGTCGACGATTCCCTCCTTCGATCGGTGCGCAGTGAGATCAAGGCCAACGTTGAGTTCACACCCAAGGAGACCGATATTTACAAGATCCACCAGTCTGGAGATCTTGCCAACCTCGACGGACTGGACGATGAGTCGCTAGCCAAGCTGCCTTCGCTCCTCAAGCTTCGCGACGCCATCTACTCTGAGTCCTTCCGCAACTATGTTTCCCACATCACCGACTGTGGCCCACTGAGCGGTCGCAAGACAGACATGGCCATCAACATCTATACTCCTGGCTGCTACCTGCTCTGTCATGACGATGTCATCGGCAGTCGTCGCGTCAGCTACATCCTCTACCTCGTCGATCCCGACACGCCTTGGAAGCCCGAATGGGGTGGCGCACTCCGTCTGTTCCCTGTCCAGGAAATTAAGGATAAGAATGGTGAGGTCGCAAAGACACCGCTTCCCGATGTTTCAAAGGTTATTCCACCAGCATGGAACCAGCTGAGCTTCTTCGCTGTCCAGCCTGGCGAGAGTTTCCACGATGTAGAAGAGGTTTACCACGCAGAGACCAAGAAGCAGCTCGAGAAGGAAGGAGGTCGCATTCGTATGGCTATCAGCGGATGGTTCCATATTCCCCAGATCGGAGAGGATGGCTACATCAAGGGCGAGGAGGAGAGAAATGCTAAAAACAGCGGCTTAATGCAGCTCCAGGGCAACCCTGCTCAGTACGATATGCCCCAACCTCAGGTCATGAAGGTCGACAAGTCACAAGCCAGCCAAGGCTTTGATGAGGCGGACCTCGAGTTTCTGCTCAAGTACATCTCTCCTGCATACCTGGTCCCAGACGCTTTAGAAGAGATCTCCGAAACTTTCAATGAGATGTTCGAGATTACTCTACCAGACATTCTGGGTAAGAAATTTGCCAAGCGCCTCAGGGACTATGTTGAGGCTGAGGAGAAGAAGCCTGTGCCTGAAGATACACCTACGATAGAAAAGACCTCCCCATGGCGAGTGGCCAAGCCTCCCCACAAGGCTCGATACATGTACCAACAACCTAGCGGACCTGATCAGCTTCGCACCTCTCAGGAGGAGTCGCCCATTACTGAGCTTCTTGACATTTTTCTGCCAAGTCGACAATTCCGCCAATGGCTCCAGATGGCCACCAAGACCACTGTTGAGAGCGCAGATCTTCTTGCCCGTCGTTTCCGACGTGGCCTAGACTACACTCTTGCAACTGGTCATGAGGGTAAAGCACGCGTCGAAATCAACCTTGGTTTCACACCCACAAATGGTTGGGGCGAGGATGAGGGAGAGGACACCGAAGAGGAAGCTGAGGAGCAGAATGGCAAGGACGTCAAGGGTAAGGGCAAGGGTAAAGCCAAGGCTGTCGAGAAGAAGAAAGAAGAGGAAGAGGAGGTTCCAGAAGTTGGCGGGCAAGAAATCTTCATGTCAGGCGACGATGATGCCGACGAAGACGCAGCCGTGTACAAGGCAGGCGGTGATGATGATGACAACATCCTCTTCTTCCAGGCTCCCACTTGGAATAAGATGACCATTGTCATGCGTGACAGCGGCGCTCTCAAGTTCGTCAAGTATATCAGCAAGAGTGCCAAGGGCGACAGGTGGGACATCTCTGGCGCCTTTGAGGTCGAAGAGGAGGATGACGAAGACGACGACGACGATGATGCCGCCGAAGATGATGACGAGGAGGAAGAGTTCCAAGGCTTTTCACCCAAGGGCACAGAGAGCGAATCTGATTGAATAAGAAGACATATAGATTGATTTGCAATCTTGCTACGATAGATACCATGACACAAAAGCACGGCAATGATTTTTAGTCTATTTGAATAATGATAAATTCGCATTGTCTTATTTCCCAAAATAATTCTTAAGAGTTCCTTTGAACTCGATCGTGGTATCGCTATGTCCAACTCCCTATGTATCGCCATAATTCCAATTTCGTATATACATGATCCAATTTGTGAAGGTCTGATGCCAAATTGGCGATCGAACACTCCCGCCCCATGTTCATCTCTTCCACAGACCGGTAGAAAACAAAGTCATGTTGAGAGTAAACCGAGGCGTGTAGCCCGAGTCTTCCGTTATTCCAGAGCTGGCTCCAATTTGTTGTTGTTGAAGAGACTGGCCACTTCTGCCTGTAGTAACTCTGTGACACCTTGGGCTTCCTGAGTCCTGCCAGACTGAGACAAGTGATTGACCGTATCGTGTCCCAGAAAAGCAAGCCACGATACAGTGCTTAATTTTGCAGGCTTTGCCTTCTTAGGCCCAATAGTAGTAACCAGTTTTCGAAGTCTTTCCTTATCTTTGAAGAAGTTGAGCGCAGGAAGATGGTCGGGGTGTGTTGGGTGATAGAGATGAAGGTGAGCACGTTCCAAAAGGAAGGGCTGAGGCAAGCGATCAGCTGTAGCAATGTGAGCATCAAAAAGCTCTTCGGATGGCGCGGGTCGACTGTAAGACTCGACGGTGGAGAACCATGATACAGAACGCCATGAGGAAACCAAAAGATCCGAGAGCAAGGGGCTGGCCTTGAACAATTGCTGCGCTTGCAACATGGTGGAGATGCCTGAATCAAGGTTGCCATACTGGGGCTGACACTTTGTCTTGACAAGTTCTCCGAGTAGATAGGATGCTCTCTTGAGGCGCTTTTCCTTTGGCAAGTTTCTAGATGTGTCGTTGACTGTTCGCACCAGCCATTCCCATGCAACCTCCTCCATGCCCTCTGCCACTAGGAACGGAGCCAGTGTACGGATAAAAGTCTGGTTGTCCATAAATCGCAAGTCTTGCTCGGCGCCACATGACCGAAGCCATCTTATAACACGTCCCGATACACCTGATGTAGCGAGACCTGCCAGACCGGCTTCTTGTGCCTGAAGTTGCTTTGCCTTGGCGTGCATGCAACCGATTGCAGCCTTGGGTGTCATCAATCCTCGAGCTACAGCATGGTCGAAAACTTCTATGGGATCACGCGTTGGCGTTGCTAGAGCGGGCGGCGATAGACTTGTAGGGAATGTTGATTTGACATCTTTGTTGTAGCTGAATAGCGGGTTGGCTAGAATATCTTTCAAATGAAGGTTCGCAGCTGATAGTCGGGCAGGATTTGTTGGATCAACGGATTTCGCGACAGGCTGGGCTGGACTATTGGAGCTCTCTCCATATTCACGATCAAGTTGCTTTCGAAATGATGTCTTGAGACCGTCAAGAAGCTTCTGAGACTGTTGTTTCGACAAGGGTAGGGGTTCGTGATATGATGCGAATAGATTCTTAAGCGACTGAACCGACTTGGTGGTAAACATGACAGGCAAGAGGGCAATTGAGGTGAGCAGGTAGAGATATCGATGACAAGCCTTGCCCTAGGAGAAGCCGATATGATGGCGGTTCAACAGATCGTCACGTACGTCGCAAAGGGCGGGGTTATGGTTGATGTGCTTTGGTCATGCGTCCTCGAATTGGACCTGGCATGATGCCATCGTCGAACGAGACAGCCACAAAGCGGGACTCTTTCAGGGGTCATGTGATGTGAGGGGTTGAGCCTCGGGTGGCTGAGCAACCAACGACTCGGATGTTATATCCATTCTGAACTCAGTTATTGAGTAATTCTATCAATTGGCTACAAGAAACTGGAGCAAATACTATCTAATAGAATTACCAACGTCTTGATCATCATCCCTTGGAAAAGGTTTGACGGATTGAACGTGAATATCAATCGATGTTATCCAAACCAAGGAGGGAGCTTGGGTGGATCCAGCTGCGCTAAGAGTGCTAAGGGTTGCAGCAACCCCCTGGCTTGAATTAATGGCCTGTCCGCTGGTGTATCAAGACTTCGATTGAGATCTAGCCTCTTCTTTTCGCGGGCTTGATTGATGGTTGCAAAAGTACCGGTACATAGATCTTTAAAAGGGTACCTGACAGCAGCCAGCCTCACACATGGAACCATGAGCGTGAACGCTGACAGGCGAACTTTCAGGTGCCGCAGCCTCAAACAAGCAAAGGTGCTCTATTGACGAGAAGGCGCCGGAGAGGTGGCCTGTGTAACCGCCAATTGCGTTTTGATAAGACTTGAGCACAGCAGAGAAAAGAGCGGTGATGGGAGCGTCCATCTAGGCATGCATTGGATTGCATAGACTATTGTCGAGGGCATGTTTGGCTCTCCGCATGAAGCACTTGATAGGCACGTCCCTGTCTCTGAAGAGCGAATGTGACGTCCTTCTCCAGCATCCATATCCAAGTGCGATTCTTTGTTACGTGCTCGTGTGGGCTACTCGCAGGGGCCCGAACACGGCGAGCTTCATGATCCTTGGTTGGATTTGGGGCTAAGCGACCAAGGGAAGGCATCTGTCTCTCTAAAGTTCGAGGTACCGAGTGACACGAGAACGGATAAGGACAGGAGACGTGAATCATGTAGCTGTACTTACGGCCATGCCGTTGAGGGACTGGACGCCACCTGGCAAACAGTCTCCAATGTTTAGGGCGATCTGCTTCCGGCCAGGGCAAAGTGTCGACGTCGGACGTTTGCAATTGGATGAACCAATTTGAGTCCGTCCAGTCAGTGCATCGTGAGCCACCCGCTGTATGAGAGCTGGGAAATAGTGCAGTCAGAGTGTCTTTCAGGGGCTGACAAGCCTGAAGGAGGAACACCAAAGGCTGAACTGGGGTGCGGGCAAGGCGCTAGAGGCAAAGCCTTCGTAACCTCCTCCACTGCCACTGATTCGGATGCCCTGAAGGTCGAGCTAAAGCCCACCTCAAGGTTCTTTGCTTCTGGGGAAAACCTCGTCTTATCCTGTCGTCTCCTCCTCCTCTCTCCCTTTGACCTAGCACCAAATCTAACCCTTCTAACCTTTAACTCTTTCTCCATCATTTGACCTCTCCTTCCCATCGACGCCCTCATCTGTCGACTACGGATACTCAACCTGCCTGTTGCTCCTTCAGAGGACAGCTGACAGGTCACTACCTTTTTTCTTCCATTGATTCCCTCTCCACACTTTGAGCCTCCATAGCTCTCCTCCCGCACAACGTTGACTTCACGCACACGCACACACAACATAATCAACCACAACCCATCTAATGTCCGAAGCGACTTCACGGACGTCCGCCTCGCGCGGCAGAGGCTCTGGCCGCGGTGGTAGAGGAGGTTTCGCCGGTCGCGGCGGCCGACGAACCAATGGCGACAAGCCCGACCATAGCACCGCTGATTCTCAGGGTGCATTCGAAGACGAAGGCGATTTTGGCGAGCTTCGAAAGCAATATGGCGAGAAGACTTCAGTGATCCGGGAGATGTTCCCCGACTGGTCTGAGGCCGATGTCCTTTTTGCTCTTCAGGAAACCGACGGCGACGAGAACGAAGCCGTCACCCGTATCGCTGAGGGTATGTCAGGCTTTTTATCCACAATCGACCTCAGTCCACCCCTCGCGCTCAGGCTACACACACATCCACGAGCTGCTGAGATAGCTGCGCGTCGATTGCCCCCTCCATGACCTCATACTCTCTAATTGTGCTACTAACACATGCTCTTCTCTAGGTACCGTTTCGCAATGGGGTGAAGTTTCAAAGCCTAAGAAGGCTTCTCGAGCTAAGGCTAAGGACCAAGCTCCTACTCCTTCGAACGACGCGACATCTACTGGGCCCCGAGCCGCTCGTGGTGGTCGAGGTGCATCTGAAGGAGGTCGCGGTCGAGGCCGAGCTACGGAGCGAGGAGGTCGTAGCACACGTGGCCGCCCTGCTGCTGCTCCTACCAACGGAGCTGGACCCAAGGAGAACGCTGCCTTGTCTATTCCTACAGAGGAGTCATCTGTTTGGGGCACTAAGGATCCCAAGGTGGGCACCTCTGAGGATAAGGAGAGCGCTCCTGAACAACCTTCCCTCTCTGCGACTGTTGAGGCACCCAAGCCTGCTGCTCCCGCAGTAAAGACCTGGGCAAGCATGCTGCGACAGTCGGCTGCTCCCAAGGCCCCGCCTAAGCCTAAGGAAGCTCCCGCCGCTCCTCAGCCAGCTGCTGAACCTGCTGAACCTGAGTCTGCCCCCGAACCTCTCGAACCCGAGCCTGAGGCTGTGCCCGAGCCCGAGCCCGAAACCGCCCCTGCCCCCGCCGACGAGACTGAAGAGACTACACCCGTTGCCGATACCGCTACTCCCGCCGAAGCTCCTCAAGTTAGCGTAGAGCCCGAGGTTGCTCTCCCTCCCTCCAAGGATGAGCTTACCGAATCAAATCTTGAACAGGTTGTTGACGAATCCAAACCGCCTCCGGAAGGTACTGTCGCAAGCACCACGGCTGACTCTTGGGATCCTCGACAGAACCCTGCCAGTGTTAATGCTACACCTATCTCAGCTGCCCAGCAGCAGCATCACGCTCCTCCCAGCGGATTCGCCGCAACTGCCGCCAAGGCTACTGCTGAGCGAACTACCCGCGTTCCTAGCCACCATCACCAGCGACGTGTCCTCGACCAGGAGGAAGCCGTGCGTATGCCCGGCAACCGTGAGGTTGACCGTGCTGCCGTTCAGTTTGGAGCTTTCAGCCTGAACGGGGATGAAGACATTGATGGTGACCGAGAGGAGCCAGAGACCAGAGCTCAGCCTCCCGCTGACTCACCTGTCACTCACCCTCGCACATCGCTTCCTCCTGCCACTCAAGCTGGCGTACCCGACTCATTTGCTCAGAAGCCCGCTCCTGCGGTTGCCCCGATTGCAGCCCCCACTGGTACGATATTGTTTTCAAGTTCGCCGTTCCGTCTGTTTGCTGACCAGGTTACAGTTCCTTCTGCTCAATCCCAGGCTCAGGCTCAGGCTCAGATGCCTGGCCAAGTTCCTGCTTCCAGCGCTCAGCAATACGGCCGCTTTGGTCAAGCTGGTGCTCAGGACCCCATGGCCGCTCAGAAGCCATTGGATCCTTTCAACCAGCAGAGCACCCCCTCCTCTCAACCTCCCTTCGACAACTTCTCCTCTCAAACATCCCAGGCACAACAGCCTGGCGGCGCTTTCAGCTCTGCGCCTACCGACTACGCTTCTTACTACACCGCGAACCAAACCGACCGAAACGCCTACAACTACTACAACCAGCAATTCGGCCAGCAGGGAGGACAGGGCCCAGATGCCACTGCCTCTCAGCGACCCTTTGGTGCCTATGGAGCTTCTCAAGCAGACAACCTTAGCCAATACCCCCAGAGTGGTCTGCACAACCAGCCGCGATTCGGTGGAAGTGCCGCGGATGCCCAGAACAGCGGCAACAGCACTCCCAACCCTACTACTCAGGCTCAGCAGCAACAGGCCCAACAGCCTGCTCAGCAACAGCAGCCTGGCCAAGGCTCTCAACCCCAGTCACATGGCCAGTATTCTCAATACAACCATCCTTACTACAGCAACCCCTACTATCACCAATACTACTCTGGATATGGTCAGGGAGGATTTGGTCCTTACGGCAAGGGAGGCATGTACGGCCAGCCCTACGGCATGTCCCCCAACGCCCCCTATGACCACAGCTCATCCCCCGCTGGTTTCGGCCAGTCTTCCCTCCACCGGGACAGTGGTCTGGGTTCTGGTCTGGGCGATTACGGTCGTGTTGCCACCAGCCAAGCTGCCAGCCAGCCTGGTCTTGGCGCCAGCTCTTTCGGCAGTGTTCATGATAGCTTCGCTCGCGGAGGCGCTCCTTTCCAGACCCAAGGCCAGTCATTCAACAGCCCTGGTCAGCCTGGCAACGCTGTCGCCGATGATCTGAAGCCCCCATTCGGTGATTCCAAGGCTGGATCTGGTCCTTCGCCTTCTCTCGGCGGCGCCCGCCCTGGGTCGGCTACCAATGCTCCTGCTGCCCAGACTGGTCTCCCGCCCCCTCAGAACTATGGCGGTTACCCTAGCCACCTCCAGGGCCATAACCTGCAGCACGGCAGCAACGCCTACGGCATGGGTGGTAACGCCGGTGCCAGCCAGCACGGAAACAGCCCCTACGGTTCGTATGCCCAGGGCTTCGGTGGTAGCGGCTACTATGGCGGTCAGCAGCAGCAGCAGCGCGGCGGCTGGGGAGGCAACTACCACTAGAATAGCAGTGTGCAATTCGGTGGCTCTTGAGAAGGATGTAAGATTTAAGGAGAAAGAAGGAGAGGAGAAAGGGTTGATGAACGATGATTAGGAGTCAGGGGTTATAATCAGCATGATGCATATGGCTCATCCGTGGAGCCAAACGAATATTCTCTCTCACACCTCAATGTGTCTACGTGTACGATTGTTTCTTTTTTCGAGAATCACCTTAAGAGAAGATCAGGGTGGCATATGGCAACACAAACCAAACCAGAACAAAACAAAGAAAAGAAAAACGGAATAGGACGGAACGGAAGGGCAGGGCGTTTCGCCATGGTCTTTTTTCTTTTCATTTTCAACTTTCGAGTTTCACCCCCACTCTCATTCTGCCTGGCCTTTGTGCTCTTCTCTTGTTCAGGTCGAAACCAACAAACAAACGAGACTGCGTGCGTGTTATTTTCTTTCTTTCCTGCCGTTAGGAACTGCTTGCTTGCTTTGATGAAACATGGTTCTTTTTATTGGGTTGTTATTCGAGGGAGAGAGGGCTCAACTGCAACGGCTGGATTGTTTTTTGTTCACTCACAGGCCTTTTCTTTTTTTGGGGAGGGAGACTGGGATGAACGTGTTTCGTTTAACGATCGATATGTATTCTTTCCAAGGACAAAGGGGAAAAAAGGCAATGCAAGGCGTGCACGGGAGAAGGCAAGGCAAAGGTTAGGACATGGGATTGGTTCGGCTTAGGCATGAGATTGAGAAGTCCATTTATACGGGCTTTGATCCAATGATATCAATTAAAATAAGAAAATCTTATTGGAGAGGCATGATTGTTTATTACAAGTGATGACTGCACTTTATACCTTAGTAGTTATTGATGATATATAAGATGGACATGTCAGTAACAAACCTGGATGTTCAATGGAATTTGTAAGCTTTGGGGGTACAATATGCAGTCATCCACGAATGGAAATAAGATTGGCTGCAGCTTGACCGATGATGAAGGCATCCATGTTTTTGAAGTCTATGTCTTGGCCATCCATTGTTACTCTGCATGTTGTCAAGTATAACAATGGACCGAGCCTACCGAAGCTATTCCATGAACAGATACGCATATAGGACAATCAATTGTTAGTAGCTCTTGAGAAGCTACAGATTAGAAAGGGGAGAAATAACCTTTTCCAACAGAATTAGGCAATACGTATTCTGTATAAATTGACTATTTTCGGATGGCTTGCTCCGGCAATGAAACCCGGCTTTTGCGTATCATGGATATTTGATTGATGGATGCATGGGTGGGGGAAAGATCTACCATGCAACGCTGCTAATGCAATCCATCCTCTCTTAAATACTCGTATATTTTTGACAATCAAATTGGGGGAATAGACTTGTGAGAACAAGGGATTGTACAATGTAGGTAAAACCGAGGATAACTGCATGGAATGGAATTCGTCATTCGGTTCGGTTTAGACGCCTTACATCAAATTAATGCAGCCATCCATCCTCTTCCCCATCTTCTCTCCCCCACATCTTTTTTTGAGTCTCTCTTCTACCCCAGTCGATTTTGATTGATAATTCTCATTGGGTTGGGGGTTTAAAGCCGAGCTTGACTGTGGATGGTTAGGCCTGCCAGCAGGGAGGTGTCCAGGTATGGGAAATATATTAATCAGGACATTCCCCCATTGTTCCTGTCAATCAGCATCATGTTTTTTGATTCTCGATTTTTCGAATCATTGATCTTGTTCGGCCATGGCTGATAACGGGAATGAAAAGAGACCAGACTTGACTGTCGACTCTGGTTCACATGCACCTATTGAGGATCAGCAGAAGAATATCTCGGACAGGAATGAGAAGGGACCTACCGATTTCGGGGCCGAACATCGGCCTGCTGATGAAAACAATGATCGTGACGAGGGAGAAGGTGAAGCTGAATCAGTGGCTTCAAAGGATGAATTGAGGTTATCCAAAGCTCGTTGTATAGCTCTTGTCTGCACCGTCACTGGAGCTTCTTTCCTCAACGTGAGTACCTTAGTCTCTATAAGTCGACTTTACTAACAGTTGATAGACACTCTCTAGTCAAAGTGTAGTCATCATCCTCCCCCAAATCGGTCGAGCTCTAGATGTTCCTGATACGAGGCTTCAATGGGTTGTTTCATCTTATGTCTTGACATTTGGTTGCTTTCTACTACTCTGGGGACGAATAGCAGATATCTACGGCAAGAGACTCATCTTTATCCTTGGGTCTTTCTGGGTTACGATTTGTTGCATCGTTAACGCTTTTATCCCTACTGAGATTGCATTTGACTTGTTTCGCGGACTACATGGACTGGTAAGTTGATATACTCTTCATATACAAGTATCTATACTGACGAGATAGGGCGCTGCTGCTAATGTCCCGACTGCTATTGGTATTCTGGGCACTACATTTCCTCCCGGGAAGGCAAAGAACTATGCCTTTAGTGCATATGGTGAGCATATCTTCACCTTATCGTAAACATTAACTTACACATACAGCTGCTGGTGCTCCCCTAGGTAGTGTCTGTGGTAATCTAGTCTCAGGTCTCATCGCCGAATGGGCCAGCTGGAAATGGGTCTTCGGTGCCCTCGCCATAATGGCCGGCATGATCGCTGTAGCCGGCGTCTTCTGCATCCCTCCTCCACCTCCAGAGCTCCAGCCCGAGCATAACAACCTCCGAGCCAAGACGGCAGCCATCGACTGGATCGGTGCTACTATGATCACTTGCGGTCTCTTGGCCCTCACCTTCGCTCTTACTGAGGGTAACGTCGTTGGATGGACCGCCCCTTGGATCCCAGTCCTTATCGTTGTTTCGATTGGTATCATCGTCGCTTTCTTCTTCTGGCAGCGGTATCTTGAGCAAAAGACGAATCGGCCTCCGCTTGTCAAGGTGTCCATCTTTCACAACTGGCGCTTTACGGCTGTCATGATCATTATGGGCTTCTTCTTTGGTGGTTTTAACAACTACCTAATCTATGCCACCTACTACTTTCAGGACTACCAGGGCCTGTCACCACTCCAGACGATGCTGCGATTCATCCCTACTGGTGTCAGTGGCTTCATCGTCGCCTTTTGCACTGCCCATCTTCTTTCGCGTATCCCAACTTTCTTCATCCTCGCCTTCGGCCATGTCGCTGTATGCATTGCAGCAGTTCTCTACGCCGTGCCTATTCCCCCAACGACATCATACTTTGCCTGGGGCATGTGGGCTATGATTCTCTCAGTCGTTGGTGCGGATACAGCCTGGCCTTGTCTCACACTCTTCACTTCCCATGCACTTCCCAAAGAAGATCAAGCTGTTGGCGGCGCTCTCATCAACTCGTCTGGCATGATTGGCCGTGCTATCTCTCTGGCTGTTGCCACAGCTATTCAATCCTCGGTCATGGCAAAGGAAAGAGGTGTTAATGTCCAGAATGTCGGGTCGGTTGAGGAATGGGATGATCCGTCACTCAAAGGTCTTCGAGCAGGAGCTTGGACAAACTTTGGTATTCTCTTCGTAGCTCTTGCGCTGGTCGTATATACTTTTAGGGGCATGGAGATCATTGGTAAAATACCTGACCTTCCCCAAAGGCCGGAGGGGGTAGTCAATCAGCAGGATACAGATGTTGAGCGACGCGGTTAGCAGGAGCAAGAGTTGCGTCTAAGAATGACATAGCTACATAACGAATTATGGATATAAAAAGTTGCATAAACGTTATCTGATAAGAATGGCAGAGACGGTAGTAGGCAAAGAGATTGGTCCATGTTGTAGTATAATTATATCGTGTATCGTATGAGTCAAAGTCTATAGTATAAGTGACATTGGCGCCGCATATGCAAAAAAACGCGCTCGTGTCTGATGGGTATCAAAACTCCAAAACTGCTTCACCTCACCTCCCCCGAATGTCTTCCTCGATGCGGATCTGTGCCAGATCAACATCCTCCTCCTCTTCCACTGACTCATCACGAGCCATGCGTTTAAGCCGTTGACGCAAGGCAGGATCCTGTTCCAACTCCTGCCATAGCTCGACATCCCACTCTTCAATGTTTTCGCCGCGTCGACTCTTTCCCCAGGGTGGCCAGTCCCAAAGCCCGTACATGAGAAGAAGGCGCTTGACGCACTTGAGTACAATCTCGAATAGTCCTATGAGGCCGAGGGCGATGAAAAGTGTTGCCCACCATACTGCATCGTCACCGAATAGGGTTGTGAAACTATCACTGATGGCATATGGCCCGGACGGCTGAGCCGCAAATGCCGCGTCCAAGAAAGACAGCCAGGCGAACCAGCCAACTGTTGTGACAAAGAAAGACACCATGACAATCATAGTTTTGTAGTGTGTTTCAAATATGCTGCTTCCGTTAGTAATTATTCCCAAGTTGTGTCTCGAATTCACTTACAAAAGTTTCCAGTTGATCCAGAGGACTCCAACTGTAAACGTGAGCGTACCAAGGGCATACAATCCTTGGTCGCGAGCTGCGGGTGTTATCCAGCCATGGCCAGCCCAGACAGCGTACCAACAGATCACACCTTCTATAGCACCAAGGAGCATCCACCGACCAAACTTCCAGATATTGAGGCCTTGGTTCCGTTGTCCGTAGACGTAAAGCTCAGGAACAGCCAATAACGTTTCAGCACTGAGATCCTGCTCCCAAATACCCATGCAAATAACACAGAGACTGGTGAACAAAGTGTTGAACACGGTCAAGCTAGTAGCTTCGTACAGTGATGTACCACTGTAACCTGTATATCTCTGGTACTGCGCTGTTGGCAGATAGAAAAACATCTCCTTCCAGAACGTATACAGAATGAATTTGGCAGTCCGGACGTAGTTCCATCGTCCGTGGACAAGTAGCATTCGTTGCAGGAATCTGAACTGAGCGATTGCGTAATCCGCCACACGAGCAGCTTGAAGGCCTTCCTTTCCGGAGATACCAATGCCGACATGACTGGCTGATATCATAGCCAAATCGTTTGCACCGTCGCCGATGGCCAAGGTGAGTCCTCGTCGTTGCTTACCTCGGTACTTCTTCAATCGGGACCTGACGGTGCTGACAAGCAGTGCTTTCTGGGCTGGAGAGGCTCGGCAGCAAATAACTGAATCGACCTGCAGCATCACCTTGAAGAACTGAGCAGATAATTCTGGTGACTTTTCAACAGCCGCAAGGGTCTGGCCATCAATGACGACCACACTGTGGACAGAGCCTGCTTGAAGGTCTTCTTGCAAAGCGATCAGTTGTGAATCTAAGCCGCCCTTGCTGACATCGAGAATGTATAGATCGGATCCGGGTCGACAAATTCGAGCAGAGTGAGCAATGTTGATAGCAGTTTCTCGCTTGTCGCCTGTAAGCATCCAGATTTTGATGTTGGCCTTTCGCAACCTTTCAATCGTTTCAGGCACCCCCTTCTGCAACTTGTCTTCTATAGCAGTTGCACCAACCAGGTCGAATGACTGCTCAATCATATCACCCGCCTCTTCAATACGCTGTTGCCGATTGTTGAGGCTAGTCGTGGCTTCGTCCCAGACCTTCTTCCAAGCCTGATACTCCTGTTCTGTGATGAACCTTTGCGCAAAGAGTAAGGTGCGGAGACCTTCTGTTGCAAAGTCATCGAGATGCTTGAAGCACTTGGTAAAAGTTTCAGAGTCGTCGAGAAGCGAGGGGTCCTCGAGGAAAGAAAGATGGTCAGGAATGGGTTGCTGGTAATGGACAGGAGTGTTTAGATATTGACCACGAGGCATATCAATTGACACACCACGAGTTGCGATAGACAGACGAGGCTTATCTTCAGACCGTCTAGCAAGCCGTCCAAACTCAAACGACTTGCTCCTGTCCATATTGGGCCGTCTGCTTGTGCTTCGATCCCTCGACACGCCAGGGTTTCGTCGAATTGTAAGACTGGGCCTTCCACCAAAACTATTCCGTGGTTCTTGCTGCTCACTGCGTCGACGCATCTCATGTTCAATATCAGCACTCTTGCGCACTTCAGTTGCCTTTTGCTTAGCGATCTGCGACATCTTAAGACGTGGAAGAATGGCAGAATCCGCTCCCTTGCAGATCACAGACACCCGACCGTCGGGGAAACGAACAAGAATCGACATCTTCTTTCGCGCACTGGTAAACTCAATAACATCAAGGACTTCATATTTAGACTCTTCCTCCTGGCCGTCGGGCTGAGTTATTCGCAAGGTGATAGTCTGAGTTGTTCTGTTGATGACGAGGTAACCCAGCTCCTGGGCAGCTTTGACAAGAGCAAGCTCGTCAGGGGATGCTGCTTGAAACTCCAGCTCTCCATTCTCCTTGTGTTCAGGCAAGCAAGTATGACACAGGGCCACGGCTAAAATGTATTGTTTTGCCTTCCTTGCGAATCCAGAGTTTGGTCGAAGACGGAGATATTCGATAAGATCATTGGTCGTCACATCGGGTTGGATATGATCCGGACGTCCAGTAGAACGCCATTGGGACGATGACCTCCGGCTTCCAAATGATGTTCGTGAAGGTGCCATTGAAGGCCTGGACGGTGCCATGGACGGTCGACGAGACATTGAGGGGCGAGGTGACATATGAGATGGTGACGGAAGAGCCAGAGGTGTCGATGGTTCGTTCGATCCTTCGGCTTGTTCTTCCCTGATGACAACGGTCACAGGTTCCGCCTTATATACCGAAGGTTCACTGGGTTCTGTCTCTTCATCGAGTTTGAGGGCATCGATCTCATCGACCTTTTGTTCCAGATCCATCTCGTGCAGCCACACAGTTCCAGCAACGCTAATCTTTCGAAACTTCATAACGTTGTCCGTCAATGTGCCCGTCTTGTCCGAGAAAATGTACCCTACTTGACCAAGGTTTTCCAAAATCGTGTTCGTATTGCATCGTGCAGGCGTATCCGTTTCCTCATCGTACATCTCAAGATCTCCGTTCACATTCAACAACTGACCAATTTTCACAATCTCCAGACTGATGTAGAGTGCCAGCGGGACAACGTTGTTGAACATGATGATGAAGGCAATGATGATTTGGTAGAATGGCACCTTGGCCTGTTCCAAATACCATGAATGCCTCTCGGTGCTCTTCTGCCAGTTGACATAACCCATCGACACACCAACAGACAGAACAACAACGTAAGTGGCAAGGGTAACGACAATTTTGTTAACCACGCGCTCCAGAGCCGGCTTCTTTGCTTTGGGATGTTTGTTGGCATTCATGCGAATCTTGCAGTCCTCTCCGGTATTGATAACTAGGCCAATTGCCGCATTGGTGTTTCGAACAATGCTTCCACGATAGATAACCTCACTCGAAGTCAAAGGAACTGTCTTTTCGTTGACTGTGACACGTCCGTCAAAGTTGTAGAGGTCTGGATTGGGATCTTCGACGACAAACTCGGCTCTGCATTTTGAGATACCCTCGATCGTTTCGCAACCCTCCAGGGCGTGCGTAACTTGTTTACTCTTGAGGTTGGTTTCGCCATCAAGTGCCATGGTTTCGATATAGGCCAATTTGTTCTCTCCGTCGCTGTCCAGTAGAATAAGATCGGCAGGTATGGGCTCGTCTCGGCAGAGCCTGATGATATCTCCAACCTTTATCTCGCTCCATCTCACAGGAACCCATCGTAGACCGTTGAATTCTTCGTCGGGGGCGGGGTGAGGTTCGGCCTTAGAATTGGTCAGGAAGGGATTCCATTTCCTCCATTTGGTGACTGGCTTGATCTTTCCAGTATATTTGTCTTCCCGTCCTAACACTGTCGCGAAGCCGGCATTCTCAATCTTGTCAAGGCGGTATCTTCGGTAATCATCGTATCCTTCCTTCACTATCGTCAAAAGTACGAAGAACAACAGAGGTAAAATCGTCGTGTAAGAACCGGTCGTTGAGAGGCCTGGGACCTGTGAGACGTTAGAGACAAGACAATACTCACCAGTCACAAGTTATACGTACCATCTGCGGTACACCAACGCACAGGAAGTAGAAGTTTCCGACGCGGGAGAATTGGAAGAACAACTGTTTCGGTATAAAGTCCCATACTGTATAACGAGATGTTCGGATGCTGTTTGAAACATAGGGAAGACCACGGCGATCATCGATCAAGGGCGATTCGTGTTCGAGTTGGAGGGGTACGTGGCGTCCATCGGTTGACGCAACAATATGTTTGCGACGTAGGATAAGTTCGACAACAGTCTTTTGGTATAGGTCGGCAGCGGCGCCCTTTATGCGATTGACCAATGGCGCGGAATGAGAATGAGTAGCGTCACTCCTACGACGAGTGTTGATTTTGCTGTCGGTTTTCGAAGGTTGACGTCCCAATGGCGCTTCAGCTTCAGCATTGGGGCGCTCTTCAGCCATTATGGCTTGGCGAAAGGAGAACGGTAAGCGAGCGTGATGAGGCTATCTTGGGCGATAACATGCGAGAGGATGGATAGTATTGTGTGAGGTGACGTATTCAATCGATCGGAGGGAACGGGGGGCGGATGAGTTTGAAACGAGTGACAAGTATTGCTGTACAGTATAAAGATGTTGATGCCCCTGACCGGATTGTTTAAACCATGGGCTCAATGGTCTTTGCCCTGGTAAGAAGGACAGTTGGGCAGATCATTCGAGCAAAGGGATGGGATGCGATGGATGTGGGAAAGTTGGTTTGATCTCGATCTGGTGGTAGGAATTTCAATTTCGCCCTGCCTTGATTCGGTAGTGGCGTGTCCGCGCCTGCACTTGCGCTATGCGCCTGTGCTTTGCTGTGTCGTATCTTGCTGCTGCACCTAGTGTCGGGTTTGTTTAGTCCGATGTCCCGGTACAGATTTGAGTCAAGAAGGTTTGTGGCTGACGCGTTTCAATGGGAACAACGACAATGGATAAACTACGAGGACATCAATGCTATTGGCAATGGTATAGGAATCTATTTTGGGCGGTTTGCTGTTAAGATACTAGACAAGCTTCAATACTATCAGTGGAAAGAGGATAGTTATGGGGAGTACGCGTGGAGCGTGGAGTGCTATTCCATTGCCCCAGGTATCCTCTATCGTCCTCTATCTTAGAGCCAATCTTTAACTAATAAAGATCAGATCAACTTCATGGGAGACTCTTTGAGAATAAGCTTTGGATACGAGCATCAGCATCCTTTTAAGCCACTAGATTGAAGATCTATAAACAAAAGTACAAACTTCCCTTTTGGGTACCTTCCGTGCTCAATGGTAATAAGATAATCTCAAAGTCCCTTGCCCGGAGTAATTCATCCATTTCCATTTCCATTTCCATTTCCATCTCATTTAAAAAGTTCGGCCCTTGAACCGCATTGTACTGTACATCCGCCGTTAGTGGACCTTCTACAAAACCTGGAGATGATCAACCGAGATAGTCTACGTCTTGCATGTGCTGTACTGTATACTTTCATCATATGAGCCTCGACTTTCAGAAGCAATTGAAGACTCCATCGGTCCGTCTGTTCACTCCCTGTCATCAAGGATCTCAAGAGTCAACCCAAGCCAAGTCAAGAAGGCGGCCTATTCTTAAACACTCCTGCTATACCTAGACTTAAAGCTCATCCCCTGGTCTCTTCTGCCGGCACCGGTCCGCGATTGCGTACATCTTCGCTTGTGATATTTTTTTTGCTTCTTCCGCTGTCAATTGTGCAGCTGCACTGCGGTAACTACCCTCGGCAAACTGCAGAAGGTATCAAGCGCACGACTCTGGTTGAATGGTTAAACAGAGAGACTCCACGCAAAAGTAACCCTAGGTTAATGACAGCTGTTCCGTGAGAAGTCATTGGTGATCTATGCCCACAGTATGGATTGTACCCTTTTGGTCACCGAGATCGCTTCACTTTACACAAGATCGAGGGGGTTATTGCAGTGTAATGTAATGTGATATGTTGAATACAATTAACTATGATGATTATGCTCCCGCTTGTAAAAGCAACACAGCTTGTTCTTCTTCTTCTCTGTCTTCTCTCACCAACTTTTGTAAAGATGCACGATATTATTAACAATAAAAATGACAAAAGGCCTCCCTCCCATTTTGTGGTTTCGTAAACCATTTTGCCCATCCCAAGGCACCTTTGCTGTAAAAATAAAAAATGATGCTTGCGATAAAAGAGCAGATAGCCACACCCAATTTTTGAAAACGTTCCGCTGGGAATAATATGAGAAAAAATGATGACGATGATAATAATGAAGAAATGCGCCCTGAAAATCCCTCCTGTTTTCTGATGCACCGAGGTTGCCTCCGAGATGATCTCTTCTTCTTGATTTGGAAATCGTGTCGCTGTACGGGAATATGATGGATGCTGTAAACTCGATCATTTACCCCTTTAGTGCACTCCGGAATGCTCAAAGAGGGCCCTGATGGCATCATTATCCATCTTGGCTTCGAGAGCCAGTTGGAGTTGAATCCTCGCTTTTTGCGGGTTCAAGAAACCCGCTCCGATACCTGCTTCACAAGGTCCGACGAAACCGCCCTCCGGTCGCCGGCTCACTATCACGGGAATATCGGTCTCCCGGACTATACGTCGGATCTCTTCGGTGCCTTTAGAAGTCCAGAATCCAGCACCCAGTCCCGCAAGAACGATGCCCTGAGCTCCGAGGTCGATTGCTGCTTGAAACATTCCCACGCTGAGCTCCTGGTAAGCGTAGAGCACATCCACCTGAGGTAGCGCTCCAGGGGCTGTTGAGCGTCCGGGCCGACGGCCGTTGATGGGCTGCAGATCGAAATGGTGGTGGCCTAGAGGTCGTGATGGCGGGTAAAAGAAGATTGGCTGGACGTTGACGAATGTGCCCAGTAAACCGCTATCAGGGGCCTGGAAAGCGTCGAGGTGGTTGGCGTTGACTTTTGTCATGAAACGAGCAGATCCAATACGGTCGTTGATGGCGATCATGACTCCTCTGCCTCGGGCATTTGCTGCTGCTGCTAATGTCACCGATGTAAGAAGATTCATAGGTCCATCAGCGCTGATGGCAGTTGCTGGACGCATAGAACCTGTCACAACCACGGGCTTTTCGCTCTGAATAGTCAGATCCAGAAAGAAGGCAGATTCGTCTAGAGTGTCCGTTCCGTGCGTTACAACAGCGCCCTGAGTAAAAGGATTATCGAGGTCATTCTGAATCTGCCTCGCCAAATCCTTCAACATGGCCGAACTCATGTCTATGCTGTCTGTGTTGGCGAACTGAACGCCTCTCACGTTGGCAACATTGCAAAGCTGCGGCACCGCATCAATGAGAGACTCAACTCCCAATGCAGCTGATCGGTATCCCGTGGTTTGGCCAGCTGAGCTTGCAGAGCCGGCGATGGTTCCTCCAGTAGCATAGATGGTGATATTTGGCAGATTTGAGTTGAAACAGTTGAATTCGGAGGTGGTAAAAATTTCGGAAGGAATGCCCGTCTGTATCGGTGCTTTTTGTTGAATGGAGAAGTGAGGTTGAACATGTAGTTCCAGCACAGGAGAGCCCCAGACTGAAGCAACCCATACACCAAAAGGAAGCAGCGCCGTTGAAGGAGCCAGTATCGTAAAAATAAGTCGCCACAGGTAAGTTGCCCACGAAGCTGACGATGAAGCTATTTTCATGGTAGATGAGGCTGCAGGTCCGGAGCAGAGAACGGGAGCAGCGGTGGCCAGAGTTCGGCCGTGAACCCTTTTAAAGCTGGGCATCATGATGTAGACTGAAATCTATAGATCAACTTGCAGTGAGTGTACTGTGATCTTGTCATGGACGCTTGTCCTTATCTCTCGCCAACAAGGTCCAGCCTGTCTGTTCCTGAAGATGTCTAGTAGTGAGGGTATTGGTGATATTAATAAGTAATGAAAGAAAGAGAGAAAGGCTGGAGAGCAGAGTATATGAACATGATGAGAAGAGAAGAGATGCGATGCTCCCCATTCTTGTACTGGGACTACGTACGTTATGGCTAACCCATTCCATTCCATTTGCATCTCTCTGTTTACCTATTGTACAGGTATTACATTAGTCAATTCTCCAATCTCTAGTTACTACTGTATCCATCCAATCCATGTATGTATCCATCCACAGCTCCTACTCTTGGTTACTGTAAATGTACTGTACTGTCGTTACTGCTGAGCCTTGAGCACGGTGCATCGGCCCGTCAGACGAATAGCAGTCTAGCATGTATTGTACTTATGGATATTGGATATTATATCTTACGACCCTGGACACATGGTCTGTTCTGGTCTGACATGGTTGTTTTAGTTTTAGAGTCAATCAGTCTGTCTCTATCGTTCGGCAAAGAATGCCCCCTAGGAATCTTTTTACGCCAGTCAACGGCTACCAGTCCAGGGTCCTTTTTTCTCTCATTTGCAAGCCACTAAACATGGGGGAGCGGAGGACTTGGATGGATACTCTTCATGGATGTTGGAAGTGGAACATGGACATGGACATATGGGGCAAAACGGTTATGGGCATGGCCATGGCACGGCATGGATGCTTGTTTGCTTGCCAGCCTACCTGAGCCTAGCCTAGTTGGATAACCCTGGCCTGCAGCATGCAGAATGCACGCAAGCAGCAAGCAAGCAAGCAGGTCTGTCTGCATACATGGGGGCAGGCAAAGGACGGGAAAATATGATGAATCTCTCAAGGGTGGTACACTTGAGTGCAAGTACAGTACAAGATGTCAGTAGGGTGGTAGTGATACCAGTGGTGGTGTTGGAAAAACAACGGACGGATGGATTATGTTAATGACGAAGCTGTGAGAAACATGTGCATATTCTGCCTATTACGAGGTGCACATGTAAAAGTAAGAATACCTTGAATACCCGTTTACGAATGATTCATCTAGGATACAGCCAAGAGACATACATAGACCAGGGATGGGTATGGACATCACAGCCACTTGGAGGGGGGTGTTCCGGGATATTGATAATGAGTGCCCTTTTTTGACAATTTGACGATTATCCGATCACTCACTGCTTACAGTTAATACTGCAACCCCGTTGTTCTACTCGGTTGGTCTCCGTTCCAGCGGAGTATTAATGACAATGTTGGACAGGACAGATGCAACTGTAATAGTACATTGACTCGTGGCATGACATGCATCGAGCAAATCAGTACAGATACGTCAAGTCAAGCCTTTGATATATACTCCGAGCATAATATATCGTGGATCCATACTCTGTACTATTGCTTTAGTTATGTAATATGCCTAGAGCATCAAGTATCCAGTATGTATGGAACTTACAACCATGACTCAGAGCTAGTAGAATCAAGATTACTTGTCAGTCTAGTGCTGTAACCAAAGCTGGGCATGAATACTCGTTTATCATCAAAAAGATTTAGAGACAGACAACCACAATGCCAATGTCACAGTACCACTACCATGACCACCACCCACCACTACGCCAAGGTGCACTACGCACGCAAGACGTACATACATGATTAGTCTGCTTCACAGGGGGTTGATATGGAGCTTTTCTCCTTCTAATGGATGGATCTGTGGGGCTTCCTATCCTGGGTCACTCAGCCGAAGCCCCCGTTCTGTCCGTCTCAACAGTAACTTGAGGCAATTCCAACATCCGTCATGCCTTGCCTTAGCCTGTACAGCACATACAGTATGCCTATCTCACTTACAGCCCGTACCTTGTCAAATTAATAGCAATCAAACATTTCCAATTCATCCGGTCTCTTTACTTACATTCAACAACCTGCTTAATCCGGCTCGGCTTTTTATTTCGTTGGTTCCGAGGTAGTGTTTGTCTGTTGGTTGCTTCAAAGCTGTACTGCGCTGCTCACACCACTTGATTACCGATGGTACAACACCCATCTCCGAATTCACATGATGTTGCTGACACGCACCTCATCCTGATCCTCAGCCTAATTAATCCTCGTCCTTCACCCCAGACTGATCTTCTCTGTAAGGAAACGAGCAGCTGTCGTCTCGTAAAAGAGCCCGGATACTCGTTCCTCACGTCACACAAGCTACAAGCTACGGAAATAACAATCAGCTGCTTCAGCTTCAGCTCTGCCAAACTAGGTATCAAGGTGAAGTAGTGTGATACAGGGAAGAAGCCTGCATCGTCATCCCATAAATAGCCAAGACAAAACACCTCGACAGACGTTATCATAAAAAGGGTCCTCAGATCATGTTCAGCTTCAACAACTCAGAGACAAAACCCCCACTGAGACATTGCACATTGCATTGATTGCTGTCAGTGCACAGCTGTTGAAGAAACCCACCCGGGTATCGAATTCCTTGAGCCTGTTGTTCCTAGCCATAACCTAGTCTTATGCAGCTTGTGTCTGCCATCAACCGACAGCGGGTCTTTTTTCCCATGTACCATGTCCTTTGTAGGAAGAAGGGGAAAAAAGAAGAATTTTTCTTTGCTTTTTCCTTCTAAATAAAATTGACAGCCGGCGAGTCAAGGTGCTTCCCGCTGTTTCACGGCATTCCCGCCCCATCTTATTCCCACTTCTGACGACAACTCATGCCGGCACTTTGAGCAAGAGTGCTGCATCGACATTGTAGACTAGGGGCCTGTCAATAACTCAGGGCAGAGCCCAGGTTGTCCAGAGTTGAATCCACATTGATTGCTATGTCCGGAATCAAGGGCCGGCCCTTCTTCTTCTCTTGAAGATATATCCACTGCGGTACGATCCGCCGGCTGTATTCCGCACCTGTAGGTAGGTATACTCACTCACATTGTGACTCGAAGTGATAATGTATGGTGAATAGTAGTAGTGATAGAATTGGATGCTTCAAGTCCGTTGTTATCACAAAAGACCGGGTCCGAGCTGAGACACTTCGTCAGCGAAAGTCTTCGGGTCATCGCAGCCTGCATAATCGACATTACACTGCAAAGATGGATAGATGGATGGATGGATGGAGGATGACAGGCCAGGCATCTTCTGAGACATGCAGCAGCACCCCATCTTCACCTTCTCAAAGGATCCAACTGCATATATTGTGGATGACAAGGAATACGGGTAAGTAACCAGACATGTACTCTACAGTACAGCCTGACAGCACAGTACGGAGCCTGTCTACTCTTCAGAGCCTGCAGCTGGGCATCCGCATCACTATGGAGCTAGGGCCGAGACCTGTCAAACTGAGCAACATGCATGAAACAACGACGTCGACAAAGTTTGCCGACAGAATTATACTATACTGTATCTCAGTTCTGTGCTGCACTGTACGCATGGTCTCAGCTCTATATGTCGTGCCTCTGCATAAACGAAACGATGCTTAAGGTGATGTGATGTGATATGGAGAATCTGCAACCTTGGAGATGCACAACACCCATCATGGTGATTACTATTACTATTACTGTACGATCACGATCTCCTAGCAACACACACACAAACACACACTTCTTCTGCTTCTCCCTCTTTTGACACAGCCATCCATGCATGCAAGTGACCCTTGAACCCTTCGAGGAAATAATCGGGGATCAGAACATCTCATTCTTCATGACGTTAGGTGCCACCCTCCTGCGTCTTGTACTACGGTATATGCAAGTCACTTTTCCCTTCCCATCTGCACGTTTGTTTCCAAACACGGCGTCAGAATAAGAGACGAAATACTACGTAGGTTGGGAGCCTTGAGCATACCTAAGAGACGGAATAGGTTGGTCCCCTTATGCGAGCTTAGACTAGCAGTTAGGCTATTTTATTTTAGCATCCCAAGCCTTAGAGGACCAGTTTCAAGACCTACGACTACCTAATTTCAAGTGTGCGGGAGGCATGATGTGATTACTTGAATGGACCTTTGCTTATGATCGATCCTTTGTTCAATTTTGAATATTTATCGCTGTAGCGACTCCCAACGCCGCCTAAAAACATAATCCCAAGGTATAATGTAATAATAACAACAACAACGACTCCCTTTCCGGTCTCAATCTATATTGTACCTTGCATCCTTTGACCCTTTGACCCTTTGACCCTTTGACCCTTTGACCTTGATTTCCCTCTCTATGCCGCAGCGTTCACTTTTGGCAACGACTCCATGGTCGTGCCCGCCTCCTCGAGCCATTCGTTCTGAACCAACTGCTTTCGCGCAGCCCAAAGCAGCTTGTAGGCCGTCTTGACAGTACCATCGCTGACCCCGACTTGCAAGGCGATTCTAGAAGATGGGCGGTCTTCGCCGGCAATGTGGCATGCCATGTAAATGCAGGCTGCTGCAACGGACAAAGGTGATCGTCCCGCGACTGCCGAGATGTCGTTGGCCTGCTCGACCAGCCTTTCGGCGATCTTGGTAATCTTCTGTTGGTGCTTAAAGCCGAGCTCGGAAACGTAACGACGGACCAACTTCTCACCACCGACTGTATTAGTTTCGTAGTTCGTGACCGTGTTGAGACCTGTAGCTTCGCCATCTTGTTCTTGCAGCTTTTGCAAGAAGGACTGGAGCTGCTTGAAAACCCTGCCGACCACCTTTTTGCTCACGCTAGTCAGGTTAAAGATTTCTCGGAAGGTTCGAGGTACGTTGTTTTGTCGGCAGGCGATGAAGATGCAGCCTGCGATGACGGCTTCTTGAGGCTTTCCCTTGAGGAATTTGTGCTTGTCGACGAGTTTGAAGATGTGCTTGGCAGCGTTTGCGACGTTCTGGCCCATGTTGATAGCGTCGCAAAGCGACACAATCTCCTTGTACGCGGCCATGAGATCCTTCTGCGACTTGTCCTGGTTGGTATTGTTTTGGGTACGCGACAGAGCTTTGTGAGCTTTCGATTCGGAAAAGGCTACAGATGTAGCGAGCTGTTGTCCCTCGATAAACTCGTCTTGCGGGCCACCAACACGGCTGGGATCATCGCCGCCTTGGTCGTCGTTGGCGAAGGTACGCCATTCGGATCGCGTATCGATAATGCGACTGCCTACCACCATACCACAGTCGCCGCACACGGTATCGCCATTGGAGAATTCCTCAACGAGGTGAGGGGGATCAATCCTGCACTCGGGACAGACGAGGATGTTGCTGAGGTCCTCCTGGAAGGCTGGGCCGTCGGGCATGGTTGCGAAGGTTGTGTTGTTGAGGTTAGAAATGAAATAATACAGCTTACCTTAGATCACTAAGCCTTAGATTGATGAGTGGACCATGGCTGACTAAGCTGGTTTCTGGCTGACCTACCCAGAATGTAAAGCCCGGGCTCTTGCCTGTCCAGAGATAGAGAAAAACAATGTTGTAAGGAACAGATTAAACAAGCAAGCAAGGAAGGAGTCACTTTCTTAATATACCTGCCTTCTAGGTCTTTGAGGGCTCTTGCCTGAACTCTCCACGAGCACTGAATCACTGCACAGCCGAAAGCTTACAGCAGATGCCTAAAGGCTAAAGGTCCTTCGTTTCAGAGTCACGTATAACGATCACGTGATTCTCGACTTCATGAAGGCTTCGTCTGGCCAGAAAATCCACTGCGAAGAGCATAGGGGACGAAAGAATTTGGTCGCTTTATGCAAGCTTAGACCTGCCCTTAGGCTAATTATTTTTGATCCCCTAAGTCTTAGAGGAAATTCTTCTGCTTCCCAATCTAGGGATCTTGGATGAAGCCTTGTCCGCCTTCTGGACAGAGCCTTCTCCAAGAGGGAGGAGAGAGTCTTTATATATCCCAATAATGGCGAAGGTTTGACAAAGCTAACTTTGTCTTGATAAAGATACACTTTTTTGTGTTGGGACATTGGTGACGCCGCATAGATTTTCTATCCAATGTGATTTATTCTACGGCAATATTCTATCAAGGTTTAGGACCCGCGATCCAGCTGTAAAATGAGTCACATTACGTGTGTTTATTCTCGTCGTTTGCTGTGTAAACTTTGTGATACTGATCTGAGTGAACTGCCTGGAAGAGATCGAGTGTATTAGTAATGAAATCGAGTTGAAGATCAGCGTCTGTTTTGAGTTCAATAGAACATGAAAGAAGAGAAGCTAAACAAAGAACGTTTTCATCTCCAGCAAATTAAGTCGCTGTATAATGCCACCTGCTCATTTCTCTAACTTTTATATCGTCGTCTCTAAGAAGCGGCTGGAAGCTCTTGTTAGTCTGCCTTAGGACCCTGAAATCGTGTGTATTGTTACAGCCACAGCGGAGACCTCTTTGTTGCCAAGACCTTAGCAATTCTAGTAGAGCTCCTCTTTCGACGTCATTCTTTTCACCAATGCTCTTTTCGATATTGCTCAGGGCTTGTTGTTTCCATATTGTAGTTTGCCAGTTTGCTGTAGGAACAATGCCTTCGGTTTCAGCCAGTAGCAATTGACATAAAAACTCAACCCTCCAAGTCATATTCTGTCATGTTTTAGCAAGACACGCATCATGAAATGTCTTTTTATTTTCGTCTCCCTTTGTCCAACTCGACGCTAGAGTTTGCATTGTCCGAGGTCGGCCAATCATGCAGCTCTAATACTCCGCAGTAGGTACGTACTCTCGACTCATTCAACAGTTTGAGTCAATGGGACAAACATTCAAAAAGTTGCACAAAGACGAGACAGACCCCGGTCAATTCTTGCCTCAGTCGAACTTGTTCAGTATATACTATCAAGTCTCTGTTCTTACCTGGAAATAACACTCATCAAAACCACCAAAAATGGCACCTCAATCTCAGAACACTGGGCAAAATGACCTACCACCTGTCAATATCAAACCTCTTCTCACCAAGCTCTGGCCTACCGAGTCTGCCGTCTCTCCCCAGGAGATTGCCGAGGCCATCTCTCACTTCTTCACAAACCAAGTCACAGAGGCTCAAACAGCCTCTCTGCTCATGGCTCTACATTTCACCAAGCTTGATTTCAGAGCAGATGTCCTCGCTGAGTGTGCCCGTGTTATGCGGGAAGCAGCTGCACCAATCCCTGTAGAGGAGCTCAGGAAAGTCATTGAACAAAGAGGACGAAAGGAGGGAAACTACGGAGGTGGACTAGTGAGTCTATCATCCATGCCTGTTTATCGGGTGGTTGCTAACCTGTTAGTGTGATATCGTTGGAACTGGTGGTGACGGTCATGATACCTTTAACATCAGTACCACATCATCTATTCTGGCCTCAGCTCTGCTCATGGTCTCTAAGCACGGCAACAAAGCCAGCACCTCAAAGTCTGGAAGTGCTGATTTGGTCGCCTGCATGAAGCCTCGGGCTCCCGTCATCAGCGCTGTCCGCCCAGATACATTGGTCAAGGCGTACTCAGAGACCAACTACACTTTCTTGTTCGCCCCTGTGTTCCACACCGGCATGCGCTACGTTGCACCTATCCGTAAGCAACTTCCTTGGAGGACAGTCTTCAACAACCTAGGCCCCTTGGCCAACCCTGTCGAGGACGTTCTTGAGGCCCGTGTCATTGGCGTTGGTAGAAGAGATCTTGGTCCCGCCTTTGCTGAGGCGCTGTGCATGGCTGGCTTCAAGAAGGCTCTCATCATTTGTGGTGAGGAGGACCTCGACGAAGTCAGCTGCGCTGGAAACACCCTGTGCTGGAAGGTGACCGAGACCAGCCCCGGAAAGCTCGAGGTTGAGCACTTCACCGTACACCCCAGTGACTTTGGTCTGAGCACTCATCCCCTAAACACGGTATCCTCTGGTAAGGAACCCGAGGAGAACGCAGAGATTTTGTCTCGGATTTTGCACAACGAACTCCCCGACAACGACCCCATTCTCGAGTTTGTTCTGCTCAACACTGCCGCTCTCCTTGTCACATCTGGTATCTGCGAGGCTGACACCAGCAACATGGGTGAGGGAGACGATGGCAAGGTCATCACTGAGCGCGGCCCTGGTGGCATGCGCTGGAAGGAGGGTGTGCGAAGAGCTCGCTGGGCTCTGAAGAGCGGGGAGGCCTGGAAACAGTGGGAGAAGTTTGTCAACGTCACAAACGAGATCCAAAGTCAATTTGCTTAAGGGTTGTAGATTTTATGATATTATAGGTGAAATGGTATTTACAGAATCGAAGCTTAAATTACAAGATACGCCTTACATGCTGTAACATGATCTCAGTGTTTTAAACGCCGTCAGGCTCGTGGTATTATATGCATCTCCTTCGTAGGTGTTCGTTCGTGTCAAGTAAATACGGTGGTATATATGTCGTCGTAGTTATGGTCTCGTCATGATGCATTCTTCATGTTTTGGTATTGGGGCTATGAGAAAGCCCTTTCAATTCCAGGTGAAGCTGGACTTGATATTGAAATTGTTGATGTTGGGGAGGTAGGAGAATAAGGGTTCGTCGAGCTGGAACCAAAAGACTGTGGTAGAGGTCGAGATGAAGAAGAGCCTCCGCGAGTCTGTATTCTCGTGCGGTCAACTCCAGGATGAGATCGCATCAAGGTTGATTTGTTTCGCTGAATGTCTGCTTCGTACGCCTTCCAATCTGTCCTAAGGCTTGTGTTGCTATCCTCCTCCTCGGTGTCGTAGTTCTCATCTCCAGGCCGTCCGGTCGCTCTCGAGGACGCGCGACTCTGCAATGATTTTCGAATCATGATTGATCTTTGATGGTCTTCGTTGTCTGACTTGCTTAGGCCTGACTTTGTTCTTTTCTTCTTGCCAAGACAAAACGTAGTAGATGGTTCATCAGGACATTTCTGGCGTGGCTTCACCCACGAGCAGAGATAGCTGAAGATAGGCATGATAACGAAGGAATAAAAACGAGAGGAAAAAAGAAAACAAACGAAATGATGGATGAGAAAGTCTTGACATGTCGCGGGTTACTGTACTTTATAATAGCTTTTCAAGACATTCCAAGACTGAAGTGGTGTGTGAAAATGCCGGGGAAACACCCACAACAAAGCAAAAGAAGCAAGCCATAGTTCTAAATGGGATGATCCTAGCAACGGGGAAACGGTTATACGCCGCAATGCCACGTAAGGTTATGCTACTCTACTTTACTCTATCTGTCCATCCCCAAGCCTGAGCTTAAAGTTCTTGGGCTGATCAGCGGTCTTGTATGGGCGCAGAACGGCTCGCACTCTTGAGGCGCGGTTCTATAAATGGGTCGGAAGACCAGGGATGTCATTCAGGGTCCAGGAAAACGAGAAGACATAGTAATAACCAACAAGCTTAATTGATAAATGCCGAGAGAACAAACTGATGAATACGATTATCTGAAACACATACCCCAGGCTTGTTGAGGTCTATCTTTGGGAGCAAACTGCATCTTCTCTCTTCTAGACTCTTTGTCTGTATGCATGCACATGGGTTAATGATAAAGGTGAAGTAGAAAATAGATCGCCAAGAAACGTGAGACGAGCGTGAACAAGGATCGAGATCCTTCTCAGTCTATCAGAGTGCCAGAATCAGCAGCCAAGTCAAGTAGATAGCAGGAGACTACTATTCCCGATGGGAGCTACCAAGCACTAAATTCGAGCTGGTGGTGGCTATGGCCCTGTTAAACCTATAATCGAGCTGAATATGAGACATGGATATGAACGGCATTGAGTGGGATGCGTTAGTTTTTTTTTGTCTTCAGCTAATGAGAGATGGACGATATCATGACGAGCTGAGAAGGATTTTCTATTGAATTCATCAAATGAGAAATCAAGTTGTTTTGTTCTTTCTTGCGAAACTTCAAGCCATGGTTTGGTAGTACTGGTAACCAACAACAGTGGCTGAGGCAGTTCATTCAAAGATCGACATATGCTGCGCCAAAATGCAACGCATGACACTGGCGCAAGCTCACAGGCTCAGCTCTTTTGAAAAGAAATGTGATGGAAAATACTACGCGGCTTGTGGATGTCGTGAGTTTAATCATCTGTTGATAGGATGTTTTGCTGAATAACCATACAACTGCCGATGTTATCTATTGACTTAACTTGAGTCGACCTTTCACTATAACTATTCTTTCTAATAAGATGATGTGTAACCATTCTGTTAATGGTCAAAATGACTGCTCCTTTTGCAATAGCCGATGGAGTTGGTATCTACACGGCAAAACTTCAATATCGCCGATAATAAAATCTGGGGAAGCTCTACTCCAACATTCGGAGCCGAAACCCTCTAGAAACGGCAACATGTCACTCGGCACCGAAGCCGTAATAATTGGGCCATTGCCTGCACAAGCCGAGGTGATGATCCCCGCATCCACTAGAGAAGGAAACCTGGAAGCTCTCAAAGCTCTAGATCGACTCCGGTTCCGATAACCGGTGTTCAATATATGTATCCGCATATATCAATTGATCGTTATCGTTATATCCTATCATAACTCAGCTTTGATCCTACCGACCTCACTTCTAAGGATGAGTCTGTCCTTTGCTTTACGGACTCTAAGGTCCAAGCCTACCCCCATCAATGGCTATGCTCGCGGCCTACGTCGGTATTCCAGTGCTGTAGGAACCGGACTTCCGCTTGAGGGCATTCGCGTACTGGACATGACCAGAGTCCTAGCAGGAGTAAGTCTCTCCCCCAAATCCTTGTGCCATGGATGATTGCTGACCTCCCGCAGCCATATTGTACTCAGATTTTGGGCGATCTTGGGTAAGTCTGCTCATGTCAGATTACATACCCATGCTCGGTTTAACGTGGCCAATGAACAGCGCTGAGGTGATCAAAATCGAGCATCCTACTCGAGGTGATGATACACGAGCATGGGGACCTCCGTATGCAAAGTACAAGGAAGGATCGTCAGCCGCAGGGCCCGGAGAGTCGGCATACTTCATAGGAGTAAGTCGCGTGCTTACAGTTATGATCACTTATCTCATATCGTGTATAGGCAAACCGAAACAAGAAGTCACTTGGTCTGTCTTTCCAGCATAAGGAGGGCGTCGATATTCTTCACAAGCTTGCGGCAAAATGCGACGTATTGGTCGAAAACTATCTCCCAGGGACACTCAAGAAGTATAACATGGACTATGAAACTCTCCGAAAGATTAACCCGGGTCTTATATATGCCTCCATCACCGGATACGGCCAGACAGGGCCATACTCAACCCGTGCAGGCTACGATGTCATGGTGGAAGCAGAATTTGGATTGATGCATATCACTGGAGAGAGAGATGGCCCCCCAGTAAAGGTTGGTGTCGCAGTGACAGACTTGACGACTGGTCTGTATACCAGTAACAGCGTTATGGCGGCTCTTCTCGGTAGGGCCAAGTCTGGAAAGGGTCAGCATATTGATGTCGCGTTAAGTGATTGCCAAACAGCAACATTAGCAAACATCGCCAGTAGCTGTTTGATCAGTGGAAAGAAGGATTCTGGGCGCTGGGGAACAGCTCATCGTAAGTCTGGCATCCATACCCAGGAAACCCTCGATACTAACATGCCAAGCTTCTATCGTGCCGTACAAATCATTTGAAACCAAAGACGGAGGCATTCTCTTTGGTGGAGGTAACGACCGTCTTTTTGGCGTTCTTTGCGATGGTCTAGGCCAGCCCCAGTGGAAAGACGATGCACGCTACAAAACCAACGCCGATAGAGTCACGCATCGCAACGATCTAGAAGCCAAGATCGAGGCAATCACCAAACTCAAGACAACACAAGAGTGGCTTGAGGTTTTCGAGGGCAAGGGTCTGCCTTATGCCGCCATCAACGATGTCCAAGGAACGCTCAACCACGAACATACAAAAGCTCGCAATATGGTGGTCGAAATGGAACACGAAGAATGTGGTCCTATAAAGATGGTTAATACGCCCGTCAAGTTCTCGGAAACATCTCCTTCTATCCGCAGCGTGCCGCCAATGTTGGGACAGCATACAAATGAAATACTGCAAGAGCATCTTGGGCTAAGTGAAGTCGACGTCACAACATTAAGAGAAAAGGGTGCTATTGGATAGACCATTAATAGAGAGTCATGATTGCGCGTAGATGCAGGAAAACGGTCCATAGATTTTATTGAATTATAGAAATCTTGATGTTGTCCACGGAAAACACAAAGATCAGTGGCACCTTGTGTCGTACCTGCCTTACCTGACAATTGACTGACGTCCACGTGACCACGTGTCGCTGAATCTAACAGAACATCTCACTTTGAACCATGTAAATCCTCTGATTCAACCCTCAAAAATAGCCAACATTGGCATAATCCCCTCAAAAGTCTTTATTCTACATGTCAATCTACCTATAACGAGGGTGAATCACTTTTATCCTTGCAATTTTGGAAGACGAGTCTCGTTGTAGACTCTTGGCCTGACATCGACTCACTCATGTGAGACGACTAACAGACGAACCTCACGAGGAAATCCTGAACAAGAACAATGGACCAACTCCCGGGAATACCCGTTAAGCTCTTGGATCCGATGCTGAGCGTATCTTTCGAGACGGACGAAGCGGTCATAAATGTCAACCCTTCGCCACCAACCCCAAAGAAGTCCTCATACACGCCTCAGTTCACGTCTGAAGGCTCAGCCATCTTGAGACGTCTCAATGGAAATTCACAGCCAATAAACGGACAGAATACTGGCGATGCAGTGGTTACAAACCTCAAAGACGCATTGTCAATTCCTACACCAACCAGACAGGGCCAATCGATAACAGTGGACTCACTCAACGCTGGAGTAAAACGAAAGCGAGATGAATCATCTATCACGGTCGATTTTACTCAAAACACCATTCCATTTTCCTGGAAGGGTCCTTCTCCTACTCGCCAAGTCGTCCTTCAGAGTCAACCCACAGTACAGGAGGCTCGATGTTCAAAGTGTGACGGAGCAGCCCATGTTAGTTCTTTGCTCACATGTACCCATTGTCTCTTGCATTGGCATCAAAAATGTCATCCAAACTCCACCAACAATGGGTCTATGAATACTGCGAACTTCATATGCATATCATGCACTGCAGGCCAACAACAGACAGCTAGTCTGAGGGGCAAGGTCACTCAGCAGCGGCAACAGGAGATTGACCGTCTTCGTCAAAGACAACTATCTAACCTCCCCCGAGGTGTTTTTCCCGCAAAGCCTCATCTTGTGGGTTTCGGTGCTGGCCAGGCACCTCATGCTTCAGTAAGTACAACACTATAGAATTCCAGCAGGATATAGCAGCTAACGTCGCGATAGCGAGCTAAATATTTCGAAACATTGTCAAAGATGGACATGCTTAACGTTTTGTCGTTCTGCGATCAAATGAAACCAAATCTTCTGCTCGATATCCTTGTTTCGGTGTCAAAGCGACATCCTGACCTACCAATTTTCGACTCGCCTGATTGGGAGAGTCAGTTATTGAATGGTCCTCGACCTGCTAAGGCGTCGAAACACGACGAGAAGCCGCGACACGGCCATGTGCTCACTAATAAAGCGAACAGGCCTAAGCAAAAGACCACTAAGAAGATTCTTAAGCGCACTCGTGTCATTGAGGTCATTACAAGTGCGCCGGAGGAAGATAACGTCAACGTCCTGCCTGCAACTTGGGCAAAGGCTGGCGAGGGATTGTACTCCAAACTACCTCCCGAGACAGAAGACAGATCGCTTCTTAAGGATGAGAACGACGAGGAATCGTTCAGTCATTTCTTTGTAGACAGGGCTGGGCGTCAGATTATGGATCCGGTGGGCGCTTGATGGGAAGAGTTACAGGCGCATACTTTGGGCATATTTTTGGTAGGAAGTTCTTTTTTCTGCTGTTCAGAGGTTTGTTAGCAATGCATACATACCCAGGAGTTATGAAAGGCGCTGAAAGGCATTGAGACCAGAATAGACTTAACCAAGTCGTTATCACGATTGCATCATGGGATGTCACTGGCACAAGGTTGGGGCGATTTGATGTATCATTAAGAAAATTGATTGATTGATCAGGTACTTATAAAACAAAACATTAGAACAAGCGCCAGCAGGCGTGACGGCATCAGATCATCCGGTAATCCGAAGACATTTCCAAGTCCTGGCTCCAAACATTCCTTCACCCATTAGAAATTATACCATTAGAGCTCGATTAGCTCGGCTAACTATTCATGTCGATTCTTGATATATCAGTTGCTAACTGCTTAGCAGTTGCACTTGAAGAGGCCCTTGATGCTGACGTGGATACTGCCAACAATCTTGAGGAGGCCATTGATCTTGAGAGAAGCGCAGGTGCCGATCTTGTTGACGAAGAGAACGGTGTCCTTGACAACACAGAAACCAGCAAGACCGTTGACGTAGCCACCAACCTGGCCGCGGACGTCAATGTAGTTCTTGCAGCCCTTGGAGCAGTAGGAGACACAGTCGTAGACAGCGCAGTTTCCGAGGCCGAGACGGCAGGTCAGGCCCTTGAGGGAGTCACCAATGGCGAAAGAAAGACCACCAGTTACGGCACCGGGGCGGACAGAGTATCCGTACTTGTTGGTGTTGAAGAGAGCGACGGCATCGACAGAGCTCTCGAGGTAGAGACCGGCAAGACCAGAGCAGACGGTCTTGAGGCTAGCACTAGCCTTGGCGGAGACATCGATAGCCTTGCCACCGTAGAGATCGATCTCAGCACCAATGGCGAGAGGAGCAAGGAAGACAGTGTTCTTGAGGCTGGCCTGGCAGTAAGAGTGCTTGGTGTTGTACTTGACGATCTTGTAAGGGGAAGCAGCGCAGTAAGAGCCGAGCTTGACATCAACACCGGCCTTGACGTAGGCACTGGTGGAAGGCTTAGCGTAGCAGCCGCTGGTCTTCTGACCGGCGCATCGCTTGGCCTTAGCATCCCAGGTCTGGCCAACGGGGCAAGAGCAGGCCTTGGTCCAAGGGCAGTAGGACATGGCACCGGGGCAGGAGAAGCTAGTGCGGGTCTGGAGACCGGAAGCAGAAGCAGAAGCAGAAGCATCGAGGTTGATGGTGTAGTCGGCAGGAGAGATGCTGGCAACGGTGGTATCGAGGAGGGCATCAGGGGCAGGAATGGCGGAAGCCATGGTGGCCATCGAGGCCAGAGTAACGAGGACGTTGGAGAAGTACATGTTTGCTGTTTGTTTCGTAGGAAAGCGAGAGTGTGTAGTAGCAAAAGTTTGAAAGTGAGTGTCAAGATATGCCGTTGAGGCTGTGAAGTGAATGAAAGTGAATGAGTAGAAAGAAAGAAGATGCAGATGCTGATGAGAAAGACTTAATGATACGGGTCATCCAGACATCTTATATAGCCCAGAACAGTCTCTCTGAAGCCAAGGATATTTTTATCTTCTATCACAAAGCAGGCCTCTGTACTACACTCAGCATCGCCGTAACTTACAGATTACCACCCTGCTAGCGTCATGGCATGTTATCCGATAGCCTTCGGTGCAGGGTCCAACGGTGACGGTCTGGAGGAGGTCCAAGCACGAGTGACAAGAGAGTCTGGGTAGACCGTAGAGCAGGCATTGCCTACGCGCTGCTAGCCAGGACGAGGATGGTTTGGAGAGCACAGACTGATGAGCTGGGTCGTGATTTGGGACCTGGATCGTTGAGCCGGGCTTCTAGTTTACTATTGACTTTGATAGTCTTGGCCACGGGCTGTCGCTTGAGTGGTTTGTTAGTCTTGATTTGTATAGGAGATCGTGATGGCGTAGAGCTGACATTACAATGCATTATGAATCTACTCTATTCATCTTTATCAACTAACAATGCTTTTTACTGACTTCGCACTTGACAACCTAATGGAGTATATTTGCTTTGCATCGTATATTCACCCAGAGTAGAGTCTCACAACTCCTATCCAGCAAAAAGAAAGAAGCCAAGTCCCCATTATCAGGTTCCGTACCGTCTTCAGCAAAGACAAGACTGGGATAAATGTTTCATTTCTCGGGCCGTAGTGGTCGATCCAACAAATCAATTCGCAGCTTTAACCTCAAAGAGGTTAGTTGACGGCTTGGACGTTAGTCTTTTAGGCGTAGTATTTAGTTAAATTACACTTGAGTCTTGAGTGAAAAGAGAGAGTAACGTTTCAGGCCTGAGAATTCTGGGCAACTTCAGTTGAGTCTTGGTTCTTTCTGGGAATGTCCTTGAACGATAACTAGGTCTAGCAGGTGATGTGATATCTTTTCCATGAGGTCAAGTGTGCAGTAGACTAAGTTGAGGCCTACCTGCCTCTGAAACATGTGGCTGCTGTCGATGTTTATTTTTAAAGTTGGTGGATTTCATCTACTTGCTGCAGAGATCGGAGTTTACATGAGCAAAGTCTACCTATCCAAGTTAGAGAGACTTGCAAGGGAGGAAATCCTCTCTGTGGAGGTGGGGATTGTGGTTGTTTCGAGCTTCGGCAGATCGACATTCTCTATTGTCGTCCCTGGCCTGACGCGATCTGTCAGTAAAATGAGATACCCTTTGCTGCAAGTATAAGATCTTTAGTGATCTACAGTCTGTAGATCCTTTGACGGTTGATAGTTGATGCCTAATAATGTCTCTAACAAATGCATCTTGAGATATTGTATTGGAGATAACTTCCCCTGAGTGGCGCATATTTCAGGCACAGCTGAGCAGTGGAGCCTCATCAACAAGACCTCAAAGTCTAGACTCTTTTCTTCTTTATTTTTTGCCTCTGCGGAGAATACTGTCTCTAGTGCAAAGTCTCTCGTGGCTTGCCCTTGAAGGTTTCAGGCTCTGGTAGTACAATCCAATAGTGGCCTGCGCACGGTTCGTCGTCTTTTGGTGGTGACGGTGATGGCTTCTTTTATCTCATGCTAAGTTACGCCATCACCTGTTTCTGATCCAGGAATTGGCTTGTTCTAGTCTCTATCAGCATGGACCATCCTTGATCAATGACCTCTCTCTTCAATCAACATCTTTAAGCTTCTCCAGCACGTACCTATTCAATCACTGACAGGATATTTAATCTAAAAGCCTTGGCATAGAGTTATAGTGGACGTGCTCTTTGATCTCTTTCTACCTTGAAGGCTCAAGAGGTTGAGATGTTAGTCACAACTCCGAAATGAGTCTCCTGACTCTCTACATCGTCTGTGCCGAGCCAACATCCACAGCGGAATTATTTAGTTCGTTCACGTTTATTTCCACTCTTTAGCATCAGTCTGGCAATATCGTCTAAAATCAATAGTTCAGCATCTTCGGAACTTGCCATTAGATGGAAACGCATGCGGAGAGGAATGACGGTAGAGTCAGGGATCAATCTTGCGCAATGGAGATACGGAGCCGCAACAAGGCGATTCCTCAGAGTAATTTCACCACTTTGGGCAGTCATGAGCCCAAAGCATATTTGATCATGTCAAGAATTCTAACTTACTGTTTATTGCGTGAGTCAATCATAGATTAAACATTGGGCTCTCTAATGCCTTCCCATTATTGCCAATGCTGAAGAACATACCCTATACTAAGTACTCGAGACCTCGAGTTGGGCATGCCATGGCTCGATCCAGGTAAACATGTATGAAGGCATTACGGTCATGGATATGATTCAGATAATCAGAACCAAATACTGTTATGAAGTCTATGCGGTGCATTCTTGTAGGTGAAAAGTGTTGACGACATGCAATCCTGTTTGTAGAGACAACATGGCAGAAAACACCAACGTGATTATTTAACACTCACATGTGGGTGTCAGAAGAATTGTCTAAGGCTTAAGAAATCAAGTAGCCTAAATATTGGCATAAGCTATCATAAGGTGACCTAATTATTTCGTCTCTTACGGTCTCAGCAGCCAATTCTTCTGACACCCTGACGGACTTACACTTATATCCTTCCTTTCATTCACCAAAATTCGCCTTCTTGACTTCACCAAGACAAACCAAATTGAAACAAGAGAATGTATTCATGATTTGTGGTCTTTGCCACTCGGTCAGTGTTCTTCTTCTCGCCTATATCGTACTAAACGACAAGGACAAGGACTTATTACATCCACTTTATCCCCCCTGCTATATGCTCCATCCTATACATCATGGAGCAATAGACGAATGAGACCGGGTACATATTTCCCGATCTTGAAACTCCCTCATATCCAAAGCCGCTCTTCTCCGATCAACAGTAAGAAAAAGTCATAACTCATAATGATGAGACACAGTTGTAGCCTCCCTTTTCCAAAGTCGACTGTCGAGAGTTGAACCACCAGGGTCCGCTGCGTCCTCGTCTATGTCCCCTGCCGGACACGAGTCGTCGTCTGATCTTCTGTCGCTGCCACCAGGAGCACAGTCGAGCCCAGCATTCTGTTGTTCGCTGAGACAGCACAACGTGAACGAGATTCCATCCCCTGAGAAAGGATTAGTATGTTGCACATCAAGAAACGAAAGAAGAATAAACGTACAGAATAGCAGAGACGAGACACAGTACCGGAGCACCGGATTGTGATAGGGGAAGACCCCAGTATGTGTAGTCTGCTGGGAAGACTCCATCCACTGCAAGGAAGGAGATAAGACTGCCAACGAGCACTGAAGCTGTGAGCGTCCTTAGCAAGACAGCGGAGCCAGACCATGGCTTATCGTTGTTGACGATAGACCACATGCCAAGGCCAACATCGCAAACGAGGGTCGCAATGAGCACAAGTGCTTTGAGACTAAGACTAGAGTTAGCTCCGCTTGGTTGAGCCTCATGATATATAATGTGCTTATATATGCATGGGTGAAGGGATGAACGGATGGAGACATACCCATGACAGGAGTTGACAGCTCCGGCATATGAAACAAGAAAGACGGCCAGCATCAGAATGACAAGCAGACATGAAACTATCTGCATGAAATCCACCGCAATTCTGACAGCGCGAACCACAGGTCCGGTGGGTTCCTCGGCCTCTTCAGGCAGAGGAGTCAGTAAAGGAGTGAGCTCCTTAGCGATTGGCTGAGGGGTCGTAGATAGTCGGGGAAGAGATCTCGGCCTAGGGACGATGCTGAGGTTCAGCGGAGGAGGACGGTTTCCTTTACGCATGTTGTCGTCTTCTTCTTGGTTGATAAAACTGCTGTAGCCCGTCGCAGACGTGGGAGATAAAGATGATGATGAAGTTGTCGAGTTTGAGTAGGAATCCTGGTCCCTGACCCCGATGAAGTTTCCAAGCATTAAGAAACCGGTATGAAGAATTGGGGGATAAGAGATAGTCGTGATGATGCGATTGAGAACGTGTTAATTTTGGTGTTCCTTTGGGAGGCCTCGATTCGTATTGATTTTGTTAATGACAGTAAAAGGAAATAAAGAATGAAATACTGAAACTAGAAAAAACGACAGAATGAAACGTTCAATTGAGACAATAAAAAAAGAGAGAAAGTATAGAATAAAACAAATCAATAAAAATGAATGAGGAATAATCAGAATAATAAATAAATAGAAAGGGAAGCAAAAGAGGGAACAGCTTCCTTTTTGTTCCTTCCCTCCCTTCGAAGTTTTGGCGCGCGCCAGAGAGGCAAAACGGGCTCCATTCGGAAACAGAAGCGCGCCGATGGAGGCCTTGGAGGGGGACGGGACCTGAAAGACACCTGAAAGTTACAGGGGCCAGGGGTGTTTTGGATTCCCTCGCAGGGGGTTAAAGTGCCTAAACCATCGCGTCGATTCGATGGATGCAGGGGCTCGTCGCACCACAACCACTGCTTTCAGTTGGCCACCGCCCAGTTCAACCGCCCGCCCATGCAAAACAGTGGACGCCCTTCTATTCTTGGTAGTTTCCACCGGTTTTGAACGGGTATCGAATGATGGCATTTTTCGCTTGGCAGCTGCTTGGCGTTGAGTAGAAAAGACCATTATGATGCGGTTTTGATTGGATCTGCGCTTGTTTCATTGAGATATTCACTGGCAATGACATGCTGGCGCGGATAATTCGGCTGTCTCCCTGCCATAGATGCTACCACATGCAACAAAAGTCTAGGCGATTACAGCATTTGGGCACCTAGCAAGCCAGGCTAAGGCATGTTACAGGGGCCATCTCTCGTATCGTAAGTGGGTCGATCAATGTCATAGCTTCTCCATGGCATTTTTATCCATTTATCTATCTATCAATGCCATCATCCCATCCCTTGAATACGGTCATCATCAAACTCAAGCTCAGACTTGCCTTTACGACCTCATCAACATTGTCAACGCCATAAACAAATCAGAACAAAGGGTTAGCAGTAGATAACATTAAAGTCATCTCCGCAAACGCACAGTCATTCAATCAATGTTTTATGCCCATGTTTCAAATGCTTCGGAAGTATCTGAAGAATCATCATAGCAGAGTCAACAATCCAGTCACTTGACTGTCTTAGACAGAATACACTTCAGGACTGTATCAGGAGAGAAGCGTTGTTCCTTTGGTCTTTCCACTCTCCATCTTGGCTGTTCTCGCACCGAATTGTATCTATCAAGATTCGTTAGTGGTAGGACCTTTGCTTCAAAACTGAAAACACTTACAGCGCGCTTCTTCTCCCGTGAAACAGTCTTCATGCCAAGAGACTGCGAAACCAGTCGCAGTACTCTCTTCTCTGCATCCAAAACGTCTTCACCACTTGGATTTTCAAAATCGCACTTGTCCCATACCGGAGACTCGATTGCCCACTTGACAAACCGCTCATCGAGGTAAGGGAATCTTACTTCTCGGCCCCAGTGAGACATGGCCCTGTCATCTCGGCCGAGATTTCTCTTTCCGAGCCGACTCACGTCAAGCTTCAACTCCTTCACAACTCCAGCGTAGCCGCCCCGTGTATAAGCTACACCGTGTCGACCATATCCACCAAACAGCTCATCAGCTCCCAGTCCCGACAGCAACACTCGTGCCGTCGTGCTGTATGGCTGCGGTGTCGATCCAGTGTTTGTCTCGCCTAGTCCTTGTCCTCTTGCAGCAAAGTATAAGGCACAGGCGATCGACAAGTCCATCTCTGTGTTGTGGGGGTGGATTAGGCGAATAACCTCAGGTCGGTGCTCAAGATTTTCGGCATAAGGTACGTTTACCTGCGACCAGTCAGTGCGTCTTCATCTCTGTGCGTCCCTTGTTCACCTACGGTTACAAACCGCCATGTCCTACCAGGGCAAACGTGGCTGAGCTCTGCAAATGCATTTCTGCCCGTCATCCGATCCGGGCACTTCTCATAAAGATCCTCCTGTGACAGGTCGGGAAATTGCCCTGCTATTCTGGGATTCTCAAACGCGACGTTGATCAAGTCAATGCTCTGATCCAGCGGAATCATATCATGGGACAAGCGCGCTAGTACGGTGCAGTCAAGACCACCTGAGAATAGCACGGCGACTCGTGCATCTGTAGATGTAGCTTTTGGGGGTAGTGGAACGTCTAAAACTCGTAGCCGAAGAGAGTCAACCAGACGAGTATGTAGCTCCTGCACGGATCTCGAGTTTGGCTCTAAAGAAAAACTCTGTTGCGGGATCTCATCGTTGAACACACCAATGTTCGATACCTGAGAACGTAAGTAGCAGGCTTTTCGGGGTAATACTCACGCACAACTCACCAAGGAAGTGTCAGCAGTCCAGTCATGTCGCTCTGGCAACAGTCCGCCAGAAACATCAACAGATAAATCCAGAGTATAGTATCCATCAGCTTCAACCTCGGTCCATCCCTCAACCGGTGTCACGGCGATACTTGAAAGAGCAAAAGGGAGTCCGTCTTTGACAAGCAAAGACCGACGACCAAGTCGATCGCGTCCATAGTAAAGCCGCTTGGCAGGTTTGTCCAGATAAATGAATGCAAAGGGTCCTTCGATAGCTCGCAGAACATCCATAACATCTCCCGAGCCCTGACTGGCCTCGGCCAGCAGAGCTAGAATAGCTTCACCATCATTGCCCTGTACAGGCTCTCCTCGAATGGCCCAAGCCTCTCCGTTCCAGCAGAGGACAGATCCGGTGATAGGATCGACAAGCGGCTGTTTTGCTACATGATCTCCTCGTAGCGATAAAACAGTCGACGTGAAGGTGAGAAAGAGTTCACCTTGGCCGTTGTCGAGCTGCGTCTTCACAGTCCCTGTGTGATCGGGTCCTCTGTTGCAGAGACATCGTTCTAGTTCTGACGATAGGGCCTGGTCGGAACTTGTGGTGATGGAAGCATGAATTCCGCACATCTTGCGCGTTGTAGGTAGAGAGAGGGACGCGGTTGGAAGAGTTGCCTGGTGCAGTTTCGTTCATCACGGGAAGCGAGATATCGAGGCCCACTTCGATATAAGGTTACCCTATATCGCACAGGATTTGAGTATTGAGATTTGTTGAAATCCAACCCAAACAATTGACATGCAAAGACACCATATCCCAAGTCATTCATCCCAACGGATCCTTAGCTCATCCTTTGTAGTTGCGCTTATTTCACAAATAAGCACAGAAATAGAAGACCACCTGTAACGCTTCATGACTAACCGAGCAGAGGTGAAGATACACCAAATATTACTTGTAAACTTGAAGCCTACGGCAAACTCTGAAGGTCACATGGAACAAGTTATTGTACATGATGTGGGTGTATTTCTATCCCATAAGAGGAGAGGCGAACTCTATACTAGCTAAACAAAACCTATCTCTTGCTGAACCGAACTGCACTCTGAAGTAGTGGAGTGAAATAGTGTTGCGCATCCTAATACCCAACTCGAGGGCCAATAGACATTTCCTCCTCGTGAAAAATCCGCTGGAAGGCCAATTCCTTCTCCTCCTAATCTCTCAAGGAGAGCGAAGCAAGCTCCAAAAGTCAAGCAAACGTCTGCAATACATGAAAAGACCTTATCCCGCGCTGGGTGGCCTATAAACTAGTGTTTCGTATCTCATCAAACCAAAAGCTGTTTGGCAATTTTGTTGGGGAACATTATACAATTTTGAGTAAGTTCCCCTTTACTCATTGTGTTCATTGTCGTATGGAGGAAAGTATCTCGGCAAGCCATCGATCCCCTAATCGAAGCGGTTTGGCGAGAAATTCATTTCCGGTTGCATGCTAGACCAGTCCATTTGGAAAAGGTCTTGGGAATTTTGGGAGAAGCTCAGATTGGCACTGGGAATCTCGCCAAATAGCGACGGATAATCATTGGTCTTAATCATGTTGTCGCCACTAGGGAAGAGTGGAAAATCCATTCCGTCTCCGCCAAAGGAGTCATCGAATCCCTCATCAACATCTCTCAGTGAGTTGGGAGTAAAGAGCATGGCAGTCTCCTGACCAGTTGGTGAGAATTGAGATGGAGCAGCCTGAACAGGAACCTGCTGAGGAACTTGCTGATACATAGGCAGCTGTTGTTGCATCATCTTGGGGTTGCTGTACATGAGTTGCTCGGGTGTGGGGAGTTGAGTCGGAAGCTGCATGTGGGCAGCGTAGAGATCTTCGTTATCGAGAATAAAAGCCGAGCCGTTCTGGTATGGCGCATATTGCTCGTAAGAACTAGCAGAAGCAGGTGAAGTTGAGTCAAGAGTCAAGTCCAAATGCATCGCCTCAGAAGGGATGTTGTTGTGTGACATCCAGTCGGAGTCAGTAGGGTAGAGAGGAAAGTCGTTACCCATGAACTGGGTCACGTCGTTTTGAGGAGGCGTGGGTACACTGTTGTACTCGGTCGAAGATGGTGTCGACATGTTGCCCAGAGGAGGTGTCTGCTGTTGAACACTGCCAGCGATCGAAGGCAGCTTCTTGCCGTTGGTCTTGGTTCGAACATAGGTCCAGCCGTGAGCCTTCTCCATGTGCTGTTTGCAGTTTGATTCACGCTTTGACTTGTACGGGCAAGGCTTGAACGCGCACTCATACATAGCAGGGGCATCGGAGTGCTTGTCGTTATGGTGTCGATCCATTTCCTTCTCGGTAGGCCAACCGTAGTTGTGGTACTTGCAAGTCGGGACAGGGCACTTCCAAGGACGAGAATGTGTCTTTTCATGCTTTGTGAGGTCACAGGGTCGCTTAAATTCCTTGTTGCAACCAGGCTCACGGCACTTCTTGGGGGCCAGCTCCTCGGGGGAGGCGTTCTTCTTACGACGAGCCATGGATCGCTGGATCTCCTCCTCATCCTCCAGCTGCTGGCTCAAAGAGCGCTTCATCTGGACTGGCATATCGTCGTCTGTCTCGACAGGCTTACCAGTCTCAAGAGAGATGTAAGTGCCGTCCTTGCGAACACGGACGAGTTCGGCAGGACGACCGTTCTCAGATAGGCCACCAATGAGCTTGATCTCATCAGATCTTGTGGGAAAGTTAGTTGGATGATCCAAGGGAACGAAGCTGGGTACATACGCGTCGATATCCATGTCGTCGCCGCTGTTCTTGGCGGCAAGTTGTTTTCCGTATTCTAGAATTTGATCCTTAAGGTCGAGGAAGTATCCGTTAGTGTAAGGTCGATCAGCAGGTCGAATTTGCTCGCGGTCGCTAAGATATTCGACGGTCGCTTGAATGCATCGGACGGACGTAAGGCAGAAATCCAGGTACAATGTTGCTGATTTGGCTTTCTCCTTTAAAGACAAACTCCGATAAGTATTTTCCCAAACGCCATTACCAGTCAGAAGCTGACTTACCGGTGCCATAAAGATCAAAGTCTTCTCAAGATCTCGCAAGCAAATAATTTCCTTTGATCGAATTCTTCTGGGGATGTCAAGAACAATGGGCTCAAACTCCTTGAGAGTCGGCTTGGCCAACAAAGGGCGCAGAGTATGCTCGTGAATGCGGTTAACAGCTTTAGATCCCAGTGAAGGAAGCTTCCCCGCCGTGGAAGCAGCAGACCTTGTGATGCATCGTGTTTGTTGCGCTTTTGTCTCCTTTGATGCAGTGACTGCATCCCGCTTCTCGTTTGTGGAAGCCACCGATGTACCCAAACCGCTGTCAGACAGGTGTGCATGGTCTCGCGAAGAGCGAATTCTAGGGCGCAAAGTGCGCCTGTCTTCCTCTTTTGTCATCTTGGGATCGACGATGGGTCCCTCGAGGAAGCCACGAGGGATGGGCAGACTGGTGTCGCGAAGAGTCTTGGGCTTTGACTTGGGTGACAGAGAGAGCTCTTGGGTCTTAGCCAGAGCCTCGTCGATGTCGTTGAGAGTCAAGGCCACACGTCGACGGTTGGCATCGACAACATCATCCAGATGAGACTGAGCTCGAGGCAGAGTAGGAGGGACGAAGGTGACGTCCGAAGTCAAAGATGGTGAAGTAGGAGAGTGAAAGGTCGCACCCTTGCGGAGGGTAGAGCTGTTCTTAAGGGACAAAACATTCTCGGTGTCGCTGTCCGGGCGAGTCACCGGAGTCCTTCGACGAGGGTGGGTGAAGGACATGGCTTAGATGCAAGGTGGGTATGAAGTAAAAGGACAGTCGACTGACGGCCAGAGGTGTCCTGAAGCTAGGTCGGGGAGTCCCGTTAGTCCAGAGCTCGACCTTGAATGCAAGCAAGTGCTTGGTAGTAAGGAACGGGGAGGTGAGTCACAGTCGATATTCCTAACTCCCACACCCAGGAGCGAAGGCCTAGACGTTGATCAAGGCCAGATTGGGATACCGGGTGATGGACGAATATCAACGACAATTGGAAGTAACGCCAGAGAGAACCGAAAACAAGATAAGACGACGTGAAGAGATGAAGACTCCAATGTTAAGACGAGATAAAATAGTAACCCTACCAGGTCAGAGATGAAAGAGAGATTGATTGATCAGCTTGACTGTCGGCGAACCAATGCGGTGGAGGTGGCGCAGACGAGCGGCGAGTAGCTCGGACTGATTATGTGTTCCTCAGGCAGTAAAATGAACTCGGAAAACCTCGACGAGATATGTATTCGACGAGATCAATGGTGAGTCTCGACAATTGAGATAGATGCGCGTTGAAAGTAGACGTTGCGCTTCGCTGCGATGCGTTGCGATGGAAAAGGCGGGTGGAACTGGAGGAAAGAGCAGGACGGGGCGAAAAAGGGTATATGAGGGTTGATAGAGAGGGTGTACGATTCCGGGATCCGCAGGGCGTGTGGAAATTCCGAGTGGATTGGATTGAATCGCCGTGGCCTCAGGATCAAGGAGGAAGAATTATGAAAGTGAGAGTGGGAGAGTGACGAGAGAGTCAGATTGATGAACTGGGAGAGGTAAAGAAGGAAGAGGGCGAAATTCGGTGTCTTTGGACGAGGTTATGCTTAGAAACCAACCGGGGGCTAAACTCAGCCCATCCTGACTGCTGCCTAGAGACTCCTCCCAAAATGGCTTAGCGCAGGGCGGACGGGCTGGGGCGTTGTCTGTGCGGAGGAGGGGCACCCCTGTACCAAGTTGAACATGATAGGACAGTTCTGAGGAGAGTACCAATGTCGCTAACAGAGATGAGAGACTGTAAACTCTCGTTGCTCACCAATTTCCCTACATTTCTCACCAAAATCCCCCCCAATTCCTCAGCAGAGCCGCAACGGATTCGAGTTCGGGCTTACAACTTCGGGTACCTCGACTATGACAAAAAACATTCCCGTATCCCCACAAACTCCGCCATTTCCGACTTGCTCTCTCCTCTCGCACCCCAAATTCAATACCAGACAGAACCTTTGTAGTTACTGACGGCTACAGTCCAGTTTCTGCGATGGGAGGCAGAACAATTTCCAGATCTCTCATTGATCTCATTGAAAAGCCAAGAACAACTTGAACATTTCGGGGGCCAAAAATGCATTCATTGCGTAGCGACAGTCGCGGCCCTTTGCGTACTCGACACATAATGGGTGTTTCCTCATTCCGAGTCTGAACAAACGTCCTGTTTTAGACACGACCCGACTGTCACGATCATTGACCGAAACGTAAGGGGGGAAGAGAAAATGGTGTTGTTGATTGTATTACCGAAATACGGATGACGTTTGGTCGTTCCTAGTGTCGCGGAAATGGCACAAGCAACAACCAGTTACCGCTGCAATGAACCTATCGAAAACGCCTTGCGGAGAGTCTGCAGGGATCGACGCCCCGCTGGCTCAACTCGCATCTTTCTGATGGTCCGTGACTTGGTTAGACCGTCAGCAATACAGTACGGCTGCTGTGGTCTGGTCTGGTTCTGTTCAGTGCTCTAACCTCTGTTCCGTTTGATCCTCGTGCGGCCATCTCCCGTTGTTAGTTCTCGGTCATACAACTTCGCCCATTGATTGTTGTTGACCGACATAAAACTGGCCATTGGGTGTTATCCCATTCGCTCCTGGTGGTCTGCAAGCGATGAGACGGATGGTGTTACAAATTACACTGTATCGTACAGGACATTCCTGGCACTTTACTGGAGTTGATGCATTGGCAGCATTGCATATCGGCCCTCCACCTCAGCCCTCTTTGACGGCTGTGCCTGCAATGGCGTTGCTCTGCCTCTTTGCAACCCTCTTAGCATCGATTTCTTGATTTCTTGAGCTTGGATTGAAGGGATCTCGAACTACATTGGGCTATTAGCTGTGTGAGAAAATTCGAGGTTTGTTGTTTAGGGGACTCGGCAACCAACAACCCATAAAGACATGCATTGTCGTCCTCAGACCCTTCGAGCAGCAGATAAACACCCATTCAAGGCATGATCGTCATAGAGATCCCTTATTGAAGAAAACGCGACAGCGACTCATCATGCTGTACGCAACATGAAGCTTCGCTGCGTGTTCTCAGATCGAGAACGAACACCAGACCAAAGCTCCCACAGTCTCACACCCCCATCTTCTGAGAATTCTCCTTGACTATTCTGACAATCTGGTTCCTGTATTCCGTAACCATACAGTTCTGGCCACCGCCAATGCCTCCTCCTTCTCTCCGTCCCCGTAGCGTGGACCCACGGCCAATTGACCAGGTTCGACCGCGCATTTGCTCCACGCATAGGGCTGCTTCTCGGTGCAGGGGTTGGTGGAAACGATTGTCATGTCACCGTTGACTCAATGACCGGCGATTTCCCTTTCTGGTTATGGACCGTGGACCCCCATCCCCCAACCGTTGCATTGCATTTGCATCTCATCGCACTGCTAACCCTCCAGAGATGTTGCCCTGAAGCAAGCATCCCAGATTGAGGCCGTTGGTCCCAGATTTTATCGGTCAGTATCCGCCACAGCCAAAGGTTGTTATCGAGAGACTCTCCTCTTGATCAGGAGGAGTCACCGTTGCCGCCGGCCTCTTGAAACATGCATAAATTTGTCATGCGTCTACGGATTACAAGTCTTGGCTTGCCATCTGCAGAAACGTCCAGTGGTCTTTTTGCAGAGGGGTACGTTTGTATGAAGCCATCGCAATGCCATCTAGACCGTTGCCAAGCGTGGGAAGTCTGTCTGTCATCCACTTTCTAGTCGCAACTAAACTAGAAGACCAGATCCACGTACGCAATCATAGATGTGCATTTCTTACCAAAACAACCACATCCTACGTACGTCTCCACGCAAGCTCGACGTTTTATTCGGCCACTGCATTCATTCGTTTATAGTATCAGGACTTTCCGAACGGAACGGTATGGTATGAAACACAAAAGTCCTATTCTACATCGTCGTCAACTTTAACAAGGTCCCTGCCATAAGCCAATAAGATGTTGTTTTATGGAGCAGCCTATGCTTGACCGGGGACAAATTTGGATGCCTCGAGTGATGAACCCCATTCTCAAGGCACCCGTATTCTGGTTCGCAAGGAATACGTATGCAGTTTTGGTTATTCTAAGAACGAACCACTGACATCACCCGCTTTGAAACGCATTGTTTTCTCTCGCTCATCCCTGTGCAACTGGTCCCTTCAGTCCCGTCCCGATTGATGACAGGGCTGCTGTCCCGAGATTCGAGATGTAGCAAATGACCTAGAATATCGCCTCCCAACAAGCTTAATTAGTGCAATCCATGATCAAAACATCTACGAGTCGAGGTTCCTTATTCGACAATGACATAGGTTTGGTGGTCGATGTTTGCCCGTAAATTCTCAATCCTAGTGACGATCTGCTCGCTCCTACCAGTTCATCCCTGGCTGACTATATTTGGCTGGCGATTTGTGTAAGTCTATATTTGGGGATGTTCAGCATCTGATTGATAATACCACACCATCCTTCACTGACGCTGAGGCATCGAGGTCTTTCATATAACGCAACTTATGTCGTCACTCACTTGCCGATATGATTAACTTTCGTAAGAGGACAGACATATGGTGTGTTCCGTTGCAAGCTGCTATCAGAACATCTTGCATTATTGTACATCTCACTAAAGCACCGTGCAAGACGGTTGCAAGTTTTCACATGTTTGGAAATTAAAAAGATTAAAAAAAAAATTACTCAATAAAATACTCAATAAAGTTTACGTGCTGCTTGTTACGATGCATAAAATGTCGTTCAACTTTGAGGTCTTCCATGCATGAAATATCATCTTCGTCGTAACGTAATCCTTCAACATCTCTCATAATCTACGCCTCTCATTCCCTCAATTCTCCTTACAATCTAGATACGCGCGGGGTAGTTGCTGTCTACATCGTGCTCAGGGTACTCATCGTGCTCAGGGATCGGAACAAAAGGAGCTCTCAGATCGCTCTCAGTGAGAGGAGACACCGTCTGGGAGCGGTCAATTGAAGAAGGGCCATGCTCCCTTCGCAGCGTTGCGACCCTGCGAGGGACGGGGTTTTGCTCACAGTGCCCTGGATTTGGAGCGGGACGAGGAAGTTTATCCTTGATCTCTAGGTTTCCGCGGGTACCAGATTTCTTGGGACGGCGTCTTGTACGACTGCTGGTGGTCTTTTTTGCCGCTGCACTCAGTGAATCGACGCTGTCGCTGTTGTTAAGAGAATACTCCAGTTCGTGGGGACTAGGTATGGGCGAGAGAGGCCTGCGAGTACGTTGAGCCGGGGCGCGTCCATTCTCTGACAGAATACTGTCACGCCTGCCGACAGTGGCCTCTATCTCGTAAGGACTAGGCTCTGAGCTGTTGACAAAGCCGTTACTGTTGCTATGTCGAAGGTTAGAGGGCTGCAGGTTTGTCAGTTCGATACCATCTGGGCCATGACTTACCTGTCTGGAAGGCTGACTGACATAACGTTGATACTGAAGTGCTCTGGCATATCCATAGCCAGGTCGAGGAGTTTCTTCAGATTCAAGAGCTCTAGAACCGAGAGCTCTATCCGGCTGAGAAGGGTTGTTTGCTTGAGCCTGGTGCTGGTGACCCTGAGTTGGATAAGCCCGAGGCTGGTAAGAATTCTCAGGGGATCTCACAGGAGGCTCATTCTGACCTCCACAGGAGTAATCAGATGGCTGTATCTGTTCCCAGGGGTAAACAGATGCCTGAACCTGTGCCATACCCCGGGAGCTTCCAACACCCTGGGTCAACTGTGCAGTCAACTGTGCAGTGAAGCCACCATAGTCTCGACGGGTGTTCTGCTGGTTACGCTTAGTGCAGCTATCACACATTCCATGGACAGGATTGGATATTTTGACATCGTTATGGGAGCCTGTAGGATATAAGCAAGCTGCCAGGAACGACAAGTGAGTCTCGACAAAATTCTGCCAGCACTTTTCTTTTCTGTCGAGTTTGTTGTGGTGACAAGACTCGTACTCGTTGATGTAGGATTGACACATTATGGGCGGAAGATGTGTTGTTATCCAGTGTAGAGAAGTTTCTGGTCGATACAGACAGACGCAAAGATGTGCGCCTTTGGAGTTTTGAAGTCGAGTTCTTGGTCAACTGTTGAACCAGCCTAGACTGAAGATTGTTGAAGAAGTGGTGATCGGAGTATCGGAAAAAACCTGTGGGAGTGGGAGTAAACGAGATATTTATGTACATCAAACTTTACTCTGCTATGTTAATGAGCGAATACCCAAGAATTATGAGAGTTTGGACAAAGCACTTGTTATAGTTCTTATTCTGCAACATTAAAGAACAGCCTGAAGCTTGTTACAGAACTTATAGACAAAGTCACGCACAAGCCTCTTTGTTCGTCTGTAATGAAAGCGCACAAACCTGCATTATGAGTACAATAGATATTTCACCACATGTTTTTGAATAAACTGCCATGACTCATCTGTTCCAACTTAATCAGGAGACGTGAAGTTCCCTTAAAGCGAACCTTTGTCCTCACGGTTGGCTCAGCATACTACCATTATCAAGTTCCTTTTCTGTTTCTGCCCACTCACCATGTCTCTGTTTATAGGAAATCAACCTTCAACCGTCCTTGGACGACGACAGAATGTCTCCTCCAGACCCAGAAAATGTCCTAGACCAAAAGGAAGACTCGAAGCGATGGAGTTCATGGCTAGTGGAAAGGATGAATTTGTCAAACGGGCTCGAGATGCTGCTCTGCGTGAGACCTACAAGTCTCATTCACAACCAGTCTCCTCCTCGAAGCAGGATCACCGCTTGGCCACTGGTAAGCCATCCCTTCTACCTTCGAACCCTAACCTTAAGCCAATCCCCGACAAAGTTATTGATGATTTGAATAACATTTCTTTGGACATCACTATAAATCAAATCAAGTTACCAGCACCACAATCATCCCTACGCTCTGAAGATCGACATAAAAGGGCTGTTAGGCACGACGATTCTCGAACTCAATCCTACTGGGACACTCCCAATCTTCCTCAAAGTCAAGTACCACCTGCCCGTATCATACACTCGGTTCACCGGCCACGTACTAACAACACTGAGTCTTGTAGCAGACTAATCAACGAGTCTGAGGATGATTTGGAAGAAGAGATGGAAGAAGAGGTAAAGATTTTGAAAGTCGCTTTCAAACCTGTTCGCATTATCCGCGGCCATGTATGGCAAAATGTGCAGCCGCAGGTTGCGACTATTGTCGATCCTTCCATGGAAGAGTCTTCATCAGATTCGGAGGCTTCTGTCAAAGAAGTCTTTGTAAAGCAGCCAGAGGAGTTGCACCAAAACGTAGAGGTTGTGCGGTCAGTGCTAACGGCCAGAGATCGTTGGACGACTCTGATCAACTCGGATAAATGGAACACGAACAAGGCTGTGGATATGGAAGAGGAGGCTGTTCTATTCAATGAACGTCCTGGGAGGAAATTGTGCTAGAGAATCAGGTAAATGACAATGCAGAGGGCTGGGCCCCTGAATGTCAAGATGTAGGAGCATTGGCATCTGTCCAATAGAGTCATGGCTGGTCCATGGCCGGTAAGTATCGTAGAGCTTGGAGTTTGATAGGTTCATAGACATATGGCTTTGTTCTTGATATCCAGGCTAAACATCTCTTTCAATTTTAACTCTATGGGTATCTCGGCTTTCTCCCTTTTTATAACGTGATCTTTCAAGCGCATCTAAACATGTGCCCAGCCTCGCTCAACGAGAACTTGCATCTCGTTAATCAGACAAAACTCACCAGGCTCTCTTCTCCCTATACCCTCCTTCTCCCACGCCGCTACACGCTTTCTCACCACTAACGAGTCAAAAGGTGCTGAGACCCATCGCATAATGCGGTTGATCCAGAGTCCAGAGAAGATCTGCCATGTAGAAACCCATGCACCTTGTTCAGGGTGTACAACCTTGTATGCGGCGGAATTATAGCCCACGCGGACATGAGGGTTGAGATATACACCTCGGGTCTTGGTGAGAGGGTTGTCTGCGTGAATGAGGCAGCACTCGCAGCCTTCTAAATGACGCTCTGCTAAGGAGTCCGGGATACCGCGGAAGCGGAGTTTGGAAGAAGAGGTGAAAGGCTCAGTAGGCATTGCGACTAAGATCATGTCAGTTACTGCGATTATCAGCTCAGAAAGTAGACAAACCAATTCCGTTCCAGCAACTGGCAACAGGCACAGCATCCACATGGTTTACAAGCGCATTTCTCGAAACGCTTGACTTAAAGTATGGCCATGTATGCATTGCATGCGCATATCCAGAGGTATCCCTCAGCGCAAATGTATCATAATACTCTGGTGGTCTCGAGAAGTCAAGCGAACAGGCTGCAGCATAATCGCCGCCGTTTGTGCCCAATAGCTTGAGAACATCATCGATCTGCAATTGAGTCAGAAGCCATGCGCCATGGTACAGTTAGAATATAACATACCGTAAAAACGACGTCGTTGAGAAACAAAACCTTGTCGAAATGTTGACCCTTCTTCTGCAAGTCGATCAAGTCCTGTAACGTCCTATTCCTTAACTTGGCCAGGAACGGTATTCTTCGTAACTCGCGCTTCCCTCTCGGCGTATTGATCCAGCCCTCGCCCTTATTCGGATTCTCGATCTCATCTTTATGCGTCGACTCCGACATCTCCACGCGATGTGGAATGCCCATATTCTCCAGCTCTATTGCCATCTTGTTCAGCTCCCATTTCGTTTTATCCCAGCTCCCACTCTCGTACACGCTAACAAAGACATTCTCCTTCCCGAGAAGCTTAGACAGTTGTACAACTGCAGGTCCCCAATGGTCTCGTATCACGCGCTCGTTATTGAAGTGCATGCTAGCGATGTAGATGCGCTCTGGCGGCTGCGAGAGCTTTGGAGCGGGCGTGCGGTCGGCATCGATTAGGTTCTTGTGAATACGGAGAACGTCGAGGATATTTATGATGATGAGAAGGATGAAGACGATCTTGGGGAAGCGCGAGCGGAGGAGACGCCGGAGGTAGAGGCGGTTTGTATGCGAGACCATGATTGCTTATGCGCAGTGATGAGGACAGCGAAGCAGCATCGTAAAGGATCTGGAGAGTTTTGAAGCGGATATAGATTTACCGTGCGGCAGGTTTAGCAGTTTAAGACACAAAATATCATCTGAGAAGAAAAATCATGGTTGACCAATCTCGCTGATTTTGGAAGGATTGCATTGGATTTATGTAAATTTGTATGCATCCCTTGCTTGATCATGTCAACTATTGGAGTGCAGTCTCCATTTGGGTTCAGCCTTTCCTTGGTCGACCCAGCGTACTTACGGAGTACAGCCCTCTAATATATCGTCATAACAGGGGTAACACTCTAATACGAGGGGTTCTTTTTAGCAGTGATATCCCCTATCAACCAGACCTCGACATCCATATAAGAGCACACATATAGTAGAATCTTCCGAAGACACGGATACCAACCAAGATCTACTGCAACGTGTGCTTCTGGACCTCAGAGTGGTCTTGACTGATGATGATCCGGGGTACATATTTTTAGCGGTTTACAGGGGCTCAAGCTTCCCCTGCCAAGACACCGTGAAACCATTCACTCTGCAATTCTTACATGATCGATTCGTTCAAATAGATAAAGAAATATTGGACCAACGTCTTTATGCTCTCAGTAGCTTCAGAGTCTTTAGGTTCGTCAAAATAAAATTGAGAGATTAGCTTCGTCAGGTAACTAAGGGTTCATTTTCTCCATTGAACCCTGATATTTCCCTCCATTGATCGTTGACATAATGTCCTACAAGCCAAGTTGAAGTCTATGATACTCCACCACATGATCCATACAAATCCTCCTCATCCTCTTGAATCTTATCAACGTTCAAAGATCCGTTACATGACCTGCGCCATCATTTATTTGGCGAAGTGCAGGTCGTATCCGAGCCACTTCCTTCGGAGAATAGCATCCACAGAGAGGCCAGGGTAACCGTAGGTAAGAGGAAGGAAGAAGTACCAGCCGGCAATGATCAGAGCCAGGATAACGCCACAGGCAATCCAGGCGCTGAGCATGCTCTGACCGGCAAATCGCTCACCGGCGGTAACGTGGTGCTTGGGGCTGACAGTGCCCTTCTTGTCCTTGATGGTGACCTCCTCAGCAGGCTCCGAGTTAAAGATGAACTCGAGAAGAGCACCGGCGACAAGACAAGAAGCGAGATGAGCTGGAAGGTAGTGATGCAAGAAAAGTTGTCGTCCCATAAGGAAGAAAGGGAAGTAGTGAGTAGCCCAGGCAAGGAAGAAGAAACCGGTAGAGTTATACAGGCGGGAGCGGGTACCTTTCAACTTGTTAGTGTGTATCTCAAAAGAGAATCATGATATGACTTACGGCGGTCAAGCGCGTCAACTCCACGGCGCAGAGAGACTTGGTCAGCAAGAAGGATACCGGCGTACACAGCGAGAAGACTGCTGGCAAGCCACCAACCAACAGGGTTACCGAGGAAGTAGATCTGCTGGCGAGTCTCGTTCTGAGTCCAGAAGCTGACACCGCGGAGCAGGAAAGGCCACTGGTAAGGGTGGCTGGCATAGGGGTGGCTGCTGGTGAGCTTGCTGTTGTGGTAGAACATAGCGCGCTGAAGCTCGAACCACTTCTTAAGGAATGGAACAGACTTGACCTTGCGCTCAGGCTTCTGGCGACGAGGGCTGTCGACGGGGATCGAAGGAATATCCTCAGCGATCCAGACGTTGGAGCTGGGTGCAATCTGCTTGTTGCCGTTGATCTCCTGCTGCTTGTAACCCCACTCAGGAAGAGGCTTGGTGTGAGTCCACATGGCGACCTTGCTTGGGTTGTGGATAAGCTTGAAGTGACCGGCGACAGACTTGAAGTTCTGGTTCTTCTTGCCGTGCTCAAGACGAACCTCGAAGAGGGTGTCCTTCTCACGCTTACCAAGGGCCTCCTCGGGTGTGACAGCAGTGAACTCCTGGTTGGTAGGGTAGTAAGGAGAGGCAACATCGTGAGAGAGGAGGATCTTGTCGGTACCAACGTGGCGAAGACGGACCAGGTCGTGGTTCTTGACGATGCGACCAAGCTGCTTGTTGTTGTCGGCGGGCCAGATCTCCCAGTAGTTGTTGGTGTCGTTGTAAGGGTAACCGGTGATCTGCTGGCCCTGGCTGGAAACACGGCCATCGTCGTATCGGAGAGGGTAACGGTCCTCGTGACTGTGGAGGTAGGTCTTGGTCTCCTTGTGGCGGATGGTGATGCTGTCGTAGTACTGGATATCGATCGCGTTGGCCAACATGACGTTGTCGCTCAGGGTCTCCTGGAACTCGGGGGTCATGAAATCGTCACCGGGACCAGATCGGTAGAGAACAGCGAAGTGAACCTGGAACCAGAACAGGTAGAACAAGAAAGGCATGATAATCAGACCGAAGGCACGAGCAGCAAAGTGCTTGCCGAACTCTTGCAGGCTGATAGCACCACCAGGTCGGTTGATGTTGAGGAGGTCCCAGAGGTCGATGACAACGGCAGAGCCAATGGTAACGAAAGCAAAGACACCGACGTACTTGACCGAGATATCACAAGAAAGAGCGAATCCGGTAAGGATAAGCCACTTCCACCACTTGCGGGAGAAGGGCTCATGTCGAAGCTTGTACCATTTGATGTAGAAGAGAAGACTGCAGGCCATGGCAAGGACGAGAGTAGCATCCAGGAGGATAAGTCGGGTCTGTCCAATGTGGGCATTGTCGAGTAGCAGAAGGCCTGCGGCAAGAATACAGGCGGGGAGACTGTAACCAGACTCCCACATGATAAGGTATGTAACGGCGACGGTCAAAGCACCGAGGGTAGCGGGCAGAGCTCGGAAAGCCACGTAAGGGACCTTGTTCGCAATGTAGGAGTCTCCAATGTTATCGAAGTGGAAGTGGCCATCGTAACCGACGAGCCAGCCAACAAAGGCGAAAAGAAGCTTGCCGAAAGGAGGGTGGACATCGAAGAAGTAGGTTCGCTCGAGGTAGTAGGACGCGAACTGTAGCATCAAAGTCAGCGATTGCCTTCCGCAATTGGGATATTCGGTCTCAAGCTTACCTTTCCAAAATGAACCTCGTCAAAAACGACCTCGTTAGGGTGGCTGATACCCCAGAATCGAGTCACGAAGGACAAGACAGTGATGACTGCGAGACCAATCTTGTACTCGGTCTCGCTCTGGATAGCGGCCCGTTGAGCACCAGCCTTGGCAAGCTTGTCAAGCTCAGGGCTGGGGTTGAAATTGTCGTCGGAGAGCTTCTTTGATGGCGCGCCTCTCTGTCGCAGGCTGCCCTGCGGCGGCGAGGAGCTTCGAGCCATGATGGGACTCGGTTGGCTATACGATGCGACGGTTAGCCAAGGACGGGAGGTTTTGAAGATGGACGTTGAAGCAAGAAAGGTGAATGCCACGACATATATCAAGTACTGTATGCAATGGAGCAAACACGTCTCACAAAGGGTCCAGAGGAATGACAGGTCTCAAAACTTACCTCAGGGGTTTAATAGAAGTGCCCTGAGTTACACCAAGAGATAGAAGAAACGGGAATAGGGAAACAAAGGAACGATAGAATAGGAGGAGGAAGAGTACGCACAAATAAGAATTGCGCACCTATAAGAACAAGAGAAAGGAAAAAGAAAAAAGGGGGCAGTTTTGATAAAATAGAAGAAAAAAAGAGAAGCCTCCCTTTGGAAGAAGTTGAGTTATTGAAGACGTAAGTTCAGCTCCAATCCAATCCAATGAAGTGAACTAATTACCGTCGAGGACAACCTGGCCAGCTTGCCTCTTCTCTTAGGTTTTCTAGTGGAGGCCCCCTGTCATTTTGGGGATGGACGCAGGGGTAAATCGATGGTCTGACCCCACTCTTGTTAGCCCTCAGCCACTTGACAGCTGTTGCTGCTAACAAATTCCATGTCTTCTTAGGGGATTCAATAGGAGCTATGGGCCCAATTACGCGGCGTTTGAGCTTGATTGAACCCCACTGTTGCTGATATTCAGCCTGGAACTTGCTTGTGATGCTTCCATTCTTAGATCCCGTCTGGAAACTCCCGTCTGTACAGGGCTGAGAAAGATTGAGAACATCCATCAATATCTGTAACGAAGCAATTGGACAACAGAACAAATGCCAGTATTCAATCAAAATAAGCAGACAGTCATTGAATTTGAGAAACGCTTCTTCATACATACCTCGACTGTTGGTGGTATTGTAACTTGAATAGCCCTCCGAAGCACGATCCAGTCTCAGCAAAGATCAGAAAGCTATCCTTGATCTGGGGTTGAATAAAGCTTCAATAAAGAAATCTCGGGTTCATCTGCAAGACTGTAACCAAATATCAGTCCCCAAGCGCTGTTTGCTTGGGCTGATCAATTGAATCCTCAAACAAAGAATCCATAATGTTCAGTTCGCCTTTCCCAAGGCAAAAACCACCAACCCTCATGAAACAAAGCCATGTAGTCCATGGATTCTCTTTGTGTTCTTTGCTGTATCAGTTTTACAATAACCAAACATGCAAATATCATCAGTTTAGCTCCGTGGTATCATCATAGTACGTCTACCACCCGGGTGCTTGACATGAGAACCATGACTTATAACTTACAAAGTTGATGATATGACGCAACCCTCGGTATGAACTGTAGCTGAGGTACTCATACCCTATCTCAACCTCACTCAAAACTGCTGATCTCAAAGTAAAGGAATATTCTCTTCAGTGTTTTGGACCCTGAGATTCAATCCTCGGACGCCGTCGCCGGAGGTCGTAATGCGGGGCATGATCGGAAACGTACCAGCAGTTACCTCATCAGCTAGCCGATCAACGGAGCTCAGCAGCAGCAATTAACTGATTCAGTGTACCTTTTGTAGCATTTCGGGCACTCTAAACCAATAATTAATTCCAATTGATTCCCTCAAGGTGCGTATCTTCATTGGCTAGCTTCGGTGGTCCCCTCCGAATAGTCACCGAACCTCCGGGAGCTCTCGTTCAAAACACGGCATCCAAACCTTGAGGACCGTATCTTTCAACCCTTGCTCTTAGCTAACCAACTCTTTAAACGCAATTCAGCTCCTCTTCAGATCTCACTTGAAATCCTCTTCACATATACAGGTACGTCAGCAGCTGTCACCGTCGACACCAGTTTCTATCCACAATGTCTTTCTCTCTGGTTGCACGTAGAGCAGCTCCCCGCTTCATCACCTCGTCTCTCCAGACAGCTCCTCGTCAGCAAGCCATCGTCACAGCAGCAGCAAAGTTCACACGTTCAAGCAGACAACAATCCACAATGTCTTCCGACCAGCAGATCGTCTTCACCAAGAACGCCCCTGCGGGTAAGTTAATGACTCTCTTCATTACTACAACACCTATACTGATGATACTCTAGCCCTTGGTCCCTACGTATGTTGAAACTACCCCTCACTGACAGAGTCAAGACATATACTCACCGAGTCTGAAAACAGTCCCAAGCTATCAAGACCCCCAACATGATCTACTGCTCTGGTCAGATCCCCCTCACCCCTGAGGGCGAGCTTGTTGAGGGCATCACTGGGCAGACCCGCCAGGCTTGCAAGAATGTCCAAGCTGTTGTTGAGGAGGCCGGTTCATCCCTTTCCAAGGTTGTCAAGACCACAGTCTTCATCTCCGACATGTCCTACTTTGCTGTTAGTTTTGCCAGAATCGCTAGTCTTCATCCTACTTACTATTCACAGGAGATCAACACCGAGTACGAGAAGTGGTTCTCTCACAAGCCAGCCCGTAGCTGCGTCGCTGTCAAGACTCTTCCCAAGAACGTCGATGTCGAAATTGAGGTCATCGCTCTTCCTTAATTGATTAATTAACCGGAATGAATAAGTTGAAGAGAGTGCAGACCAACCTTTAGTGCGATCAGGTGCAAAACGGCTGCCTGTGATGGCAAAATAGTCTAAACTCAATTACGGAATCGCATGGCTAAACTGCCCCATTGCTCTTGATTGACCACTGGGATGATTTGTCCTTGCTCGACCACTGTGTTGATTTGTCCTCGCCCGATCATCTTATCAATCGTAGCCTTCAGTAAAGTAACGTCGATCGTGAAGGCATTCTCAGCGGCTCGAAGTATGTCGTCGGCTTTCTCCGGAAAGCCTAAAAGGACACCGAGCAGTATATAGCCTGTATGAAACAAGCCATACAAAACATCATGTTGCTTATCGGGTTTTTCATATGCTTCTCTGATGATAGAAGCTGCAACAATCAGGTCGACGGGGAACGGAAGCCCTAAAAGATCTGGAGATAACTGTCTAGGATCCAGAGTGCGAGCGGTACCTGTAAGTTTATGTATCGTATCTACGGTTCGAGCGTTCTCCAGAAGAGAGTCCGAGGCTCCGACCGTTTCGTGCATCTCCATGATCCGACGCCTGTCTTCAGGCACAGGCCCCCGCTTGCAATCTTCCGTAAACATTTCGAGGTAATGTATGCACGCTTCATTGCAAGTATCATGTATAAGGCGAAGTTGAGCTGCCAAAAACCCAACTGATACGCACATGTTTGCGTTTCTTCGGTCCATTTTTCTTTTGCTGATCGGGATGAATGGATTCTCATACAATGTTTGACTGTTGGTTCTGGAGAATTATATGTTGTTGTTGTTGTTGGGTTAAGGTAGGTAATCTTCTGACATGAACAGAAAAGCTCCTGAAAGAACATTGTGAGCATGAATAAATGCAGGAGCTACATAGCGCCAGGGAAGGAATAAAGCTGTAGGAGAAGAACAAATCGTAGGTAGTTAGTTCCCAGCTGTGAAGTAGGAAGCGAGCATGCTCCTTCATCTTGGGCTTTGATACCGCAATCGAAAGACATCAAGATGTCTGGCAGGTAGGTAGGTAGGTGACAGAAGGGATAACCTCGAAGGCTTAGGCTGCTAAAATAAAATAGCCTAGGTGCTGGTCTAAGCTGACATAAAGTGATTAAGTTATTTCGTCTCTTATGGTCTCGGGGACCAACTCTTCTGAGACCCTGAGGCCTGGTTTCACGCACTTGCTTCAGGTGAATCTAGGTAGGCAGTGCCTGCTCATGTATGGAGGAGAAATCCATGCGACAAACATGGACATGCAGAATTTGGTGGTCATTGCACTTCCTCTTCTGAACTGTGGATAAATTCAGGCTCATGAAAAATAGCACAGCTCTATTCTGCATATTATTGAGCTACATGGACTATCTAAGCATTCCACACAACGACTCTGCCATCGACGCCGCTTGCTGCAATATTTGTCAGTTCGCAAAGTGTAGTATATGCGGCGTTGAGACTTACTGGTAAACTTTGTGACGCGGTCACCGGAAATCTCAAAAGGTCTTACGGTGCTAATGGTGTTTTGGTGGGTAGTTTGAAGCTGAGTGTCATCCTTGGTCTTGCCCTTGAGATCCATCTGCCTGAACATGTTCAAAGCAGACTCCTCACGGTGCTCTCCCAGGCCAGGACGGCCCTTTTGCTCAATAGGACCAGCCAGCTGCCAGCCACCCTCACCACCCTTGAAGCGGAAGGCCTCACAGTCGTAGCCAGCAGCGATGATCTCATCCTCACTGGTCCAAATCAGACTCTTGAAGGGAAGCTGCTGAGTAGAGACGGTGACAACAGCACGGGGAGGTTGCTCAGGGCCAGAAGGGTAAACGACAGTGATGCTGCTGTCGTGAGCAGCAAACGCAAGGCTATCTCCACTGGGAGAGAAAGAGACAGAGTGCACCCATCCGGCCGAGTTGTTCAGGTACTCTCCACAAACAGTGTTGAAAGGGAGTCGCTCACCCCAGACTCCAGGGGGGGGACGAGAGTCCATGCCCTTAATGAAGGCGGAAAAGACGCGGGCGTGAGCATCGGTAGATCCAGCAGCCAGAAGAACCGAGTTGGGGTGCCAGGCAACACTGGTGATGGTACTACGGATAGGCTTCTTCAGGTGCTTAGAAACCCACCAGTCGTTCTCTTCCTCGAAGTAGCAGACAGCAATGACCCTGTCACCGGATCCGACGGCGAACTTGTTCTCGGAGGGAGACCAGCGCACGAAAGTAGCGGCTCGGCTGATTCGTAGAAGGACAAGAGTTGGCTTATAGCCCTCAGGAGAGGGTTCCCAGACAAGAGCGTTACGGTCTATGGAAGATTAAAAGGTAAGCCAATGTATCAAGAAATTGGTTTAGGGGGTAGTTCTATATAGACTAACCCTGGGAGCATGTAACAATGCGCCCACTGTTGGGAGCAATGTCAACACCAGTGACTGTCTTATCGTGACCCTTGAGTGAGTCCTTCAGCTTGAAGGCATTGCCAACCTTGCCATATAGCTCGACACTGGTATCGCGAGCGACAGCAAGGACAGACTGATCGGCCGAGAAGGAGTGGTCGGCGATCGGGTTATGGAAGAGGTGGTGAACTTCGGGGGCGCTCATGGTGGTTGTATTTACGATAGGAGGAGCTCTCTACTATCGCTTTGAGTCGATTGAGAGTATGAAGGTGTAAGAATGGCTTCGTAAGGTTCCAACGTTGCCAATGTATGTAGGTTGAGTTGGCGGTGGGGGTGGGGGGTTACGTAGGTACCTGGTAGCGCTGAAGCTCCAGCAGCCAACACCCAATGGAGCTTGGGTGGGCCGTCCATGGGCATGGAGCGGCTGTGCTCATGGTGTGAGGCTGGTAAATCCGTCGACCTAAGTTCGGAAAAATCTCCATTCCATATCAACACCGCTGCACATCCATATCGTCGACCAGACTGCGCCTACTCGCATCACCAGATCATTCGACCAGGTAGCATACTTAGCATCCTGGAACATTGATCGCAATATATTGGACATCGACTTGGAGCCACCTTTTCCCATACAACTACCACAATGGCCGCTGCAGCCACCGCGCCTCGCGGTCTTCAACCAAACTCGTCCTTGCCGGCCAAGGTCCAACCCATTCCGCCTAATCAGACGTCAGTACTTCTCTGTCCTGTTACCTATGGATTATGCTGACTCCAATAGTCTCTATGTCACAAATCTTCCTTCCTCGAAAATCCAAAAGGCCGATCTTCGAACCGCTCTGTACTTGCTCTTCTCGACATACGGACCCGTGCTGGACGTTGTCGCTCTCAAGACCATGAAAATGCGTGGTCAAGCTCACATCACGTTCAGAGACGTGCAGTCTGCCACACAAGCCATGAGATCTCTTGAGGGCCACTCATTCCTTGGCCGCGACTTGGTTAGTAACCCGTTCTGTTGTAATTGCTTCTTGTCTAACTTTGTTTCAGAAAATACAATATGCCAAGTCAAAGTCCAACTTTGTGGCCAAGCTTGATGGCACGTTTAAGATCCCTTCTATGAACGCCGGTGCCGCCAATGTCGAACAGACCGAATTGCAACAGAGCATCTTCAACGCGCCACCTCCTGGAGCAGCACCTGCCCCTGGCTCTGGCCTTCCTCCGAAACCCACCGCGAACACCGACCAAGTTATGGAAGACGCCGCTACACCAGGTGATCGGGGACAGAAGCGAACTCGCGACGAAGAGGATAGTGATTCGGACGTGGCCATGGAGGAGGACAGTGATGATGATTGATGAACCAACGGAAGGTCGGCTACATCTCTAAGAGACGCAATCTATATCCGTCTACTGCATTGCCATCTCTTTGGGTACCCAGAGGCCTACACAGCCTCCCACAAGCCCGAGCCATATCATAAGATAGTTCGTCCTGTCGCACTCGAATTTGGAGATGGCGTCTCCTAGCAAGCATGGGTGGACAAAGAAGGATGGGACACCCGTAATAGGGTGATGCTGTGAGCAAGGTGTTAGTTAGGCCAACCGATCTTGACGATACCCAGAATCATGAATTGACTTGTGCGAACAGCTCTCCTCTCAAGACTTACATCGGCCGATATTCCGCCTACATTGCCGAGTGCCCGGAGGCCAGCCTTGTACTCATCAGGGACAAGACGGCGAAAGACGGTATCAACGTCGAATGCGGGCTCATCTGCGGGTAGGTTGCGTAGAGTGAACCATAGACAAGGAACACGATACGTGGGGTGAAGATGAATTTCGTATTCCACCATAGCAATCTCCGGGCGAGCTCGCTGTCTTATAAGAGCAGCCTGAAATTTCGTAAGATCAACTTGAATTTGATAAACAGTAACATGTATTGAGGATAAGTTACCTCGTCTGCCTCTTCTGCATCTAGCATATCCTTGTCTCCTCCTATTGATACATGATGGCTTTTCTCATCTGAGAAGGAGAACCCATCCAAGTCTAGTGATAGATCTCCATGGTCCAAGTCGAACTCGAGGGGACGTCTAATTTGAATGTACGTCGTGAAACCACCACCATAAGCAAAGTCGGTGCAGAGAGCATTACAGAGCCTGAGTTTCCAACGTGCTCGTTCAGGACCTAGTGAGGCTTGGCAGTATTGCCTGTCGAGATGATGGCATGCCTCAGTAAATTCTTCTGAGTTCAGTGAAGGGAAATTCTCTATACTCATTTTGTTGGATGACCTTATCTGTTCAAAGATCAAGTATGTAGCAGGATGTGTTGAGTTGGGTATCTTCCCACGTGCAACTACAGTATTTTAGGTGCGTAGGTCGGGCCCACGTTGGTCTCTCTCACAGATGCCCACTGGTGCTTGGGTCGGTATAGAAAACGGCGCCACGACTGTTTGACGAAAGTAGTGTGTCGATACATGGAAGATGCAGGCACTTTCATCGTTTACTCCTGCAGAGCTAAAGAATCAGAAGGGTATCTATCTGACATCGAAGAAACAGCAACCCCTTCCAAGAAAGGTATCGTCTGGACTCCCCAGATAGAGTTAATCTGCATGTCTACATTGGGAAACCGCAATTGCATATTCCCTATTGGATTGCACCTCCTGTTCTTACGTGAACGCAAATAACATCTGATGAGCACCTGCCTACAACAAACATCTTGACTGTTGTACGACTAAAATGTATGTTAGCGAGACGCTGAATCCAAGTGCTCGGGCCAGGGCGCTAAACATTACCATTACTCGGTGAGTGCCTTTCCCCGAGCGTCGGCAAATATATCGATCCTTGTACACCCTGGTCTCGTGTCGTGGACGCAGAGCTACCCCAAGCTCCTATTCCTGACACCTCATGCTGTTTGCTGTTCTTTTGCGCCTTTGAATTGTTTCGCCTCTGAAATTTGCTTGAGATTTAATTTGGATCATTCTTGCCAAGTCCTTTTTGGCAATCTGTACAAAACTTGCGTTTCAGTGCATTGTGCCTTCTTTCTATAACCCTCCCGAGTCCTTAACACCTTCCTACAGCGTGTCTCCTGCAGCTGCAGCTCTCCATACCTCCTTTGCTCCTAACTTCCTTAGTCTAGTCCCACCTTGAAATGCAAACACCAGGCCAATGATTCGAGATCCGTTCAACCTCCACCGAAACACAAGCACTTTTAATCGCCCGCAATCTCGAAACATTCCTGCGCCATCGAGGGTCGAGGCAAATGAAGTAGCTATGGCCTTCTCTATGCCCCGAACCGCTCCAGACTTCAATAGTCGCCAACGAGATCTCGAAGATCAATTCTGGGGTTCTGGACAAAGATCCAAGAAGTCAGATCGATTACCGATGTACAAGGACAAACCCTTCGCGATGCCTTACGACGATGAGGACAGACCATGGTGGAAACGCAAGAAGGTGCTGGGTATCATTGCCCTCATCTTTACGTTGATATACTGGTTTGGATCTTCATCCAAGGCTCCCAAAAAGAGGACCGTAACGACCGATTGGAGCTTTACAGGCTTGTCCAAACACGATAAGAAGGTGGACTGGGACCACAGGAGAGATCGTGTGGTAGAGGCATTTGAACTGAGCTGGGATGCCTACAGTCGTCATGCTTGGGGTACGTTTGGCTCCATATCATAGACGACCCATGTTGGCTGACCGATGAACTCAATGCAGGATTCGACGAATTTCACCCTATAAGCAAGACGGGTGAGAATATGGCGCCTAAGGGGCTTGGCTGGATCATTGTCGACTCCCTGGATACCATGATCTTGATGAACCTGACCTCCCGTCTGCAAGACGCCCGCGAATGGATTTGGGAATCATTGACATGGGATCAAGACCAAGATGTGAATACTTTTGAGACCACCATTCGCATGATGGGCGGTCTTCTCAGTGCACACTACTTATCTACCGAATTTCCAGAGCTCGCGCCAGTGCCAGAGGACAAACTAGGACCCGCTGGAGAAGACCTGTATTTGGAGAAGGCCAAAGACCTGGCTGATCGTCTCATGAGTGCTTTCGACTCTCCATCCGGTATCCCATATGCAAGTGTCAACCTTCAAAAGTTCCAGGGTATCGAGTCGCATGCCGATAACGGGGCCTCTTCGACTGCTGAAGCGACAACCCTTCAACTTGAGTTCAAGTACCTTGCAAAACTCACCGGAGAGAAGGACTTTTGGGATAGAGTTGAAAATGTCATGAAAGTTGTCGACGATCAGGGAGCCCAAGACGGCTTGGTCCCCATCTTCATCTATGCAGGCACAGGAAAGTTCAAAGACGAAAACATCCGACTCGGGAGCCGTGGCGACTCATACTACGAATATCTCATTAAACAATATCTTCAAACGAACAAGAAAGAACCTATCTACCAAGATATGTGGTATGAAGCTCTTGAGGGTGTCCGCAAACACCTCGTCACATACACGTCCAAAGAGAAGTTTACCATCATCGGAGAGCGACCTAATGGGTTGGACAATGCTCTCAGTCCCAAGATGGATCATCTTGTGTGCTTCATGCCCGGAACGATAGCATTGGCAGCCACGGAGGGTCTCACAGAGGCTGAGGCACGCAAGCTCCCTACCTGGTCCAAAAAGAATGATGAAGACATGAAACTGGCACGCGAGTTGACGGAAACATGCTGGGGCATGTATAAATACATGGCAACGGGTTTGGCAGCCGAAATTACCTATTTCGAAATCGATAGTGAACCACCGGCGTACGGGAACCCTCGCCAGGGCCCAGCCAACTTTGACCCAAGCCCAGACGCGCGATGGCGCAAGGATTTCACCGTCAAGTCAGGGGACGTTCACAATCTCCAGCGACCAGAAACAGTCGAAAGTCTTTTCTACATGTGGAGAATCACCAACGATAACCGATACCGTGAATGGGGCTGGGAAATGTTCAAGTCCTTCATGAACCACACAGCTGTCAGAAATGGAGGGGGCTTTACGAGCCTGCGTAATGCCAACGTCGTGCCACCCAAGGTACGCGACAACATGGAAAGCTTCTGGCTGGTGAGTCCTGAACTATCAAATCGTCTGGAGTTGAAATACTAACACAAGCACCAACAGGCTGAAACACTAAAGTATTTCTACCTCTTGTTCTCACCTTCAGATCTTCTTCCTCTTGACAAGGTCGTTATCAATACCGAAGGCCACCCATTGCCTCGTTTCGATATGGGGCAGCTGTTTACCACCGGATGGCAAAGACAGCCAAGAGATGTCAACGGGAAGATCGCCGGCAAGACCATCAAACTCGATAGTGGTGAGAAGGAGGCTATCATGCAGGATGCCAAAAAGGCGAATTAGTGGACCCGAGCATTCTTTATTGTACTTTATGCGTGGATCGGAACAAATCTTTGGGTTGTACTACGGTGGTATTAATTGGTTGCATCATCACGCTCTGACTTGAGGAGCAAACAGTAGAATAAAAGCTCAACCAGCGTCTGCTTTATTTTGTTAATACAACTTCTCTTGTATCTAGCGTCCTTTTACGAGTGCCAGAGGAGACCATTTTCGTGGCTTTGCAGCTGCCTTTCTGGTCCAAGCTTAACGTGTAGCAGGATTGCCACGCTTTTACGATATGGTTCGATAGCTTACGAGGGTCTGGTCTTTTTTCGTGGTAGACAAGGAGTCTGATATCAATGGTTCCGTTTCCCCGCGTTATCATGTCGACTCGCAGGAGCATGTGATTGCGATTATGACACGAGGATAAGATGTCCACTCCATAATAGGGACGGGAAGGATTCGAAGCTGATACAGTGAGTGATAACGGGCGGCTAGCTGATCACAGAGAGGATTTGCTTTTGTCGGAACCGAGACCACCTATGCAGGGAAGACACCAGACGCCGTTGGCCGATGCAGGACTGGGCTGAGTTGGAGTGTGGTCGACTAAAGTTAGTGGTTAAAAGCACCTGCTGGAGATGGCTTAGAGGAGCAGGGGTTGTTGATACCGTTGGCCGTCGCGATGAATCCATGGAGATTGTGTTAGACCATGAGAAGTATGGATACCATTGGACCGTTAAGAGCTGGTGATTTGTATTGCTTAAGAGGCTCAACCGCAACGGCTTAAGTCTCGACCGGATACATGCAGTTCAGTGGAGGTATTCAGTCCTATCCCCATACCAAGAATTGATGCACACTCTTCTCCAGAATTAAGAACCCAGCAGTCTGGTCATGGTCCAGGCGGTACCTCCAGCGTGCGGGGCCCCCAGCTAGAAGGCGTTACAGTGGATGACCCCCCGGCTCCCCACCTATAATAGCGTCACTTCCCCCACCAATACGCTCCGAGCTTCTTTAACGCTTTGAGCGTTTGACAGCTCGATCTCAGTGGCGTCTAAGCCCGAGCTATTTTCGCTCAGTCATTTCAGGCTTCTCGAGTTTCAATTTGAATTTCTAGATCGTCGTATTACTGGTCAGATTCTGGTTTTGATTCGATATCGGGGATCCTTTCGGGGCTTGTTCAACGCCAAGCACCAGATTGTCACCGACTCGAATTCAGCCCGTATTACTTACAGTGCTGCTTGTCCGGATGATAAGCCTTGGGCTGGGCACTTCTCCTACCTACTTCCAGCCCCTTCCTACGCTACCTCGACGTTACCTTGCTTTGTTGCTCTTCCACGTTGCGCTGTTTAATTAATCTACATGCAAATCGTTAATCTCGACTACGACGTCTTTCGGCTCCGAACCTAAACATCCCACGTACTTTTCACTTATACTGTCCGCTCACACGACCACCTAATCTACATCACCGAGCTTCAACAATTCGCTCCAATATTCTAATCTCGGTGGCGATATGCCAATCAGCTCATCATACTTGCACAGACGATCAAGATACCAGCAACCCGATATTCAACGCCAAATGCAACCACACTCTCGTGCGCCTTAGAGCAGTAATCATCAAAACGCTGTGACCCTGACGAACCCGACGAACCAGCGACCTTCGCCGACTAATCGCCTACTCACTACATATACCTCACAGTCGCCTCCAATTCACCCCAGTGCTTACAGCAACGAAAATCCTCAGCGAAGGGCCAGCTCCAGTCATCCCGTCACTCGGGATCGACCAAGTGTGAGCTCGGCCCAGGTGCAGCGCGGAAGCACAAGCACAAACGCAAGGATGGCACCCCACGATGTCGAGCGCGGTAGCATTAGCAAGATGAAGGAGGAGTCACTTGCGCCAGGGAGTTCCTTTAGTATGCGCGAGCCCGAGTACAACGATATTCTGCCGCCATCCTACTGGGGCCGCTTTGTTGACGGCTTCAGGCGTGATCAACGGTCAAGCTTGTTCACGAATGACCCTCTTAGCCAGCATGAGGGATCGAGTAGAGTGCACGACGGGTCGCATTACTATGACTTACAGAGTGCTATGTTAGAGACCGCCAATTCAGGTCTAGCGAGAGAATTGAAAGGGCGTCATTTACAAATGATTGCAATTGGGGGTTCTATAGGTGAGTTTCGACAGTGGCTGCGACATAATTGAGAACGAAACTAAGTCATTTCAACGCAGGGACTGGACTCTTTGTCGCATCGGGAAGAGCTCTGGCAGATGGAGGACCAGCATCAATATTGCTGGCTTTTACTATCGTAGGAGCCATGCTCTTTTGTACATGTCAGGCGTTGGGTGAACTGGCAGTAATCTTCCCAATTGCTGGGTCGTTTTCATCGTGGGCGACCCGATTTCTTGATCCTTCCTGGGGGTTCGCAATGGGTTGGAAGTAAGTTTCTTTGTCCGTAAGTATCGAAGCAGGAGCTGACTTGCTATAGCTACGCGATGCAATGGTTGATCGTCTTGCCACTCGAGATTATTGCTGCATCTCTAACCCTTTCATACTGGGACGATAGTCTTACTCGAGCTATCTTCGTCTCAGCATTCTTAGTACTTATCATTGTAATCAACATGTTTGGTGTCAAAGGCTACGGCGAAGCCGAGTTTATCTTTTCCTCAGTCAAGGTCGTCGCTGTTATTGGCTTTATGTAAGTCGTTATTCAAACACTAATACGCCTATGCTGTTGTGTCGAAGCTAACATTCCTCGCTCAGCCTTCTCGGCATCGTTCTCAACTGTGGCGGGACGCCAGATAGTGGCTATATCGGAGGACGTTTCTGGCAGGACCCTGGTGCCTTCAACAACGGTTTCAAAGGAATGTGCAACGTCTTTGTCACAGCCGCATTCTCCTTTGCTGGCACTGAACTTATTGGTCTCGCTGCTGCTGAAACTGCTAATCCACGAAAGTCGCTGCCAACGGCTCTAAAGCAAGTGTTTTGGCGAATCACTCTTTTCTATATAGTTGCCCTTACCTTAGTAGGGCTCCTCGTTCCTTACACTGACCCTCGACTTACTACGGGTACTAGTGACGCAGATGCAGCTGCGTCACCTTTTGTCATTGCTATCGAAGAAGCAGGCATTCAAGTTCTGCCGTCGGTCATGAACGCGGTCATCCTCACTGCTGTTCTATCCGTCGGAAACTCGGCAGTCTTTGGATCTTCCCGTACTCTCGCCGCCCTTGCAAATCTTCGACAAGCTCCGAAGATCTTTGGTTATGTAGATCGCAAAGGCCGTCCGCTCGTCGCTATTGCTATTGCTAGTGCCTTCGGCCTTATTGCCTTCCTCGCCGATCTTCCTGAACAAGGTGCTGTGCTCGACTGGCTTATGTCTATCTCGGGTCTATCAACGATCATCACATGGGGCTCCATCTGCGTCTGCCACATCCGCTTCCGCCGTGCCTGGGCCGCCCGTGGTCGATCTGTCTCAGAATTACCTTTCCAATCCCAGGTCGGTGTCATCGGTTCATGGGTTGGAATCACCCTGAACGTTCTTGTCATCATCGCTCAGTTCTGGGTAGGAGCATTTCCCATAGGCTGGCAGGAGTTGTCAGGCTCCGAGATCGCGCGCAACTTCTTTCATAAATGGGTTGGTGCACCTTGCGTTCTTGCTTTCTACATCTTTCACAAGCTCTATTTCCGCACCACATTTGTGAGGACTCGAGATATGGACGTTGATACTGGACGTCGGGACTTCAACGTTCCTATACTTGTTGCTCAAGAAAAGGAGGAACGCGAAAGCTGGCCGCGGTGGAAAAGGTACTATAAATTTATGTGCTGAATCAATTCTCTTCAGATATAGAAATTGGCGTTGGGTATATATATATAATGACTGGAGACATTGATTAGCATGGAGTTGGGTATATAGCGAAGGAACTGGATTTGCTTTAACTATTTACTATATATGTGAATATCATAAAATACCGAAAAACCAGACTCCGTATATGACTTGTCGGTATTGATACAAACACATCTACGGATGCGGTTATAATGGCAGGAGTTGACTCAGGGACGTTAAGAATGGACTACTAGGAAAAGCTTCGCCATATTATCTACAGAACAGACGATTGTCACAAGGTTTCGATCTGAAAGAGTCTTTACAACTTAATTTCTTGATAGAAAAGCGCTAGTTAATAGTGGTGCCCGGCAAGGGGTCTCCTGGTGGTATCGATACATGTTTGTTATAAAAGCCATTCCTTAATGCCAACCAAGCTGATAATCTGCCAAGCCTTCGTGTTGTGATTCAAACACCCTTTCTACACGAGACGGCGAGACAAGCAAGGGCAAATGTAAGCAATTGGGATAAGAAAAGCTGGTGTTCAAGGGGACGCGCTGTGTTTTCGAACGGGTTTTGTAGGGGTAAAGAATGTTGGCGAACCCTCATGAGTCGTGAGCCGTATGTATGTACGCGTTCGTGAAGACTGAAAATGGCAGCAGAATGCAGTGGTAGAGTGCAGGGCCTATTTCGAACCCGAGTGCGTTCCGTAACAAAACACTCGTCTCTAAAAATCCCAGAAGTCGTCCTTCTTGGTGGTTGTGTTTTGCCGCCGAGAAGGAAGGGGCTGCTGCTCGCTCACGTCTCCATAAAGCCAGTCCCGGTTGGTTCCCTTGCGACCACCCATACCGTCACCAGCAATGTTGATCTTGTGCTTGTCGGTGTTCTCCTTTACCTCGTTTGTGGGTGCAGTGTTTGAGACCGGTGTTCGCCCAGGGACGGGCTTGGTGTTCGCAGATACACCGTTTGTTGTTTCGTCTGTCTCATTGTAGAGCCAGTCTCGATCAGTGCCCCTTCGGCCGCCCATGCCATCGCCAGCAATATTGATCTTGTGCTTATCGGTGTTTTCCTTGACCTCGTTGGTAGGCGCAATGTTCGAAGCTGGTGTTCGGCCAGGGACAGGCTTGGGGTTTGTTGGCTCGTTACTGGCTGCCTCATTCGTTTCGTTGTAGAGCCAGTCTCGATCGGCACCCCTTCGGCCACCCATACCGTCGCCAGCAATGCTGATCTTGGGGCGTTGGGTCGAGGGAACGTCAGCAGCGGCCACGCTGGGCTGCTTGCGAGTAGGAATGGACTGAGCGACTTCTTGAGTCTCTCCATATAGCCAATCCCTGTTGGTACCCTTTCGGCCTCCCATGCCATCACCAGCGATGGTGATTTTGTGATTGTCGGTGTTCTCGACCGGGCGGTTCTCCTTTTGAGTCGCCGGCGACTTATCGTACGTATCCCATTGGTGGTCCATCATTTGAACAGCCTTCTTGTGACCTTCGGGTACGCGTTGCTGTGAGTGGGCTGGCGAGTTGTCGGCGATATCGAAGTGGTGGTCGAAATCCTTGCCGCGGTCCTTCACGTTGGTAATGTTGCCCAAAGCGCGCTCGTTGTTTCCTGCTTCTTCTATGTTAAACACCTGGTTCTTATATAGTCCGAGGCCCTCATTGTGAGCGTAGCCAGGGGGGTGGGCACCGGGACGTGGCGGCTGGGGCACTCTCTCACCGTCGTCAAGAAGCTCAAAGTGTGGGTCGGCATCACGTCTAGACTTAGATGCATGGTGGACCGGGGTCTCGTCCATAGCGTCCCTGTCGGTATCCCAATGGCGAACATCCTGAGCTCTCATTCCCTTAGATGGCTTCACTTTTTGGGGCGTGGTGAAATCGTCGAAAGACCATTGACTGTCACGTTTGGTCTTGGGCAGGTCATCAAAATTTGTGCCCTTTTGAGGGCTGTCCTGAGGATCACTGCCGTCTGCGAAATCGAAATGAGAGTACTTCTTAGGATGGGGCTTGATGTAGCGCTTGTTCTTAGGTTGCTGAGGCACCTCAGGTATGTCGACATCCTCCTTGCCGTCGAAAATACGGGAAGGCTGAAAGTTCTTACCCTGACCGCCCTTCGAGGGCGACATGGCTCGACGGCCCGCGCTTGGTGACGTGGGCTCGTCTCCTAGAATCTCGGTGAATGATCGCTGGCGAGGCCGGCTACCCGCATAGGGGGAGACAACAGCGGCAGGCTCAGCATCCTCAAGCTCATCCCGGGGCCCAAACAGCCTCAAGGATGCGTGGGGGTCACGGAAGGCGTTGTTAGAGTTTGTTCGGTTTCGCGCAACGGCCTCGTTATGACTCGGGGCGGCAGGGGCGGCAGTGCCCGCATTCTTGATGCATGACTGAATGAATGCGATCTGCTCTCGGCTATCTCTGATGGGCCAGTTGCGACCAGATTTTCCAATCACTTCAACTTGCTTCAAAAGCGAACCCTGGTCCCACTGGAGTCGGATCTGGACAATCTTGCCGGCTTCATCGAAGGTAACGAAGTGAGTCTGAGCAGAAAATAATCAGCATATGTTTGAGGTGGATGCGTAGACAGACAACATACAATAGGGAGATAAACGTCACGAGCAGACAAGAAGTTGTCGTCAAGACCAGGAAGATATGGGCCCCCGCTTGTTTGGAAGCCGAGACCTGTGTCAATTTCCAAGACAATGACGTTTCCGCCATCAACAATGTTGAAGACTTCCTCCTTCTTCTTGGACACCTGCTTCTGAAGTCCGTTGAGATGCTTAATGATCTGGGTAGGACCAGAGAAGGTTGTGGCTGTAGTAACGTAGTGCAGCGCCGCGGTATCAGCCAGCAGCGACGAGCTGGGCGCAGCTAGGAACTGCTTGTAAGTGGCCGCCATGACGATCACGGAGGGGAATGCGGGCTGTGGATAGTAAGGATCGTTGTTGGTGTATTAAGTAGTTGGCGATGGAAAGAGTGAACACAAAAGTCGCAACCTGATGCGACTGAAATAGAAGAAGAAGAGATGATGATAATGAGAGAAACAATTGGGGAGATGGCCGATAGATGAAGGGAAGAAAGAAAACACGGATGGATTCAAAACAAGCACGTGGAGTAGGAAGGTACTGCTCGTACAATACAATACAACAGCAGGTAGGTACCTTGCAGTGAAGACGGGCAGGATCGTAGCGGGGGTACCTGCTTGTTAGTTGACGTTAGCTCGATAGAATGGATGTCATGACCCCCTTGCTTTACGCTTTACGTCTTCTACAAGGGGTATCATCTCCCTAATTTAGCACGAGGAATCTAGGATGCTTGTCGATGGCGCAGTCAAGAACCAAACGTTGCTGGTCTTGGCTAGATCTGAGGACAAGCTGGGGAAATGAAAGGGATGAGTGCCCTGGTCCAGAGCGATGCATTTACGATACCTGCCATTTACAGGCCATGAACATTCATGCAGACGATCCCTCATGACGAAGTCTTTGGAGTCGTTGCCAATGGTTCCTGCCCTTCTTGGAGTGGTTATCAAGGGCAAACTCAAAAGGAATTGAGTTGCGCTGTGGCTTCAGGGACGCTCCATATGACCTCGCAATAGGACTCGTAGGTTCCGGATATACTATGGCGCATTAATCATGCTTTAGGGTCTCCCGATATCAGATTTCATCTGGTCACAACAGCTTCATCTACTGCACCATAATTATTATTTGTTTTGTTTGTTTAGTTTGTTTATCTAGGTGATGTCGTATTGGCACTAGAATCTAACACGGCCCTCAAGTCAGCCATGAAACCCAGGAGACCCGCCGCGGGGTTTGGGCCAGCACGGCCGCTCTTGCTCTGGCTCCCATCACCTTTAATCGTTCATTCTCAACATCCCTCTTCTGCAATAATTAGGAAGTACACATAACGAGAACCATATTGGCAAGAGCTCATTGACGTCACTTTGACCGATCTCGTTATCGACAGCTTTGCTTAGGGGAATAGCAGGGGTTACCTTCGAGAAGGGTAAGCAACTTCCCAATGTCCAAGATCGACCTTTTACAGGCATGACATTGACGATGCCCCTCATCTGGGGTTACTCTCCGGAACTTTGTCAATGCATTGTTTGTTATGTTGTGAGAATTACGTGCTTGTTGTATGCTTATTGTACTCTGCTCAGCACGTGTCATGATTAGAGGCTGGTTACCGATCTCATGGTCGAGCCAATGCGACCTCTTGACTTAGATAGCCTCTGCGGCTTCGAAAACTAATGTATCGTACCTGAAAAATACGGAGCTAGCCTGATTCCCGGAACAGTCAGGGCCAGGGGACACATCGCAACGCTACTCCACAGCGTTTCAGCTTCTTAGCGCTTTTCCTCTTAGGGAGCTTCCGACAATCAGTTTCTCGTTGTTACAGCCAACAGAAGCTGTTTGGACGTTGAAGATGACTTCTTCTCGTGGGTCACGTTGCTCTTAATCATTTTGGAAGATGATGATCTTCATTGAATAGATAGCCCTTCTTTTTTCTCATATCACATGCACCCTCTGGGTTTGCTGAATCTCTGTTGATTTGCAGGGTTCAAGCTTCACATTGGTGTAGAACTCTAGGGTATAAGAGGTCAATATACGTGTGTGTTTCCAAGCTCAAAGCAGAGCATTCTTTCTCTTCTCTTCACTCGTGTGAGCTACCTAAACTATCTAAAGGTGCGCATGTGAGATTCTCGGCATCCATTCACCCTGTTAACACTCGAGATGTCATTTTGATTCTTCATCGATGCCCACTATCCGGTGTACCAAAACACGCACCACAAAGTCACTCTGTTGGTTGAAGCTACGCGATGCTGTCCAAAACATCAGTGAAGGGCAACTCTTCTGGCCCAAGTAGCACATAAAAAACATCCTTAAACCTAATTACATCTTTTTTTCGGCATACATTGGTGATTCTGTGTAACTTATCACGGGTATCGATCACTAACCTTGACTTCGAAGTGATGACCAATGACGTGTAACAGCCAGTGTGGCGGAGCTACGCCACACCAAGGTACTCGAAACAGCTGTCGCCTCACTGAGTTGCTGACGTGCCTCGTAACTCGTAAGGAGCAAAGTGTCCTGCCTGCAAGTAGCTTTGCTTTGCATCAACATCTTACCTGAACACGACCTCGAAAGCGAAATTGTAGCATCTACGAGCCCACTGCTACACGAAACTCTGCAAATTTGCGAGATCCTCGCGCCCCTTGACTCGTTTGGTGTCTTCATGATAGCTTTACTTTAAGCTCCGCCGCAATGATGAGGTCCTCAGCCTGGGCCGCATTCTCATGGCGCGCCCTGGTCTTCACACTGCTCTGGACAGCGGTGATAGCGAAACAGGACAAGCCGACGGTCGACGCCTCTGTTGCCAAACACCCTCCTCTAAACCTGAATTACTTCGAAGATAGCGACGTTGTGGTCTTCCAAGATATCGAAGAGAGAAATATCTGGAGGTCCGATGATGCAGGCAAAACATGGGCGCAAGTTTCCACCATCCCCGACCGAAGCGCTGTCTTCCTATACCTCCATCCGTTCGAATCCCAAACCGCGTTCGTTCTCACCAAAGATCGAAAGCACTACAAAACCGAAGACCGTGGTAAAACCTGGAACGAGTTCAACAGTGGTTCCATGCCCAGTGCATTCCAGCCAGATACCCTAGTTTTTCACGCCGGCGACCCGAAGCGAATTATCTTCAACGGCATGAACTGTGATGGAATCTTTTGCGACGAAGAAACAACATACACTACAGATGGGTTTAAATCTGTTAATAAGTTGCGTCCTAGCACCTCAGGCTGCTGGTGGGCCAAAGCGAACCGTGAATTCACCACCGGTGATGCCGACTTGGACAAGACCAGGATCCTGTGCATTGTTACCGACCCCCTCAGTCTATTCAAGACAAGCCAGAGACTGCTTGTTTCCGATAACTTCTTTGCCAAGGGCAGCGGTGGAAAATACGATGAGTTTGAGCCCAGCTTGGATGGCCACCGCGACGTAACCGGCGTCGTTAGTGTTGCAGCAGTCAAGAGCTTTATTCTCCTTGCCTCGTCATCTGTTGGAAGCGATGAGATGACCCTCTTCGTCACGAGGAATGCTCAGCAATGGCACCGGGCCATTTTCCCAACGGACGACAGCCACGACCATTCCCATAAGATCAATCAAGAAGCTTACACTGTTCTCGAAAGCACCAACTACAGCATTCAGGTCGATGTCATGACCTCCCACCCGTCTTCTCCTATGGGTGTTATTTTCACCAGCAACTCAAACGGCACATACTTTACAGAGAACGTCCCTTATACCAATCGCAATGTTAAGGGCAATGTCGATTTCGAGAAGATCAGCGGGATCCAGGGTGTCTTCCTGGTCAACACCGTTGAAAACGGCAAGGACGTCGACGAAAAGGGTGTCAAAAAGCTTGTGGTAACTCAAATCACATTTGATGACGGCAGGACTTTTGCGCCTGTCAAGGCGGGTGACGATCGCATCCACTTGCATTCAATGACCGATATCGACAACATTGGTCGTATCTTCTCAAGCCCAGCCCCCGGTCTCGTGATGGGCAATGGAAACACTGGCGCAGCTCTTGGCGAATTTGCCAGTTCCGACCTTTACGTTTCCGACAACGCTGGCGTATCATGGAAAAAAGCGCTAGAAGGTCCTCACAAATACGAATTCGGTGACACAGGTAGCATCCTTGTTGCTGTTAGAGATTCTCTTAAAGAGGATGTCGACAAAGTCTCCTACTCTTTGGATTATGGAGAGAAGTGGGAGTCAGTCCCGCTACCCGATGGCCTCAAGGTCAGGCCTGTCATTCTTACAACTACCCAAGACTCGACAAGCCTCAAATTCCTGCTTGTTGGTGAGAAGGATAGGACATTCCACATGATTGCCATCAACTTTGAGGGTATGGATAAGCGCCAATGCGAAAGCAAGGACATGGAGTCGTGGTATGCTCGTGTCGATGACAAGGGAGAGGCTACTTGTATCATGGGCCACAAACAGACATATAACCGTCGCAAGAAGTCAGCAGACTGCTTCCTGAAAGCAGATTTCCGCGACCCCGAGCCTGTTATCGAGAACTGCGAGTGTACCGATGCCGATTTTGAATGTGACTACAACTTCCAGCGAGACCCCGAAGATAACAAGGTCTGCAAGAAGGTCGGTCCTATTCCCATTCCTGATGGATCCTGCAAGGGCAAGGAGGAGACGTTCAAAGGATCATCTGGATGGCGACTTATCCCCGGAAACACTTGTACGCGCAAGAGTGGTGCTCAGAAGGATGACCCGGTTGAACGCAAATGCTCTGATGGTGCCAGCTCGGGTGATGGACAAACACCCGGTACTCCAGCCAGCGGTGAGATTTCGCTTAAGGTGAACGAGTTCCCAGGCACCAAGGGACAGGACATGCAGAAATTCTACCTCATGGGTGTCGATTCTGGCAGCTCAGCAGATGAGGTTGTCATTGCTCGACCGATGGGTGAGAGATCGCCGGACGGCACTGTGGAGGTCGAGAACAAGCTGTGGATCACCTCTGATCATGGCAAGAACTGGAAGCCCATCCTCGAAAAGGAGGATATCCTCAATATCAACCCCCACACTCATTTCAGGGAGGTTGCTTTCTTCCATACAAAGACCAAGAAGGTCATCTATACGATTGATCGTGGCCACAGCTTCCACAGTTTCGAAGCACCATTCGCCGATCCCTCTGCTCATATGAGTTTCCACCCAGACAAGAAGGATTGGATGATCTGGATTGGTAAGCGTTGCGACGATATTTCGGGAAGCAAGGACTGCTACCCAGAAGCTGCGCTCTCCACTGATCGTGGTGACAATTGGAAAACCCTGTTGCGATATGCAGTCAAGTGCGAGTTTACAGGAAACTCTGCCTTCAATTTCCGCCCTCAGAAGCAGATTGTTTGCCTCGCCCACAAGGACGAGGATCCCGACAAGGACAAGACTATCATCACTATTGAGGACTTCTCCCCGGATGACAAGCTCATCCACAACGGCACCGTGGCAGCTTTTGCTACCATGAACGAGTTCATTCTTGCTACAGATGAGGTCTCTGAAGGTGGCAAAGAAAAGGCTGGACTACAAGCTATTGCCAGTATGGACGGACAGAGATTTGAATCAGCCCGTTTCCCTGACAACTTCCACGACTCTCACTCATCGTTGTACACCGTCCTCGACAGCTCTAACCATGCCGTCAACTTGTTTGTCGCCACCGATCTTTCCGAAGGCCACCGTCGCGGTTCAATCATCAAGAGTAATTCCAATGGCACCACATATGTCCTCAGTGCTTCCAATGTCAACGCCGACGAATTGGGGTATGTGGATTTTGAGAAGGTTGCTGGTCTTGAGGGTGTCACTCTAATCAACACTGTTGCAAACCCTGACGACAAGAAGGCCACGAAGACGATTCAGACCAAGATTTCTCACAACGATGGCGCCGAGTGGACATTCTTATCGCCCCCAACAAAGGATGTCAATGGAAAGTCGTACTCATGCAACTCTTTGGGAGACGGTAACTGTGCCCTTCATCTACACCATTATACTGAACGCGAGGATAAGGGCAGGACCTTTTCTGCAAGTACGGCTGTTGGTCTGATCTTTGCCTATGGAAATATTGGTTCAAGCCTTGGCAACATTAAGGATGCCGATACTTTCATGTCAGCAGATGGCGGTATCACCTGGAAGAACGTTAAGAAGGGTGTGTGGACATGGCAGTACGGTGATCAGGGCTCTATCATCGTTCTTGCACAACGCGCTACTCGCGCAAACGCTGTCAAGTCAAAGGCTGTCTCGTACTCAATCGACGAAGGCAAGACTTGGACTGATTACGAGTTCAGTAAGAATGAAGTTACTGTCCAAGATTTGACATCCGTTCACAGCGGAGCTTCCCGGAAATTTTTGGTTTGGTACCGAACGGACGATAAGAAGATGTTCGCGGCCAATCTAGACTTTTCAGGACTGGCGAACCAGCCCTGCAAGTACTCGGATGGTGATTCTTCGGACTATGATCTCTGGTCCCCCAGACATCCTCTCCAAAAGGACGACTGTCTTTTCGGACACAAGGCCAAGTACCTGCGAAAGAAACCGGGTCGCAAGTGTTACAATCAAGCGAGTATGTCGCGCCTGCGAGAGTATGAGAATTGCGAGTGTACTCGAAGAGACTTCGAATGGTAAGTGACCTCATTGCCCACAAACAATCCACAACAGAAGCTAATACGATATAGCGCATACAATTTTGAGCCTGACAACCATGGACAATGTAAATTGGTTCCAGGTCATGAAGCTCTTTCACGTCAGGAATGGTGTAGCCAACATCCTAATGAAACCACTTGGTACGGGTCCTCAGCCTATCGACGCATTCCATTGACGACCTGCGTGGGCGGCCAAGAGTTAGACCAGACAAGCGAGGAATGGCCTTGCCAGGGACATGAGGAAGAATACGAGCGTAAGCATCGTGCTTCAGGCTGGGGCATCTTCTTTGCTATCGTCGTTCCTATCGGAGTTGCAGGCGCGTTTGGTTGGTATGCCTATCGCAACTGGAGTGGAAAGTTTGGCCAGATTCGTCTGGGTGATAACAGCGCTACCTTCGACAGTGAGCAGCCTTGGATTAAGTATCCTGTTATTGCTGTCTCAGCATTGGCGGCCGTTGTTGCTTCTCTACCACTTGTCCTGACTTCCCTGTGGCGTACTACCACTGGAGCTTACGAGCGTATCTCGAACCGAAGCAGAGGTGGCAACTGGTCGAGACGATACACTACACGGGATAGCTTCGCCCGAGGAAGAGGTGACTATTCCATGGTTGACGATGACGAAGGTGAGCTGCTTGGGGAGGAGAGCGATGAGGATGTTTAAGGGGGTGCGACTGTACGAGCTATGATGGGTAATTGAGGATCAGAACTGAACTGTACGATGGTGTGGTGTTCTACTGGGACACATTTTCTTTTATTGCCTGAAAAGATGAAGCGATGGAATGATGGGTCTTTTTCGACAAGTTGAGTACTTGTATACGGAGGATATAGAGAAGAAGGAGAGGCAGACAGCATGATATAATTAAATCATATGTATTTTTTGGTTATCTACTCTCTCACTATCTGGATTGAGGACATGTCCAGTTGCTGAGATCGCTCCTAGGGGTCAGTAGCAGCCTCTTTCAATAAGCAACGTCCGGTATGGTGTAGTGGCTAACATTTCGCGCTCTCATAACCTGAGAGATCAGTACCGCGGAGCCCAGGGTTCGATTCCCTGTACCGGAGTTTCTCTTTTTCTCTCTTTTTACTATATGTCTGGGGTTCCTACTGAATCTTGTTATTCTTATTGCTTTTTGCTTTTCCCGTATACTTATACCATGTCTGTATATTCCGCTCCCCTATCCGCCTTACATGCACCGCACAGGTGATGCGCGCATGCTTTGACTTGTTGATGAAGATCTCTGTTGCTTTTTATCAGTCTAGAACAAGGTGTCAACTAAGACTTGCATAAACTATTCTAGGCACAGACGAGGACAGGGGCAGATGACTGCATATGGACGCTTGTTCCAAACTGATGTTCCCTTCCGAAATGTATGCAGAGCACTCCGTATGTAGTATCCGTAGCTTGGTGACATATGCCGGGCGCATCGCAATCACACTTCCCGTGCTATATCCTTGTTATCTGCATGACAAAGGATGCATGCAAGTGCTTAGGCATAACATGTGGTATTATATGGGAAGCTGTCTGGGAACCGCAATCGCCTCTTGGCTAACTTGACGGGTCACAAAATACAATGAGTAGCTGTTGGAGGGAATAGGAGAATGAAAGTCCAGATAGATTCATGTGCCTTGGTGATGGGCACATGTTCACATTCTATTCAGCTTCAACTATATGGCTAATATATGCATCCAATTTCCACCATGCTTGCCAGCTGGCAGGCTGCAACTATAACCAAAACCTAAGTGCCAATGCAACAGCTCAATATATAGCATCAAGTAGCCAATGACAAGATGCAAACTCCTCAACTCCATCCAATGAGTAAACGAGACTGTTGTTCTCGAGTGTAATGCCTGTGTATAAACCGAGCAACAGCAAATGTGAAATAATGATAGGTCTATAGTGGCAATTAAACATTTTGGGGGTATTTCGTGATAATCGAATGTGACAAAAGGAATGAATGAAACAATATCGCTCAGAAATTGAATAAATGACTTTTTGTATGACTGATCACGATCGCCTGACTCGATTCCAGAGTCTTTTCACAGCGCCAGTGTCTTGTTCTTGGTGATCTTCCCACTGGTCTAGAGCAGCGAGTTGCTTTTCTATGCTCTGCTTGGGGTTTCCATCACGAGAATACATGGCTGGACTCAAGGCAGGTTCGTCACGGCTTGGACCCCCGCGACTGCTGCCCTGCTTCCAGCCATAGATTTGATCCTCGCTTTGACGAAGATCCGGTCTCGTCAAGGTCATGCGGAGCGTCATTTCTCGGCTCGCTGCTGTGTCTGGCATGTATTTATCCGCCTTTGAGCGAGAAGAGTGTTCGACGCTGTTTCTTGAAGATGGAATGCGAGGTGCCCTATCAAATAGCTGGGGTGTCTTGGGAGAATCAGGCTCGGCTGCTGAAGCATCATCGCTGTACTTTGATGACCGGTCATCCTCCAAGAAGCTGCGTAGTTTGTCTTGATGAGCAGCATTCTTAGTGAAAACTCCTGTTTGAGGCCTTGACCCTCCATCCTTGGAAAAGAATCCGAACTCGATGGCCTCGTCGAACTTCTGTGGTGATGCCAGGCATTCTCGCAGCTTCTTGCGAGCCTCAGGGTCTTGATAGTAAGTTGCGGCAGGGTCAATTGGAGACGCTAAGGGAGAAGCCATAGGTGTTTGTCTGTTGGCGGATATCAACGACAACGCTCGAGATCTTGACTTCTTTCGGCCGTGGCCAAACGATCCAACACCTGAGCTGTGTGAAACGGACGGGGCGATGGCAGTCGGGGACTGTGGAACTTCTTGGCTAGGTCTGTCGCCAGTCATAGAAGGCCTCCCAAAGGGTAGCTTGTTAATGGAAATGTGACGACGAAACGACGGCCTTCTGCTCTTGTTTGGAACTGGTACCTCTTCGCGCAGGCCGATGTGATAATCATCCAGATATAGACGAAGATCCAGTCCTTCCTCGTCATCCAACCACCGAAAACTATCGTAAAAAGAATCCGGTCTTTTAGTCTCTGAGCTTGATGTTGACTTGTCGCTTTGTCGTGGCAGCATGCTAGAGTACGGGGATCGACCACCAGATAGCCGGGGACTTTGGAGAGGAGACTGCATCATGATGTCTAGTGACTGACGTTCACTGTCAATCTTCTCTGACGGCAGTTCTTTCAATTCACAGGGTGATTTTTGCGATTGATAGGCAAATAAAAGCTCCTCGTCAGTGAGATGCCGGCGTTTTATCTTTTCGGGAAGATTGGCGTAGAATCGTTGGTCTGTAGAAGCAATCCACGGACGATCTGAGTGTAATAAAGAGTCATCCGAAGTAATGGGTCTTTCTTGGTGCTCGTAGCTCCTTCTAGGCTTTGGGAGTGATGACCAGGGGGTAAGAAGTTGATCTTGGCCGATGCTTCCGGATCGTTGATGACGTCCTGAGTCTGGAGAGTGTGCTAGTTGGGATCGCTCGATAGTTGAGAAGTACTGGAAGGGAAAGATGTTTAGTACGAAGGGACACAGCGAAGTGAAGGAAAGAATGTTTAAGTAAACAGAACAACATAAAACACATAAGTCATAAAAGGGACTCCCTAGTTCTTAATAAGGTACGAGAGGGGCAAAACTGGAATCGGAATGGATATGTCTCAATTCAGGAACGAAGCGGTAGAGCTAGGGCAGTGAGCCGTCGACTAAAGGGCTCGTGGGGCGGGAGTCGCATGTCTTGGCTGTATGACGCCTGGTGATTGTCGGGCGCACAAGCACGTTGGTGCATGGATCGTCCAGGAACTGCAAGTCCAGGGCGCCATCACAACGCCTTTTGGGTTGGGCGATGTGATTGCTGAGTGAAAAGGAGCTCAGCTTGATGCTGGGCCTTGTGCAAGATGCTGGGGGGCTCGAAGACAAAACATGGGGGAATTGACCAATGGCTAAGCACTGAGCCCACCGACTGCGTGGAGCCGCCAGAACGGCCACCGCTCGCCAGGCTAAACAGACAGGGCAAGGCCAGTAACTCGTACGGTGGACCGGAGGCTTCTGTTGGCGATTCCTGACGGTTCCCCGGCTCCTCAAGGTCCCTGGTTTCCCTCATTTTTGATGGCTAGGCGGGCGACTAGCCCCGGCAGGTCCAAAAAGAGGTTCCAAAATGCAGGTCGAATTAACCTTGCAAACTCATGATGGTTCGGGACCGCTCTACCTGAACCGGACTCGATAACTTAACCCACAGGAGAAGGGGAAGGACGCTTGTCGAAGAGCAAAAACTCTGTTTTGTTACTTGGAAAAGGAAATGATCGAATGGTGACGGATTGGCATGGCAATGACAACAACAATCCGTTGACCGCACATCTAGCGGTTTAGACTTTCGCTTGCTACTCCCTTGCAGTCGTATCGAGGCAGGCGAGTAGAAACAAAATATGGAACGCAAAGCATAAAATCCACAGGACAATGAAAGGAATGAACAACTTACTTTGCGTTGAATCGTTGGTGGAAGAGATTCGAATTCTTTCCTCGTAATCGTTGCTGAAGGTCGACTATCAGATGCTGGAGGTTGATCATCCGAAGAGATCCTTGGTTGTTTGGGATCTGAACTGGCACTTGGATTGCGTCGCCAATGAAGAAGATGACTTCGGGAAGAGGACGGTCGACGGTCCGATGTAGAGAAGGCGTCGTCAGGGAAGAGACATTCAGTATCGATTTCACTGAGTAGGTCATGATACTGCTGTGAATTATATCGTGTGCTGTCGCGACCAGCCGGAGTATTTGGCTGGATTCGCAACTCTACTTGTTCCTTTTCCGGCCATCGGCGATTCAAGCCCAGTCCAGATGGTGTGTGAGGCTCGAAACCATCGTCCATAGTGGTTGATGTCATAGCGGTGGTCGCAATACTCATAGGGCGAGAAGGCAGCAAGAAACTGAGATCACCGAGGCCGTGGTTCTGATCAACGGTATCCGTGGGATTGCTAGTGTCGAGCCTTGTGGGAACACAGCGTTGGCGTTGCGGCTGCAGTGGTGGCTTTTGGCGCTCTAGTAGGAAATGCATGTTTTGGGAAGCGTATGCATGTGCGTGCGAGGATTCTGCAGGTATGCGGCGGTTTGTGTGATTTGGCTGGCTTGTATAATGGTGCAGAGGTCTGGGGCAGAGACGATGAGACTGAGATAGACTGTCAGGACGGGAGTCGAGGGTCTCGCTGTCGAGGAAGCTCATAATATCACACAAGGCATCTGGACCCTGGCTGAAGACACTGGTGCTATCTCTCGGGTTCATGCTATTACTGTCAATGGACTCCGCCTCTACACCTCGATTTGGCCATTGATCCACGCTTGACCGAAGCCTCAAATCCAGCGCTGCGAGTCCATCACCCTGACCCATGACGAAGTCAAGTCCAAGTCGAGGATATCGTTGCAGTAAGCAGCGCAGCGCAATGCAGGGTTGTCAAGACGTCGACAGGGAGTGGTGATGAGACCAACGATAACTAATCAGCGCTGATCATGGGAAGAACTGGAAAGGAACGGCGATGCAAGGTCCACTACTGTCAAGTCGGCCCCCGCAGGCACCGTCCCTTGGGTTGCCCTTGTCTTGGGTGGTAGTTCGATACTCGGTTGGTTCGATCGGGTTGTAGTTGATGGTAGGCTAGGGAGATTTGTAGGAGTGCTTGTGATAAGCCGAGTGTGGGTTTGGGAAGAGTCGAGTCGGGAGGTAAAAACGTTGGATGATTCGGAGGAAGGTATTACTGTTTCTCGTACTTTCCTGTATAAACCATCGTCATGGACGACTTTAGTTCCAAAAGCTTTCGTAAAGAAGTGCCGTGCCGTAAATAGACGGCAGGTACGATACGGTAGTTCGGCCGAGGCAGGTACAGACAGGTACTGGTGCTGGTACTGTGACTGTGACTGTGACTGAACAGTAGAGGCAGACTAAAATGATACAGCGCTCCTACTGAACAGAGGCCAAGCCCAGCTAATAGAAAGTAAGGTAACAATGGGATGGAAGCGAGATCGCGGCGCCAAATCCAATCCTACACGTCAGGTTCAGGTACCTTTTGGGCGGTACCAATCACTCGAGGATTACTCGGTCAGAAGAATTAGCTTCCGGGCAACGGGTCGAGCGTTTGGAGAGCGAAGGCAAAGAAGAACGTCTGAGACACGAATCGATAATCGACGATGGTAGTTTATGGCGTTTAGATGGCGTCGAAAATTCAAGCTAGTACCTGAAGTTTGCATATAATACGACGAAGGGGAGAAAAAAGAAAAACAAGAGAGACGAAAGAAGAGAGAAACCGAGAAACCGACGAGGGAAAGGAGACGAGAACAAGACGCGGTCAATTGCCCACGTCGAGTACCTGCCTATAATTGAGTGGATGAATACCTAGTATCGGTAAGGCATGGGACGGGAGTTGACAAGGTCAGGCCGTAGATAACTTAAGGTAATTAACTTGACGTCCTGCATTACCCCATACATAATATAACGGTTCAAATGATGAACCCATCCAAAGAAGCTCAGTCCAAGTGTCACTCACGCCGCGCCGTGCCGTGTCCTGTGCTGAGCTGTTCTTTGGACCTGCCTACGTACGGATACTCATTGTGGGCAAGACTTCAGTCAAGGATCCATCCTATCATTGCCCTCTGCTGAGAATCACGGCGGCGCGGCGCGGTGCTTCAGAATATGTCGATGTCCGTCCCATCAGCTTTCGGCCCTCGATCCCTGTAAGCTTCACTTTAAGTGCCGCATCGAGGAATAATACAGCACCTCGAACTCTGTAGTGGCCCCAACTCTACTGCAACTCCACGGTGATAATAAACATAGCAAAAAAGAACTGCGGTGGGTTCACCGTTCCTGCAACCCACTCGTAATTGCAATCACCAATTGACTTGTTGCAGGTATATACAAAACAAAAAAGCAACGCCAACATGTCTAGTCTGGAGACTAGCAATGCAACCCGGAGTCCCAAGTTTCCGGGCAGTCGTTCGTTAGGCTCAAGACTACTGCACTACAACGGTACATGTACCTGACTGGGTGTGAAGATGCTGACCGATCTAACTAAACTGAGGTATCCGTATAGCCTGTGCGAAGTCGAGCTAGGTATCACCATGACCATAGTCTGGGAATCATGTCCACTGTAACAAGCCCTAACTTCGGTCGGGTTAGTTCGTGTTAGTTAGGTTGGCTACTGCAGCGCTACGGGGACCAATGCGCGGCTTCGAAGGCTTAAAACAAAAACCCGTAATTCATCGGACTTGAGTACCTTAGTTATCCTCTGCCTCCATCAACGAACAACACAGAGAGAACCATGCATGCATGTAGAGTAAAGCGGGAGGATTACACCTGAAGCGCCCTAATAAGCAAACATCTGCAGATCCACGTTTCTAGGTTCCATTGAAAGAATAAACAACGTGTACTGTATGGACACGGCACAACGCAACACCAGCTGGCAATGGATCATATCATTTGAGTCCAGTTATCACGAACATCTTTCTCCCATGAGGACACAATATTGCCTATTACAGTGCATTTCTTTTTCTGGAAACAAGGTTATACCTGTTACCCACCGTGGTCGATCAACATCAACGGTGATAAGAAATCAATCAATCATACCCTCCAGTTAATTAATATTCATGCCTGCTGACTTGGCCGAACTCCGTCTTACCGACCTCGATTATCATAGCTTCTGGCCGTAGTCTATTTCCAGCTTGCCTTTCGCCTGTCAACCAGGCTGTCAACTTCGTCACCTCCACAAGGGACCAAATTGGCAAGATCTTGTGATGTTGTTGATGCCCATCATTGCCAGACTTCAACTAGTCTGTCCCTTTCAGTTGCAGTTGCCAGATTCGCATGCAACGCTGTCGTTGTCATGATGCAGGGGGTCAGGGCTGATACAATCTGGCAAGCAGGGTTCCTGGCCGTTCAAATCTGTTTAAGCGATATGCTGCCACCACTGGACGGTCAAGACCCTTGAATCACCTAAATATTGACTGCAAGTTATCCCGTCGGTGCAATATCTCTTTGGGGGATCTGACCCGCGTACACGTCGTATCGGTTCTGAAGATCCTCGGCGAGGCCGCCGAGTTAAGTGGACAACTACAGGCTGACAGGCTTACAAGAACAGCATCCTTCAGCCCAACGTCAACGTCTTCAACTTTAAGCGATTGAACCCCTGGGACGCACATCTGCCGTGCCGCAGACGTACCTTGTTCTGGGCAACATCAGTATCAACAATGTTGTGTCTTCTCTACCATCATCTTGGCCATTACTTTGTAACATTTGGAAGCCCCACGAAGCGATATTGTTAGATCCGCTCAAGAGATTCGATAACCCGGAGATGAAGAAACAGAGACTTGGTAATTCCACGAAGTGACGAAAGCAAGACAAATATAGCTGGTCGTGCAGGATTTCAGAGTTCAAGCTGCCATATGTTGCACAGCGTTGTTCAAATAGATAGCATGCAGTTTCAACCCATGAGCCCTGGTGTGACTCTTCCAGGACACTTATACGAAGTACAGGGAGTAACATATGATACGTATGTATTGTAAAACCGTCGTGTTTCCAATTTCCAATACTTTCCTAGACCGATAGGTACTCTTTTACTGCACGTTTACTTTGATTCTTTACAGTCTGTTCTGAGACCTTGTAGTTAGGTAGATTCTTAAAATGTAGTTTAGTACGGATATCGAGATCAGTGCGTTTGTCAGTAACCCAGTTCGAGGCTAACACTTGTTGGTACGTGCAGTAAGCAGGAACGGCAGGCCAAGAATCCGTATAAGTCGGTGCAACTGGTTCTCCCTGCAAGTGCCCAGTCTTGGTCAGTGGTATGCCATTGTTCGACCAAGATGGCAGGCCGGCTTTCACTTGTGGGAACCTTATGCTGCCCCTCTCATCTAGTCAGTATATCCATTCCACTGAGCGGCACTCTCGGGCAACATGTCATCGACCCAGATGCGGATTGCGCGGCCTGGTTGTAATTCCTTCCTGCAAAGACGGGACAACTAGACAACGCACTCTCAGCTGGACGGGTCAATGACCAGATATGTGCTAGATAGATAGTGCGGTGTAGAAAATATGGAGATAGTACTAATTGTTACCGATGGATTATCGAGTGCGGTCTAGTTGTACAGATACATACACCTGAAACTGTTTGGCGGAGTAGGGACCACAGCATGAGGGGAGAAAGCACAGACGATGGAATGCAGGCTTCAGACTTCGCTTCTCGACGCCACAACATGCTGTCGTACATATGAGATGACATAGATATACTAGATCCATCGTACACGTGCTTTCAGAGGTCTGTGGTGGAAGAATGGCTCCATGTTCCTGTGCGAGGGCCAACTATGGCTCCCAACCACAAGTGCTCCGGGAGCCAAGAACCAACATCTCGTGGCCGGAGCAGGGAGCTCCCGGTATGTCAAATCGAGAACAAGAGCCAACTTCTAGCACGAGCATGTGTGGTAGAGGAAATAAGCCCGCTCTACAAACCGAGTCATGCAAGAAACACCAAGAATGGTAGTCCAAGATGCAGTTTTGGCTAGAGAGTTCCGGCTCAGCATTGACCTGTGGGTTCTTCTGTGTTACCAACTATCGTTCATAGACCCAGATGCAGGAGAGGTAGCACAAGAGTTTCGTAACAAGATTTCTTGTTCGAGAACGGCAAACTTGCAGACGGTGAGGGCTCTATTGGGTAGGTTAACGTCTAAGCTGAAGCGACCGTCAGCGGACAAGGTTGCACTCGACAGTGAGATCTGGTTTTAGTATGGATACAGGAGAGACTATTAATATTGATTTAAAACAATGTCATACAAAGAAGCAATAAATGAAAGAGTTGATTGATTTGTTTGACGTTGAATCAAACAAGACAAGACACGTGAATTGAACGACGCGACATGTCGTTGATTGGACCCAAGCTCGAGTCCACTTTAGGAGTCATACCAACCAATAGGAAAGCCTAAATCTCAACACCTCTAGCTTCAGCCTCGAGGAAGCTTCAGCCTTTCCCATCTCACCCATAGAAACTCATTCAACATCAATAAGTTCAAGCTTATTCATCCACTTCCCACGTTATACTTTATCACACTGTAATTTGCAGGGCTGAATCATGCTCAGTGGGAGTTTCGGTTTCAATTCGTGATACTAAATCTTACTTCCTCTCATGTAACTTTTTGTTCTAGTCTTTGTTTTTGTTTTGCTCCCTCACCTTAAACTTCCAGTGTTCTTGATACCCTAATACTCCCCCCATGACATCGGAAAAGATGCCGCTCATGCTGGACAACCCCATGCCAGTCGACATCAATGACGTTGATGATCTGTTTGGCGATGGCGTTGGCCTTTCTCTGTCAGGTCGGGTCCAGAGCAAGCAGCTTCAGCAACGGATGGACGATATCAGGATTCGAGGCTGTTGCCAGTACGGAACCATACACCTATCAACGTTTATGAATCAAACCGCTAACACTCAATAGAGCAGTTGCATGGTCAAGGACAGGCTCAATTGCTAACATCACCCCCGATGGCCAGAATGTCGAGCTTCGCTATTTACGAAGATCCCCAGAAGATGGCTCGTGGGATCTGAGCGAGCCTACCACTTGCCCTTTTGTCAAGGGCACTCCAACAGTTCCCATAGTTCATTTGCTATGGGCCGGTACGAGTAGCCCGGACCTGGCTGTGATTGATGCTGCTGGTCGCGTCACTATCGTTAGCTTTTCGATTTCACTCAACCATCCTTTTCCTCAAAGAAAATGGGATGCGGATCCAACTGACGATGTCCATACCGTCGTCGGTTCATACTGGCTCACTGTTGCGCCTAATAATCAGCAGGTACGAGCTGCTCCCGCTCAACACCGTTAATACCGTTTACTGACCACGAACAGCCTTATCATGTCATGTATGGGCCGGCCAACAAACAAGGCAATGGATACACATACGAAAATTCCTTCGTTCACCATGGGGGGCCATCTCATCCTACCGCGGCCAAGAGTGCTCTACTGACTATCACCACGCATGGTGTTCTGAGGATGTTTTGGTCGCAGGCAAACGGTCGAATTGAAGAAACGACTATAGAGCTTGAAAGTATCAGCGCGTCCGATGAGCTTATCACACATGCAGCTTTTACATCTGAAAAGAGTCAGTTGCTCTGATTACCAACCCAACTTGAGTGTTCTTATTAACAATTACCAGAATATTTGCTTCTTGCCCTTGCCACGACTGCAAAACAGCTGAGGCTCGTTAAGATTGAGATTCAATGGGGCCAAACAGCTCAGCCGGACAAAGCTCCCGGGAGGGTCCCAGGAACTCTGAGTCCGTCTCTAGTCGAGAAACACTTGGCTACAGCAAACTGGCTTCAGGGTGGACCTGGTGATTCTAGTCTCGACACATCCATGATCGAGCTCTCTCACCTGGAAGTACTTCCTTCTATCCTAGATAATACTGGAAAGAATCCCTCAGCACCCATGGTTGTCACAGTGAGGTCGCGTACTCCCAATGAAGGGTCATATCAGGTTGCACAGACTGTTTTTGATCGATGGGAGGTTATTGAGCAAAAGCAAGGCTTATCGTCAGCTTGGGAGCAGCTTGGAAGCCGACGAAATAGCATTTCCTCAGAACTACCTCCCGTGACGCAAATGCGCAAAATTGCCAACATCACATCCAACAAGGTTGTCATTGCATTCCATACCCTCAATTTTGGAAAGACTCTGGTCCTGGCTTTCGCAGATGGTTCAGTAGAGTACCGCGATCGACTGACGTTCGATGAGATGTACACAACTCAAGAACTAGACAAAATTATGAACCTTCGACAAGTTGGCTGGACATTTGCAGATGAGGGTCCATGTAAGCAACTGCCATTAATCTTTATAGCCATAGCTAACTTTGATTGCAGGCCAACAGATCGCTTTCTCACCCACTCATTGCTCACTGGTGCAAATGGGCGAAGATGGCAAAATGAAATGGAACAGGTTACACTACCCTCACGGCGATATTGGAAACTCGATGCAAGACGGTATGTTATGTTCATGTTACTGATTGACAATATCTCTAATCAACTACAGCTCACTATGTTGGAAGCATTGCTGCGTTGTCCGTCACTGCTGCGCCAGCGATGTTTTACCAAAATAACTATGATGATATACTTGCCATTGTTAGGCCTTATACATCAAAGAAGAGTGCGTGCTCCTACTAGTACTTACTCTCCATGTCACTCACGCGAAGCAGGATTCGTCCAAGACTGGGTCACCGAGTTGATAAGAATACTTAAAATCCAGGTCGACTACTCAGAAGATACTCATCATGATGCGCTTGTACGAAATGGCTCTTTGCAGTACTGCCTAAGCATCATGAACGCTCTCGGGTTCCGTGGAGACTTCAGCCCTCGATCCTTCCAGGGCAAGTTCTCGATGCTCTTTTTGAACGTCCGAAACGTGGTCGTCCTTATTACTATAGCCAGCAACACACCTGTTACGGTCAGGGAAAAGCTTAGTCCTTTGGATGAACCTGGTAAGTTGTGACTGGTATGGTTTTATCTCTTTTGACAGTTGCTTACATGAATACAGAGGTTATGGGCACACTCGTTGGTTGTGCAAAATGGGCACTTGATCTGATCGCCTGGCTCATGGACTCTCTCTTTGAACTCATGAACGACAGCCATTTCCAAGAACTGTTGACTCGGGAACGCTTTGCAGAGGTTGCTCCTTATCTTCACAAGAAAAACAATGTTGCTCTTCATTTCATCATGAGCTCATCCAGCCGAGGATTCCTTTCAGCAGTGTGCCGTAGACTGGCACATTTGGAAGGCTTGAGTGGCCGGGCCATCGAATTTTACAGAAGACAATCAGCTGTCGTTGAGGGAACCGGTGGTGGCAGAGCAGCCCCACAACTACAACAGGCTTACCAGGCAATGCAGCAGGTAACTTCTTCGGCGCTTGTCAAAGTGTCGGAAGTCGAAAGTCTTCTCACCGAGCTCAGCAAGGAGATCCGACAAGCCTATCAGATCTTCCTCCCTAGTTTTGTCAAGAGTCAAGCAAACCCACCACAGGGAAAGGCAATTGACGTGGCAATAAGGTCGGCCCGTGTGCAGATAGAACTTGCCATGCTTCTATCATCAACACCCCCTCCAGCATTCCTCCAGATCATCAAAAAGTTCTTCACTACAGACCTTCCGGCGTTTCGAAATGCTATAGATCCGGGCCGACTATTCTTTGCAGATTACGATCTTCTCGAGGTTCAGGATGACGAGCACAGCTTAGCGGCTAAGAAAGCGCGGGGTATGGTGTACGTGGATGTATTCAAACGGATGCAGATCAGACCCTCTTCCGAGAAGCACTGGAGACGATGTTCGAGGTGTACTGCTGTGATGGAAGACATTTTTGGGACCAGGCCTGGATTTTCGTTTGTCCTGGCGCAGCAGCGCAAGTGCTCTTGTGGAGGACAGTGGACGTTACTTCCCAAGGGGCATGTTGCTTGAGTCTTTGATGGGTAGAGATGGCGTTTATATTGGTTGTCGGACGTTTTGCCTGGTGTTGCTAAATAGGTTTTATATCACGATATAGTGTCATAGGACAGAGAAAGAACAAAATCCCTCCTTCATTCTACATTCTGCTTATTCGTTCTTTTACAGTGGTGAGTTCCCGTTGTCTTGTCTCAACGACGTATTCAGTAGCTTCAGTTTGACCTTCTAGCTGATGGTCATGGCCAATGCTTACACCAACAATGCCCTTCAGCGCACATCCTTCCCTATATTCCGAACTGGTGGTACTATACTCATCGTTATTCAGTCACAGATGCGTATGCTTCATCCAAGGTCTCGGCTAGTGTTTTCAATGACCTGATGTCTCACTAACAGGGACAACACATGGCCAAAACAGCACTACAGTAGCAGTTAAAGGCACGCGCCTCCAGCCTAAACTCAACCATCGACACGAGAAGTTTATGACTAGCATGAAGCTACGATTCGCTTGTCAAGCTCGTAGTTCATCGTCTCCTATGTTGTGCATTGGGAGCATACCATGATTCGTGATTCAAGGGTTGTGAATGAATACCCTACAACAATCCGACTGAACATCCCGCAAAAAGAGGCAGCCTATCCCCATACCCCATGGGAAATTACGATGTGATGGCGCCAGACTCGAGTAGTCAAAACAGCAACGATAGCGCCATTGCGACGAGAAAAGGAGTGAATGTAAGAACGATCGATCTTCAGCACAAACAGTCAAACACTGACGCTCCAAACGCCACCTAATTTCGAGTCAGTGGGGGTCAAAGAGTGATCACAGCTGGGCGATCAGGGTATCTTTCTCTTCTTGGACGTTTCCGCTGTGATGAAGCTGAAGAGTTACAGTGATGTATGAGAGTTGGAAAGATCGGCAGTTTATCGTGCCACTTTGACTGGATGCGAGTGTTTCAGGAAACCTGAAGTTGATTTGCCAGGTTTAAGTGCAGTTGAGTTCAGGTACCCTGTACCCTTGTTGGGATGATGATGTGCGTCTTGGTCATGTCAAATGACTGCGATGTTTATCTAGTGTTGAATTATTTGTGGTTCGTGAAACACTACGAAGTGCAGTAGGTCTCTTACTATGTGATAAGACAGGATTATCCATGGATAGAGCGTCTACATAGTGCGTCATACTGCTGCACCCTTAACTTGACTGCCGCTGCCCTTGCTTGTAGAAGTAATAGAGTTTAAGCCGGTGGTGATCGGGACTTAGAGGGAGGACCCTGAAAACGAATACTGTAGATTTTTCACTATCATGTGGTGCACAACAAGGGGGCACCCTGTGATCAAAACTCGTTGAAACATCTGCAGTTTACATCGCGCAATAGATACTCGATACACGATCTTTGCTTGGTATTGAACACGTCAAACAAGAGCTAAAGATGGTGCTGTTTAGAAAGCGCTTAATGAAGAGGTGAGATCTTCACCGCCAATCGTCAATGAAGAGCACAATTATTGTACTGTATGCAGTGAAAGGAGTGAGTCTAGAGTTGATAATGCTTCATGAATGTCCATGTTTGCCAGGCGCTAAATGCAACCATTCGTGGTTTACGGATATTCCACAACTCATTAGACCCCCTGGTCTAGCACGTGAGACGCTAAGCAAGGGGCGCTATATCAAACCCCTGGATCATGAGGCGGTTGAGCTGAATGTGTTACTGGAGAGATCAAGGTGGTCCTGGTATTAGACAGATATACAGGACGGAGTATCGTCATATGCAGTAAGTAACCCTTTTTTCCGGACTCGGAGTTTTTAAAGCTTCTGCATAGAAAAAAAGAAAGGAAAGAAAGAAGAAAAAGGAATTCCACCGGCTGACGTGTGGTTACTTGCATATGCACAGAATCATGGAAATGTTTCGATAGCCGCCGCCTTTAATATAACGGTAACACAATTTTCCGTACGGATGGATACACTTACGCGCCTTCGTGCAATAATAGTCGGTGCTTTCTTCGTCTTCTAAAAAGAGGGCGACTCGAACAAGGTCACCCTTGAAACTTCTAAAGTTGGGCATTGACCCTTGCTCTAAGCTTAGTCCATTGAATGAGGTGCTAATCATATCTTCGGCCATTGAACGATATTGAGCATATGAGCTACCTGAGGCATTGATCACAGGTTGGTTGATTCATGACAGATCAGATCGTTTCTCTCGTCCCATCTGGCCAACAAGACGAGATGAAGACAATATAGGAGATTTTTATTAATTATGCACATTAACCAACAAGCGATTGTCTCAAGACTTGGAAGGTAGTATTACGCTGCAGTCATCCACTTGAAAGGATCAAGAGCCTGAAATGGATTGACTGCCGTACCGCTCTTTGCGCGGCGCATACAATCGAATTGGATTGGATTGGACTGGACTAGATCTGGTCCATATCATGGACCTCTAATCAATGAGATAGCCCAGTGGAGGTTAGAGGTTGCTACCCCTGAAGACCTTGTTATGGTAGCGCCCATGTTAAGGCGCTAGTGCAGGTACTTTACAGTAAATCCCCCCATCCTTTTCCGTTGGTCACCACCTTCACCAGAAATACCCCTGCTGTTTAATTGCAATTGGTTGATTAACCTTTCAGGTACAGAATTGCTTCTACTGGTTCATCGCGCGGCTATCGACTGTTGAATTTTACTGGTTACTCCTTTGTGTTCCCACGATCCAATACCGTTCACGTATGCATCAGACGTCAAAGGCTTGAGATATCAGCTGTACTATCAAGCCTCACCATTCCACTCAAAAACCCTCACTTGACCTGCAAGTCGCAAGTCGCCCCTCACATAATGTACATGTAAAGATCGACTCTCCAGTAAAGAGATGCTAACCTGACCTTACCTTGCGGGGATTCCACGCTTGTGGTGCAGGGGGTCGTCATCATCCATGCCCCTTTTCCCAGGCTAAGCTTAGATCAAATGAAAAAAAAGAATGCCAAAGCCGTCCATTCATTATCAAACCCCTGACATGAACATCAACCGCCTAGACTACCTAAACCACTATCGTGCATGGTGCCCAGCCATCGCTCCAGTAGCTTTCCATTCTTTCCATGCTCCTGTTCCCTTCGCTTCGTTTGTCTCCCAGGGGCCAAATTTCTCTTCTTTTCCTTCCCTCACCCGTTCTGTTGATGATTGACCGACACGCGCACACCTTATTCCGGTGATAAGACATCCTCTATTGTACAGATTATACAGTACCACCTGTACAAAGTACATACACAACTTATCTGGTGTCTGCGCTTGTGTCGTGTCGTCGCACACGCCCTCTTCTGTTACAACTTCACCCCCACACCTCACACACTGGCCGCTCACCTTCTGTACACACCAGCTTCGCTCTCTTGCCGCCGCTCAAGCCTTAGCCCAAGTCCCAAGACTTGTCACGAAGCGTGTGCTCTTGGTGTAGCGAGGACGGTCGGTATATCTTCCAAATATGGAACCCGCCCTAGCTGCTCCGGGGTCTGGAGTAACGGAGCCTTCTGCATCTTCTGATACTCGTTCTGATACCAAGACACCTCCTGTCACCGTCCCATCCGCATCCGCAACTTCTGCTGCAACCTCAGATTCTTACTATTACCCTATCGATAATAACGCCGACTCCCGTCCCTCTTCTTCAGCTTCAGTCCGTTCGTCGTCTCAACTTCAACAAGTTATTGAAGAAGGAAAGGAGGATCACTCGCCTGCTCCGCGATCTTCTGCCGTTCACGCTCGATCTCAGACGGTCGACGTCCTGCCCGGCTCGTCCTCCGACTCCGGCCCCGGCTCTGTTTCGTCGCCCTCCGCTTCCGTTCATTCGTTTGGGACTATCAAGCGCAAACCTCTGTCTTCGTCGGCATCGGCACTTGCTCTGCGCTTCTCGTCATCTGGATCACCACTGCCGTCACCGATTGATCTGCCATTGCCGAGTCAGAGGTTCGCTAGACCTTGTTCCGTCGACAGTCCTACCTTTTACGAGTTCTCTTCCGCTTCTCGCGACGGGCCGCCAACTGCCCAGTAAGTTGTTCCCTTTAACTCAATTCTTTGTCTTGGTGTCTTGGTGTCTTAGACGACCAACTTGCTGCCCCTCGCTTCCCTTGCAGAATTTCTTGCTAACCCGAATTCCTGAACAGAGCTCCCAACGCCAACCTGGCGTCCCTTGCCGCGACAACCCCTGGAACACAGAACATTCCAGGACACAGCCCTACTGTATCTAGCTCCGACTTCTCAGACGTCCTGGATGGGTATGATGATTTGATATCCGACTCGAAATCAGAATCTGGACCAGACGTCACCCGCGAGACTATCCTTGATGACAGCGATACCGAAGACGACCAATACAACAAGAAAGACAAAGAGATCCAAAAGATTGATTCGAGCGACAAAGAAACTATCATCGTTCATAAAGACGCCGAGACAACAGAATCGAAGGAGCAGACCGAACAAGACGCTCAAAGAGCCAAGTCCCCTTCATCCGATCATACTATATCCAAACCGACATTGGCTCCCGCTCCCATGTTTGTTCCAAAGCCAACTCCACCACATCTCCAGCTCGACAAGGTCACAATTGACGTTGCGAACTACGACGAATCCCCGGATGATCCCAATACACCATCGGGCCAAAATACATCACCTCAGCTCAATAAGCCCTTGCCTAGATCGCCAGGCCAAAACTCCCCATTTGCTTCTTTGTTCAACTGGGCAGCGCCCTCACCCTCGCCTTCTGCGACGGAATTTTCGTCTGCATATTCGCCGATATCACCATCAAAATACGGCGCAGCCAATGATACGGTTAGCAACCCTCAATCTACCATTCAAGAAGATACCGCTAGCTTGACGGAGATCTTGACCTATCGTAACTCATACTCATCGGTTTCACAGTCCCCAGCCTACGCGCAAATTGACGAAATGGAAGACGAACTAAAAGCCATCAGCGCCGAGCTGGCAAGCTCTATTCGGCGCGAGATGGATCTAGAAGATCTAGTCGACCGTCTCCAAGAACAAATCGGCAACCCTCAAGCTCCTGGCAAGAGGTCAAGCGATTATTACTCCGATTCAGGTTATAGCTCGGCTAAGATGAGCGAGGCCGAGCCTAGTCGAGAGGAACTTGAAAAGGTTCAAAGGAGGTCGGAACAAGAGAAAGCTTCTATAAGATTAGAACTTACAAACAAGCTACAAGATGAAAGAGGACGACGGAAGGAGCTGGATCAGCAGATTAAGGAGCTTGCTGAAAAGGCGTCGCAAGTCGACCTCGCCCAAATGAATAACCAGGACGCCAGCGGCCGACTAAAGGACCTCGAGACCACCTGCGGCGACCTTAGGAGGCGATTGTCCGAGGAGCGCGTTGTTAAGAACAACTTTGAGGACCTCATCAACGCTATCCGAGGAGAGCTCCACGAGGCAACCAGCGAGAGAGACAACCTCCGCGACGAGGTTGTTCCTCAACTCAGGGCTCGAGTTGAGGGTCTCGAGATCGAGGCTGCTGAATACGCAAACCTGACCTATGAATCCTCAAAGATGCAGCAGGAACTCTCGATGCTCAGGAAAGAATATGATGTTATGCGAGGCGGATCCAGATCTGGTTCTCCTACACCGTCGATCAACCGCATGTCTCGCGCCATGTCTGGTGGTTTCGGCGGCGGCCTTGCCAGATCCAATTCGGTTGCGACTGGCTCGTTCCGTGCCCAGCGTCCTTCAGGCCTTTCCAGGTCCAACAGTGTTAAGAATGTTCAGACTGAGTCCAGAGAAGCTCTTTCTGAGAGATTAAAGGACGTTGAGGCTCAACGAGATGCCCTCCACAGCGCACTGAAGAACCTTCTCGACCGCCAGGAGTTCCAAAACCGTGAGAACGAGAAGAAGATCAGATTACTCCAGGCCGAGCGGGAGAGACTTCTTGGAGCAAACCCACGAAAAGCAGGTTTTGAGCGAGAGATCTCAAACCTTCGCACCGAGATCAACGTTCTGCGACGCCGAGCCGAGGATGCTCTCATGCAAAAATGGCAAGTAGAGGACGGTCTTGGTAGTCTGAAGATGGATCTTGACAAGGCCGAGCAAGAGATCTCTATGCTTCGGGAGTTGTTGGAGGAGAAGGATATCCTCATTCCTCCCTCTTTCGCTCGCTCAAGCGGCTCTAGTACTGGTAGCAACTCGTTCGGAAGCACCCCAGTAACATCTGAATCGCTTTCAAAGGCATATGAACAACTGCAGGCCGCTTATGCTGAATCGCTTGAGCGCATCAAGGAACTCGAGCATGAGACTGGAGCTGATGAGAGGACCCAGCTTGCTGTCGAGCGACTCGAGCGCACACTCTCTATTGCAGTCTCTGAACGCGATGCCGCCAAGCATGAAGTTGACAGTCTCAGAAACCAGTACGACTCTATGAGCGAGTACGAGAGTAAGACCATTGAGAGCGAACGCGCTCTTGCTGACGAACTCAACGACTCCGCTCGCCGAGTTGGAGAGCTTGCATCTCAAGTCCAGCAGCAGCTCGCTGCCAACGCACAGCTCCGAGAACGCCTTTCTAATGCTGTTGCCCGAGGTGACTCCAATCGCAAGAGCAACTCGGATCGCATTGCTGGCCTCCAAGTTCGCCTTAAGTCCATGGAGGACCAACTTGTTGCTGCTCAGACAGCATCTGAGGACAGGGTCAACCGTCACGAGGAGGAGATCGCTGCTATTCGCGATGCTCACAATGCTCAGCTTCAGCGCATGAGCAGCAACGCCAGCTTTGGTCCTCGATCTCCCAGTTTCCAGGCCAACCGCAAGCCATCGCTGCTCAGCCCTCTATCCCCTCGATTCCCTGGCTCGTTACGATCCCCTCAGCTCACTGAGAAGTCTTTCGAGGAAGCCGCGCAGATGGATATGCTCCGCAAGCGCGTGACTGAGCTAGAGACGGCTCTCGAGGACGCCGATAAGGAGATGCAGGATGTCGTCGCCAGAATGAGCACGGCTCAGATCGAAGTCCTGACTCTCCAAGATGAGCGAGAGGCCGCTGTTCGTGAAACACGACGCCTGCAAAAACTCCTCGAGCAGGAGCAAATGAAGTCTTTTGAGGACCGATTCAAGACGCTTAGTGGCAGCGCCTGAAAGAGAAGGACCAGGAAAATGTTTAAGACCACATTGATTGGATTATAATGATGGGAGCACCCTTTTTACAGTGGTGCCCGTACTGCATATAGCGACCCGGAGTTGTCTGTTTTCACCCCTATCATTATTTGGTAATGATTCTTAGCAGCCAGAACGGTTGCGCATTTCTACATGGGTTTTTGACGAGTCTTGGAGTACTCTGTTGGGAACCTATTCTTGTCACAACATCACCGCATCTTACATACGCGGGCATTGGAAAATGGAGCATTTGGGACGGGTTTGTCGATCAGTTGATACTTGGTTTACACTGAACACGATTCACAAAAGGAACGTTGTTTGTTAAGTATATAATGTTTTGTATTCTTGTTTGGCTATTGGTGAGTGGTTGCGTAAATCATTTGTGGTGTTTGCAATCCCCTGGTTTGTATAATAGAGGGAAGAATGGCCAGGTGAACAAGTCAACTTTTGTATATTAATCGAGTTTGAACTCCAATATGCATCCATATTAATTCTTATCAATATTTTGACAAATAAATGCTGGCGTTTGTCCGTGTGATGTTAAGTGTAATGAGGGACGGTCACTCCTGCCTTCTGTTTGACCTGTGCACTTGCCGTTGAGGTTATCACCAGACATGTTTTGGGAAGTCGCTATTCACCGTTTTTCAACGCGTCTGCGTTGTTCACCTTTCTTTAGAAAGAATTAACGTCCCTCTTTTTGCAACTTATGCTCAGTCGTTAACGTTTCATCTCGCTACCAGTATCGTCACGATCTTTTGTAATTATCATTACAACCATTTGATTCATCAGTAACAAGTCTGGCTGACCACGATGCTGTCTCTCCGGTACCATATCCTCAACTGGGCCCTGTCGCTTATGACAATCCCTCTAGCCATGTTCCGAAAGAGTCTTGTTAACAGTGGACTGATGCACAAACTTATCGATGATATTCACTGTCCCGCCATCGGCCTCACTATCTATTTCCTTACGTTGTGGTTGTTGAAAGCACGAGAAACAGCCAAACAAGAACAAGAACAAGAAACCCATTCGGACCAGGTAGCATTCAGCGGCAATGTTGCTCCAGCTGAGCTAGAGGCCATTGCCCCAGCTGATGTTCATGAGCTGGAGGCAGAGGTCCCGATCAGTACAAACACCAACGGAAACTGCAACGGTAACGGCAACGCCAGGTCGAAAAAAAGGAGGAAACGGGGAAAGAAAGGTAACGCCAACGGAAAGCAGAATAGGAACAGCTCGAGCCATAATGGAAAGGCGCAACAGTTCAACGGAAATAGGATACCTCCAAGGAATAAAACGCCCGCTCAAGATACAGCACCTTCGAATACAACAGCGCAGCTGAACGCCATCGCTGCTCGAAGACTTCGGAATACGTCAATCGGACGGATAGAGTATATGAAACAAAGTGTTATTCGCCTCATCGAACAGCGCATACATGTACTCTACCCTATCAATTTGGTACTTCTATTTACCAGTGACGAATTGCCTGGACTTGGGGCATATTCCGAGTCCCGTTATTGTCGAATGGCAGCACGAGTCCTAGTAACCTTTACAATCCTGGGAACTGTAGAGCCATGGAGACGCACTGTAAGTCTTCGGCTCTAACACACTATACCTCTGCTGATATACTCTAGCGATGGGATATTGAGATGTGTGGTCTTGGAATGCTAACCTACTGCTGTGCGTTTTGTGGTCAAGGCCCAAGCCCGTGGGCTTCGATAACGATGGGCGCTATCAGTCTTTCTATCGTGGGATCAATCATAGAACTGCTGCTTTGCCTCAAAACTGGTCGCTGGATTTGTTGGCCTTCATTATGGCTGGCGAGTGATATCGGCCAGTTCGATACGCTCGTTCGCATCTCGGCTCTTTCACCACTCATTGACATCGTCGAGACTGTAAGTTTGGGAAATGACAAGGAGAACCACAGGCTAATTTAGAAATAGGCCATCTACGCCATTACACCTTACGTCGTACCCGCGTGGTACCAGAGCAGACGGGACCTTATGGAGAAACCGCTTTAGGGCGTGCGGTATTCCCATAGGTTCGCAGTCGCGATATTCTATCTTGGCTGCACCTTTTTTCTCTCATTTATCGTGGCCCTAGTGAAGGCAATGTTACGATACATTCAATCCCGCGATATGGAGAGATTGGTTTAGACACGACATAACGAGGGCGAAACCGATCTTCACCTTTACAGAATGTTCAACCTACATGGGCTTCTTGTGAAGCTAGGTCAGGGGTATAAATTGTTATTGGCATGATGACATACCAGGAATGTCATATCTTTAGGAAGCGTAATCATATTACTATGTATTTGCATAAATCACGAGCGAAGCATTCAGCCATACTTCTTGTTGCTGACTGAGTGTGCCAACTGCGACGATGAACCACCTTCAAGTGAAACAAATTTTCGAAAACGTAGCCATGAGCATTGAAAATAGAAAGAAGTTCCGGACAATAAGCTTGTTAAAGAATTATGAGTTACCTATGATCGTGCGTGGAGAAACCTGATGGATAGTTGTTATACTGTAAAGTAACTGCCATGCTCGACCTGCTGCATGAAAAGGGGCATCTGTCCATGCGTCTTCTCAGATAAGATAATGCAGCACAATGCTTTCTCTTTGCTAATTTCATCGCCTTTATCAATATCATCTCATTGAGTTTCGTTTGATCCTTGAAGCTTCATCTGCCTTTAGGCAATGATATGTCAACTTGAGTTCATCAGAGGATGCACCGAGGCTGTGCATCGATGGGCTATCACAGCCGTGGGTTGCATCTCGAGTCAAAGCTGGTGCATGATCCCATTATCATTTCCGTGGAGATGCGAGATATCCTTCGGGCTTCTATCGTGAATCGCTTTGACGGAGGCAAAAGCCTAACGGCGTCTGTGATCTTATGCCAAGGGAGAATCAGAAGGGGGTGATGGGACGGGACATGTCGAATACTACATCATGTTCATATAAGAAAAGCAATTTTGAGCCCAATAGCACGAGTTCAATAACATACTCCTAGGGTTACCAATACCGGATAGGAAGGAAATAAAGCTCAAGGTGCAGATGAGAAACGCATTGATGTTTGTGGTCACCGAGAGACGAGTCACCGTTGGTCTATTGAAGCTGAGGCTGGATCATGGATGTCCCCCCACACCTTGGCATGGCCAATCAAGGTGGAAGTCCTTATCAGAGACCAGAGAAACCCTGAGTGAGGCTGGTCGTAGGTGGTTTCGTCATGTCTGACTCGAGTTGGCGTTTCTTTTCTTTTTCTAAGGGAAGGTGGATGGATGAGAGGCTGAGAGCTTTCGAAGTGATGAAACTGAAAGGAAGAGTGATAGAATATCTATCTCATTGTATGCGAACAAAGACCTGAGTTGTCGAGTATCATATATACCATTTGTGTCGAGTGCCTCCTTTCGGAATCGCGATTCTTGAATGACTGGAACAAGATCAGACGCCAAGAGATCTACATTAATGTCCTGTAAGCATTCAGGGGCACCCGGCCCAAAGGAAGCATGATGATAAATGAAGTATCTGGGGTATGGGGAGAGTGCCTTATCAGTACAGATCTGGGGTCATGATAGTAGGCAGTGCCGTGTTACAAGAGAGTTTTGTGGCCATTTGTCTTTACTTTTACCTGAAGCTTTTTGGGATAGTGAAGCGAGATAGTCAAGGCTTGATGCTGCAGGAGATCCGTTGTTCCTGGACCTGCATGACGGGAAACTGGGTCTTTGCCCAGGGCTGGAACTGGAATAGGTTTGCGATTGAATTCCTGACGGATTGAGATGGCGTTATGATATTGAATCGAGTCTGGATATTGGGCCAAGATTAATAAGGTAGAGTTTGGAAGCGTTGGAATAACGCGCGCAAAGGCAATTCCTCGTGTTTTGCTTTTTTGTGTAGATGAAGTTTATGGTGAGAGCGAATTGGGAGTGGCGAGACTTGAAGACGGGAAGTCAATTCTGTACCGCAAAACGACAAGCGCCCGCCCACTGTGCTGGGTTAAGTCTGGGGGACCCCCACTGAGGCATGACAGAATAGCCCCTGTGACTTTTCACTATAGTGCTGTGTAGGCTATTCTGTCACTATGTCCAGCTTTACCTGGTAGAATTGCCTCGCCCCAAAAAACGTCACCCGTTTGTACCAGGATCTTAAACTGAATTGGACTGGACTGGACTGGACCCTTTTCTTCGCGTCTTGACTTGACTTTTGTCTGTCTGTCTTGTCTTATCTCCAAAACTCACCCTCACTCCTTCACCTTCACACACCTACCCTCTCTAAAACAACCAGCCTCCAGGGGTTTCACAGGGACAAGAAGACGACATCAGCCAAGCTCAGCTCATTCAATTCCCGGGCATAACCTCTAAACTATTACTGGCTAAAACCTGGAGCAGTCCATCCTTTCCAGGGATCTCTTATCTCTGCCACCCCCAGTCTCACTCACTGCCACTGCCTTCGGCCGCCTGAACCGGAATCGCGCCCTTTCCAGTTTCGCCCAAATTCTCAAGTGACAGTCTCTCCTCTCACATTCGATTCGGAACCTCTCAACACCAAAACCGCCCAAGGGACCCAATCGCATCGGATTGCGCCCCCTGCGAATCTCTTATCTCTGGGCGTCCTCTATTTGACCTGTCTCTCCCTTTTCTACTACCTACCTCCTCTGCCTCTGCCCGGCATGTCACTCTCACGTCGTGCAACCTCATCAGTCTCGACCTTGACTTCCCTGTCGCTCTTCAATCCTTCGACTCTGGCATTTCTATTTCTATATCACTCCTCCCAAGCCAGAAATCACGTCGCCGCCATGGGAGGCGATGGAGACGCCAGAGGAGCAACCAATCTCAAGTATAACGGTACAGGAGCAATAGGTGCAGACCCGCTCACCATGGATGTCAATATCTGGTACAAGGTGAGTCTACTCTACTTACATTCTTCTACTCTACCATCAGACGATCCATGACTCTATCCTCATCATTCTCATGGCTCTGCTCTTCTCTCTCTCTTCTGTTCTCATTTTTCTCTCACCATGAGAACATTCACAGTAAGACGAGACGAGAGACAGACTGCCAGTGGGTCCCCAGTATCTTTGAACGCCCGCAAGCTGACCTTTTGCGCCCGCAACTCAGGCCGGAGATATCGCGTGGATGCTCTCAGCCACTGCTTTAGTATTGTTAATGATTCCAGGCGTTGGGTAAGTCTTTTCCCTCTCTTATCGGCAAAATTCTTAACACGCACTAACATTTCTTTGTAGCTTCTTCTATTCAGGTCTCGCCCGTCGCAAATCAGCCCTATCGCTTATATGGCTTTCTGTAATGAGCGCCGCAGTAACAACCTTTCAATGGTTCTTCTGGGGTTACTCACTTACATTCTCACATACGGCCGGTCCCTTCATCGGTGACTTGGCCAATTTTGGTTTCCGCGATGTCTTGGCCCGTCCCTCGGTAGGCTCGGCGCATCTGCCCGATATGATGTTCGCTGTTTATCAAGGCATGTTCTCAGCCTTGACTGTCGCTCTCGCTACTGGCGCCGTCGCCGAGAGAGGCCGAATGCTCCCCTGCATCATCTTCATCTTCGTGTGGGCCACTGTCGTCTATGACCCCATCGCCTGCTGGACCTGGAACCCTAATGGCTGGTCTAACAAGATGGGCGGCCTGGACTTTGCAGGAGGTACCCCTGTGCACATCGCTTCTGGAAGCGCTGCCCTGGCCTACTCCATGATGTTGGGCAAGCGTAGTGGCCATGGAACACATGAGCTCAACTATCGCCCTCACAATGCTACTCATATCGTGACTGGAACTGTCTTCCTTTGGGTCGGATGGTTTGGCTTCAATGCTGGCTCTGCCCTTTCAGCTAACCTTCGTGGTGTTATGGCAGCTGTTGTTACTAACCTGGCTGCTTGCGTCGGTGGAATGACTTGGTGTCTTTTGGACTATCGCCTTGAGAGAAAGTTCTCTACTGTTGGATTTTGCTCCGGTGTTGTCGCGGGCCTAGTTTGCATCACCCCAGGTTCTGGTATGTTCATCACAACTTCATCTCACATAGTGCTCTAACAATTCTCTAGGTTATGTGCCTCCTTGGGCTGCTATCATCTTTGGTGCTGTTGGCGCTGCCGGTTCGAATTACGCTACCAAGGTCAAGTTCCTTCTCGGAATCGACGATGCTCTCGATATCTTCGCCGTTCATGGTGTTGGCGGTCTCATTGGCAATATTTGCACCGCCTTCTTCGCCAGCCCGACTATCGCTGCCCTCGACGGTTACTCTCACATCAAGGGTGGATGGGTTGAGCATCACTGGGCTCAGATGGGATACCAGCTTGCCGACTCGATCTGCGGAGGACTTTACTCCTTCACCGTTACATGTCTCATTCTGTTCCTCATGAACCTCATCCCTGGACTGCGCCTGCGCGTCGATTCTGAGGCTGAGCTTCAGGGTATCGACGACGCCGAAATTGGAGAGTTCGCCTACGACTATGTTGAGCTCACCCGAGAGGTTGTTAGCGACATGGATAATGAATCCGGAAGCCGATACTCTGCTGATCCTACAGCATTTCACCACTACGAGAAGAACCATATCCCTATGATCGACGCTCGCATGTTTGGTGGCCAACCCGCGCATGCTCCAGTAGCATTTCCCCAGTGAGGTCGCAACTTTGGGGACTTTACATAACAAGAGTAAGGCTTTATTTCATGACATAACAGCGTCAGAGGGCCATGTGTCGAGTCGATTTATACGCATCTAACGGCGCCATGATTTGGGATTGAGTTATAGATACCCCGGTTTTTGAACCGTTTTAGCAAGATTGTTTGGCTGTATAGTAAGGAGTTTCATTAAGGTGTATGTATATTGGACAAAACTACCAGTAAAATAGCATAATACAAGACATATCAACATTAGATACTCGGTCCGGGAATTGTCAGGTTCATGGTCGTTAATGAATTAGCGGGTCTTTACCCAATTTAGTGTTGAAGCCTGGCAACTTCAGTGGTTCATGCATGACGTGAGCCAATCACATGCAACCTTGAATCTTCAATCAGCAATGGAAGTCTTGGTCGCAACGTGAACAATTGAACATCTTCTTTTTACCCGGAACAATAACCTGAACAGCTTACGCTATTCCGTTACACTTGGCTTGTTTTCTCACATGACCTTTGGTTTTTGGTTATAGGCATCCATCAGTATTTTCTTGGTCATGAAGGTGACCCTGCACTCGTAATCGCGTTCGTCATGCAACAACAAACATGGAACATAAGCACATCATGATGGACTCACAAGAGGAAAGGGCGCTGGAAGAAAAGACGGCGATTTTCAACAGATTCCAGATCCTTTATAGTGATGATGAGTTTGATGAAGGAGAGAAACAAGAGAGGATTCGATGCCGCAGCTTCTTTGCGCCTAGACCAAAGCCGAAACCACAGCCAACCCCTAAACCTCAAGAGAAAGAGCCCCTTGTGCTAGATCTCACCAACGATGAGTCGCAAGAGTCGAGAGTGACGCCTAGAAGGGTCGCCTCTATTCCAACCCCAGCACCTGCTCAAGGCGCAAAGATTATTAAGGGTACACCTATGACAGCTATGGGCCAGAAGAGCAGACTCGGCACGCTCTTGAATCAGCGAAGTGATGGGGCTATTCTAGTCGATGATACACCTATCCCTGACTCTACTCGTCAGACGCAAAGGCTGCTTCCTAGAAGTGGCTCCACGCCCATATTTGCCTCCGGAAGAACTCTTGGCCAAGTGGTCGGCGAGTCTCCTTCACCAAGCTTGGCTATGAAGAAGCGGAAGCGCGAGTCTTCGATCAAACTCCGGCCAGAGAGCGAGCAGATATTTAAGGATCTTACTTTTTACTACGTCCCTGATGATGATATCGCGCCGGCTCGGAGGTTGCGCATCACGAAGGCACGCGAGTTCGGTGCGACGTGGGTGCGAACGCCGCGCATTGCGACTCATATCGTTGTGGAGAAACACATCCAGTTCAAGGACCTGGAGGGCGTGTTGAAGAAAACCAATAAGAACCTCCCACCTAAGGTGGTGAACGAGGAATATCCTATCGACTGTATCCAATTCAAGGCACTGCTTCAATGCAATCAGAAGAAGTACCAACTTACAGGCCAGCCGACGGCGCCAGATGATGGACCTTCAGTCGCTCCGCGCAGTTCTCTAGAGTCTGTCCGATCGTTGCCGCTTAAGCCGCCTCAGAGAAACTCGAAACGATGGGATCATGTGCCTCTCCAAGGTACTCCAGAGAGGATTGAAGAATCACCTCATCGGAGTCAAATCGCCGAGACGCCTGCTCCCACGGCTTCACATCCGGTAATACTGAATCTTGAAGACATGATCTCATCTCATCCTGCAAGCACCAGTAGTAAAGCGGCTCATTCCCGAAATGTTTCCACTACATCAGTTGCACATGAAACCAGCAATGCTAAACAAACCCAAAAAGGAGATGGTCATGAAGACGAGTTGTCCGAGTACATCGAGATAATGGAGGAGTATAAGGACCTCCCATTAGACGCAGATGACGACGACGCTCAGACTGTCGCAGATATGGGACCAGAAGAACAGTCCATGTCAGGCTCAGAAGACGAGAGAGCCAATATGCGCAAGACGAGAAGAAAGACGAGATCAGGTCGCAAAGATATCGCTTTCGAGGATCGATTTTCGTGTAACTCTGCTGGGGTCAAGGACGCTAAAGCGGGGCATCCAAATGCCCGCACGATAGAGGTCCTACAGAAGATGGCTGACTATTACAACCGAATCAACGACCACTGGCGAACAACTGCGTACAGAAAAGTCATTAGCACTTTAAAGCGCCAAGAGACAAAGATCACAACTGCTGAAGAGGCACAGCGATTACCCAGCGTGGGAACTCGTCTGGCGCAGAAGATCGAGGAAATTGTTACGACGGATAGATTGCAGAGGCTCGAGTACGCACAAAAAGAGCCAATGGATGAAGCACTTCAGCTATTCCTCGGCATCTATGGTGTTGGAAACAGTCAGGCCCAACAGTGGCTGGCACAAGGTTTCAGGACACTGGACGACCTGATGGCGAAGGCCAAACTCACGCCGAATCAGCTGTTGGGCATCGAGCACTATGATGACCTGAACACCAGGATTCCACGTCGCGAAGTTGAAGCTCTGGGGACAGTTGTGAAGACAACTGCTCAGCGTATTGATCCACAAGTAGAGCTCATCATTGGAGGCAGTTATCGAAGAGGAGCAGAATCGTCCGGTGACATTGATTTTATCATTACCAAATCGAAGACTGAGTCATCAGCTGAACTCCGGCCTTTTCTCGACAGTTTAGTCCAACGTCTCGAAGCCGATGGGTTTCTCGTGGCACGACTAGCATCATCTCGGTCTGCCAGCGACGGGAGTAAGTGGCATGGCTGCTGTGTGCTGCCCAAGATCAGCGGCTTCAACGACCATGATTACAAGCCTGTCTGGAGGCGCATCGATTTCCTGCTCGTGCCTGAGTCTGAGAGGGGTGCTGCCCTGCTATATTTCACCGGCAACGATATCTTTAATCGCAGTATGCGACTGTTGGCTTCCAAGAAAGGAATGCGACTGAACCAACGTGGTCTGTACAAGGACGTTATGCGAGGTCCGCAGCGTGTCAAGGTCACGGAAGGGGAGTTGGTTGAGGGAAGAGATGAGCGGAGAATATTTGAAATTCTCAAGATCAAATGGAGAGAGCCTCATGAACGATGGTGTTGATATTTCTCAAACTCCATTATATATATTACAACAGCTTTAGTGGTGATGGTGTTGGTGGTTATGCATAGCAGAGCCTCACGGTTACAGTTTTGGTCTACCGAGGTCAAAGTGGAGGGAGGGCCTCTCGGGAAGAGATCAAGGGACATGGATCCATAGCGTGGAGTTTTGGCATTGACTATTAGAGATCCTTGGAGAATGGATCCATTTGCATAAGAGTTGCTGAAGCATTGGCATAGCATTGCTGTAGATTCTGGAAAGAGAGATGAATATATACGTACTATCTAGTCCCATGTGAATGTAACTTACGTGAGATCTTCCCCAGATCTTGGCTAAACTCTCAATTTGCATGTGAAATGCCTTTAGACTGACTCTCCCCAAATCCTGACCATCTTCAGTGGACAAAATGGTGAATCCCCCTGCGTCATAGGCGGCCAGGCCCTGTAGTGCTTTCCCCAGTGGGGACATGTTGCCGTTCTCCGCAACACAAGCCGAGAGCAAGCCCAAACATCCGAGGCTCATGCCCAGGTGACATTGCTCCATGCGATTAAGTCTGGGGACGCCTCGACTCGTCTTCAAAACCCATGAATCTACCAACTTTATCCGACTTAATCCATGCTCCTATACGAATCTTCCACACTTCAGATCTAACCTACGGATTAAGGCGACAACGTTCGATGCCTTGAGAGGACAGCGCTTTGCGACATCCACCGACTTCCGATCCTGCGACCGCTCTGACTGTCTACGTTTCTTCTACCGACAATATGGCCATGTCATCGTCACTAGAGGTGTTGAAGGTACGGCCTTATTGTTTTGCGACACGCGATCGAGCTTGCGCTGACTGGTTTTGGATAGGCCTCGCTTGAGGAGATTGTCAAGAACCCGCAATACCATGATCTATTATCGCTGGTCAAGACGGCGCGCAATGGTATTATTTACGGAACCAAGGTGCGGTTTCCACATGCGTTGGTGTAAGTTACCCATGAGCTCGATATATCTAAATGATCGCTAATCTCACTTCCAACAGGATGGTATTCCTCTTCCGCTCCGGAACGTACGCTTGACCTCTCTCCCATGCAACCTACCGACTTCGAGCTAACGTGTGACGAACCCAGATTCCGAGAAAAGGTCAAACTAGTCCTTCGAGCGACAAGACACCATGCGACAAACTTGGCGCGCTTCGCTACCATTTATAAGCTGACGATGTTGGCGCTCAAGTACTTTGGCGCAGAGCCTGGAAAGGAGGGTACGTCATTGCCGTTGTCCAGGTTGAAACTCAGATCCTAACTCTACCCAGGTACATACGATTCTTTCGTAGGCGGTCTTGTCGGTGGTTACTTCGTCTTTGGCGGTCGATCGAAGCGCACAGGAAAGATATCATCGGTCAACCAGCAGATCGTCATCTACGTCTTTGCGCGCGTCATGCTCGCCCTCGCACGCATCGCCGTCAAGCCCGGCGCCGGCTTGCCTGTCGTATCGTCCGAGCCTCTTCACAGCACGATCAACCACTACGCCTGGCCAGCGTTCGCCTCGCTGTCCTGGGCTATGGTTATGTTGATCTTCCGGTACCACCCCGAGGACCTGCAGTCGAGCTTGAGAAGCAGCATGACGTATATCTATAAGGATTGTAACGAGTTTGACTCGCTTCGAACTTTGCTCTGGCAGAACAAATAGACAGGGGATGGATGTGTAACTCGCAAGCAAACTGGCGGTGGTCGAATTGAATTTGGCGTTGAGGCGTGGGAGGCTCTTTTGCATAACAGCATGCATGGCTTTGAGCATGGCAGTCGGTATACAGGCTGGGCCTTTATTTTTATAGGCAGCATTAGTAGACTTGGATATATGATAACCAATATGATAGATGCGAATTTGTACTACTTGTTGAAAGTAATATGTGCTGATGTATCAGTATTAAAGTGATCGAACCTTGTCATCGTTACTATCTGATTATTGTTTAGCTCTTCTAGCTTCGTTTCCTTACCCTCAGGGCTTAGTAAGAATAGCTTTAAATCTTAGGATATCATCTTCACAGTAATTTTAAGGATGAAAGTTGAGAATGAAATAAACAAATAATGGATTAAGATTAATAGCTTCTTGGGCCATGATGGCGCTAATCGGGAAAGCTATGGACGATACCCCACTAGAGCTGACCCCTGCTTGCCCCTCCGCCCCTCCACACTGACGCCTGCAGCGAGCCTCAACTTTACCATCCGTTAACTCTAGGCTACACCTACTACCATAACCTCCACTTCTTGACTCTCAACTTATTCTCATATTCAGTAGCAAAGTAACAACAATGGCGTCAAACCCTCAAGTCGCAGATGCTATATCGAAAGCTGAATCTGCTTCCGGCGAAAAAGCCCCGGTCTACGAGCAGTTTCTACCAAACCTCAAGAATCTCTCGCCTCCACCCACCGCCGACGATCTCAATGCTATCGTCGACTCTTTCTTCGGCCAGGCGCTCGGCGTCGTAGCCACACGAACACTTCTCGCATCTTTCATCGCGACACTTCGAGAGTTACCGAACGAGGATGACCTGTGGATCGAGGTTGGAAACTGCACGCTCGACACCATTGCCGCTCAGCCTTCGTCATCATCTTTCGTCGATGCCGGTGCCACACTCCGAGAGCTCATTGCTACTGCCCACGAGAAGAATGAAGACTTCCTCGATGCCGCCAAAACACTCGCCGATATCCCACTAGATAGCTCCCAGCGCAAGGTCACCGACGAGGAGAAGGCGCGAACATGGGTCCGGATCGTACGAAACTACCTCGAGGTGGACGACTCTACTGCCGCCGAGATGTATATCAATAAGCTCAAGAACATAATGCACTCAGTCTCTGATCAAGAACTGAACCTGCACTTTAAGCTGTCGCAGGCTCGTATTCTTGATGCTCAGCGTGACTTCTTGTCTGCATCTCAGCGATATCACGAAATCAGCTTCTTCCCCGCCATCGACGAGGACGATCGTGTGCACACCCTTAGCATGGCTATCAAGTGTGCTGTTCTGGCCCCCGCAGGTCCCATGAGAAATCGCACATTGGGTCGTCTGTACAAGGACGAGCGCTCATCTCAGCTGGAAGAGTTTGGTATTTTGGAGAAGATGTTCCTTGATCGACTATTGTCTCCTCAGGAAGTAGAAAAGTTTGCTGAGGGTCTGCAACCACATCAGCTGGCGACAACGTCCGACGGATCAACAGTACTTGCCAAGGCTGTTGTTGAACATAACCTTCTCGGTGCCTCAAGACTATACAGAAACATTAGATTCGAGGCCTTGGGATCACTGTTGGGACTGGATGCCGATAAGGCGGAGGAAACTACAGCTCGTATGATCGAACAAGGCCGCCTGGTAGGTCGAATGGACCAACTTGACAGAATCGTGTACTTCGAGGGCGGTGAAGCCTCAGGAGAGAAGGGAAGTGGACGAGCTGAAGTTACCGTCGGCAAGGAAATGCGAACATGGGATGCCAATGTCCAAAGTCTGGCCGAGGAAGTGGAAAACGTCACCAACGCGCTGCAAAAGGAGTTTCCTGTAAGTGCTTCAATTATCCCATATCCAAAGTGATCCCCCCGTACTAACTATCTAATAGGAATTTGTTGCCGCAAACCGCAAGGAATGAAGAAAAGACGCAAGCATAGAAACTTTCTTTTGTATGGCGTTTAGGGGTTGGGATGAATGAAATCTGTTTATGTCTAATGCATAGCACATAGCCCCTTTGGTTTTAGACTGGCATCATGATACAGGCCACAAATACCAAGTCCAAATATTTCTTGCGAACCACCATGTCTGTCTATGATGATCCGTCGATTGTCGGAGAGCCAGGCTTGCCAAGAAGAAGAGCTAAAGTGCTATTCTGCAGTGAAGTTGAAAAGTGACCAGAGACCGCCACATCTGTGAAGCCCTCATCGTCCCACCTTCGCATCACAACTTGATTGCCCCTTAAGCGCAGCAGCAGAACTCGGCGCACTTGGAGTACTTGGCTTCAATGTCGAGCTTGACGTACTTGACTTCGTCGTATCGGCCACGAGGGTAGTTCTTTCCGTGCTTCTTGTACTCGTCGACCTCGTCATCGTCGTAGTCGCCGCCCTTACTGCCCTCCTTGTTGTCGTGGTCGTTGCCCTTGCCACCCTTCTTGAAACCCTCACGGCACTGGTCGTCGTCAATTCCAACATAGACACTGTCCTTGAACTTGGGGTAACCGGGGACCTTCTCAATGGGAACGACGCACTTGTCCTTCTTGCAGTACTTGTTGAAGTTGAGGTGCTTCTTGTCCTTGGGGCCTTCCTTCTTGTAGGAGTAGAGCCCGAGGTAGGCGATCTTGTCAGACCACTTCTCATAGTCCTCGTACTGGACGATCAGGCACTGGGCTTTGCCGTAGCCACTGCAAGCACCGACCTTGCCGTTGACCTTGTAGTTGTCGCCCTTGGAGCACTTCTGGGACTCGCTGAAGTATCCGGAGTAGGTGGCCTTGGAGTAGTCGTAGGCGTACTTCTGGCACTTCCTCTTGTCTTCGGGGCAAGAGCGCTTGTAGCCACGGCCCTTGGGCTCGTATCCAACCCAGATCTTGGGGTTGTAGGGACACCAGTCACAGCGTTCGATGTCCCATTCGTACTTCTTTCCCTTGTCGCCACGACCTTTGCCGCTACGGCCAAACTCCTCATCGCCGTCGTCGTCATGACCTCCATGTCCCTTGCCACCACGGTGGTCATCATCCCCCTTCTTGCCGGGGTAGTTGTCTTCACCGTGCTTCTCAGGGGATTTGATGTCCTTGTCGAAGCCGCCAGGGGTTGCGATGACACCAGTGGCAATGAAGGCCAGGACGGCAGTGACTTGGTACAGCTTCATGTTGATTGAAGGGGTAGCGAAGTGGGTTTTGTAACGAAAGTGTGTTAACGAGTGTGAAGGTGCAGAAAAGCTTGCTTGATGAGGATAATGTTCAAGGACTCGTGAAGGATGAAGGCCCTCTTATAGATGATTCGAGCTTCTGTTTAAGACGATCTCAGAGCTTCTCATTCCATTGTCGTGGCTTGCTTCGCATTTTCGTGCTTTCCAAACCCGATGGTCTCAGGCAAAGATGTGCAAGTCACCATGATGCTTACTCTCAAGATCCCGAAGCCTCAGTACTGCTGCTGCCCTGCAGTCATGGTTTCTCAGTACCGGTGTCGAGCCCAATGACATTCTCGTGGCTTCAGGAAGTTATGATAATAGCATCTTGGGTCACGATAATCCGGCAATGTTTCATCCGATCATCAAGCCTCTCGGCTCAGCTGAATTCTTGAAGTGCACTTGTCTGGGGCCATAGATGACGAGTTGGTGATGAGTCTGACGGGCTTTCGTATGCCAACACCACCTAATTAGGTCGAGGTTCTAGGCTCAACCCAGAGACTAGTTGTAGTCACATTGGGAAGTTGGTATCACTCGGCTAGTCACCTCGTGAGCTCAAGATTGGCCAACATATTTCGAACCTAGTAGATCTACCGATACAGTACTCGTGGACTCAGCTACTCGAGGCTCGTATATGCAACGGGCCTGGAATATTGACCATCCCATGAGGCCAGCGATATGAATCTCACTTGTCTTTCAGCTTCATATGCAGTGAACAACAGTCATTCTCTCGACTTCTAAGATAGGATGTGTCTGGTGCTTGGCATTATCATCTTTTCTTCTTTGAGTTGTTGGTGTTGTCTGCTGCATCACTTACTCATCGAACATTCTCTTGACTATGTCTTTCCGGTTATTCCTAGACTTGTGCCATTAATAAGAAGAACTGATACTATCTTCAAATCAGTCTTGTTCATATGTCATTTCGGAAACTCAGGCTGTAGGAAAACGTCAGTGATCTATGGTACATTCTCTAGGCGTAAACACCGTGTAAGCCACTCTGCTTTATTATCGTCTCCTCGTCATGATCCTACATCATCTTCGAAGTCTAGTCGTCATCCGTTTCTTTTCTTTAGACGATAGTCATCACGAGGCTCTGTGTACGAGCGGCATGCATGGTCTTGCCAGGGGTTAACTTCTTGAGAATATAGTCATCGGACTAAAACATCCGTAGGAAATGTTTCTTATAGGCCAATAATCAGATACTTTTGTACTACAGCGGGATCGATTTGTCAATATTGAGAGAAGAACAGTGATGGAGGTCTCTGATTGGCAATACAGCAAAAGGACTATGTTAAGATCTTGTATCACTACGGTTTGCCTCTATGATACTTCTTCCCAAATTAGCCGCGTTTCTTGCGTGACAGTTGGCCAGTCTTTCCCTCTCAACTTTATCTCTCTGCTCCTTGATGTGTATTTGTACGGAGAGCAACTTCAGCCGCTCCCGTTTTATCTAAGAGGCTACGAGTCCACGATGTTTGTTACGCCACTGTGATACTTAACAAATATCCGCTTCATTGGCAATAATTAGGCCTACTGCATTTCAGCCAATACGAAGAACTGCTGAGGTCTGGGCCATTTATGTATGATCTTAATGTCTTGATTTATAGTCTTTAGGGTAGTTTGAGACCAAATGCCGAAGCTCGGCAGTAGACCCCACGTCTGACATATTAGTCTTTCAAATTGGGTGTGATTGCTCTGGTAATGTGATTGTGTTATTTTGCAACGCTCCGGACATAAGAAACTTCGGTGATAAGTTCACATACTCACTTACACTTCAACCCAACATCCTTTCCTTGTCCTACAATTAAACAGAAAATACCTGCCAAACACAATGCCGCAGACTATCCGTCCAACATCGGCCATGTCTTCAACCGGAAGTCCTCCACCGCCGCTCAAACGCCGCAGAAGGAGACCTGCCCGGTCCTGTGAACAATGCCGGTCTAGGAAGGTCAAGTGTGATATGGGTCAGCCCTGTACCGGTTGTGTCCGGGCCAGAGCGCCGATGCGATGTTCTTACCGTGATGGGAGCACCGTTGAAGCCGCCCCGGAAACTCGGACCTTGGCAGCAGTTGAAAGGGAGGAAGTTATAGCAACGCCGCAGACTCAGAACAGGGCCGTGGCCTATCCCCGAGATCCGGTGTCTCTACCATCAAGATCCATCGACAACCAGACTCCCGTATTGACTCGAGAAAATCATGTCTTTCAACCTGTCTCATCCCCTCAAGTTTTGATACAGACTCCATCCTCAAATTCAATTGCGCCGTTTACACCAAGACTTCGTCATGTACCAGAAAAGACCAAGCTCTTCGGCCAAACGCATTGGCTCCATACTGCAGAGAAGGTAAGTCTGTCACAGCCCATAATCACTTCAATGATGCCGCCCAGATGGCCCTAACAATACTACAGTTCCCTGTCTCTGGAAACTTTCATCCTGTCGAGGTCGAGCCATCTTTTGAATATGCCAAGTCTGATTTCTTCGACGTATTGAAAGAAGCACGGAGCATACGCTTCGGCCTCAAGAAACAGATTTCATCTAACCTTGAGCAACCCATCCAAAACTTGCGCAGTACTCTCCCTACCAAAGCAGTCTGTGATGAGCTAATAGCCTGTTACCTTCGTACATTCGAGCCCATGTACCGCATCGTACACATCCCCTCTTTCTGGAAGGAATATGACCGACTATGGGACAGTGAACATCCATCGTCGCTATCAACTGTCTCTATGGTCAGGCTAACGTTGGCCATGGCTATCGGTACTACATTTGCGAAGTTTGATAGTGATAACGAGATAAATCACCTATGGCGGCTTGCGCAGACGTGGATTCAAAATGCCCAGTGGTGGCTTACAGGACCAAACGAGAAGACAACCTATAATCTTGATGGCTTGCAAGTGTTTTGCCTACTGATACTTGCTCGCCAAACAACCTTCAACTGCCGTGGAGCAACTTCATGGCTCTCATCAAGCTCTCTGTTACGCGCTGCAGTCACCATGGGCCTCCACCGGGACCCCAAGCTATTCTCTGGTCTATCACTCTTCCAGAAAGAGTTCCGCGCTCGACTTTGGGCCACAGTACTAGAGCTGGCCGTTCAGTCATGTCTGGACCTTGGTCTACCTCTGCATCTTTCCGAAGAAGACTTCGATGCGCCCATTCCATCAAACTTCAACGACCCTGACCTTGAGTCAACCTCTTCCGAAACACCATATCCTATGGATACGTTTACAGACTCGTATCTTCAAATATTCCTGGCCAAATCTTTGCGGCTAAGAGTGGGAATAATACGATTACTGAACGACATTCGACAAGAAAAGTCGCACGAGAATGCCCTAGCAATGGGAACGGAACTACGTACGGCGTGCAGAGATGTAGCTGCCTTCTTCAACTCATACAAGCAGGGTCAGGCTAAAGTCGAACATGGCTCGACTTTGGAAGCTACCGAGTTCCACCGTAAGCTGATCGATATTCAGTTGCGTCGTTTCATCATGTTTCTTCATCGAGACTTTATGCTACAGGCGAAAATAGATCCTCGGTTTTATCTTTCTCGTAAAGTATGTGTTGAGGCTGCTCTCGTCATTGCAACTGGAAGCAAGGGCGTCGACCTGGATGTGCCTCTTCAGCTGTGGGACGACATGTCTCGATTGTCTTTTGTCGGACGAGGTCTGTTCAAATGTGCGCTGAGCTTTGATGCTATGCTCATCCTGGCACTCGAGATCATAACCGACCTACAGGACGAGTCAACACCAGATCATGAGTCGGATATACTCAAAGAGATGGCGAGGGCCGCTCGTAACCCTCTGATGCAGACTCTGGAAGAGATAGGCAGACAACTTCGCTGTCTCATAGCTCGAGGAAACCTTAGTCTCAAGAGGCTTCTATTCTCGAATGCGCATTTAGCCCATATTCGAGCACTCGAAACGGGACGTCCAGTCAAAACAGCTGTGTACGAAGCTGTTATCTCGACTTTACGTGACTGCGTAGTAATGATGCGTGAAGTCCAAGCGGCTACCACGCCGCAAGAATCAGTTCTCACCTCAGACAGCTTCCATACTGACTTCCTCGGCCCGGACATGTTCTTCAATGTAAGTGACCTTGTCAATAGCAAATTCTTGGCGTTTCTAACAGTTCGGATCAGAATAATATCATGGAGTGGGATATATCCGACCTCCTTGGGTTTCCAACAGCCGGTAAAGAGAGCCATTGGCCAGCCATGAATTGATTATCGACTTGGAACACCACGAAACAATAATAATCGACTGCGGTTGTGACAGAAGGCTGCTCACGAAACATCCGTATCATTAATCACCATAATAAGCATCATAAGTTCCAGGGATATCATAAGTGCCTTGCTGTGCCTGCGTGCTCACCCATTCCTCGCTTGCCAAGCCTCTCATGAACCTCGTTTCCAACTCCTGTGGATCCTTGTGCCAGTCGCAAGCGAAGTCGCAGTCCGGCATGCTCGTTTCACCAAAGTACTTGCATATAGTAGCATGCCGACACTTGTCGGTATCTTCGCAATATTGAGCAAGAGCCTGTAAGCTTTTCAGTCTGGCAATTTGGTTCGTCTCTTCTTTCGAGTCCGATCTGATTAATCGTGTCACTCGCTCTAGATCTTCTCGACTGTAGTAGAGAAAGCAGTAGCTCGCGTTGCCGTCTCGACCTGCACGACCAGCTTCTTGATAGTAGCCCTCGAAGGATTTGGGAATGCGCCAGTGAACAACAAAACGCACATTGTTCTTGTCGATACCCATACCGAAAGCTGTCGTCGCAACAATGATATCGTAACCAACTTCATTATTTATCCACCGAGCAAGCGTTTCTTCTTTGACATCCTTAGGGAGTTTGGCATGGAAAGGCCTCGCTCCGATGCCCTCCCCACGAAGAGCGGCAGCAAGAGACTCGCATTCATCCCTTGATATCGTATAGATAATGCCTGGGACATTACTAACACGCTCATTCACTTGATCGAGTTCCGCTCTTCTTTCGTTGCCTTCACGACGAGCATAGACACTTCTGATCCACCGCAGAAAATCATTAAGGCGGTTGTCTTCTTCGTCTTTGGTGTAACGGATTTCCAGATGCAGATTTTTGCGCTGAGGGTTCATCAGGAACTCTTTTGTCTTCTCGGGAGTTTTGTCAAGTTTCAATATCGACAGTACATCCTGGCGAACTTGCGGGTTGGCAGTCGCCGTCAGACACATAATTGGCACATCTGGGAAGGTATCTCGGAACCATGACAGTCGTTTGAAATCTTTTCGAAAGTCGTGGCCCCATTCTGATATGCAATGAGCTTCGTCAATCGCAATGCGGGCGAGCTCCTTCTGCTTGTAAACTAGTTGCAGACGTTCACGGAAACGCGGAGAAGAGCACAACTCTGGTGTAACGTAGAGTAGTCGGGTTCTTGGGTGACCACTTTCAAGGTCACGTTCAATGCGAATCTTGTCTTGATAAGGAGTAATGCTGTTATAAGCATTTGCTTCAATACCAGAAGCTTTGAGCGCCTCAACTTGGTTGATCTGATAGAGTCAGGGCTTAGTCCATGGTAATAAAAGGGCCGGTCTGTCGTACCATCAAACTGAGCAGGGGGGAAACAACGATGGTAACTAATTCATGGTTAGATGAGAAGCACGTTCCAGGTGGTAGGTCACTTACTGCCCTGATCGATGACTGCTGGTAACTGAAAGCACAAACTCTTGCCAAATGATGTGGCTGCTTGGACGTATACATCAAAGCCATCTAGAGCAGCCTCGACGATTTCACGCTGGTGAGGTCTGTGAATGTCACTTGTTAGGTTATTGAAAAAAGCAATACTATATGATCGACGGCTCACCTGAAATCGTCTTTATGGAATTGTCGCCGGAGAGTAAATCCAATGTCTGTGCACGAGTTGCTTCTTTTTAGAGGAGGCATAATGCCTGTGTTATGGCTTATGAATGATTCACGACTGTTGTTGCAATAAAGCAAACATGTGATAAAAGTTGTAGTAAGAATTAAGCCGCCGCTAGTGAATCAATTTGTTAGGCATCTAACAAGGGTGAACCGCTTTCCCGGCACTTGTTGATAGTGATTGGCGTTGCTTTTTGCTATTATCGTTATAGCCTGTGTTTGTGTTGATGCAAGCTTCTTCTGACTTACAGAGTCGCAATCGGGAGTTTTACTGTTGTTTTGGTGAGGATCTGTTTCTACTTTTGGTAATGTAATTGTTAGACATTCGGAGGTGGTCCACCGGATCAGCACTGCCAGTAACCAACAGCAGGTATGGAGACTTGATCAGTGCGTAGTTTCTTGTTGTATTTTGCCAGGGTTCAAGGAAGATGAGCATGAACATGAGAAGTCATGATACAACACAAGTCTAGGTCACGTGGTTTATTCATGGTGTACCTGAGCGCAGTGATGGTTTGGATGGATATCAATTAGAGAAAAGATTCAACAGTATCCCTAGAATCAGGTACACTGATCATGCTCGGTGAAGGAATTGTGATGTAATAATGTAATCAGAACATCCTTTCCTATTTATTGGCTTTACTAGACTCAGAGTTAGCAAATGCGTACCTTGCATTACTCGCTGTTGGCTTGAACAGGGGTTCAGTCAGACTACGAGAAAGCTCAGCCAGACAAATTTCTAGGCCGCCCCCTCCTACAGAAAAACGACCTCCGATACGATATTGTACTGCACAACAATTACTGATTGTTGACGGAGTCTTTCATGTTTCATAGGCTCTCGTCTCGAACTGCAGTGTGCCGACTTTGGATCTTGACAATGGATCTGTCGCTTCGCTTCGTCTTGTATCAATTCGTGTCAAACTGAATCGTGTCGCGTGCTTAGTCTAGGAGGTATCGCATCGTATCGCATCGTATCGTATTGCATCGCTTGGCTGGCATGTAACTGACTTTTGTCTCGACAGACCAGACACGACAAGGAGTAAGTAAGCATGATCCCTCCCACCGGTGAGCATGGATTCTCTCCATCTCATTCTCGTCCGCATCCAATCCTGTCAGCTACAATCCAACGGCTAATACTCATACTGTGCATTGGTGGCTGGACTCCAACCACTCACAGCCTGAAAAGGCATGTAGAAACGTGCCTGTCAGTGACGAAAAAAAGGTTTCTGGGGTGAGGTCCCAGCTGAAGCACATCGCCAGCCCCGCACTGTGTTTCACTTTGCGGCGGAGCAGGAACAGGAGCTGGTGCAGGAGCTGGAAGACCCAACCGTCCGTCCGTTGGCGCTGAGGCCCGCCCCACTCTCCCACTGAAGTTCTTAGTTCAGTGCCTGTGCTAGCCTCTCCAGCGCCAATCCCAGGACCGACCAAAACACTTTCCACCATGGCTACCCAAGTTTACCCCTATCTGATGCGCTATCCCCTATCCAAGCTTGAGACAAGGGGACTACTGTCAGGGGTGATTTTTGAGAATGGAACCTGGCAAAAGAAATCCAGACCGGGACCAGAACAGACCAGAGCAGAGAAACAGTCCAGAAACTTATTAATCGTAGAGAGCATTGTGTCTTTATTTTGTGCCTGACTATCTCCCCTCCTGCCAAGAATACTTGGTTGATTCTACCTGAGACCCATTGGCTACGACATGCATTATTAAGTGGTGTGCAGCTCTAACCTCGAGCTCTCTCCCATACGATAGATAACTCTCTTACACCTCAGTCTTTGTTTGACCCAACTTTGACTCTTGTTTTGACTTTTCGATATCCAGAACCACAGCCAAGGTCCAGGGGAAAATTAACGGGGGTCATCCCAGTTATTTCCACCACCCTTACCTTTTTATCCTACCATTAGGAACTTGGCTTCCAGTACTGAACCTTACCAAACACGGCATCTCAATCCGACCTCATTGCCTCCCGATTCTGCATCACCTCATCACGGCCCTTCCCGCAGCATTCCTCTTTCAACACTTTCCTACAAATCCTGTTGTTGGTTTGTTTTGGTTCAACTGATCTTGTTCGATTGCCGCCGCTGTCGTACTCAGCTTCTAGCCCGACGACGAAATACGCTCGACCTACCCACGCACTTCCCATCTCGATACAACCAGGCCCGAACCTGAACGTCGCGCTGCCTTTTGGCTTGAATTGAATATACAATCATGACCATATCGAACTCGTCGCCTACACAGCCTTGATTGGCCTAAACATTAGAAATATCGACCCAAGGCTTGGCTCCCGCTGAGACAAACGGTTCCCCGTTTGCGCCTGCGCTTTGATCAAAAGATATCCGCAGACACAGCAACAGAGGGGCTTCTGAAACGTCTTATCCTTCAACCATTGCCATATCGTCATTGAAATTCCAGCGACTTGCCCCCTCGATCGGTTACTCCACCGGCGCGCCATCCCCACGTTTCCTACTTGAGCTGCGCATTCCTCATACTTGAACTTCGCTATGGAGCGACCAGACCGACTCGCCGGTTCGTCCGTCGGTTCTGCTTCACAAGCTTCAATTCCACGAAGCTTGCCCGAAAACCACACTTCTGGACGACGTCCAGTCCCAAACTCAGCTGCCACATCAAACGGCCCTCCGCCGCCTCCTCCTATCCCTAACCTGCGCAGTGTTCCATCCAGTTCATCGCTTTCGACCGCTAGCATGTCGGCAGCCCAAGTTATCAGTCTCGCGCGCGAGGCTATGCAAAATGCAATCGAAAGCGAGAGTCAAGCCGCTGAGGCTGGTGCAGTCGGCACAGGCCTACGAACTGGAGTTACTATCGACTTGAGTCGTAAGGGGATCCAAAAGTTACCAGATGAGGTCGTCGACATCGTTAAGGGCGAACTAGAACGATCCGCTTCCAAGGGCTCGACTGCTCGATCTGACGCCGATACTTATACAGTCTCCAGACTAGCATTGTCTCATAACCAGCTGACAAGCTTGCCTGCTCGCTTTTCCGAATGTACATCATTACGGTATCTCAACATCCGAGGCAACCAGATCAAGGAATTTCCCATGCCTGTATGTCTCCCTTTCCCCCTGATTCTGAAGCAACCTCTAACCCAATGACTAGCTGTGTGACTTGGCATCTTTAGAAATCCTTGACCTTGGCCGAAACCAACTTCGAATTCTCCCAGCAGATATTGTCAGACTCTCCTCCTTGAAAGTGTTGTCTATACCAAAGAATCAAATCCGGGAACTGCCGCTTTGTATTGCAGATATGGGCTCGCTGCAAGTAATCAAGTTTGAAGGAAACCCTATCAGCTTCCCGCCGCGAGATGCAATCCAAGTCCAAGCGGCGAGCCCTCCGCACGAGGGTGTTCAAAAAGATAACGAAGTGACGGAGGTGGCGGTCACTTTACAGATCAAACGATACCTAAAGCAACATACTATCAACGGTCGATCCGAATCTGACAACACTGGAGATGAATCAAGCGAGGGCGCGGAAACCCCACGATTTCCTTTGAAGAGAGTGGCTAGTGGACGATTTCCTGTCAAAGTGCAAGGAGCCGATTTACCTGACATCCGTTCTCCCAACATTGGATCGCGAGCACCTCCGATACCGTCAAGATCACACTATCGCGGTCTCTCGCAGCAGAACACCGCTTTTCGACGACCTGGTGTTATGCCCCTGACAATTGGTAATGTCAACGAACGTGTCCGCAGCAACTCTGAAAGCCTACTTCGGGCTGAAAGATCAGATGGCCGCAGCAGGCGAATGGGAATAGTCTCACGAAAACCGTCCGATCTAGGTACACTGGATGAGATGCAGGTTAATAACCGTTTCAGCCATTACCGCGGCTTGAGCCACGGGTCTGCCATGCAAGGGAATCAAGCAACGACTAAGAGTCCAGCAACACCGACCGAGCCCTACCTCGCACGACCTATATACGTGAGACGTCTCTCAATCCTCCCTGAAAGGCGCAGAGAGTCAAAGATATACGACCCAGTGATTGAAGCTGCGAAGGGAATCCTTTACTCGGTCTTCCAGATTCATCCCATGATCCAGGTGCTAATGGGCTTGACAAGCGACGACTCGGCCAAGCGATCCAGCCTCGAAATAGTGTTCTACAACACCAACTCGCATGTTGAAGAATTGGAGCAGGAGCTCCAAAAACACGAAAACGCATTGGCCGAGATTGACGATCATTCTCAACGAGAGAATGAGAACGTGCAACGGGCGTGTCAGACTCTGGTCAGCGCCTATGGTCACGTCTGCACACTTTTGGCCGATAACATTGATACATTTGTGGATTTCGGAGACGCCCGATATATTCGGAGCCTCCTTTTGACCCTCTATAATAGTATCATGGAACTTCGTGTTACCTTGTCATGCGTCAATACCGAGGACGTCCGTCGTCAAGCTATCCCCAGGGGAGGCCAAACTGGCGAGCGCACTATTAGAGCACATGCACGAGAACCATCCGTAACTCCAACTGTTGGCAGGCCGACTGGAGCTCGCAACCGCAATGGTACCTTGGTCAACCATCCGATCAACCTACGTGTTGCCACCGATGTTCCGGTGCCTACGCCCCTTTCTGCAGCATATCTCAATGGCACCGGGCGCACTGCTACCCTTGCTTCGGCCACACCTCGATCAGGAGAATCTTTCTCCTCCATTGGCAGTCGCGGCATGTCATCGGAATTTACAGAAGAGGATCGACAGTTCGAACGGATTTTCTTGGCTTTACAAAAGTCTACCGATCTCGTTATGGGAACGCTGCCTAGCTTCAACGCCCAACTGGCAGGTGGCTTGAGAAATGCCATGTATCAACGAACTCCTGAAAGTGTTATTCAACACTGGAAAGGATTGATTGCTATGTGTAGTCATGTCATCCAGCAGACAGAAATTCTCAAAAACAGACTGTCCATGATCAAGCTAAAGGAGCCAGGTGTTCGAACGCAGGCAAGTTTCTGGAGTCTCTGCAGTAACTTCAGTCACTCGTGGGCGGATATGATCTCTCAGATCAAGTACGGACCCAACAGTGTGCCGCTGCCCCCTGATACTCGGGCACGCTTACGGCCCATCCAACAGAGTATCAAGGAGACAAGCAGTATAATCTACAAATCACCATGGCACTATCTGTTCCATCCTTCCGGTGCGAACGGTCAGGCCTACCCTCCTCGCGGCATGTCACCTACGCAAGTTCCCATCACGCCACAGAGTGCTGCTCTGGGCCCTGCAATGCAGGCAACAGTTCCCACTACGCCTCAAAGCAGTTCATTCGCAGCAGCGTTCCACGGGAATGTCTTTGATCGAGCCGATGCCCTTATGGCGAACCCGGGTATCTCTATGGGCCGCAATGGTGGTTTTGGCAAAGGCCATATGGGCTTCAGCTCGCTGTCTTCTTTATCTTCCATGTCTTCCGATGAAGGAATACTTCCCACCCACGGTCCACTTGGACCGGTGCCCCTTCGTCTTAATGGAGGCAAAGTTGCCTTTTAGTTGGAGCCGGGCCTCTACTATTTGGATCTCTAACATTATACGAGCTGCCTAGCGCAGTCACTATTATCCTTTGCATACAAGCAAGGACGGAAAATCTGGGTTATGTTCTTCACTTACCGAGGCTCTTCGAACCGGCGCACGAATATACAGATGTGCGTTGACAGCCATTCATTTACGCATAGCCTTGGCGTTGGGGTTGCAGCTATTTTGAAATGACCAAAAATCAGAACGGTTGGTGGTTATCTGCATTTAATTTTGCCGGAGCGAGAGGTCTCAAAGCTTGTGTACGGGTTAATGCTAAGAAATGTCTTTTTTTGGGTGGAATAAAAGTTTGGAGGAAATGCACCTATGATGGCTACTGCAAGGCCTCTTCGATTATAGATATACGGGACCAAGGGTTTTCTACGAGATGGAAGTCTGAAGCATGGCAAAAGGCAGAGAAATCATTGTACATTAGCATATAACGAATCTAATGCTACCAAAGTCAAACTAATAAAGGATACCTATGATTTACAAATGGGAATAAGGAACTGGTGCGTATTGAGTTGCTGATGTATGTAATACACACCAACAAGATTCAGATCCCATGATCTTGTACATCAGCCGCATGATAGACGAGGTGTAACTCTACCCCACTAGCATGCAGTGTAAGGTATCAGCAACATGCAACGGCCAAGCTACATCTCTTCTTATCTTTAAACCAATTACTTCAAGCTGGACATAAACCAGTAACTTCATATTGTATTCATCATGTCAGCAGCAGCGGCTTCTTCACAACAGCCCGCCTCTTCAACCGCTGCTGCAGGCTCCTCGTCATCCTCATCCTCTTCGCTATCCCCTCGTCCGCCGACATCTCCTCCTCCCACAATCGCATCTCCATCCGTCGCCCACGCTCACGCCCATGCGCAGATTCCTTCAGCAGCGCAGCAATCGTCGCCTCCCCCTCCACCTCTTCAGCCCACGCTCCCCTCAGCCGAAACGCAACGTCATGTCGCCGAAGCTCGCCGCGCCGTCGTCGCAACACTAGAGAACATGATGGACTCCGAGCTGCAGTGGCGCGCATCAACGCTGCACTCCAACGCTTCGGCGCTGAACAAGCAGGCTCAAGATGTGCAGCGTGCGACCGATGGGTTGCGCCGTGAGAATGTCAAGCTTGCGCGCGAGGCCGATGCTGCGGCGCGCAGGCTCAAAGAGCTTGGCAATGTGCAGAACTGGGCTGAGGTGCTGGAACGTGATTTTCTTGTCCTCGAGGAGACTGTCAGGCTGGCGAACGACGATCGGAGCTGTAGCTGCAGTGATTGCGGGAGCTATAGTGGAAGTGGAAGCGAGAGCGAGAGCGGAGGCGAGGATGTTCGTGAGCAAGCTATGGATCTAGGTAAGGATGGCGATGAGAGGGGAAAGGGAATCGAAGGGAGCAAGACACTAGATGTCGACATGGAGATCGATACTGGTAATCATGCGCCGGGTACGTTCTCGGATGCTAGTAGGAGCTTGACGGAAGGAGAGTCAAGTGTAGGAAGAGGCGCCAAGGGATCAGATACGGCGTCCATGTCTACGATGTCACGGTGAGAAGCTCATGGCAATGAATCAACGTTCACGACAATGTTAGGTATATTATGGGAACCACGATCTGGCGTTTGGGATTCTGATTATATTACAAAGCACTCTTTACTCGACATATCATAGCATTAGGTTCAATTATATGCACTGTATCTACGCCCATGCTTAACACCATTTTACTGCTCCGTCAACCTTGACTTCTAAATGCTTCATCTCCCACATATGCCCTTATCTATATATCGAACTGTTTACAGGAGACCGGGGAAGATAACATATCGCTTCTTCTTGTAACGGTCACCGAACTCCTTACGGTAGGCACGCTCCTTGCCCTTGGCCCAGGCAATCATTTGTGCGGCACCAATGGAGATAAAGACAGCGACGGTCCAGTCACGGCTGACAATGATGATTCCAATCCATGCGAGAACCTCGTACAGGTAGTTGGGGCAGGTGACGATACCGAATCCGTAGCCAGCGGGGATCTTGCGCTCAGTGCCACCAGTGGATCGGAGAGTCGAGAGATATCGGTGAACGAGAGCGTTCATGAACTCGCCGAAGCAGTACAGGGCAACTCCGACGGCGTCGATGGCGGGCATATCGGCCTTGGCGGCGAGCGAGCTAGGGTGGTAGATGGAGTAGGCGCAGGCGAGACCAGAGACGGCCCAGTAGAAGAAGCTGTTCTTGAAGATGTTCTTCCAGGGCATGGTGTTGGCGGAGAACTTGTGGACGAAGAGAGTCTCGTACTCGCGCTTGACGAAGTGCAGCATGATCATGGCGAAACTGATCCATTGAGTCTGGGACATGTCGGCGTCTCCATTGGCGTACAGATAGGGGCGGGCCGCGACGAAGAGGGCATGGAAAATGAGGGGACCAAAGTACTCGACGACGAAGACGGTTCTCCAAGCAATCTGGTATCCTGTTATATGGGTTAGTGTATGTTCAGTTGTTGTTGTGCAGGTTTGGTTTCGACATACCCATATCCTTGACGAGAACCTGGCCAGTTGCAACTACAGTGGGCTCATCGACAAGGCGAGCCTTGCGGTTCTTGAGAGTCTTCTTGGTAGTGGGATCATAGATACCAATACGGTTGTGGTCTCCGAGCCTGGTCTCCTTTGCGATCTGGACCTTGAGGTCCTCGACGGTGGTGTCGGCATTAACTTCAATCGACTCTGGGAGGTTCTTGATGGGCTGCCTCGGAGCTATAAAGTGTTAATTAAGGTTGAACGTTGTATGGAGCATTGAAAGGGGTTTGAATCATACAGCGATTGGTGATGGTGAGAGTCTTTAGAGAAGCCATCTTGATCTTGTTGTTCTCAATGGAAACTGAACAAGTTTGGCAGGAAAAGGAGGCAAAAGTCAGATAACTGTTGATCGTGCAATGGTCAGGCGTTGAGGACAACCAGAAATAATTGCTGGCCAGACGGGACGGGAGAGATTAGATTAGGTACGTACCTTTCCCCTACGGTCGATCTAATACGGACCTCGGTTTAGGCCTTTTTTGGTGGGGTTGTTCAATGTTCCCCTGCGGCCCTGGATTAGACAACCTAAAATCCTTCTCTACTTTGTTGGGAAGAGAGTGATTGGTTTGGTCACTTACACCAAAATATAGGTGTGTCTGTGCCTGTGCCTGTCAGCTTGTGACTCTCTCACTTAATGGAAAGGAGTTTAAGTGAAGCTTACATGATGGATTCGGGCATGTTTTTCTTGACTTTGAGGAATCAGCTTATGTGACGAGTGATGATCGTCAAGCCCCCACGCTTGTTCATGGTTGAGAACATGTACAGTCACCAGAACAATGATAGTAAAGAGAGTGTCTTTCTATTCAAGCGACATGGTAGGTAGCCAGTAGTTTTAAGGCAGCGAATAAATCCTCGAATGGACAGCATTGTTAGGAGTTCAGTCTAGACTCCCTCTGTTCTACGTTGTATGCTTGAATAGACAGAACAGGTTCATGCTCATGACTTCCAGCTCACATACCAACTCTTCAATAAAGGTAGATAATGGCTAAAAAGGATAATTTCATTATACTTAGTGATCGCATTCGAGGCGATCTTATCATTCCGGTTTCATTTCTGACTTAGTTAGCCATGGCATCTCTTGTCAGTGCCAGCAACGAACCCGAAACCATCCAACTGCCTACTATATCAATTACTGAATCACCGACCATACATTGATTGATAGATTTAAACTCTGATTGGTTCTTCCAAATTTAATCTAAAAACACCACTTCTACTGCCTTCGAACAATAGCCAGAATTGTTCAGGAAGCATCATCGACTTCATCTACCTCAACCATTCCGACTCTTTGCACTCATAACCTCACTTTTGCAGCCTGGGAAGACTAATTCTCTCTTCCTTTTCATTCTTTCGACATCTTTTGACATCCGAGACCTTCCATTCCAGTCTCATATCTGCCAGACCCGGCGGTTTGTTTGCCAATTAGTATTGCACTGGCAGCTGACGATCAGCTGCCTAACATTCACGTCCAACACCATACGCGTGTCTTTCGCGCTTTGCTTTCGATTTACCTCGCGCTTCACTTTCATATACCTGATTTGGTATACGTATTTTGCATCAAAGACTTCTTCTCATACCTATACCTACCCATTGGCTCAAGGATACCAAATCTTGTCCAGCCTACCCAGCCAACCCCTGATCAACTTGAACATTTTTTCGATCAAAAGTCCAATCTGATCACCGGGTAAGCACATATCTCAAAGCACAGATAAGATCGGCGAGACTCGACTGACTTGGAGTATCTTCTCAGGTTCAGCCGCACCATCGCAAATCAAATGGTGCCTAGGGACTTCAAAAGCACAATACCTTTCTTTGCCTTTTAACGACATCTGTCTTGCGATATCACTTATGCATCATCATCATCATCAGACAAAATGAATCCGTGCGCACCCACGTTTGTACCAACCTTGGAGGAAGGCTTCTCCTCTGGAGAAGATAGTTCTTTGCCTCCATCAAGAGATCCAAAGCTCCCTGGCCGAGAGGACTCTCTTAAACCACATCGTAGCAAAGAACTTCCTTCCATCACTGTCGACTCAGACCAATATGATACCATGTTTCCCGCCCTTGAGGGAGTGCATGTTGATGGGCGAAAGATTCGCAGTCCGATACAAGTAAAGAGACGAGACAAGAAATCCGAGGAACCTAAGCTGACTGGAAGCCAGATTCGACGGTCGACCCCGGGCGGCGAAGACAAGACAGTCATAGAGTACGAAAAGCCCGAGGACCAGGAGGCTGAAGATGACAATGAGAGTGAGAACGGTGATACCTCTTCTGATGAGGTAGAATACCTCAAGCCAACTGTCTATACTCCGAGGAAGTCACTGGAGTACCTCCAACCAACCGTCTACACCCCTCCGACTTCCTCTCAGGAGAGCCGTAGACGCTCTGGTATAGGCAGAAGAACTGCGCGATCAGCCGCCAGAAACAGGAGTAAATCTCCTAGGGTTGCGTGGAGGCCCCCTACCCCTCACCCAGAAGGCAAACCACGAGCGTCAAAGTCTCGTCGCTCTCCGACCCCTACCACCCATGTGAACGGACCGGCACGATATCCATCTTCCGCGCCTTACCCGCCTCCTCCCTACAATCACTATTACCCAGGACATCACACACAGGTACCGCAACAACATGTCGAATACGGACCAATCATTGTGCAGCCCATGTCACAACTTATGGTGCCTCCTGTGTTGTCGTACGCATCTTGGTCTATACCCTCGCTTCCTTGGTCAGTACCTGGGGCTCAGCCCACGGAAATCGGGTATCCTCCTGGTTTTGAATACCATAACGAGCGTCCATATGGCGCCATGCTCACCGGCCATATCAGTGCGGTGTACGGACCGCCTCCTCCACAGGCTTATCCCCATCCTCAGCCACAAGTCCACCAACAACTGCAACAGAGCCAGGCGGAAACAGAACGCGATACCCACATACAGACTTTGTCTCCTCCGTCTACCGAAACGGATGATACAACACATTCTTCGCATAGTAAACCAGGCAAAAGCCGACATAGGCAAAAGAAAAGCATTTCGAGCTCTGGCTTGGCTAACGATGGTACCGCCATCATAACTCCCCTGAAGACTCAGGTTGAGAAGATCAAGCGTGAGAGCGGAGTTACAACGGCCATTTCGAATCACGACAAGCATCCTGATATTTAGATGATGTCGGTGCCTGCGGGTAAAGACCGTCGACTTCTCGGTGTTGGTTGCAATGACGATACTAAGCGAGAGCAAATCGGCGAGGAACTCCGAGAAGTTGCTGAACACACCAAAGCCACCGGTTTCATTCCGACGCGACAGGTCAAATCTGCGCAGGACTCTCCCAGTGCCCTGCGAGCGGCGAAGATCAACATCAAACGTGAGAGTCAACCTCAAACTCAGGAAAAGACTCAAGAGACGGATCAGAAACCGAGTAAAGCGCCTCAAAATGCTCCAACCGGTCCATCTTCTTTGCGTTCGCTACCTCAGTCTTTCAGTGCAACCGTGAAAAAGGCTTTGAATTTGAATAAGTCCGATTCAGGTGCTTGGTCTCAATCCAAGAGCTGGACCAGCTTCGCTACAAAGGAGCGTCAGGCCTTTCAAAAAATGATGGCTAACTTGCGCTACATGAGTGCAGATCAGTCGCCCTTCGTTCCTCAAAGTCCAGCAGAGCTAACAGCGTTCAAGGCTGCTTTGGCGGAATCGAAGACGAAGAAACTCGGTCAAGAGGTGCGGCAGCGTCTTGCAGAAACTAACGCGAAAACTGCCAAGGGTTCTAACAAGAACGAGCCCATGATGGAAGTTCTGGGCGGTAAGGATTTCGAAGACCATCTTTCACCTGTTTTTGCGGTCGCCAACTGCTTCAACAAAGCCCAGGTGAGGCCCCCTTATAGAGCCGACTGGCCATCTCTTGCAGAGCTCAAGGAAGAGGGAGACAAACGGGCCAATCGGCAAGGTCGATGTCTGCCTCTTCCGCGAATGGATTTTGTTGCTTCCAAGTTCTTCGATGCAATCGATGAAGCTTATAACTCGGACGGGTCAATTCGTTGGGACAGGAAGGCTGTCCAGGTTGGGCTACGTTATATCTGCCCCATTGCAGGAGACGAGCATTCTATGACTCCTCCGATTGAACTTCAAACGGACGAAGCTCCGTCCTTTCTTGCATGTTTGCTTCATTATATCGACGCCGTCGAGGATGAGACAAAAGAGGTGGAGGAAGAGAAGAAATCCGGGAAGGAGAATGAGGTTGAGAAGAAGGAAACTGCAAAGTAGGCATCGGGCAGCAATGCTGCAGAGGACAATCATGGAAGAAAGTATTGTTTCTTTCATTCTTAGAGATTGGCTCTGTCGACGCTAACCATTTATTCGGTGGCGCTTCGAACAGAGGTTGAGATTCCAAGAGGTCCAGTTCTAGGAAGATCCGACTGATTGTTGCTATCACATTTGGAACACTTCGAAAGTTGGAGGTTGATATTAGAATCAGAGGCCAGTGTCATTAATATGAATTGAATTAAACAGCAGACTCTTTCTCATCAACAATGAAATAATAATATGTCCGTAGACGGTTTGGTTCCTTCGACTTTGGAGAAACTGTCCGTTGACTTAGGTGGTAAGAACTCGGTGTTATGCTATTGGCCATCTGGATGGAGGTGGAGTCATGCTTTTCGGACCCACACCTAGGGCTTTCAACGCACCCGGAATGGAATATCTCCGTTCCGTTTTACCGAACGAGCACATACTCACAAGAATTTGGCAATCTACACTTTTGACCCTCGTTCCGCCAAAAAAAGTTCACTCCTACGACCATCGCCAATTCGATTGCCTGTTGAGCGCCAACATCAACAGGTAAGTTGCCAGACGACGAGAACGAAGAGACGATTTCAATACGCTGCACTGCTCGACGATTATCATCATCTCGAATATCCTGCTGATTGAGTTGCTCTGCCCTTCTCTCCCTCTCTCCCATATCCCCCACCGGAGAAACAGTCTGGCTAACCATCTGGGATTTTCTTCTTACAGAAACCGCAATCATGGGTATCTCGCGTGACTCTCGACACAAGCGCTCCGCCTCCGGTGCCAAGCGTGCCTACTACAGTGCGTAATAATTCCGAAAGCCCGTATGATCCTTTGGACATACGTTCTGACCTTTGACAACAGGGAAGAAGCGCGCTTTCGAGGCTGGTCGCCAGGGTGCCAACACCCGTATTGGCCCCAAGCGAATCCACACCGTCCGAACCCGAGGTGGTAACCACAAGTACCGTGCCCTCCGTCTCGACTCTGGTAACTTCGCCTGGGGTTCCGAGGGTCTGACCCGCAAGTGCCGTGTCATTGCCGTCGCCTACCACCCTTCCAACAACGAGTTGGTCCGAACCAACACCCTCACCAAGAGCGCCGTCGTCCAGGTTGATGCCGCTCCCTTCCGACAGTGGTACGAGGCCCACTACGGTCAGGCTATTGGCCGAAGACGCCAGAAGGCCCAGGCTGCCAAGGAGGGTAAGACCGAGGAGGAGGTCAAGAAGTCCAACGCCGTCGAGAAGAAGCAGGCTGCCCGCATGTCTGCCCGCGGCAAGGTCGAGAGCGCCATCGAGAAGCAGTTCGAGGCCGGTCGATTGTACGCTGTTGTTTCCAGCCGTCCCGGTCAGTCCGGCCGTGTCGATGGTTACATTCTGGAGGGTGAGGAGCTCGCTTTCTACCAGCGCAAGCTCCACAAGTAAGCTAGCTGGTCATTAAAAGCTGATTAAGAAAGGAGTGTCGGCCCCTGGTATGGTGTTCAAGGATTTCTCACTGTCTTACGGTTAACGACAGAATGAGGTTAACATAACGCATCGGGATGGGTCCTTAAGGAATAAAAAATTTTCTTGCGCTGAATTTAATGTCATGATCAAGGTCTCTTCAACTGCAAATTGTGAATATGATTTTTCTTTTTCTTTAAGTCTATTAAAATGAACTTCGTACGAAATCTCTAACCAATGTATCATTCATCCTATTCGCCGTCTTGACCCAACTTCGGTTTAAGGACAACCGAAAATCCTGCAAAACTTGCCGCTCATGCCTGCACAAAGCCATTGTGTCAGGCGGGTTGTTAGATCATGAATATTTGTTACTGGAACACGCCTAAGTCTTTTGTCCTAGTGTACCATCATTAAGATATGCCCGATTCTTCATGTCCAGAACCAATACATAGACATAACCAGCTTGTCGTAAGCTATAGGGAACCGGCTAAACAAGAATACTTTATACATGAAGGATGGTCTGGGGCCCAATAGCTAAACAAGGTCGCACGCAATAAGAATTGCTTATGCGAATTGACGTTTCAAGTCGGTCCACTTGCGATTAAGGGTCTCATGCTGAGAGTTGATCTGTTAATAGTATGTTAGTAACTCGTCATTTGCATTGAAACAATAGGGGTAACTCACCTCTGCATAACGCAGCTTGGTCTGGACCAACTCCTCTTCAAGTTCGCCCAGTTCCTTCTCCAGCCTCTGGTTCTCCTCATGGACATGCATATTCCGTTTCATCAAATCATCGCGCTCGAGCTTCCATGTCTCCTCGATCTCCATTGGTTGCTTCTCGATAACGATCTTCAACTCGCGTACCTGGCCTCGCATGCTGTCGTTCTCGTCCTTGAGCTCCTGGTTTTCGACCTTGGTGTGCACAAGCTCCGTTGCCAGATCTGCCTGTTCACGATCGCAGACCTCGACTCTCTCCTCCATTTTTCGGATTCTGATAGCGAAGTTGTGGTTGGCTGTGCGGAGCTCCATCAGTTCATTTTCGCGATCCTTCTCGGCCTTTGTCTTTTCTTCCCATTCGGTGCTATAAGCTTTGAGCACCTCCGGGGTGATTTGAACTTCGCAAGCATCTTTAACGAGTTGGTCCGCACGGTAGACCTCTTTATCGATACTAGCACTTGAGCTTCCAAAGAAGCCATTTTCGAGAAGGCTGCCCTGGCTAGGGTCCTTGTCGATGTATACATCAAAGAGCTTATCCTTCAAGTAAGTGGTGAGCTGCTGCATGTCGGACAGTCCTAGTAAAATACTAGCGTTTTTCTGCATCAGAACAATACCAAAGCGCAAGATTGCCGAGAGACCCTCGGAGAAGATCAAGTCGTAGATACGAAGAACCAGTTGAAGGGGGAAACGATACGCGAAGAGGGTCAAGAACCATTGGGTGGCGTAGAGGTGAGGCGAGATTCCCTTTCGATGGAGATGGCAGTAAAGCGCTGGCTCAAAGTCTTCCAACAGACGTTCGAACTGATAGAGGTGCATGTGTAGTCCAGGCATATCTTGGATAAAAAGATCTCGCAGCTTGTAGTGGTTCATCAACCGCACAAGGAGGCAGAACGCTTCTTGCTCAGGCATCTAGAGAAGCATGTCAATACTTGGTGGATGATTCAAGGTAGATGCATAATACTTACGTTGAACAGCAGAGGCATGATGAGGAAGTTCATGCCTTGGGCATATCCAACACCTTCGTCAAACAGAGCATATGCTTTGCAAACGCCAAACAGGCCCTCCTGAAGCCCGGCAGCAGCCGCATACTTAGAATAGCTGGTGCGGGCACCAAGATCACGACGGATTGTCTTTTCGAGCTTCTGTAGTGAAGCAGCATCCTCCTTGTCCTTTCGCTTTCTCTCAGCCGCAGCCGCAGCTTGGGCTTTTAGGACAGCCTCTGCATTCTTCTCATTCGGAGGAGAGGGCGTGCCATTGGCGCCGGAATGGTCCGAGTTTATGGAAGATGCAGAAGATGCAACGGCATCTCCGCTGTGAACACTGAGGTTTCCGTTGCTTAACGAGCTAGCTGTTGTGCTGTTGCTGTTGCGGTCCTTGCTCTTGTCTGTACCACGAGTCGCCAAATCTTTGTATACTATTTCGAGATCGTCGTTCTTACTATCGGCCAACACTTGCCAGACAACACCACGAATGGCGCTAGGGATGCCAGTTGCAATGGCTTTGTTCAGCTCTTCAGCGCTTGTGCGAGCCACAGCAGCCGGTCCTTCATAAACAACAGACTGCCACAAATCCCAATCGACTTTCTCCTCTGAAATAGCCGACGGGCCGGCGTTGACTCCAGATACTGTGCCTGGCGCTAGGCCAGCAATAGGCTGTGGGACAGGAGATGATGGTGGTTTCTCTTGTGCTTGCACTTCATCGTTTGGCAAGGTGAGTCCAAGCGCTCCATCGTATTTGCCGTTATCGCCTTCTGCCATCGCACGGGCAGCTTCTTGTTGTTGTCGTAGCTGTTTGAATCTGTCTTGCAAGGTGACCTTTTGGGCAGGATCACTAGGTAGCGAATCCCCGTCTTTCTCTTCCTCAAGACGGCTCAGCATCATTTCGGGATTACTTGCAAGAGTAGCGATAGAACCGCCCGTATTCCTTCGGCCCGTAGGAGGCGGTGGTAGAGGAGGCTCTCTTTCTTTACTTGAGCTCCGTGAGAGCCAAGAGAAAGGGCTTGTTAGCTTTCGACTAGGCGGTGGCGGAGGCTGAGGTGCCGGTGGGGAAGGTGCAAGTGTAGCTGCAGTTGGTGGCACTGGACTTTTTGTAGGCTCGGCAGCAGGCGACCACGGCATAGAAGGGAGAGAGATGCTATTTAGAGACAATGTTTTGCTGCTTGGCTTCGGTGGAAGGTCTTTTGGCACTATCAAGAGGTGAGTACAGGATATATGATGGGAAGTGACAGAGAAATTGGTTTACCTGGAGATGGAGGCGTATCGTCATCAAGGCTGACATTATCCAAATTCAACGTGTTTGAAATACGTGATGAGGCCACCGATAGTTTCCGTTGTGCTTGGTTTTCGTGGACACTTCCTGCGATACTGCCAGACTCAGAGGCAGTTGTCTTGTGCTGGGGAAGTTGTGGCTCTTGGATATCTTGTTGACGATCCGACTCCTCAGACCGCCGATCAACTTGCTCCTCCGCTGAGATACTAGAAGGTTTGGCATGCGAGATGGTTCGTTTCGTGAGTGAACGTGCAGGAGATTGCGCTACAGCATCTTCAAACTTGTCGTCGGTATCGGATGCCTAAGGTGATCGGTTAGTAACCGAGCAAGATAAGGGATACAATCTGTCGTGTGACCGACACAACAGTGTTCGAGAGAGGAATGTGGAAAAGACTTACCGACACACTGTCGTCAGACTCCGTGCCAGCCGAGAGTCTTTTGATATTGGTATCAATTTGTGATGGCTTTTCCACTGGCTCGTCTTCAATTCTCTGCGACTGCTTTTGTTCTTGCTTTTCTTCGGTCTCGTCTTCGGTCTCATCTTCGGAACTGTCATCAAGCTTCGCCTCGAGCTTCGTCTCAAGCTTCTCCTCTATTCTCTCGTCGGGCTCTTGGTGAGCCTCTTGCTTGTCTGGCTTGTCCTCCGTCTGAGGAGCTATTTCTGGCTTGTCTGGTGTCTCTGGCACATCTTTCTTCTCTTGTATCTCTGGTGCATCTTGATTCTCTTGCGGTTCCTGTGTTTCCTTCTTCTCCTGTTTCTCCAACTCAGGTTCGGGACCGGTGTGAGATTCGATTACAGGAGAAGCGATCTCCTGCGGTTGCGACATTATCGTGGGTGTTGGTATTGTGTGAATTCAGAGTTGGGTTTTGCAGTCGTTGTGTCGGGGACAGGAAAGGTTATCTGGCCCCTCAGCTACCGTCCATGTACGGATACAAAAGTCCAATGTAGGGAGCAGCTGAAACGGGGAAATTGGAAGTTGAGAGATTGCGTACTGCGTCCGGCGGCAGAGTGAATAGAAGAATGCCAGAAGCCAGCTGTTGGCAGAAATCGAATACAAGGGGGATGTTGTGGCGTTGATGTTCTGAATCTGCCCCTTACCACGTAGACTGTGGAAGTGGAACTCGAATTAGAACTGGAAGCTCGCAAGGGTTTTGTTGTGACAGTGAGGCGCTGATGGGGCTACCAAAAATAAACGAAATGGGGACACCAGCAGCGAGGTTGGCGTTGATTGGTATTGGCGCTGACGAGCAGCAGTTCTTCAGGGCAGTTTAGGGACCTAGAGAGAAGAAGTGGAGTAGGGTGGTCGGGGGCCCTGAATGCCGAGCGTTAACGCATCTAACGGATCTTAAGAATGGAGTCTATTTTAGGGGCGCATTCAAGCGTGTAATTTGGTCTGAAAGAACGTCAGACAGGGTCACCTGGAATGGAGATTATCCCTCTACTCACTACTGCCTACACAGCCGTTTTAGTTTTGCTGTGCTATGACTTATTTTGTCTGGAATTCAAATTCAACCCATTTCGGTTGGAGGCTTGCCAGACTCGTGAGGTAATGTAATTTGATTCTTTCCCAGCCAAACACCAGGGAGGCGGTGACAAGTATCATCGTGCAGTGTACTCAATGCTATGGACTCAACCTCCCAGACTTTTTGACCGCCAGTGGCACAATCCAATGCACTCTTATGGCTGTGTGGTTATGTAGTTCAGCCCCATGCAACTCGGTCAATTGCACAAGCTTCAATAGTACTTGCAGGTCGAAACTTTATCGTCTGAAGATGGCTCTCTTGGTGGCCACTTTTGAACTACCCCTCCTCTGCTTCGGTCCCTGGTATGGAACCTCGTTCATACGATGTATGTACTATGTACTGTCCTGGCGCCAAGGACTGTATTGCACGTTCCAGTACAATTTCCAAGCATCACTTACCTCTTTTAAACTTGTCCAAGATTTTCTTTGGTGCAGATCTTCTCGAGTGGTGATGTGTTTTTGGGTCAGCTTCCAACACACCACCATTGCATCTATACCTCGGTAGGCGTCAAGCTGTCAGAAAGATTGGTCGTGACGAGTATAAGAGATGGAATAATTTGGTCACTTTATTCAGGTTTAAGCCGGCACTTGGGCTGTTTGATTTTGACTCCTGATTGTTCGGGGACAATTATTCTGCTCTCTCGCACTTCGACGTTGCTACTAGGTAACTTATTCATTGTTGATCGAGAGAGCATAACCGGTACGGCGGGGTTCTATCAAGCACCTTTGTTTCACGAATGCTGCATGACGTGGATCATCAGTTAGCCAATAGGAACTTAAGGGTGCCTGTTTCATGGTCAAAATCCTAAACTAACAACCTTGGACCTATCCAAATCGAAAGCGTTCAACATGGTCTAGGTGATAGATAACATACATAGTAGTCGAACATAACAAAGCTACTGGGTAGTTGTCTGGGTTCTTTTATTCACTTTCACGTCCCGGAGATTTTACTCAAGAATTAAAGCTAGTAACTCTCCAAGGCAATGACATTGTCCTGTACCTGGACTCGGCTCAGCCAGATGTTGCCGGTTGGTAGGGGTGGTACTAGCTTGATCAGCTACAGTGCCGGTTCACACAAATGATCAATGGCTGTTTGTACTCGGCTTGATTCAATGGAAGGTGCTTGTCGAATGTTGCCCCGATGTGCTACTGTGGGTGATCTGACCCTACATTTTTGTTTCGATTGAACTTGAGCAGGAGACCAAATGTGACACTTATCCAGCCAGAATTCTGCATTCAGCCCCAGTCAGATTGAAATACCTGAACGATTTGGCCAACGTGACTCGAATCTGTTTGGCTGTAGGAATCATGAACAAATAGAACAATGTCCGGGCGTGAATCACCTACCCTGTAGTTTTGTTCTTGACATACTTTCCCATCGATGATAAATATTAGATACAAACAAATGTTATCATTGTTCTCTCTACATGTTACATGTCCAAGATGTCGCTTTGTGCCGCTGTATCAATGTCAAAATCCTGGCTCGTTTTGAATTCATAAAAATAGGGATCTTCGAAGCATAAGAAACAAAATCATTTCAACGCTCCGTGCGGGGCTGTTGCCTGATGATTCTCAGCTAGGTAGCTTCCCAGGCTGTTAATACTTTCCTCCTTTCTTTGATAAAGCTAATCGGTGATTGATATCAAGATGCCAGGCAGGCGCCTAATACGAGGGCGACAAGTACTTCATCCAGGGACAAGATATATCCCAGGATGGATCCATGAATGTCCTCACTGAGTTCCACTACATAAAGCTTAGATAACATTGCTGCTACTAAGAAGGTGGCTAAAAAGAACTATTATCTTGGACTTGGGGTATTAGAGTAACATAACCTAAATAGATGTCTAAACTAGGATAAACTGATTTAAATTTCGACTCTCATGCTCTTGGCTCATCTGACGCCCACACTCACCTTTGACAATCGATCACAAGCAACGGGAACATATTCCCAAATTGCCAGCAAACCTACATTTGTGGGGGCGCGCAAATGCAATCTTCTAATAGGTAGGCAGAGAGCAAACAGTAGAGTCATGGATTCAATCTGAGGGAGTGCTGCCTACCTAGGTACAAACGACGAAGGAAAAATGAATGAGTTAAAACTTAGAGATCACAGATGCGAATTTTCTCTGGAGATAAACCTAGACAACTCCACTTCCAAGTAAAGTGTAAAGACTATCAAGGTAATTATAACAGAAAATGAATGATTGCAGCATAGCTTTCGTCCGCTAGGACACAGAAAAAGCCTACATGTTCCTTCTTCTTCTTCCTCTCTTTTTTAATTCCAGCAGGCACAAGCTCCTTGTATTTTCAAACGGCTCATGCCATCATCCCGTTTCGTGACCCCACTTGATGACTAGCGGAAATAAACAAACACGTAGAGAATTATACATCCACCATGAGAAAAGCTCGTGGGCTAGTCCTGCTCGACAAGTCTTCGTGGTCCTGAAGAAGGTGAGGTGATCTGCACAAACATTCATGATAGGTGTGCGAGATTCTGCAATGGGTGTCTTAGTCATTCACTACATGTTCGTGTATCAATTTGCATCACAGCACAAGAATATCATCATCATTCGTCGTTTATGATAGCACTTGCCATAGGATCCATGGAGGGGCTGAAGGGGAACTGATGCGCTGCAAGCTGAAGATATGACGGGATCCGATCATGGAAACAACCTAGGGAAATCTGTACAAACCTCCATGGATCTTATAGAAGCTTTAGGATGTAAAAAATAAGTAGTCTAAAGCACTAGGCTAAGGTTATATAAAATGGTCTATTGATTTCGTCCCTTTTTTGTCCACTTCCCCGTCAGCGGATGGCTTGCCCCCCCACTTCTGTAGGTAGGTAGCCCAGGTAGCTTCCGCCTTCCGGCACCTATTACGCAAAGGCCCACTTGCATCTCAACCTGACTGACGATTTACAATTGTATCCATCCTTCTTTCTCTCCGCATCTTCACCAACCACTTACTTCCCTCTCTCATAAACTATCGATCTTTCTGCCCGCATCAGCTGGCGAGAGAAAAAAATAGGTAGGAACTGACCTCGGCGACAAGAGAAGCTGTTCTACAGGATCGACCTGCACTCGACCTTCAAGGGCTGCTTCCAAATTGACCGACCGACCGACTGACTGACTTCCACCTTCGATATTTCTTTGTCGAACACGCGCGTATTCCATTCAACCAACCATTTCCCATTTGAAATCTTCGCCAACCAAGACAAATTCGTCATACCTCTGCGGTGAAAATTTCTCAATACGCAGAGACCGTGAAGCTTCAAAACTTGCGAGACCGAGAGGTTGACCATTGCTCGGCTAGCTAAAGCACAACCGAATACTCCCCGTGAGCAAACAATCTCTTTAGCGGGGTTCAGCCCGGCTGTAGTGGAGGGGGAGATTCTATCGTTTCCTGCGGCTCGGCCGCCTTACTATCATCATGGGCAAGATTACCAAGCCTATGCAACAAAAGCACAAGGATACCTTGGTCAGTAGTAAAATCCCATCTACCGAATATGACACTGACTTGATGTGATGTGATAGTCTCCTTGGCTGAAATCTTACGTTGAAACCGCCTCGACAGTACCCCTACCCCACTTACCCCAAGAGCTTGCCAGCTTTCCCTCGAGATGGCCCTTCGGACGTGGAGATCTATACCACTGGATACCCCTTCTCAACCGATTTGATAGCATCCTCGAACATGTTTGCGCCACATACAAATTGAACGAGGGTCCTCAGACTCGTGACTTTGGGTGTGATGTGCTGCTCAACCAGGACAAGGAATCTACTTTTGGCAGTGAGAAACAATGGTCTGCGAAGGAGTTGACAGATCTGGGCTTCTCGTCAGATGGAGACAGGCAACTCGTGGAGGCAGTGCTGCGATTCACCCGTATGCTGCTGGAGCATTGTGGCAACAGAAGTATTTATGCCAGCAGCGCTCACCTGAGCGACCTTTTAAACACCACATCTCTGAGTGTTCTTATTGTCACTTTGGAAGTTGGTTCGGAACTGGCTCAGCGCTACCAAGCCTCGATCAAACGCATAGCACAACCTTCAAGGCAGATCAGCGCAGCGTTGCTAGCTAACCACTATAATATTGACCTCGACAGAGTCCAGCAGCTTGCCCTGCCCTTTGTCAAGACTCCGATCATCAGCTTATCGGACTCAGTACCATCAAACACGCCTGGAACATCCAAAGGTAAAGATCGTGCGCAAGGAGGGAATCACAAGACAGCCAACTCTATGCATGCAAACGATCTAGTTGCTCTTGCGGCTTCCGATGACAAACGCTGGACTGGCTGGGGCGATGTCAAGGTGGTTTATTACCCCCAGAATGACCAGAATGACCAGAATGCCCAGCAAGAGTCTGCTGGTGGCGAAGGTGGTCGTGCATCGGTACCATCCACGCCAACGCCGCTTCGCCGCAGTTCCACAATGACAACTCAACACCAGACCCCGAAAAGTCGAAGCAACTTGGACGACTCGTCTCCGCTTGGACCTCGGACACCTGGTACCTTGGACGAATCAGCCTCTGCTGGATCAAAAGTTTTTGAACTACCTCAGTCCGTTGTCTCCTCAGCCCCCATTTACCGGTTGATGTCATCTGCCCCCACGGACCTTCCACCAGCTTCAAAGTATGAAGTTTTCCACAAGATCAGAGTCTCTAAAGCTCTTATGGGCTCCAGCGAGTCACGCCAACAGCTGTTGGCTGTCCGTCTCCTGGCTATCAACAATCTCGCATACATTCACCCTGAAGCAACCTTCGTGGAAAAGGTACTTCGTCAAGACTCGGATGAAACCCGCAGATTTCAGCTCGTTTATCAGCTGGCTGAGCTAATCCACCCTACTGCTCACGGAAACGTTGACGTTCCGTTGTGGCTTCAAGCTGTGGCTCTTGCGTTACTCGAAGCGATCTCAAACTTCCCAGCCAGGTGCCAGGATGTATTATCTGCCCTGAACGCAAACGTCAACCATGGTATCTTGCTTTATGTCATCAGAAAAGCAGTTGCTGGAATGAAGGAGGACGACGACAGCGACAAGGGTAACCAAGTGACAGAAATAGATGAGTGGCGCAACAACCTCTTCTCCCTGACCCTTCACCTTGCCATGTCTACCAGAGTGGGAAGCGAGATGGTCTCTGCAGGCCTTATGGATATCTTGATTGAGATTTTGAACATTAGATCAGCCGTTGCACAGCGAAATCATTCCATGGTTCTTGCATTCTTGGATGGCTTGATCTGGAGTTACCAGAACGCTTTCACAGCCTTCTTCACTGCCAAGGGTCTCGATGCAGTATCTCAGCTGGTTGTGGATGCTGTTCAGGAAGCGCAGACTTTACACCAAGCAGGGCAGGGTATTCCAAAAGGTCAACAGTCGGGACAAGTGGACTACGAAATCCCCTACTACCAACAACAAACGCTCAAATGGCTTCTCAAGTTCGTTCATCACATCATGTCCAACTCGTACAGCTACGGCGGTAACTTCGACCGTTTACTCCGTAATCTCGTTGATAAGTCAGACTTCCTCGGGAAGCTGCGGGACATCATCGAAGACAAGCAGACCTTCGGATCTGTTATCTGGACGAACGCCGTCACTATTCTTAGTGACTTTATCAACAACGACCCTACGAACTTCCCGGCCATTTCCGAATCGGGGATGATCAAGACATACTTGGAAGCCATCACGAACAGGCCACTGCCAAGTGAAGTACTGGCGGAACAGAAACCATCAGACCGAGAGGGAGACAACGAACCCGGTTCCCCAGTAACCACTATGCACGAGCTTGCTGTAAATGACACACGGCCACACCCCCCTACAGAGCAAGCACTTCGCGAATCGCCTCGTGGTGGACCATTGGCAGCGGGCATCTTACCTTCGACAGATGCTATTGCGGTTGTGCCTCAGGTCCTTAGTGCCATCTCCCTCAATAATGCTGGGATGAACCTAGTAGCAGCCTCGCGGGCTTTTGAAGGCTTCTTGGAAATTTTTGAAAGTCCTGCACACGTTCGATGCATGGAGCTTGATGGAGATCTTGCCAACAACGTCGGGTCTAGCTTCGACGAGCTTGCTCGCCATCACCCGGCACTGCGATCAGCCATTGCTAACGCTGTCATTGACATGGTTGCCCGTGTGCGGTTCCTCGGAATTGAAAAAGCGAGAGAGGATGGCTGGGGTGCCCGTTTGCTACTGGTCGACGGCGGCAAGACTGTATCTTTGGACGAGGATGGTAATGTGAAGCAGAAGACACAGACCCAGGAAGCTACCGGCGATGCGGATGTGAGCATGCCTGACGCTGCCTCCGCCCCCGGCCATGACTCTCGCAACGAGGAAAACGCATCAAATCAGTCAATCACGCCTTACCTCTACGCCCTTGGATACTTCTTGAGCTCCTACATTTCAAATCAAGGGCTCAAGAGCAGCTTTGTAGAAGCTGGTGGCCTGGAGCTACTGCTTGATATCTGTGAATCACCAAGCCTGCCTACCACTTTTGGTGATACCGTTGCCTCGAGGATCCTCGGCCAGGTCGTCTGTCAACTTGTGGAATCTTTCCCCATCCGCGGTCTCCCTTCCCTTCTCAGAAGAGCCCAATCGGCGATTGACACACTGAAGCCTCTCTCCGATAAGACAGATGCTTTGCCTCCGTACTTCGCGCCTTTCCTCCTCGCCGACCTCGAAGGCCAAGAAGCTTCGGGAGCGATCAAAAATGGCACTAAGATGATCAAGGCACTGTTGAATGCACAAACCTTCATCAAGTTAATTTCGGATTGCTTTTCTACAACACGATCCAATACGCTATCGTTATATCCTGTCAATGTCTACGATTACTACCTCAAGCTGGTGAATTCGATCGGGCCTCTCCTCCGCGGAGTCCTCACGGAGGAGGCAGGAGAACTCAACATTGTCCCTCAGCACTGGTCTTTTAAGCGCCAAGCATCTGAAGGCTCGCCTATCGCAACTGGTGACCCTGATATGGGAGATAGCGCTTTGTTGCCGGACATGCTGAGCGGTACAGCCCCTGAGTTTCAACCCAAATCTGATGAGACCAAACCGAGTCGCCCTACAGAGGAAGAGCAGGCTTCCCCTCGCTACCAGAATTGTGAAACGCTCCGGCATCTGTTGCATCCTATGATACCGACGACTTTTCCTCTGTTCCAGACGCTTGGAAAGTCCTTACTTCCTCGCCGGGAGCGGGATCCTCGTGATCTTTATCAACGCCCACGACACTTGGAACTCGCAAAAGCCCTTGCGAATGCTGTTCTGGATCAGTTGAGGCCATCGGTTGCTATTGCCGAGCCCACTTCCAAGGACTTCCATTTTTGGATCATCATGCTGCATACTATCAGCGAAATGGTGATTGACCAACCCAACCCTCGTCCAAGTGATCGCTCAGCTGTTCAAATCATTTTGCCTGTTCTCCTTGCATTCAAAGAAGAGGGTGGAATGGACGTTTTAAGTTCCATGCTTAGGATATTTGCCGAAGCAGTTCGCAAGGGTCCTGATGCTGCAACAGATGAAGCCCCAAAGTCCAAGGTTGCCGCCTTCGGACTCAAGAAGGTCCTGGAATTGGTATTGGTATTGGTTAATGGCAAGTCACTTTCTGATGCTCAAAACGCATTCGGCCTCCAGCCACGCTCTGCAGACAGGTCTCCACAGATGTACCAACAGCTTGTGGTAGAGTTTAGAGCTGCAGTTCTCCCTGGAATCACTAGATTGTGGGACTCGGATTTTGTGGAAAAAGTACCACATCAGACTGTGACACGCTTGATTGACATTCTCAAGCTTATCGGTGCTGCCGAACATGAATCCGTCTCGTCAAGGGATAAACCAGCCTTCCGCCTCTTCAATTATGCGGATGTCCGATTTGACTGGCGGCCTTGTCAAGTCACTATTAACGGACTGCTTGCCAAAGGTTACGATGCTGACCTTGTGCATGAAGCAGTCTTCAGGGCTAATGGCAATGCAAGCTCTGCAGAGATCTACTGTGCAGCCCATCAAGCCGGGCTCGCGGGCGCACGCAACCCTATTCCAGCACCGGACTCTGACACCTCTGTCTTGGAAGCCTCAGGCACCAATGAATCAGAGACAGCACACGCAGGCACCAGTGAATCAGAGGCACACGCAGGCGCCAGTGAATCAGAGACCGCAAATGTGGAGACGGACCGCATGTCCCTTGATGTTCCAGATCTTGCAGATAGACTCCTCGGAGAGGCACTAGGTGAGGTAATTGATCATCCACCTCAGAATGCAGATGGCATTCGCGAGCCCCCGAGTGTGAGGACCGAGACACCAGCAACTGCGGTAGATTCGCACATTAAGGACAGTGAGCCCCCTGTTGCTACAAAGGAAGATGTCGACAAGTATAGGGCCGAACTGCGAGCGAACCTGATCGATAGGTGCCTTGATGTTGTTCGTGCTCATCCTGAAACAGCGATCGAGGTGTCTGAGCTTATTCGAACAATGGTTCTGAAGCAGCAGTCTCCTAATGACACTGACGACGAGATCGGTCAGACCCTAACTTTGGCATTGTCTTCATTGGCTCAAAGCGAGGAAGAAGACAAGCTGCGCAATGGGAAGTGTATCGCGGCCTATGCCCATTTGCTAGCACTACTCCTACAGGATGAGCGCTTCTTCGTCAACAGCATAGAGAGTCTGGGGGATCACATTGACGAATATATTGGCTTTTTGAAGGTTCCGCCTTCGAGTGAAGAGATGCCACCTTGGATCCCCTACATTCTTCTCGTTATCGAGACGCTGCTTCGCCATGATGAGCGTCCCATTGCCGCTCAGTGGAAAGCACCGAAATCGTTGCAAGAGGCCGTTTCAGAACCCATTATTGAAACGCAGGCTCCCATCGTTGTTGAGCAGGATCGAGCACACCTTTTGGAATTTGTACTCGAAATGCTTCCACGCATAGGAAAGGAAGAAACCCTCGCCATTGCATCGCTCCGAATCCTTGTCATCTTGACACGCAGCCGACACTTTGCGAAGCTTGTTGGAGACAAAAAGAACCTGCAACGGTTGTTTCTTATGGCAAAGCAACTGTCGGGCTCTGGTTCTGAAAGGTTCAAACAAAGCAAACTTACTGCGCACATCATGACTGTCCTACGCCATATTGTGGAAGACGAAGAGACCATCAAGCAGATCATGCGTGCTGAGATCAAGATCGCCTTCCCTGCACTTCAAAGAACAACGCGTGGCCATCCTGACGTTCAGGCCTATTTGAGGACCATGTCACCCATTGCTCTTCGTGCTCCAGACCTATTTGTTGAGGTTTCTCATGAGATGCTTCGCTTTACTAGATGGGCGTCGCCTTCGAACGACAACTCCCGGACTCAATCCCTTGAATTGAAAGAGGAACCCACTGAATCTGGTGCCGACAAAACCAATGACGATATGCAGAAGGAAGCAGAACAAGACATCAAACAGTCTACGGAGCCCGCAGACAAGGAGATGGTGGATGCACCGAAGCCACATGAAAGCAAACGACCCGTCGTTGAAAACCCTGACGGTGTCATTCACTTCCTTCTGTGCGAGCTACTCAACTATCGCGAGGTCGACGACAAAGAAGTGCCAGTAGCCGAGAAGGACTCCAATCCCGACCCTGTGTCTAGTTCAGAAGATCCTTCTCTATCTTCCAAGGACAACAATGCAGCAGATGCAAAAGACAAGAAACCAGCCAAACCCGTCTTCAAATCCGAAGAGCACCCTATATTTATCTATCGTTGCTTTTTACTCAACTGCTTGGCTGAGCTTCTACAAAGCTACAACAGAACAAAGATGGAATTCATCAATTTCAAGCGAAATGCCCCGCTGACCACAAGCACCCCAATCAAGCCTCGGTCATCAGTCCTCAACTATCTGATATACGATTTGCTTTGCCAAGGTAATTTGAGCGGAACATCTGATAGTATCGCTGGGAAGAAGAAGGCCGCAACTTCTGCGCAGACTCAAAAGGTCTTGGTCGCGCTTGTTTCTAAGACAAGTGAGAAGGCGATCGATCGTGGGAAAGATAAGTTTGCCTATGACGATGAACCCGATCTCCTCTTTGCACGCAAGTTTGTTCTTGACACTATGCTGAAGGCCTATGAAAGAGCACCTTTCTCTGATGACCCTCTGGAAACACGATACTCACGCATGCAATGCCTGGCTGAACTCATGAGCCACATGATTGGCGAGAAAGACAGGGACCAGGGAGCTCCTGGGCGAGGTGCCGATAACGTGCTCGCTCGGTCTCATGCTCAGCTGAGACGACTGATGTATGAGAAGGGCTATCTCGAAAAACTAACATCTTCCGTTGCCGAGATCAACCTAAACTATCCCAATGTCAAACGTGCAATCAAGTATATCCTGCGCGTGCTGAGGGTTCTGACTGAGACGGCTAAAGAGCTCAGTCACTCAAATATATTGTCCTCGGATTCTTTGTCGGATACTGCAGAAGATGATCTTGGTTCGACCTCTTCGCTCTCGGATCTTGACGATCGCGAAGAGACTCCAGATCTGTATCGTAACTCTGCCCTTGGAATGCTTGAGCCTCGCGGCGAAGATGACGAGTCTGATGATGACGAAGGGGATGACGATGACGAGGACATGTATGGGGACGAATACGATGATGAGATGGAATACGGTGACGACGACATTTCAGATGAAGACGACAACATCAGTGATGAGGACGAAGAGCTCGGCGGCATGGGCCCAATCGAAGGGTTGCATGGCGATTCAGGTGTCGTTGAAGTTATCATGGACGAGGACGATGATGATGACGACAGCGATGAAGAAATTGATGATGACGACGAAGTGGAATCCGCAGATATGGAAGACGTCGAAGATCAAGTGGAAATCGTCGATGAAGATGGAAATCCTCTTGATGATGATGGGAACTCAGACTGGGAGAGCGCTAGCCACGACGACGATGACGAGGACGAAGATCAGGAGGAAGATGAAATGGAATTCGAGGGACATGTCCACCACGAACACATGCCAGGCGACATTCTCGATGGTATGGCTCGAGCCATGATGGGAGAAGGTGAAGTTTACGACCCCAACATGATGGAAGCACTGGAGGATCACTATCTCGACGATGGTCACGACGAGGATGAAGATGAGGACGACGAGGAGCCGGAAGATGACGAATATCTTTACGACGACGAATATCCTCTAGATGACCAGCCTCAACCAATCCCAGCTCTCGGTTGGGACGATCTCGGAGGGGACGACGAGCGCCGACAAATGTTCATGCTGGAAAACCAGAATCGTCGACGGTTGATTGCTTCTCGAAGCGTTGATCGCCACCTCCCCAACTTTATGGTTGGCTCTCGGGAGATGCAAGGGGATTTCCGCAACTTCTTTGCACGCAACCACCAGAACAGACCCCAAAACAGTGCTGACGACGGCACCAACCCGCTTTTGAGACGGGGTGATCCGAACCGAGATGGCCCGCAACGCCCTGGGCCTCACCAATCTTTCGGCTTGCGAGTTCCTGACGCCATATTCGGCCCAGGCGGACGCAACCCAGATGGACCCATGGGGTTCTTGAGCGAAATAATGGAATTCTTACCTATCATGGGTAGGAACGGACAGCATGCATTCCATCTACAAATTACTGGTCCAGGTGGACATCGGGAGTCTAGAGAAATTGGTCCTCCTATTCGAACTTCTCGTATGGATCAAAGACGTGATTTCAACCAGGATCCAAACCAGGCTGTTTCCTTTGTCATCGAAGGCACAATGGATCGCTATCAAGAAGAAGCCAGGATGATTTTTGGTGCTAACAACGTTGCAGAAGCAGCCAAGCTTCTAAACATTGTTGTTGCCAGCCTTACACCTGCTGCGATGGAATTGGAAAGGAAACTGAAGGCTGAAGAGGCAGAACAGCAGAAGCGTGAGGAAGAGGAACGCAAGAAGCGCGAGGAGGAGGAACGCCTAGCACGTGAGGCAAGGGAGGCTGAGGAAAAGGCACAGAGAGAGAAACAGGAGGCCGAAGCCCGCGAAGCAGCCGAACGCGCGGCGTCCGAAGCCGCTGCTGTGAGCCAAGCTGCCCCTGCCGAGGTCCAAGGAGATGGCGGCGCAATGGAAGGTGTCGAATCTACTGAACCAAGCCATGCGGATCGTTCTGATCCTTCCACTCAAGGCGCTGGTGATGGACCCCGAGTTACGACTATCATCAGAGGCGAAGAAGTTGACGTTACCGAACTGGGCATCGATCCTGATTACATTGCAGCTCTGCCCGAAGAGTTCCGTGAGGAGGTGATTGCCCAAGCAATCACTGCTCGAAGATCTGAAGCTCGAGAGGAGACAAATGGCAATAACACCGAAGCCTTCCAGGAGTTTCTGGACGCCCTCCCTGAAGACTTGCGCATGGAGATTGCTCAGCAGGAGCGTCAAGATCAGCGTCGCCGTACTCGCGAAGAAAACAATCGTCAAGCATCCGCTGCCACTGGCCAAGCGGCTGTTCCAGAAATGGACACTGCAAGTATCCTTCTGACATTCCCCCCCGAGCTTCGACAACAAGTTCTATTGGACCAAGGTGAGGAGCTTATGGATCAACTCACACCAGAGATGGCAGCTCAAGCCCGCCAGCTAGCCCAACAGAATGTTCATTCCGTCATTACTGGCCGCAGCCCTCCTGTCGTCAATCCTGCTCGTCAGCCTGGACCACCAATGCCCTCTGACGGGGCAAAGGCACAGCGCCGCACAGTTGTTCAAATGCTCGACAAAGCCGGTGTCGCTACGCTGCTACGTCTGATGTTCATCACCCAGACAAAGACAATTCGAGAACATCTCTTCAACGTCTTCGCCGATGTTTGTGAAAACAAGCAGACCCGACTTGAAGTGATCAGCACTCTCCTGCAGATTCTTCAGGATGGCAGCACAGATATGGGCGCAGTGGAGCGAAGCTTCGGTCACCTTTCCCTGAAGGCACGAAGACCTAAGGAGAAGAGTCAGGAGTCCGAACAGAAAACTCCTCAGACTCTCAAGAGAAGTCTGACTGGTTTAGCCACCGGGAACACCACACAGACAAACTCTGAAACCTCACCCCTTCTGATTGTACAGCAGTGCCTTGATTTGTTGGTAGAGCTATCTGCTAAGAATCCCCATGTTCAATGGCTCTTCCTGACAGAGCATGAAGCTGTTGGCTCAAATCTCAAGCGGTCTCTGAGCCGCAAAGGCAAGGGCAAGGATTCCAAGTCACACAAATATGCCATCAACTCGTTGCTGTCACTTCTCGACCGCGATTTAGTCATGGAAAGTTCTGTAGTCATGACTCATTTGGCTGATTTGCTCAATCGAGTGACGCTGCCTCTTCAAAATCTGGAGCGACGTCGCAAGGAAGCCGAGGATGAACTGAAAGCCCTTGATGCCAAGCCAGAAGAAGAGCCCGCTACAACGGAAGATCCTGCGGGGCAGGCTTCGGCCACAGAACAAACCAAGGCAAGTAACACTGGCAAATCTTCGACGGCTGTTCAAGAGGAGGGTAAAGAAAACGTCGCCGCTGATGATAGCGCCAAGAAACAAGCGAAGAAGGATGCGATTCAAAAGAAACTTCGACAACTCCAGCCACCTGTGGTTCCTGCCCAGAACTTGACTTTGGCCGTAAGGATTTTTGTAGCTCGAGAGTGCAGCTCCAAAACGTTCCAGAACACTATCTCGACGATCAAAAATCTTTCAGCCATTCCAGAGGCCAAGGCCACGTTCGGTCAGGAGCTCGTCCACCAGGCTAGGCTCCTGAGCGAGAACATTGTAACGGATTTGGATGATCTTCTGCCCCATATCGAAAAGGCATCTTCAGGCACTGAAATTCAGGGCGTTGCTCTTGCCAAGTTCTCACCGGGAGCATCTGAACAAAACAAGCTCCTTCGTGTCTTAACAGCTCTGGATCACCTGTTTGACACCAAGAAGAAGAGCGACGAAGCTGAATCGAACAAGGACAAGGACGAAAGACACGATCTAGTCACCTCCCTTTACCACAACTCGACTTTCTCTGCCATGTGGGAGAAGTTGAGCGCCTGCCTCAGTGCTATTCGCCAACGCGAAAACATGCTCAGCGTGGCGACAATTCTATTGCCGTTGATTGAGTCTCTGATGGTCGTCTGCAAGAACACCACTACCAACGATGACCCCTCGCAACAGAAAGAAATGGTCTTATCAAGCCCACCGCCAGAGTCTCGTACGGCTAGTCTCTTCTTCAGCTTTACTGAGGACCACCGCCGCATCCTCAATGAACTTGTTAGAAGCAATCCCAAGCTTATGTCCGGCACATTTGCTCTTCTTGTCAAGAACCCCAAGGTTCTGGAGTTTGATAACAAGCGCAACTACTTCAACCGTAGCGTTCACTCACGATCTGGTAACCAGAGTCGACCAAGCTACCCTGCCTTGCAACTTTCCGTCCGCCGAGAACAAGTTTTCCTTGACTCTTTCAAGCACTTGTACTTCAAATCTGGCGACGAGATGAAGTTTGGTAAGCTCAACATCCGATTCCATGGGGAGGAGGGTGTCGATGCTGGAGGTGTCACTCGTGAGTGGTTCCAGGTGTTATCCCGGCAGATGTTCGACGCCAACTACGCGCTTTTCACACCTGTGTCCTCAGACCGCACTACTTTCCACCCAAACAAATTAAGTGGCATCAATGATGAGCATCTGTTGTTCTTCAAATTCATTGGACGCATCATCGGTAAGGCATTGTACGAAGGTCGTGTTCTTGACTGTTACTTCAGCCGTGCTGTGTACAAGCGAATTCTTGGCAAATCTGTTTCAGTCAAGGATATGGAGTCGTTCGATCCGGACTATTACAAGTCTCTGTGCTGGATGCTGGACAATGATATCACAGATATCATCACCGAGACCTTCTCAGTTGAGGATGATGAGTTTGGTGTTACCACTGTTGTAGATCTCATTCCCAACGGTCGAGAGATCGCAGTTACTGAAGAAAACAAGCACGATTATGTTCGCTTGGTGGTTGAGCACAAGCTGCTGTCTTCGGTCAAGGAGCAAATGTCCCATTTCCTTCAAGGTATGCAAATCCTGCACAATACTACAGATGATTCGCTAACACTGTTATAGGCTTCCACGACATTATCCCGGCAGAGCTGATCTCTATCTTCAACGAGCAAGAGCTGGAACTTTTGATTTCCGGTCTGCCAGATATCGATATTGACGACTGGAAGAGCAACACAGAATACCACAACTATACTCCATCGTCACAGCAGATTCAGTGGTTCTGGCGAGCTCTGAGGTCTTTTGACAAGGAGGAACGCGCGAAAATGCTTCAGTTCGTTACAGGAACCAGCAAGGTTCCCCTCAATGGCTTCAAGGACCTTGAAGGTATGAACGGCGTCAATCGATTCAATATCCATCGTGATTATGGCAACAAAGACCGACTGCCATCTTCGCACACCTGTTTCAATCGTGAGTCAATCTTGAAGAGCATCATAAGAGAACGTAGCTGACCAGATCTAGAACTTGACCTTCCAGAGTACGAGAGCTACGATCATCTGCGCTCCCAGATCATGAAGGCCATCACAGCAGGAAGCGAATATTTCGGATTCGCGTAATTTCGTCATTTATGTATGCATTGAAGGCGTGTGTGGGGATGAAGCAATAGACGGGGAGATGAACGAAAAGGGATGACAGTTTAATATCGTTTTTTCTTTTGGGAATGTGTTTTATTAGCATTGGGGGGTTGTGCCCCGAGATTCTGATCTTAGCCTCGCGTTGCAACATCCTCAAGTATGACGGTGGGCCTTGGGAGAAGTGCAGGTCTCCTCTGGTTGCTGGCTTTACAGGATGGATAGCTTGCAAGAACAGGAAGTTAGGCAGAATTGCATGTATATCACATCACGCAGCTTTGACAAATAGAGATCATGAACAGCAATTGGCCGCCGAGAGCATAAGAGACGAAATGTTTTGGTCACCTTATGCCGACTTAGGCTGGGGTTTACGCTACTTTATTTCTGTACCCTAAGCCTTAGAGGACAAGGACAATTCTTCTGTCGCCCACCTGATCCCCTCCTTGTCTTTTTTATTGATACCCACCCTTCCGTTCTTGCTGGGATTCTATGTATCAACACAGGAACCGAAATAGTAGTTACATTATTGTGGCAGTTTGCATCAGCTCTTTTAGATCTGAAGCTTTTGGTAAGGGACAAAATAAGAGACGAAATAGGAGACGAAACAATGTGGCCATTTTGCGCAAGTTTAGACTGCTTATTGTTAGAAAAAGGATTTAAACCTAAGTGAGCGTTGGCTTATGCATAACATCTGTCATTCATCTCTGTTGTTCTAAAGCTAGAGATAATATTTCTGCTTGGATAGTCAGTATCACAAAAGTTGGATGTCAATAGCGAGATAGCTCTGTCACTTAATTGGCCGATATCAATTATCTTGCTTCTGTGAAACCTAGAACAAACTTTCTCTCTTGAAGTATGTGACTAATCCCTTCCCTTGGGTTTGGTTTGCATCGATTGTGGATCTCGGTCTGAGGTGCTCAACTGCTATTGATCTTTATGGTAACAGAACAAAAGTATAAGTATCACGGCGGTGCCAGGTATCTAGTAACTATGACAAAGGAACATGCGCATGTTGGCGTATGGCACGAGTGCATCAATGCATGTTCATATTTTTCCCGAAATGCCTCTAATACAGTCGTGATTGGCTCAAACCGAGCCCTATAGAGAATCCTCACTCCTATTGCATGCAAACCACAAGACCAAGGTATGATTCCCCTTTTTTTCATTAAACGCCAGAAATTTACTTGCGCATAGAGCTTGCTCGTCGCTTGCGGGCATCGGCCTTGTTGGCCTTGGCCTCGGCAACACGCTTGGCAAGGATCTGGGCGTACTCGTTCTGGAAAAGATTTTGTTAGATGTGACTTTTAGTAATAAGCGATTGGTGAATAACTTACGGCCTCGTCCTTGACCTTCTCGGCCTGGCGGCGCTTGAGAGCGGCACGGTGGCGCTTGTGCTGGAGACGCTGGGGGGTAACGAGGCGCTGGATGCGAGGAGCCTTGGTGTAGGGGGTCTTGCCCTCGGTCTTGGGGACAACCTCTCGTCGGATAACGTACTTGCGGACCTAGTTTCATGAATATTAGTCTTCTACGTTTGGGGATAGTATTCAAAGCTCGCTGCCACTTGTCCTGTGCCTTCCTGGCAGAAGGTAGGACAAGAGGTCCTCTCACACTCTACCCAGACTGCCAGTTCTTACACTGCAGCCCTGGGTAGGCGATGAGCGAGTATGGGCGTAGGGAAAGACATACATCGTCATCCTTGGTGAGGCCGAAGAACTTGCGGATCTTGGTGGCACGCTTGGGACCAAGGCGCTTGGGGTGAACGACGTCGGTAAGACCGGGGATCTCCTCGTCGCCCTGCTTGACGATGCTGAGAGCAAGGACGGAAAGGTCCATGCCGACGATGCAGCCACGGACAGACTTTCGCTTGCGCTCACCAGCGCGGCGGGGGCGGTAGCAAGAGTGACCCTCGGAGAGAAGGAGGCGGACACGGGTAGGGTGCATGACACCCTGCTTCATGGGGAAACCCTGCTTGTCGTTTCCACCAGTGATACGGAAGATGTAGCCCTTGAACTCATCACCGATAGAGTCACCGGGAACCTCAGCGCCCATCTATCAAACAAATTGTTAGCATCGTCGGTCGAAAGCGTGCGGGTTGGTTCGACGAGAAAGTCGTGGGGAGGGTTCGACGTACGCGCTTCTCCATGAAGACACGGAGCTTGCGCTCATCCTCAATGTCGATGAGCTTCTGGCTGCCATTGGCAGGGTAGCTGATGTTCAACTGTTGGAAAATATTGTCAGCCAAATGTTTACTTTTGTGATATTCGACCAAACTCGACAGGAGCGCGAGGAGACCAGACGGCGACGAAACAATTCCGTTCCAAACAGCAGGCTGACTCTCTTCGTTGACTCGTATCGATTGATCGTATTCAGTATCGTCGTACCTTCATATTGCCAGTTGTGATGGTGGTGCAAGTTTACTTGACCTGGCCTGCTGTGAAGTTAGTAGAGGATGATGAGGTTGTAAATTTCACAGCGAAATTCGAGAAACTAGGAAAGTGCGTCTCACTAGGGCTCTCCACGGCTGTTAAAATTCACTGGCCAATCAGCACATCTTTCCGCCTTGTCGGTGAAAAGAACTTCCCAGCTCCGGCTCTATGCCCCTCCCAGCGGTTGCAGTGACCCTAAAAACCTCCACACTGTGCCCAAAGATCGATCTGCAACTGATTCGCACGTGGCATAGCTGATCGGTACGTACCTTTACTTATGGATCTTTAATGGGGCTCTATGATATTCATTGCAGATAGAACTACTGCAAATGGAGCTCCGTTATTCGAGATGATTTATAAGTTTTATTGAACTTGGTTACCATATCTCGCCCACTCCACAATACCATTCTCCTCTTTCTCTGCCTGAATTGAACTCAATGTCTACAGCCAAACTCTACCCTCCAAGCAAAGGCTCTGCGGCATCTAGCCCGTTGCCGCAGCTCTTGCAGACACCTTCAGGTCTAGCTCTTCTTGAGCTACAAGGGACTCTCAACTTACCTGAAAACGGCGATGGCGAAGCTTTAAGCGGTGTTGATGTTGGGAGACTTGACTTCCCAGACTATGTCCCAGATGCTGAGGGTTCTGCATGGATGAAGCGAGTTCATCTTTATGTTGGTCAACATCAACGTCTCACCGGTGAAATCAAGAAGCTACCCAAAGCGATGGCTGTGGTACGAAAGAGGGAAAACAAGAAGATTGTTGGCTCTGGGGGCGAGTCAGAGGAGCAGGGCGAGAACTTCGAAGTAGTTGAGATTGTCAAGTACAAGATCATGTTCGGCAACCGACCTGAGCCTGTTGGAACCGCTAATGCCACATGAAGACTCTCTGCCTTTTCAACAACTACTAGATACCCCTATCCACTCAGGCTATGGCCAGATGTACTGCGAGCACTTTACCCACCAGCAGCTGTGGGATATGTTCCGGCTTATAACTAAACGCTTGAATCCGCAACGCTCCAGCGGATAGAAGTTTGACTGAACGGCACCAACACTATTCAGCCAAAGACATCAATGCCCTGAAGAAAGAATCTACATTTCACAGGTTCTGATCAAGACGAGCGGATATTTCTACCCAACTAGAGGCTCCATACTGGCACCAGTCGAAGTAATTACATTCAGGGGTGTGCTGGTCATAATCTACCCCAGAAGCGTTGTAATGCTTCACCAGTGTTCGATAATGATGTAGATTAACTTTCAAATTTAATCGTGAAATTCGTGTCTTATTCCTTTTTTGTTTGTGATATCTATCTACCCTAACCTGATGCAATCTGCAGAGGTCTCGTTCTGCCCAAACCGTCCTTGCCGTAGTAATCCATAGGATAAACGCCATCTCCCCAATCTTGTTTCTCTCCCAATGCTACCAGCGCCTCATAAGGTGTCAGCAACGGCCTCGGGAAAGCATATCCCCAGTCGATGCTCAGACGAGGGCAAGCAACCTGCACCCAGCATTCGACGTCTGACATGAGCGCAAGCTTGCCTGGGAAGATCTCGCTCAGCAAAAGATGCACAATTGGGATGCCACGAGCCTTAAGCTCCTTTTCAATAAGACCCAGTGTGTGCGGGTTGCCCTGACGGCCCAGGGCACCAAGAATCAAGCCCCATTTACGCGCGGTGCGAGCGCTTTGAATGGCTGTACGTCGAAGGGACTGCATCTCCTCGTGGCCATAGGTCTCACGAGTGAGCTTGCGGGAGTAAGGGTCGTATCGGTATGCTGGGATAGAAGGGTTGTGGATCATGATACTCTCGAGATGGAAGCGGCCATCACCAAGGTACAGAATCAGATCGGTCTTGTCATCTTCTTTGAGACGAGGGGATGTACAACCCAGAATCTCACCCTTACTCAGGGGTGCAATCTGCGGGACAAGTACACGGAAACCTCCGCGCTCGAGACTGCTCTTGACACCATGGATAGTGGCGTTGAACTGAATAGTACCGACAACAGCAATAGTCTTTCCACTAGCAAAGTTGCGTTCCAAGGAAGTCAGAAGATGTGTCGCATCGATACTGATATCGACAAAGACGTAAAGTGTCTTGATAGTGGTAACGTCGACAGGAATGAGACAACTGTGAGCATAGTGAACCAGCAAGTCGCAGCCAAGAGCCCTTGCAGTGTAGTCATCGATACAACAAGCACCGTATGTCACATCACCCATGATGAGTGTTTCGATTCCTGGGCAGAATTGGGTCAAAATGTCGGAGATAGTGGTAGCAAAAAGAAGGAGACCTTCCGGCATCTGGAGGGCAACCTTCTTAGCACCTGAAGTCTGGATACGATGAATCGTCTTTGGGATCTCAAAGTTGTAGTTTGCCGGTAACAAAGCAACAGCGGCTTTCAGATCGGGGTTCTCAAGAATCTCCTTGGGAACTTGGTTCAATAGCCTAGGCGCTCTTCGAGGTTTGGCAGCTATACAGCATGAGCATATCTTCACTTATGGCTTCAGATTTCAACATGAAGGTTCACGTACTTTGAACAGCGCCACTCTCGCCTGATGCGCCTGACGATCCATTCTTTGCAGAAGCCTCAGTAGCAGCTCTTCTTCCTACGAATCTCTTCTTTGGCTGTTTCAGCGGTGTCGACCCATTTTGGGTTGACTCTGTCTCATTCTCGATGGCGGGGGATGGGCTGGCCTGAGCGAGCTGGGCTTCTTCGATATCGGCTGCTGTGCCAAGATCGGTCTGTCGTCTGTCTTCCTCCATAGCGAATAGATCTGTATCAGATTTGAAAACAGTTTCTTCTCTGATAGCAAGATTCTTGTTCAATGTTTATCTCGTCCTGGGTTAGTCCAGTAATTACTAACTTTCAGAAAAGTTGGGCGACAATGTGCGTAGCTTGATTTTTCAACACTGTAGTTCCACTTTTAGATACAATCGACTCTATCATTGGCCCTACTCTATTTAGAGAAGCCATGACAGCCAAAGTGCAGCCACTCATCATGATAACTCAGTGCGTTCATTTCTACTGCTTGTCATGATAAACCAGTTCAGGTAGAGGATTGGTTGAATTGCATTAGCTCGCCTCCCTATCTTCACCCATATACCTACTCTTGCCCTGCTCTACAGCATGAAAACAATCCACTTAAAACAAGTTGCTCTGTCTGCTCTTCCATCCATCCATCCATCGGTCTTGCGCGCTCATTATACTATCTATCAAAATGCTGACAAGTCGTCCCCTCATGCGTCAATAAGGTTCTCCTCCGTCTGCTGCTGGCCGCGGGCCTCTGTGTCTGCTCGGGCCTTGCCCTTGGCCTTGGACTCCTTGGCAGCTCGCTGGTAGAACTCGTTGAGGACCTTGGCGGGGATACGGTTGAGGAGCTCCTTGGGGTAGATACGGAGCAGACTCCATGCAAGGTCGAGGGACTCGTAAATGGATCGAGACTCGTACTGGCCCTGGCTAATGAACTGGCGCTCAAACTTCTCCAGGAACTCGAGAGACAGCTTGTCCTCGGCAGACAAAGCCTCCTCACCAACGACAGCCTTCATAGCTGCGGCGTCACGACCAATAGCATACTTGGCGTAAAGCTGGTTGGAAACATCACCGTGATCCTTTCGGGTCATGCCCTCACCAATGGCAGACTTCATCAGACGAGACAGCGACGGCAGCACGTTGATAGGTGGGTAGATACCACGGTTGTCGAGAGCTCGGTCAATGAAGACCTGTCCCTCGGTAATATAACCTGTCAAATCGGGAATAGGGTGAGTGATATCATCGTTAGGCATGGTCAGAATAGGAATCTGAGTGATGGAACCATTGCGGCCCTCGACACGACCGGCTCGTTCGTAGATGGTGGACAAATCAGTGTACATGTAACCGGGGTAACCACGTCGACCGGGCACTTCTTCTCGAGCGGCTGAAACTTCTCGAAGGGCATCACAGTAGGCGGAAAGATCGGTAAGAATGACCAAAACGTGCTTCTCGAGCTGGTAGGCGTAGTATTCGGCGGTAGTAAGGGCAAGACGAGGAGTAATAATACGCTCGATACTGGAAAGATATTAGCATATAAAAGTAGACAGCGGCTTGGATTGTTACGCACGTAGGATCGTTAGCGAGGTTAAGGAAGAGAGTAACACGCTCCAGACTGCCGTTCTCCTCGAAATCGCGGGTGAAGAAACGAGCGGTTTCCAAGTTGACACCCATGGCACCGAAAACAATGGAGAAGTTCTCCTCGTGGCCGTCATGAACACCCTTGTTGGTGATGCCCTGCTTCTGGACGAGACCAGCCTGTCGGCAAATCTGGGCGGCAATTTCGTTGTGAGGCAGACCGGAGGCAGAGAAGATGGGAATCTTCTGTCCTCGGGCAATAGAGTTCATGGTATCAATGGCAGAGATACCGGTTGAGATCATCTCCTCGGGGTATTCCTAGAACCTCTGTCAGACCATATCGTGGAGTCGTTTGGCGGTAGTCTTACACGAGAGTAAGGGTTAATGGGAGAACCGTTGATGTCGAGGTAATCCTCAGCCAACACCTTGGGACCCTTATCAATAGCGCGACCAGATCCATCAAAGATACGACCAAGCATGTCCTCGGACACACCAATCTTCAAGCTCTGGCCGGTGAACTGGACTTTGGTCTGTGGCTGTCTTAGCTTCAAGTTCGCCTTTATAACTCGCGATACCGCCTACCTTCTTGACATCAATACCGGAAGTACCCTCGAAGACCTATATAAAATCGTCAACCTCCGTATCATATCGCATCGTAGTTATCGAAAGTACCTGAACGACAGCTCGGTCACCTATTTCTCCATGTCAGCATATTCCGCGTCATTACTTTCCGCGGGCTAGCAGCTGCACTAACCTCGAGCTTCCAGGACCTGACCCGAGCGCTCAGTTCCATCGGGAAGGGTGAGCGTTACGATCTCATTGTATCGCGGGAATTTGACCTGTTGTTGTCAGTTCAAACTGACCGAACCGAGTCGAGTTTGGGTAAATGACGACGTACGTTGTCGAGGATGACGAGGGGACCGTTGACGCCGCCTACGGTGTTGTATCGAATCCTGGGGATGACCGAGTACGAGGATGACTCGCGAGGGTCCGCCATGTTGGGCGAAAAATCGGTAAAATATGCGGGAGGAAGTGAGGCGGAATGGGCGAAGGAGGACACGATACAGGAGCCGATCGCGAAGCTTGGATGAAGTTGGGAGAATGCCCAAGAGGTTGGAGGAGGTTGAGCTTGCTTCACCAGAGTGGGGACTCTATGCTCTAGTCTAGCTGCGCCAGCCCAAAGGCGACGCACGGCCGATAAACTCACCTCCACATACAACAGCACCGGTGACATCACATGACATACGAGTATCATTTGACCTTGAACTGATTACCTACGTCCATAAGGACAACGGATGAGTATTCTGCATATTTAGATATTTATGATCAAGTTTACGAGTTCGGTTTGTATCTACATGGTTGAGCCCGCACGCTCAGTCCTAATTACATAGCCATCAAGCTCCCTAGTTTCCTTGGGTTTTCGCCTTCAGAGCTTCCCTAGCTGCGTTTTCTATAGCTCGGGTTCGAGCTCCAATAACCGCCTTGCCAACTGTGCTTCCATTCTCCTTGCCCAATTCCTGTGTGATCCATGCTCCGATATCAGACATAGCATCCAGGCTGATACCTGTATCCATGCCCAGAGTTTCCATAAAGTAAACCATGTTCTCTGTGGAGACGTTGCCAGTCGCACCAGGGCTATAAGGGCAGCCACCTAGACCGCCAACACTGCTATCGAATGTTCGAATACCGTTCTCAAGAGCAACGGCTGTGTTTACTAGAGCTTGTCCGTAGGTGTCATGGAAGTGCATAGCAATATCCTCAGTTCGGATTCCGGCCGCAGACATGCATTGTAGGAGGTTTCCCGTTCGAGGAGCCGTACCCATGCCGGTAGTGTCACCGAGAGAAATTTCATCAGCTCCCGCCTCCAGGAGATCTGTAGCAATTTCCGCTACCTTGTGGGGGTCGACATCGAAACCCTCAAAAGGGCATCCCAAAACCACGGAGATGTAGGCTCGGACCCGGAGGCCTAGGCCCTTGGAATCTTGAATCACCTGCCTGAAACGCTCCAGTGATGTCTTGATATCGCAATTGAGATTCTTCTGACTGAAGCTCTCGGTAGCTGCAGCAAATACTGCCACTTCAACATCTGGCTTGGTGATTGCTGGTTCCAGCTGTGTTGCAAACTTGCCAGGATTGGCACCGAGAATATCTGCAGCAGACTGAAGGCCCTTGGTGTTCGGGGCAAGGAAAGAGTATGAGATCGGCCCGGGAGAGGAAACCTTTCCATCGAGGATATGCTGGAGGATTTCGCTAGAATTGCTCATCTATAGGGCAATGATCGTTAGTGCCTGTGACATCAATGCTGCTCGAGGTAAACTTACTTGAGGAACCCATTTTGGGGCGACAAAAGAACCAGCCTCAATGGTGGAAACACCTGTTCGAGCTAGACGCTCGATGAGCTCGATCTTTGTCTCAAGAGGGATTGTCTTCTTCTCATTTTGCAGTCCATCTCGAGGTCCAACTTCCACAAGCTTAACACGATTGTCATACGTGGTGCCGCTGCTGGCTGTCGCAAAGCCTCTATGCCAGCGAATTTGCTGTGAGCGTCGGCATGCTCTGCACACACTAGATCGCAAGAGACTCATGGTTCTATGTTTCGATATTTTGGATGCAATAGTCGAAGTGCTCAGTCGAGGGAGGGTTCAAGAGGATAAAAGGCCGTGTTTGCTGGAGGTCTAAGTGCTGGATGCCAATTCGCGTACTATCGGCCCCAACCCCAACGTGGGCCGAGCTTCGGGGCTCGGTACATACAGTAAACTTACAGTACCGGTACAATTAAAGAGCCGGCTTTCTAAACCCGTTCTTAATTCCCCGCAATCTTTGAGCTTAATATACATCCAATAGCAAACGGACAATGCGATTCATGTTGTGAGAGGTATCTTTGCGGTATTACAACTACAATACTAGCAACTACAGTACAATACTGCCTCACGCAATGCCACCGACTCAGACAGTTAGGTTATAAAGACGCCGGCCCATGTACAAATCTTGGTCTTTTGGCATTAAAACTCGTTTTGGCTTAACCTTTGCGAAAATAAGAAAATACACCTCTCTATCAGCAGCATGCTAAAACTGGTCCAAAGTCGGTAATCCAGTCATCGCATCCATAGCCGCTTAGTACTCGGCCTCCAACTCCTCATCGCCCATGGAGTCGGTAGCAACCTCCTCATAATCGCGCTCCAAGGCCGCGAGATCCTCACGAGCCTCAGAGAACTCACCCTCCTCCATACCCTCACCAACGTACCAGTGGACGAAGGCACGCTTGCTGTGCATAAGATCGAACTTGAGGGAGAGGGAAGACCAAGCCTCGGCAATGGCAGTGGTGTTGGAAAGCATGCACCTGTTATGTATTAGAGACAGTCCTGGCATTTACGAGGTAGAGGGGGACTTACACAGCGCGGCTGACCTTGGCGAGGTCACCGTTGGGCACGTTCTCGGGAGCCTGGTAGCAAATACCAAGCTTGAAACCAGTAGGGCACCAGTCGACGAACTGGATGGTTCGCTTGGTCTTAAGGGTAGCAACGGCGGCGTGGGCGTCGTTGGGGACGACGTCACCACGGTACAACAGGCAAGTGGCCATGTACTTGCCGTGGCGGGGGTCACACTTGACCATCTGGTTGTTAGGCTCGAAGCAAGACATGGTCATCTCCTGGACCGAGTTGGCCTCATGGGCGGCCTTGGCGGCCGAGATAACGGGAGAGTAAGCGACGAGAGGGAAGTGGATTCGGGGGTAAGGAACCAGGTTGGTCTGGAACTCGTTCAAGTCGACGTTGAGGGAACCGTCAAATCGGAGAGAAGCAGTGATGGAAGAGACAACTATACATCGTTAGCCAACTAGCTCAGATATCGTCAGTACTGTATAAAACCTACCCTGGGCAATAAGGCGGTTCAGGTTCTCGTAGTTGGGGCGCTCAAGACCGAGGTTTCGGCGGCAGATATCGTAGATGGCCTCGTTGTCGACCATGAAGGAGCAGTCGGAGTGCTCAAGAGTGGTGTGGGTGGTAAGAATAGAGTTGTAGGGCTCGACGACTGAGGTAGCGGTCTGAGGAGCGGGATAAACACAGAACTCGAGCTTGCTCTTCTTGCCGTAGTCGACGGACAGGCGCTCCATGAGGAGAGCACCGAAACCAGATCCAGTACCACCACCGAAAGAGTGGAAAACGAGGAAACCCTGAAGACCAGCACAGTTGTCGGCGACACGGCGAATCTTGTCGAGGACACCATCGATGAGCTCCTTGCCGACGGTGTAGTGACCACGAGCGTAGTTGTTGGATGCGTCCTCCTTGCCGGTGATCATCATCTCAGGGTGGAAGAGGTTGCGGTAAGCACCGGTGCGGACCTCGTCGACGACATTGGGCTCCAAATCACAGTAGATGGCGCGGGGAACATGCTTTCCTTGACCTGCAGAAGATGTGTTAGGAGAGGGGTGGCTTGGGAACGAAGACTATATCCGTACCAGTCTCTGAGAAGAATGTGCTAAATCCTTGATCAGGATCCTGCTTCTTGCGCTCCTCGGTGAGGTAACCATCGGGCTAGAGGTGGTTAGTATATGAGCGACGTGATGTTTGTTGACAAATCGAGGGGTCGTTGTGTACCTGGATACCGTGCTCAAGGCAGTAAAGCTATGGAAATGGTTAGTAAACAAGGCAATAAACAAAAGACTTTAGAAAACTCACCTCCCAGCAGGAGTTGGCGATCTGGCAACCAGCCTGGCCGACTAGGAGAGCTCTGTTAGCAAAACAACGATTCGGGCTGAAAAAGGAGATGCGGTGAAAGGCCAGGCAGAGAAAGGGAGCAATAGCTTACCGTTGATGCTAATGACCTCACGCATATTTGCAGACGTTTGTGATTACGGTTTATGGAGATGGGAGGAAGTATGCAAGAGCAAAGAAGAGGGACCACGAGAAAAGGACGACAAAAAAGAACAGGCCAGGCAAGGCTTTTACAACGACTTGACTTGGCTGAGGAGGAGGAAAGGAAAGCAAAGTAAAGCGGAGCGAGAGGGCGAATGTTTAGTTTGGTGATAAGTTAGCGGTGGTGGGGGAAATTTGGCAGACAGGGGAGGCTTTGCTGGGCAGGGATTGGATTGGATTGGACTGGCTGTGGATTTGTTGATTTCGATTTCGAGGCGTGCCTGGACTGTAAAGGGGCAAGCGCGTTCTGCAACGCCCTGCTGGCGCTCTTCGCTGCCGACGCCTGTTGGCCAGCTGCCAGGGCCCAGGGGTCGCCAAAAGGACCCTCTGGAGCTTTGCTGGCCCGCGAGCGCCTTCCAATTGGGCTGCATACCACCTACCGCTCCGTTGTTTCCATGTCCTCCGTTGTTCTTGCGCTTCACCGCTCGAGAGAAAAATTGATAACGGCTTAACAATTCTATGGAAGGTTATTCTGTCCAGCATCCATTATGGATACGGAGCCGGAGCAGTAATTACCAATACCATGTGCTGTTCGAATCCGACGAACCGGTCAGAGCATCCCGTCCAACACCGACCGAGATATTGGTGTCTCTCTTTAGACGACGATCCATGGGTCCATATTTGACAACATCTCATCTCTCCTCCTCAAGCTTTCATTTCGCCTCTGTTATGAGCCGCAAGCCCCAGTGGAAGTCAATTAGGTAGGTCTCCTAACCGCCTTCCTTGATTAGAGTTCAGGAACACGTCAGGAGGAAGAAAGAGCACATCTCAATGATAATATTCCTTGGTTAAGAGGCATTGGATGATTTCTCTTCTTCGCCTTCGGAAATATCAACAATGACCTGACCCCTGCTCTGAGTTCCAATCGTTTGTTTATATCCCTGCTGCTATATATACGTACCTGGGCCCATAGCTTCCATTCCCTATTGCGGTTCATCTCCTGCTTTGTTCAAGACATCAAAGCTCTGGGCCCTTGTGCTCAAAAGCAAGTTGTGTTCGAGTTACTACATAGGTCGAACTTGCGAACCTCGCAGCAGGGTCTCGTCATCATCTTCAAGCTCCGTCGACGATCTTCATTGTGACTCGTGAAAAGTCGACTCCCGGAAGCCATTGAGGCCCAAGCTTCACCGGCTCATCGTCCGCACGGTCGCAAAATTATAGATTGGCAGCCAGGACCAAGTTCAGGTCTTCAGACGCCTCCCGTTCCCTGCAACCTTAATGGTTCGACCTCGTATTCTTGAACAAGTGTTTGACTGCATAGATTTATGCATAACGTTGCCTCAGGGTATCAGAAGAATTGGCCCCTAGAGGCATAAGAGACGAAATAATTTAGTCACTTTATGACAGCTTAGATTAGCAGTTGGGCTACTTGATTATAGTAGCCTAACCCTTAGAGGACGATTGTTCTGTTACCCACCTGCGTTGTTAAATTTGGAGTTATGTCATAAAAGTGTTCGCAGAAGTCAAAGAGAATCAAATCTGTTCGACATTTCGTATGTCCTTAGAACACTGTCTGAAATAACGGACATGTCTTCCAGGGTGATGGTTTCTCCAAGGGGTATATTCACAAGAATTGAGTCCATCATCAATGAGAGAAATTGAGCTCGCTTGCCAGGTACCATCAGGATATCAGAGGACATGGCCGTAAAAATAAGGAGAGAAGTTATTTAGATAGATATATTATGAAGATATAGCTCGATCTTGTGATGCTATCTTCGTCGTCCTACGGAAACATAGCTTAGAGGATAGCTTTTCTGCTGCTTAGTAGAATGCTGAATTTTAAAGACAAAATATGAGTTCCTGAAGCTCTTCCATCTCACAAAAATCAATAAGTTTGAATGAGATAAGACCTTACATACTATGGAGGTTTGTTTTTCGTTGCGTATATCACACCCCATCATGGAAACGATAGGTGTTGTTGGTAGCGGGGCAGTCTGATAGGTTAGTATTCAGTACACGTGACGCTTCCAACAACATACCTCTTACATCTCATACATCAGGAGGTCAAAAGGACAATTGGATCTGCTTGACCAATCGCCGCCATGTTCTTTCTATCGAGCTGTCGAGTCGCCTGCTTTCTGGTCCTGGCAGCGGTGTTCACTTCTGTCCTTGCCAATGTTGAGAAGACAATCTTTACGGCACCCGCACTACTACCCATTCCTCAACAGAAGCCCTCACTAGCAGACCTCAGACTGCCTGTTCTTACACCAGACGCCTCAGAAATCAGAACAAATCTCAGTCGTGTGTTTCCAGCTAAAACAAAGGACTATGCCTCCGGTGCAGCGACGTGGGTGCTCCTGGATAACCTAAACCCAGACCAGCGATATGAGTTCCGAGTCTGCTGGGCAGCTATTGTAAGTCTCAGACGACAATCAATCTAACCTAGATATACGCTAAATGTGTGTGCTCTAGCAACCTACAGGGTTTGTCCTAGATGTATTTGAGCTGGATACCGTATGGGAAACTCCAGAGCTGATCCAGTCATTGGCGGGCTATGCCTTCTCGCGCCAAGGTGATGGGACTGAGCTGAACGAGGAGTCGCCTCAGCCAGGGGAGAAGGAGCGCAAAGCCTCGCTTCTTCTCCTACAGATTAAAGCATCTGCTGACTACTTCACCGACGACAAGTCTCTCATGGAGAACCCTCCGCCTGTGCTTGTGGATCTCATTCTCGACCCTTATCTGCTCAACGTCATCCCTCGCTCTTTGGTTCCAACCGCTGGCTATATTGTGGTTGTCGCTGTAGCGTCCTGGTTCGTGTCCAGATCCATAGCTTCCAAGCTGAAAGCAGTCGCCATCACAGCTGATGACGCAGATAAGAAAGAAAACTAGAAGGGCGATCGGTATCCTCAATAGCTATAGTCCCGTCTACAGAAAAAGGGGCTAGTAAAATGCATTCTACTATCTACGTTAATCATATTGCTCGTAACTGTTCTGCCCATCACGTCATTCTCATCGGCCCTCTGCAGGCTTCGATGTCTATACTCAATTCGTTGTATCCTTGATGACAAACACTTCCATATCGAACTTCCGGTCGTTGAATGCGTACAAATAGTGAAAGAAATGGCTCCAAACGGCCGGTTTGACGAGTTCTTGCGATCTCAAATCAAAGAAATGACCTGATTCTCTTCACTACTGGGCTAAAATATTTGGGCTGTAGGTTTTCCATACGGCGTTGGAGCGGTCCCTCAGTAAGGTCCTCCGTATTGTTGTTGAGGGTGGTTACCATGAGGGACAGGAGGCGCACCACTATTGTAGTGTGGCTGGTTGCCGTAAGAGGGTTGCTCATTTCCTTGACCCCTGGTATAGGAGGGATTATATCCTCCCGGAGATCCTCCAGGTGGTGGAGGAGGATAGTGGTCAGACGAGCCGCCGAATTGACCTCCATGGCCCTGAGTATCGGGGTAGCCCTGGCCAGACGGTTGGTGCTGCGATTGTTGCCCAGGAGGAGGAGGGAAGTATTGCTGCCCATGCTGCCCCTGTTGACCGTGTTGGCCTTGCTGAGGAGGGCCCCCCGAAGGTGGAGGAGGAAAGGAGTTGGTATGCGAAAGATGCGGGCTGGCTCCGAACGAGTTGCCGCCGTACTGCTGATGCGAGCTTGACTGCTGCTGAGGACCTCCGTAGGGAGAGCTTGGCTGTTGCTGATGCGAGCCGTACTGCTGGTTTGCGCCAGAATGCTGTTGGCCACCATACTGCTGACCACCCGGTTGCTGTTGTTGCGAGCCATAGGACTGACTCTGGCCCGATTGGTGCTGAGAACCATGCTGCGAGTGCTGGCTTGGCGAGGGCGTGCTGTAAGAATGCGATCCAGCAGCAGGTGGCGCTGATGGAGCTGAAGGATTAGAACCTGGTGGGTTGTAAGTGGGAGCTTGTCCAGAGTATGTTCCCCCGCCCTGCTGCTGCTGTCCAGAGCTGTAGCCAAAGTTGGAGTTTTGTCCCTATCGCGGTATTAGTCTTGCGCATGACACTCCACTCGGCCTCTGTAAACCTACACTGTTGCCATGCTTTCCTCCGAACATGCTTGCTACACCGCCCATAAGCTGGCCAGCGAGACCTCCCTGCCCTTGCCCCTGATGTTGCTGCTGGGACTGCTGCTGATGTTGGGACTGCGAGTTCTGGTTGGAACTTCCATGGTAATTCTGAGGAGCAGGGGGCTTCTCTTGGGAAGCCGTGTTCATGAAGCTCTGAGCCAACTGCCCAACGAGCTTCCCTGCGCCTGAAGGCTTGTTCCCTCCATTTCCACCATGGCCACCACTGCCAGCACCCTGACTACCACCACCACCGAGAAACTGGCTTGCAAGGCCGCCGAGGTTACCCAACGGGCTGGAGCCGTGGCCGCCACTTCCACCACCTCCACCACTTCCGCCGCCGCTGCTGTTGTTACCACCATGTTTACCGCCGAGGAATTGACTTGCAAGGCCACCAAGGTTGCCCAATGGGCTGGAGCTGTTGCCTCCGCTGCCACCACCGCTACCACCATGACCAGAGTTCTTTCCACTAAGCAAAGCGTTCATAGCCATGCTCTATCCGTACATTAGTAAGTCGCAAGACAAAGCTGGTAACAATGACTTACTCCAAGACCCCTGTCTCCAGAAGGACCATCTACACCGCGTGTCCCATCTGGCATGATTGGTTCCATGGTGCCATCCGCATGGCGCACAGTCTGCGAACCATCAGGATGCGTGATAAGTTCCGACCGCTTGGGAGCGCCGTAGGGATGTTCACCAGGAGGAGCGGGAGTGTTGCCTGTCTTGGCAGGCTCAGTAGGAACATCCCACTGCGAAACACCAGTCGACAGCTGAACATAGTAGTATTTCTTGCTTGTGCCATCCCACTGGGCGATCCAACCCGCAGGCAGCGGAGGAGGAGCAAACGTGGGACCTTCGGCCTGAGGAGAGGCAGGACCCGTCATGGTCGATGTCGAGGTAGAAAGTTGTATGTATAAGGCGGTCGAGGCGGGAGATGTCGCGAGAGGTGGGGTTAGAGAGGAAAGAGGTTAAAAGAATTGTCGCGTGATAGGGAAGAAGGAATTGTCGTAGACGGAAAGTCCGTCACTGAGCGAAAAACGCTGCAGTCATGAAGAGTGTGAAATAGGAACAAGACAAAACGAAGTGAGGTTTGGACGAATGTCGCCTCTGGGTGGTCGAGGTTATTATGGAAAGGCTTGGCTTGGGCTTAGCTTAGGCTGGTCGGCTCGACTGAACTGGACCGGATAGGAAGCACTGGGCTAAGCCTGGAAAGAGGAGGGGCTCCAAGTGTCTCCTTCGCTTTCGCCGCCTGAGAGGGTTAATGAGAGATGGGGAAGACCATCAGAGGTAGAGAGAGCCCACTTTGGATTATGCTTGATAGTGGGCGGTCAAATCAGGCCTCTTGGGTGAGTTATAAGGACCAGTCCAGCGAGCACAGCATATCTAGATAAGGTACCATGGTAAGGTCAAACAAAGCAAGACACAAAATCGTACTTATGCGACTATGTTCTACTTTGATGCTATTCGTGGTCCATGTCTTGTTCACATTCTACCTTTGTCACGTTCACCAATCAATGTATACTTGGGCTTCATCTCCCCAGTACTGTACAACACACACAGCCCCGCCATAAACTGAAGCTTGCCAGACTGGATTGGGTTCTAGACGCAAGTTTCCATCTTCTTCGTACGTACCGTGCTGTACACTGTCAGAGTCGCCACCCATAGTCTTTTAGGCGCGCGACAATTCATCTGACCAATCATGGCTTAGCCTTCGTAAAGCAAAGCACACTGTGTCTTGTTCTGATGGTCACCACAGCCCCTCTTACAACAACACCAACATCACACAGCGCACCAGAAGCGGTCTCCAGTCTCCAGCCTCCACGATTATGGCCAGAAAGTCGACGCGTCGCAGGCGGCCTCTTTCTATCCAGACAAGGACCATGTGTACTGATCCCCCAGAGGGACGTGTTTCTTATACTAACTCAGTAGACTGACTCTACTCTCCATGGGGTAATAAGAAGTCCACACCAACTCGGTAATTATGACTCTCGCTACTCTCCACTATCTATGGGGTAGCAGACAATGCTTACAAAAGATCTCAACAAAGACAACTTTACTACGTCTTGGTATGACGCATGACTGGTCTTATCCAGCTGGATCTACAATGATTCCACATCACAGTTTAATGTTCAGTCACAGTCACGTTTATCGCCAAGTCAAAACAAGTGTTTTGAAGAATTTATTGTCCGATTCCTATCTGTATTTGTACAAGATGACCAAAACTCCGAAGTCCATCTGCCCTTCCAGAAATGAAGCAAATGTGCTGTTGTAGCCTACCATGCTCTATAGGTTCTCATGTGCTCATGACATCCTGGGCTTTGTCCCAGGTCGCGTATAGTTTAAGAAGCCTTAGGCTCGGCGGAATCGCATGGCGAGCTTGCGGCCGAAACCAAAAGCCATAGCGGAAGCCTTCTCGCCGGAGCAGGTAGTGCCAGCGGCCATGGACTGGACGACAGACCATGTACCAGAAGCGCAGCGCTGGTACTTGGAGCCACCGATGCAGTTCCATTGACCCTCCTCAGTGCAAGCAGAACCAGCAGCCTCCTCAGAACCAGAACCACCAGCACCGGCACCAGCATCAGGGGCAGCGGGAGCGGTAGGAGCAGCAGGAGCAGGCTCAGGGGTAACAACGCTGGTGGGAGCGGGCTGGGTATCGGCGGGCTTGGTCATGGTCAGGAGAGTGCTGGAGCCTGCACCATCGTTGGCAGGAGCAGAGGGAGCTTCAGGAGCGGCAGTAGCCTTAGAGGGCTGAGAGACAGTGATGAAGACACCTCCGGGACTAGAAATTTGTGAGTTAGGGACAGTTCCAATAACAGATGAAGGTGAGGATACATACGCATCAGGGGCATCACCAGCAGGCTGGGTAGGAGCAGGAGCGCTGGGGGCAGCACCGGCGCCGTCGTTTCCGGGGTTGTAAGAGCCGTCATTGCCGCCGGCGGGAGAGCTGGGAGCAGCACCGTTGTTACCACCATCAGCGGGAGCACTGGGAGCAGCGCCGTTGTTGCCGCCGTCGGCAGGAGCGCTAGGAGCAGCATCGCCGGAGCCGGAGCCGGAGCCGGAGCCGCCACCAGATCCAGCCTTGGCGCAAGAACCCTTAGGGCCAGCAGTCTTCTGGGACTCGTTGCTGACATCAGGACCGGGGTTGGGGAACTCAAGATCGGAAGCCTCTTCAGTGGTGCAGCCGTTACCGACATTGGCAACGAACATCTCGGGGCGGTTGCTCATAGCAGAAGCGCGCTTGGAGCCACCCTTGATGGTGACGGCAGCACAGTTCATGTACATCTCACGGTTACCGATCTGGTTGAACCAGGTCCAGGCAAAGATGGCCTCGCCGGAGGGAGCGTCGGAGGGAACCTTGAAGTCGAAAGAAGAAGTTCCAGCAGCGGGACAGTTACCGACGTAGGAGTGGATGACCTGCCAGGTCTCACCCTTGTCGTAGGACAGAGAAGCCTGGCAAGAGCCACCACCGTGGTTGGCACCACCAGTAATCTCCATCTTCTGGGAGCTGCCAGCGGCCCAGTCGGCGACGGAAGCACCCTGCTCAGTACCGAAGAGAGAGTGGTATCCCTTGCAAGGGAAGTTGCCGCCGCTGGCCTCAAGAGGGGCGGTCATGCTGTAGTCGACATCGCTGCCGGCGTGAGGGTTCTGCTTGGACTTGAAGGGAGCAGGTGAGATCATCTCCATGTGTGCCTGGGCCAGACCAGCCAGGCCGAGGCAGATAGCGACAGAGTTGAAATGCATTTTGTTGGTGTGATGGGTATCTCGAAGGGTTTTGTTGTTGTTGAGTGTTTCTCAAGTGTTGCTTGTAGAAGCTTGGGTTTTGGTGAAGGAGTGAATCCGACTTGGTAGAAGGATCGAAGCTGTTTTATGTGCGAGCTTGACGCGATTTCGACTTGTTCGGGCTGGTTGATGTTCAAGTGAACAGATAATGAGTGGTGAACCAAATGTGTGCAGGTTCTTTTGCTGTGGTTATTGTTCTGGCGAACAATAGATCAAAAAGGATTGTGGGTGAAGGAACAAAAAAACGTTTGCAAGGACTGAGATGCGAACGACGAAGAGTCAAGGTGAACACAAAGGTGAATGTTATAGGCGGCGTTGGAAAACAAAGGTGACTGATTCGTTGATAGTTGACGGTGCAGTGCAGTGCAGTGCAAGTGGCGGACACAGGTGGTTGAGCGGTCTTGTTTTCTCGAACAGGTTGACGGCGTCGGACGGAAGGCTATTGGTAACACAAAGGCCGGTATTGTGCGTTGTCCAGTCGGTGGAAGTTGATGTTCAGTAAAAGAATCGATGCTAGTCTCCGTTACAAACGGGGATAGATCTGTATCAAAGAGTTGAAGATTTGATTTTGTGGTTGTGAGGGAATGTATCCAGCCCGTCAAGGGAAAGTGAAGAATAGAATGGAAGAAAGAGAAAAAAAGACAAAAATGTCACAAAAAGGGATCGTCTGAATATGGAATTCTTGAGCGTTGCTGAAGAAGAAGAAGAGGACCCAGAGGTACGGGGGATGAGCTCTTATGTAGTACGATCCATCCTATGTCTGTCTAGTCGGGATGTTTCAGTCGTTTCGTTTCGGCTGCCTCTGAGCCAAGACATGGAATTACCGGACGGATCCATGAAAATAGTACAGACCACGATTACTAGTCATTATCTCCTGAATGGAAGCGCGGCAAAGGAGTAGCGAATTAGTCGCTCTCGTTAACCAAGGGAGAGACCGAGGAGGGAGGAGATGCTCTCCACCATGATGAGCCGAGCACAGACAAGACGAGAAAGTGCATAAAGCAGGCGACTATAGCCCCTGTCTCTTTACCATGATCGACATTATTCCCTTGACCCTTGCTTGACTCGTCTGTGGCTGCTGGTTCCTGTCCCTGTTCCTGGATCAGCCAGGCCCAGCGACTGGCGGTCGAAGCGTCTCGACTGTGGGCGTCTATGTCGCATGTGCGCGGGGACCTCCCCTAACTTGGCAGCTGGGCGGCTAACAACGAGTAAACGTTGCGACTCGCCTGCAATGCAATGCAATCCATTCATACTAGGTACTGTACTGTGCAGTTAGGTATGCAATAATGTACATTTCTGAAACTGAACATCACTTTTATCCTTGTTTTATTCTTTTTCTTATTCTTTTTTTCTGAGTGGGCGTTAAACAAAGAAACAAGGCATGCGTGTATCTCATACCATTGGTTCTTTGTTCTTGTCCATTGTCTTGGGTATCAGTTGAATCGTTGTAGAAAAGGGAAAAAAGTGGCTCCTCCTAAACTGGTAGAGGCGCCGAGCCAAGAATTGGAAACCCGATCTTCCCAAGTTTCTCCACTATATTTCTACAAGGTTGACAGTGGAGAGAGAGGCAGAGTCAAGAGGCGCAGAGTTGGCACGGACATGTATTTTTTATGCCATGCTGTGTCCGTCGTATTGACCAGAGAGGAAGCTGGCCGCAGGGTGTCAGAAGAATTAACCGTCACAAGCGCAAGAGATAAAATAGTCAAGTCATCGAATACCAGTTTATACAAGCACTTAGGCTGCTTTATTGTGGTAGCCTAACTCTTGGATGACAATTCTTCTGTTACCCACCTACCGTGGAAGCTGGCGATACCTGATACACGATTTAATTAATTCAGTCAAGTCTAGTCAACTAGTTCGATCTTTTCTTCTTCCCCATGGGATTGTCCTAATTTCCGTTCTCTGGCCAGCTTCTAAACCAATATCTCGTGATACCTCAGTTGTAAACACATCATCTTGCATTGCATCTGTCCAACTATCGTCTACTGTAGATGTATGTAGATCTCTCTGCAATGCCGTGTTTGTGTTTGTCTGCCATGCGCCGGGCTACATGATGTGATACCTCAGCCGGCCCGTCATGTCGCCTCTCCCTCTCCCTCGCTATACCGTGGAAGGATTTGTTTATTGATATTCATCTTCCCTGTCCCCTACTTCTCCGTCTTAATTGTTTCGATCTTCAGCTTCGAATCCTCCTTTCCGTGGCTTACGACCACCCACATCCTACATCCCACATCCCTTCTCGCTTCAGATAGAATGAATGTCATCCTTTCAATAGACAGACAAACCCATTGTCACGGGTCCAGGTTGTCGAATGGCAGGGATTGGTTCCCATTTGCTGGGCGAAGAGGTCCAAGTTCCGCCCTTTCGTCTAGGAGGGAAAGACAAGACAAAAGACAAGGACAAGGACGAGACAAGGTGCAGGGATCTAAAGATGAAGCAGGGCTCTGTGACGGGTCTAGTTGATCTAAGCCAATCAGACCTCCAAGTCTTCAAAAGCCACCCGCGGCCTAAAAATGCATTGATTGGACTTGTACCTGAGTGAAACACGCCATCTGCAATGGCTTCAGGGGAGCAGAAGCAGTGACAGAAGAGATTCCTTCCACCTGAAGTGAGGGGAACTAAGGAATACTCGACTGAAGCAACCAAGGAACAAACAACATCATGCAATTGACTGTCGAGATTATCAATCGATAATTTACTTGATAACGACTTTCCTAATATGGTTTGAGGGATTCAATTTCAAAACCACAACACTTCACTTTAACATGTGAACTACAGGTCTTAAATGACTTGTACGTAAAGTCGAGTAACAGAAATGCCCCTTTCATTTGTTCAATGTGATTCAATGTGCTGTGTTTGCCAGTCTAGACCTCGAGATTTGGTGTCAACCTGATGAGTGACAGTTACAGTGACACAATACACGTGAGTCATGGTTCAAGTGCCTCTTCAACCTCCAGCAGCTCGTGGCTGCCTCTACCCAAAGCATCGTATGATATGCGCATTATAGAGCGAGAAACGAGATAATAGAAGAGAAACAAGCATTCTAGCGCCAGAGACGACATCGCACTATAAATGGAACGCAAATAGCCAACCATACCCAATAACGAAAACGGCAGTTGTCACGATGCAAAAAGTCAACCACTTCAGTTCCTAAGAATCTACCCTGCACTATTGAATTGCGAAACGCCGTTGTGGGAAGTGCACTGCATGCCCAACCAACCGGAATTTACAGCAACAAAAAGATCATCATATCACATGGATAACCACGTTCGCCTATAATTGATATGCGCCGTCCACATGCAAAAGTGTAGATCTTCTTGTTGACGGTACTGAACTCGGAAATCCGAATTTCTATCCGTAGATCCTGGAACCATGCCATCATCACCCAGCGATTCGACTCTCTTCTTGTCTTTCCTTTTCTCACAAGGTTCATCCGATTCGTCCACCCCCTGTCAGGGTCCAGTCTTGGTCGGTGATCGTCTGCTAGTGGCATCCACAGTTGCAAGCCCCCTTGACGGGTTGAACTGGTTCCCTTAACGCCTCAACCGTCTGGGGTCTTTTGACTTGCAGAGGTAATGACTTTGTCTAGAGACCATGAGAAATAAACTCGATACGAATAAAGTCATCGGCACTATGGCAATAGCGGACTCAACAGCTAACTGAATCCACATGTTAGTATCAGGTCACTACATCGTCGATCATCCGGTGTCATCTACAGGCTCGCTTTTCCCTTCGAGTGTCAACTAGTCATTATTATTAGTACATTGGGGTTTGACGTCCAAGACTCTGACTCGGTTAGGTAGAGAATCTTTTCAAAACTCGCATCGGCGTTATCCGGAAATGCATCCGCCTCTCATCCTACCTTACTCCAAGTACCAGTCTACTTTACCCTGCCTTGTCCCTTACCCCTGCTTCAAAGTCCCCTCCTGTGTTTGAGATGTCGCCAGGATTGCTAATGGCGTGAGTATCCTCCACTCCCATCGTCCTCGTCCTCTCATTCAGCCGCGCGTGTATGCATGTGAGAACTGTAAATTCAAGATGCTGTAAATAGCCGAGGTACTATCCTGTAAGTACTGTACGTATTGCGAAAGTGCAAGTGCTCTCGCTGTGGCTTGTGTCGTGTCTTGGCAACACGTACAACCAAATCTGCAACTTCTCTTACTTGACTCGCTCAACCACATCGACAGTCACACTGATCTGGCAGCATCAAAACTCGCATATGTCAACACAGGGATGATCTGCTCTCGCCTGGTAATTCGGCAGAAGTTGAGTGTCGCACATTGTTCTCCATATGCAACTTGCACGCCTTGACAAACATCCGCATTGCACTGGTTTCGTGTTACTAGCAAGCTATGCATCATTCGTAATGTTTTATCAACGGTTGGGTTATGCTAAGTTGGACGAATATCTTCATAACGCTTACTTCATTTCCTCGTGTCCCTGGACTTGAATGCTCTTGTCCTTCCAGCGACTCAACTCGCCCCGCCTCTCATCGATACATCGGCCGCTTCCACTACCGACACTCCTATTTGTGACCAAGACCGAGTTCAACTTTTGGTGCTCAACTCTCAACTCACAATCTGAGTTCCGAACCCACACGTAACCAGCCCAGAAGCCTGGTATCCGTGTCACTACCCCAGATCAGTCGTGTCGCTCCCCTAGTCGGTCCGACTTTCACATTCCAAAGGTTTGTCTGCTTAGAGAAGCCTCGAGAACAGACTCGAGTACTCCTCTTGTTGTCTGTTGTCGGTCATAGTGTGACCAAGCAGAATCCCTTAGACGTTTCATCGGCGTGATAGCATATAGACAATATCAATATCACACCATCCCTCCCACCACTGGCATCCTCTGTAGAGCTGCACCAGCTGCGACTCAAAGACTCGTCTGGCAACCCAAGTGCCCAGACCAAGCCTCGGGCCTCCTCTCATCTAAGCTGTATTTTGTGCGATGCTGTTGAAATGTCCCATATTGAAACTCAATTGCAATGATTCGTACGCTTCGCTATCATCTTGATAAAGCTCAGACCCTGAGATAAGTATAACAATATATCTCGGCGAGGCCACTGCCCGAAAAGGCCCTACTGAACATTTTTGATTCACTGTATGCAAAGGCACGGCGCCTATTTGGTCTCTTCTGATGCTTCAGAAGGTCGGGCTGGGTGCGCGGCAGGCACTGCAGGATTTGCCTGAGGTGTTTGGTGTGCCCCTTGATTTGCGTAACCCTGATTGTAACTGTTCCCGCCCCTGTGCTGGCTACCACTCCTGTGCTGCCCATATTGGTGGCCTTGCTGAGGGCTTGTGCCAAAGTGTTGAGGACCAGGGCTACCATATCCGCCCCTCACTGCACTGGTGTTAGCCACCTGTTAATTCTCTGCTTGTTGACAGATATCAGGACGACTTACTTGGTCCGCCTTGCTGGCCTGGGTTAAAGACCGGCTGGTTGTACTGCACACTGGGGCTCATTCCATACATGGGCTGTCCTTGTTGCGATCCTTGATGCGCCATCATTGGTGCCGCCGGACGACCAGGGCTAGGGTATCCATTAACAGGTACTGGTTGAGGTCCGGACGGAGGCATGAATTGAGGATGACCGCCAGCATACATCAACTGCGGATTAGGAACCATGCCTTGAGGCCCAGGCATGAACTGCTGGGGCATCATCATAGGACCGCCCATTTGGCCCTGCTGAGGGGTCATGTACTGGTGGTTATTGGAAAAGTTACGGTATTGGTTCATCTGGGGCGTGCCGGGTCCCATGAAAGCAGCTTGATTATATGGAACCTGAGGTGAGTTGTATGCCACAGGCACGTTGCCAAGACGAGGCGAAGCAAATGATTGAGCTGAGTTTGAGTGCATCATTCTATGATCGTCATTGGCATACGGTGCATGGGGCACATGGTTGTGCTGAGGAGTGTGCATCTGCATGGGAGGCATATGAGGCGATCCCCTAGGTGCGCCCTGCTGGAGATGGAATGGCAACTGGTGCTGGTGAGGGATCTGAGGAACAACATGCTGCGGGTTAGGAGTAGCCAACGCAGGTCCACCGAACGGCTGACGCTCAAAGTACTCCTTGTAAGTCAGATGCATTGTAGACTCGGGCTTCTCGTTGTCTTGAAGCTGTCGCCAAGTCGGCAGGGTGTCGTAAGAGGGACGTAGGCCAGCGTTGTCATCCCAGTTTCGACCCTGAGGAGGTTTCAAGGTTTCAATGTGAGACAGGATATAACACTTCTTAACATCAATGGCCTTGGTCTTGTGACGGATAAGCTGACCATCGGAGGCATTGGTGTTCGCTGTAGCATCGACATGGTTTGCTGCGGATCGAGGACTTGAGGCTGTACTAGTATGGCTGTTGGGGTTGAAGGCAACTGCGAACGGGCTGGGTCTGAATTCGTGACTGTTGGGGTTCAACTTTGCACCCATATGACCTGGGTTGCCGCTGAGGCGTCGGTTATAGCCAGTTTCGACGCCGCTGGCTGGTCCTGTTGGCGGGGCGCGCATCTCCTGACCAGGAGCGTGAGGCTGGTGAGGTACTGGAGATTGAGAGAACTTTTGTTGTTCAACATTTCGGAGTCGCGAGGCCAGGTTACCAGTTTGTTGTGGGGGAGGCATGTGTGGCCCGCCACGGTTGTTGCGGTATTGCTGTCCATGGTAAGGTTGCTGGGTGTATTGCTGACGAGCATTGGGATGGCGAGGTTGGTTTCCAGTTGAAGTTGCAGGTTGAGCGCCAGCCGGAGCACGGGCAGCTCGCGTGTCGTTATGGGCAGATGCGCCGGTAGTCGTAGGCGTGCCTTGGCCAGGGGTTTTGGCCTGGGAGTCCTTCGCGGATGGCGCTACCTTTTCTTTTACAACAGCAGTAGCCTTGGCTTTGGCGACTTCCTCAGCATTCTTGATGGCCTTGGCTTGTATCTCCTGTTGCTTTGCAGGGTCCTTAGCAATAATGGAAACCAAATCCGTAGGAACAGGCGTTGAAAGCTTGAACGAGTCGGCAAACTTCTTCAGCTCAGTGAGTTTCACTTCCTTGTCCTGCTTGGCTTTATTACTTCGAGCCTTCTCGGTAATTTGACGCTGTTGGTTAGCAAATGTCTTGAATTCCTTCAGAACATCACGTTCAACGGTAGAAGTGGCGTTGGGTGCAGCAGCGTCTTGACTCGAGGAACCGGCGTTAGCTTTGGATGCATCGGTTGGCTTCGTCTCAGCCGCCTTGCCGTTGGTAGCCTGTGTGGCAGGCTTAGAATCGTTGGTAGGCGCCTCCGTGACTTTAACTTCCACCGAAGCTTTGGCGTCAATCTTGGGAGCCGACCCATTCTTGTTCGCCTCAGAAGCTTGAGGTTTTGATTCTTCAGGTGCGGGCGTGCTCTGCTTCTTTGGTGGCGCTTTAATCTGAGAGGAAATGATGGCGGGATCGATAGGGGCTCCCTTGACAGTGGAATTCGCCATGGGTGCACGCTTAGCTGGTGGGGTGTATTTGTTCTCCCGTCCAGCTGACAAAGGCGGGAAATCCTGGCGTCGAACACCACTGTATCTGTTGGGAAGGCTTTGTTAGCACGATTGAATCGATGCGATAGTAGAAACACCTACTTGTCTTCTTCATCGCCCCCATCATCCCCACCAACATAGTCCATGATACGCTCCTCGGCCACGTGAGCAGTAGTAGGTGCGCTGCGTTCGATCTCGCGCGCCTTCCTCTCTGCGGCAGCTACCCGCTCTCGGTATTCAGGATGGTTCTTGTCAATGGCGGTGGTATAAAAATTATCGTCGTAGTTCGAAGTCACACCAAAGAGTCGCTCGTTCGCGGCGAACTGGTCCCATGTGCCACTGCCGCCGGACTTTTCAAGACCACCATTGAAAGTGTCATTCGCATCGGGAACCCAGGGCTGTAGGACTCGTTCATTTCCGAATCGATTTTTGGAGATGGCCGAATCGGTGCGAAAAGAAGATCGGTTTCCTGTATTAATACCACAGTCAGAAAGGCGATGCCGCGAGAAAAACGGTCTGACGAACCATTCTGTTTGCCCCCAGAGCCTCCACCGGCTATACCATCCTTCTTCGGACCGGGCATGTTGCAAGCGCTCCAATCGTTATGTAAATTATTAAAAGAGCGTCAAGGGTTATACAGTCTGGTTACCATCCGTAGCCGAAATGGATCGTAGAGTGATGGTGCGGGACGAGCGTTGTTGTCTCGTTCGTGTTCGCGAGTGTACCGTAGGCAAGTCCTCGAATCTTAGCAGGAAGGGTTAGCTTTCCTAGCACTTTCCAAGTTGTTGAAGCCAAGCGACGAAGATGTGGAAAATAGTTGAGGAAGGTATCAAAGGCCACGTCCTATACCATGACGTGACTACAGTGGGCTACCCGAGAGCCGTGGGGTTTAAGGCAGTCGATAAGGGGATGCGATATGCATTTGATGCGGGCCAAGAAGATAGGTTGTCAAGACCAGGGCAAGACGGACTTACCTTTTGACGGCAACAGAGATTCCTATTGTGATAGATAGACCAATGTTGCGGGAATGCAACAATTGCGCTATGCGGTATGAAGACCAAAGCTAAAGTAAGTTGCTAATTGCTAACTCAAAGCTGTAGGAGTTAGCGACTGCCCAGATCCACAGATAGAAACGGTTTCAAGCGTTTGAAAAGTAAATTCGAGGGGGATTGTGCTCGATAGAAGGATATAGCAGAGGCAGCCAAGCCGGACGTTTGTGTGAGGAGAAGCAAACAGGCGACTCCAAACGAAAAAGCTGTCTAGGAAAACGGGCGAGGAAAGTTGCAGAAGAGAGGGGCTCGAGTGGTTTACCTCGCGTGGGTCAGAAGCCGAAGAAAAAGTCCAGATATGGTGATCTAGAATATGTCGTCCAGCTCGCGTGCTGTTACAATTGCCTTGCAATGGGCAATAATAGCATGGAGCGGAGGCGGGTAAGGAGGGTTTGAGTCGTGGGTGAAAGGGAGAGTCCAGACAACGGGGGAGACGAAGATTCGGCAACAGACGTTGGTGGTTGAGGCTTGGGACCTTGACCTTTGTTTTCACAGCTAACGTAAGGTACCTTGCCCTCTGTAAGGTGACAGCACAGTAAGGTAAGGTCGGGCAGAGTTAGTGGGCGACAGGGGCCAGATCGAGGCCAAAGTCCCTTGTAGTAGTTGGTGTACTAGTGGTTATCCTGGACTTCAGTTCCAATGCTAAGGAACGGCCGCGGAAGGGTTCCTTTCTTGCCGAGAATACCTAGTGAGGGTACCCCGGGGGAAAGATTGTTTCGTATCTTGGTATTCTGCAAATTTCTTCCTGCTGTGGTGAGCGCTGCACTGTAAGTTGTGAGAAGTATTGTGTGTATAAAAGTCGAGAACCTGGTTCAGAAATATTGTGGGCCCTATTGGTATAATATCTGCGAGGACAATTATGTTGCTTGATGTCTGATTATATGATTGGTAATTTATCTGACACTTGATGTGTGTCGGTGAGATCACGAATGTGCACTAAATCACAGTATCTTGCAAACACTCAATGTCCTGTAGGTAGGATGAAATAGCAAGGCAACCTAATCTCACGTTGCAGATATTCGATGTAGGTATGCGATTCTAGGTTGGGCGTTGCTGGGGCACACAGTGGAGGTGCTGCTGAGTTTCAGCACAAAGAGCACAGTGTGCATAATCCGTCCTTGTCTTCTACTCAAACCCTGTAGATCTGCAGCATTTGCTAGTGCCGCATCTAATCAGCATCAGCCTCAGCAAGCGAAGCCTCATTCTGTGGTTGGAGTTGATGCGGACCAGTTTGTATTTTCGTGATGGCGCAGCGTTGGTGGTACAGTCTGTGTGTCCATGAATACGATGCTGGACGCAAGTTTGGGGCGGACAAACACTGCTTCAGAAAGCATGAGTGGTCGAGAGGGTAGCTGCACCAGTCTGACCGGTTTTTGTTTCCGCCTAATAGATCTATGATATTTGCGAATACAAGCAACAGAGTTACCTCCATATTGGTATATACTCAAAAGCGTATCAGTCTATGCTCTTCCAAGACAATCGTTGGTTGAAGCGATACGACGCTCTTCAAATAGGAACATCGTGGCTTGGTACAGTTCATCAAGTCGTCTCGACAACTGAGCGTTGCAGAAGTCGTGTAAGTTAGGACAGAGACAAAATGTTGAAATGGTTAAAAAGATTTCTACTACAAATATTCACAAAGAGGACATCCTCTCCCACAACCCTTCTAGACTTTAATTGTTGGTACAAGCTTTTCTCTCTCTTGGACCCCCATTTATACTCGCAGACCAATATCCTCAGCGTAGGGTAGCACGAACAGGTCACCGACAGTAGAGACGGTGGCCTTACCCTCGAGCATGGACTTGGCAGCCTAAACACATAATCATTAGTATCGGGCATAGTTCTAGTTGAGGGATTCAAACTTACAGCCTGGATAGACTCAGCGGAAACACCGTCGATAGCCTTGGCGAGAGCGGCAGAATCGTAAGGCTTGCCGGTGTTAACGATGCCGGTGCCAGCGAAGACAGCGCTGGGTGTTCGGAGCTCGTTCTGGCTGAAGAGGTTGAACTTGGCGTTGGCAACAGCCTTCTTGATATCCTCCTGGCTGGCCTTGCCGTCAGCGATGCTCTTGAGCACCTTGACAGCCTCCTCAGCACCCTTGCGGACTGAGGCGGCGGCACCGCTAAGCTGAACAGCAAGGAGACCGGCGTCGGAGTAGACGAGGTTGGAGGTGTTGACGGTCAGACCGGAAGTACCAGCAGTGGCCTTGGCCAGCATGCTGAAGCCAGGGGCCCACTTGACAGTAGACTGGCCACCGAGGAGAGCAGCCAGGACAGCGTTCTCAGGCTTGGCAGACTCGTAACCGGAACCGGGGAAGGCAATGACGATAGAGTTACCGGCGGTGGAGTTTGTTCGCTGCTCACCACCGAAGTACTTGGTGGCCTCGGTCTTGAGGGTCTGGCCGCTTCGGGGGGTGGAGGGCACATCGTTGAAGAATTGACCAACCCACTTGGAGAGGTTATCGGTAGAAGCACCGTCGGCGACGAGGGCAAGGTTGGACTTGGCGTAAGCGACGTCGGCGTAGCTGGCGATGTACTCCTCGTTCATGTACTTCTGGTAGGGAGTCGATGAGCTGGGGAGGATGGAAGAGCCGAGACCAGAGTGGAAAGCGATGGCGTGGGCGTTGTCGAGAGCGGTAGCGGCGACGTCGGCGTTGAGGACAGCCTGCTTATGGTGGAGAACACGCTCGACGTCCTCGTGGAATTCGTGGGCTGGTAAGAAGTCTTAGCACCAACAAGATCGATATGCAAGTACGCAATTGGTATTTACTCACTGGTGTACTTGGTCATAGAGATGACCTCAGCGAGCAGCTCAGTGAAGTAAGGCAGATCCTCACGGAGGAAGTTAGCCTCGACAACAACAGCCTCCCTGGAGTGGGAGGAAGCCAATTGACCACCAAGAAGCTCAGACTCGCGAGTGATGCGAAGGGCGGATCGTCGCTGAGTGTTCTACACGGAGCCGGCAAATTAGCTCAAGTCCCGGGTTTCGTCTTTCATGCTATCGTCCTTCTCACCTTGAAGGCAAACTCGGCAAGGCCAGCAGTGAGACCGGGGAGAGGCTGGTATCGAGTACCGGCCTTGGCAACAACGGCGAGCTTAGTAGTAGGGCCGTGAGCATCCCGCGAGGCGATCTTGAGGCCAGACGCATCCGAAGTCTCGTATGATCCGGTCGAAGCAGCGGCGGCGTATGTTCGTCGCTGGACGCGGCAGGACTGGCGGGCAGCCTGCTGCGCAGTTCGCGCAAGGGACGATCTCGAGATCATTTTCGCGGGTGATGGCGTAGGCAATTGGCAATCCTTCGGCCGTCTGAGTGAAGCAATTGATCTCCAAGAGAAGTGCCTCGTCGAAAAGGTCCCGTCTAATTTTCGGGCTACGGGGACGAAGAATCAATCACGTGACCGTCTCCGGTCAGCCATATTTGCACCCGCGGCATTGGCTCAGTATTGCTTCAGTGACCTTTGAGCCTGGCCCAGGCGCTGCAAAGCCTTGACTAGGTACTGGCTAATAGCGATGGAGGGGAAACAAAATACTGCCCGAGAGAATTGCATTCATTATTGCCAATTCTTACAAATAATAGCAAATTTTATATAGAAAATATATATCATGTGAGTCCCTGAATATGTCTTTATTAGCCAATTGGCTTTTATGCTATGGCAAAGTCAAAGGCTTAGAATGGACGCCAAAAAGAATCAAACTAAATGCTGGTATAGACAGGTATAAAATAACCGAATTATTTATTTCCCGTCGTCTCTTGCTCCGAAGAAAAGACCTCAGGCACTGCACCCCACCTCCCGACTTACATCAGAGCCGCAGGCAGAAAATTAACTTAAACGATAGATGGTATCCATCCATTTGCGCCGAGAAAAAAAAGCACCAACCTTCCTGACTTCATCTTTACACTTCCACTTCCACTTCACAACCCGTGCTTTATTGATACCAAATTACTCGATATATTGCGGGTTCTTGGTGCTTTTCTTTCTCTATAGCCTTTTGCAAATCAATGACGCTGAGGTAGCAATTGGTGAGCTCTAGAGATAGTGAGAGGATCTCTAGGAGCAAGCAATGCTTGTTGTGAGTTTATGCATTTGACGGCAAGACACCACTACTGACAAATCGCGAACAGACAAAACACGCTGCTGAGCTTTGTGCTCTTCTAGTTAACGACCTCCATGGCGAACTTCCTTCGGTACGCAGGCTTTTTGCAACCCTATGTTATGGATATTAGTGAGATCGTGGGGCTGACTTGATCGTCGCAAACAGCGAATCTTGAATGCGCTACTGACCAAAGGCCGCTCGACGATCGCGCAACTGATCCAATATACCTCTCTCACACCGAAGTACTTGCGAAATGGCCTCGCTGTCCTGATCCAGCAAAACCTCCTTTACCATCATACAGACCCCAATACCAACGTCACGAGCTACCAAGCGAATGCGGATGCGTGCTACAACCTTGCTCGGTCAGGAAAGATTTTGTATATCATAGAAAATCAATATGGCATCGCCGAACGAGAACTTGCCCAGACCCTGATGCAACTGGGCCATGCGCGAATCGCAGATCTTTCCCAAGCTTTCGGCTCAAGAGCGCCCAAAGTTAATGGGCACACCAATGGTGATCATGACTCACACGACGGACTCATTGAGTCAGAAGGCCACCTGAACTCGGTTCTAGTTCGCCTGATTCGATCGGAAATTGTTGAGACTGTCCGGCCGGAAAGCTTCCGCAACCCTCAAGATGCGTATCGTGAGATCGAAGACGATGTTACCAAGCCTCGACCGGGCGAGAAAGTCACCAAGGGCAAGGCTGACGCCCAACGCGAGATTATTGATCGTACCAGGACTTGGAGGGACCAACCTAAGACACTCAAACGTCAACTTGATATGAGCGGAGGACCGAAACCGAAAAGAAGAAAACTTACTAATGGAGCATCGCAAAACGGCCATGACTACGATGCTCCGAAGCTGAATGTAAGAAAGCTTACCAACCATTATATGAATTTTGCTAACAAATCTAGCCTAACGTGATAGTCAGAATAAACTACGAGAGATGTTTAGTTGAGCTACGGAACCAACGACTTGCGGAATTTGCAACGGAAATGCTTGGAGAAGTCACTGGCGAGGTCTATCGCACAGTTCTCGACCTCTTGACCTCGGATCTTCCTAGGTGCCGGCCAGATCCTCTACTCGATGAAGTGGCGGCCGGTCAACAGCCGACCGTTACGACTATCGACATCTTCGAACACCTGGATGAAGACGTGAACGTGCAGGCCGGAATTGGCAAAACTCCAAGGGACAAGATTGATTCTCAGAGCGCGGAGAGGATCAGAGAGACTGTGCCGGAGTCGGATGATGACTCGGATGATTCAGACGCCGGTCCCCCTGGCAGAAAAAAGACCTTCGACGTTGATGAGGAAGAAGATGATGAATGGGCCGAGGACGACGAAGAACACGGGGCGACGAATGGACAACAGGAGAACAAAGTACGATTCGAAGACGCTACAAATGGGAACGATAGTCGAATCTCGCAAATGCGTCGCCATCTTCTCTTACTTGCGGAAAGCAAGTACCCGTTCATTCGTCATTGTGGAATGTATGGCCGTGGACAGTGGACCGTGGACTTTGATCGCCTGGTGAGCAAATTGCGAGAAATAGAGCTCGATGCTATCATTGAGCAGTCGCATGGCCGACATGGTCTACGTTTGACCCGCATTCTCCGGGAGAAGGGCAAGCTCGACGAGAAGATGCTTCCAGCCGCCGCACTCATGAAGAAGGGCGACGTGCAGGGTAAAATGCTTGCGATGCAGATGGCGGGCATAGTCGATGTGCAAGAAGTGCCCAAGGACAGCAGTCGGCTTGCCAATCGCACCTTATTCTTCTGGTATTTCGACAAGGAGCGGGCTCAGACGCAGATACTGGATGATATATACAAAGCTATGCTCCGATGCTTGCAAACGCTTGAGGTCGAGCGCCACAAAGAACGCAACATCCTCTCATTCGTTGAGAGAAAGGATGTACAGGGCAAAGAAGAAGAGGTCATGACGGCAGAGCATTACAACAAGTACAACACACATCTCGAGGTGCAGAATAAGCTGCTCGGGCAAGTCATGCGTTTGGATGAGTTGGTGTCTGTACTTCGCGACTACTAAATACTTAGGTAGTCTTATAGTTTGTCCAAAGTGTAAAGTAATTAAGCTATTTCATACCTCATGTTAAGAACGGCGAGTTTGCTGTGTGACCTGAGAATATAGCTATATCACATCGTGGATATTGACAAGATTGCTGGCTTTCAGCACGCTGCTTGAATATTATTCTCCTCAAGCTGATCATACCACATTCGTCACATCTACAATATCTCATTGAGATCCTCGGTCCTCGGCAGTTGTTTGCTTGACCGAGTTTATATCCTTGACCCAAGCAAGAGACACGGCTATAGTAACCGATCATGAAGGCCGTGTGTTGTTGAAGATTCTTCGCTTGTTAGTGTCTAATCAACACTAAGCAGACTCGAAACATTTGCTGCAGATAGAGGTTGGAGAAATTCTAGCCTTATTGTAAATAACTTTGGGATGTACCAGCGTCTATTCTTGTGGAACAAACTCAAGGATTAAATTATACATAGCATGTTGTCGTGGTTATAGGGTATATCACGATTAGATTTCTTCTCCAAAAATCATTGGAGGGTAAGGCTAAGAGAGTGGGGCAAGAAGATAAAGTGCTAGGAAGGGCTGGTTGAGTCGAGATCATAAAAACGGGGCAACTCAACCCAATCCAAGAGGGGAGGGAAAAAAAAAAAAAGC